AGCATCTTCACAAGGATCAGAAGAAGGAATTGGCCAGGGCTCGGTTTAACACCACGAGCGCTGGTGCTGCTGTGCAGGCCCAAAGGGAGAAGGAAATGATTGTTGTTTGGCAGCACTCAGAAACCTTTGAGAAAAAGGTACAACACCGCATGGCAATTGAATATTGGAAAGGCCTGGCACACAGATCAAAACACGCAGAACCGGCCTACAGCAATAGATACAAAGATAGCTTGTAATTTGATGGTGTTGTGCTCATTTAATTGTGGTGGCCGTGCCTCGGTGATCGCCGAAAAACAACAGACTTTTGCAACCGCGGAGGTAGCGGGACCGGCGAACACGCTTGCGGATGACAGACCGGTCCCCCAGCCCCTCAGTGAAGGCTAAGGTGGTCCAGGACCCGGCCTAAAGACTCGCATATTTTTGCTACAGTATGGTGTCTTCCCGAGCCGATCGACAGCCTGTTCGCCTCCCAAAGCAGATGCAAAAAATACGAGATAGTAGGCGTACTCTTCATCGTTGAATACAAAGATTTAGCAAATCTCATTTCTCTTCTACATCGGCATTTGGTAAAAGGAATACACAGGCTTCTCCGCTATTACGAGAGGGGTGTCTTCCACCAGCCCGGACAACAGCACTGTGAACTCGGATTACATGTCCACATATTCAGAGGTCAGTCTTGCTGCGTCCTTCGCGAGTCGTGGACCATGGGTTCGGTCTTTTTGCCTCGCTCTGACCAAGACGTTCCAGGCCTGTGGGGCCGGGAGCGCTAGTATACAATCAAGGCTCGGCTCGGGTAGCCACGCCGCCATCATGCAATTCGGGCTTAGCTACTTCGTCGTTTCCTGTGTTCGACTGGTCAACCCGTGTGACCGTTGAACAAGCTTCAGGTACACCTCCGCCACGGGTCCTGATGAGACATTTGGGCCGCTCGGGAGCTGTCTTCCGATGGATCGGCTCTTCAGCCGCGGCAGATTGTGGATCCGTGTCTGCAGCACGTAGTATCATATTGGTAAAGATCTTCGTCGCATGTCCTTCGTGTTAATGCGTGGATGCTCATTCAATGTCTAACTATCCCCACCGTCGACTCTCACTTCGAGAGTCCAGCGTCTCCTAGCTGGGCTTATTGGTGAAGTGCTCCTTCGCGTCTCACGCTCGCTTGCGGTTCTCTCGATTTGTTTTCTGCTTCTCGGTGGCCTACCGCTGTGCAATCATGATGATTCCCCTACACTTCATCGCAGAACTCCCCGGTGGCTGTTGCTGCGGTGTTTGCTGCCATTGCAACGATTTCAGTCACATTGCGCCTCTTTGCACGAAGAAAGAAGCGACTCGTCCTGGAGTGGGACGACTACTCCATTGTTCTAGCTCTGGTAAGAGCCTCCAGCGACTGCGCCATGGACGTTGGACTGACACTTAATCAAGGTCTGCTTACTTGGGCTTGTGGCTTGTGATATCGTCGGTACGTCTCAAAATCACTACTTCTCGCTTTCTACAGAGTTAAATTCTTTTCAGGAGTTGTGCATGGTGGCGTTGGCCTTCATGTCACCGATGTAGTGGCTAACTATGGTCCGAAGCCATTGACCATTTTTGCAAAGGTAATCATCTCCCTAGTCTTTATGTATACATAGGAAGATGTGTTATATATTCTATACAGACATTTTGCTGACAAGCCCAAGGACCTTATTGCAGTCCAAATCCTTTGGGCAACGAGTCTCATGTTCACGAAGACTTCGATTCTGTTCTTCTACACGAGAATATTCACGGTCCCTGCCTTCCGTCTTGCCGCCCGCATTATTGGTGGTGTTGTCGTCCTGTGGGCATTGAGTGTTATTCTTTGCGGCTTTCTGCTATGTCGACCATTCGCTTTCAACTGGGACCAAACTATTCCCAACGGACACTGTGGCAATCAAATCCTGTCGTACGAGCTCACAGGAGCATTTAACATCTGCACTGATGTCATGGTATTGGCTCTTCCGCTCCCGCTCATCTGGAACCTACAGATGAGAATGGCCAATAAAATTGGGCTCCTCGGAGTCTTTACTGTGGGCTTCTTCGTGTGTGTTGTCAGCGTCGTTCGATTGATCACGCTCATCCATCTCTCTTGTAAGTCCGACTACACCTCTCTCATATGCCACGCGAAGGTACAATGACGCCGCTTCTTGGATACCGTCTGACGCTCCTAGACTCCGACATCACCTACTCCGTCCCCAACGCACTTATCTGGAGCATGCTCGAGCCCGCCATCGGTATCACGCTTGCCTGTCTCCCCGTCATTCGACCACTCCTTGGATCGGGCTTCAGCTCTCTCTCCAAGAGTAAAAATACAAGCGAGAAGACGCGGTCCAATTTCCAGCAACTCGACGAAAACTACCCCCTGCGTTCCCTTGGCGACAGCAAGAGGGCCATGAACGTGGAGGTGGGGTCGGAACACGGGTCTACCAGAGAGATCAACCTTCCCGAGATAAACGTACAGCATGCTATCGAGAATACTGGACCGCTCGACTCCCATCGGATGTCGCAACGGGACAAGAAGATTACGGTTACCCAGGAGTTTACGCAGGAGTGGACCACGAGGTAACTCTTTTTCGATTAAAGTCTGGTGATGGTGTGTACGATATATCTTCAGGGAATAACGGCGGCTTGTTATCCCTGAAACTCCACGCAATTGGCGTTAGATTGTCCTGGAAGAAAAAAGGGACTCATGAAAATTATCAATACGAAAACTGGCTCGTCGCCAAATTATAAACGTCGTTCGTCGATTCAGTTCCGAAGGCCTCGTATATCAGCGAGTCGTTCATGATGGTTGTGTGGTTGAAGTCGTCGCTTCCACCCTGTACCAATTGTCCATCGCCCAAGACGGCTGTGTACGCTGCGTCCTACGACCCAGGTGTTCCCGCCACCGCATGCCCACTTCCACCCCTTCTCCCATGCACATCCGTCTCGGCCTTCCTCGCATCTTCATACTGCGGACTGTACTCCCCCTCCCCCCCTCGGCCCATAATGCCAAGTCCGCGCCAACATCTTCTCCAGCCCCGCCGCAATATGATACAGCAAATAAGAGTTTCCCGCCGCGAACGGAAAGACAAATGGCGTGAACGGGACCAACGGGGTAACGAATGGTGTCCACTAGCGCGCGTCTTCTTCCTTTAGCCGACACGGTTTCTTGTGGCCCGGGAGGCTACATGGCGTTAGGAACACTGGTGCGAAAAGCAGCCCAGCATAACACAGATACAATTCCAGCTTTTCGTCTCTCCCAGAAATCTAACGCGCTAACTTTTCCTTGAACTTGAGCGAAAGAAATCGGATTTGAGCAATGGACTTCGATTTGAGTTTTTCATGCTCCCTAGATTGTTACATCCAGTCTGGATTTCGGGTATTGCGTTGAAGAAAGCCTAAACGGTTGCAAACCAGTATACGCAGACATTGTCCAGGTACAGCGTCACCCAACAGTGAGATCAATCATGCACCCATCGATTCCTTCTCTATGTATTCCGTGTAGAGCTTTCGCAGCAGGTTGATTTAAAGGTGAGAGATGAAGGTTGGGAGGATGCTGGAGATAGAAGAACATCTAGATATCATCCGCGCTAAATTACTAAGCTTTGTGATATGGCACCCTTCGTCTATGTGATTTTACCAGTAAAGATATCGATGCTGCCTCTTTGATCATGGATTCGAGAACTAACAATTATGAACTAGAATGTTAGAGCTTGAGTGAAGAAATGGGCCCTGTTATTTCGGTCCAGCACCTAAGAGCACGTGCATTTGGGACAGTGAATTCCCAGCAATGTCCTTTGGGCTTCCCTATAGAGTGACTAGCGCGCTTATTCAATTTCTCAAGGTAAGAGTGGAGTTCCGCAGCACCCAATCGCTGTTCTCGTCCAGACCCAATCACCCTCAATCTTGAAGACCCCACCCAGTCCATGTATTCCAATTTGGGAACAGATTCTCGCTTTTCTCATCCAGCTTCCGTAAACCTCTAGCCCCAAGAGAACCCATCTATCCAATCCACACATTCTAAGTCCAGGACCCAGGAACCAGCAATCAATCTTCTCATCTAAGACTAGCGGCCCTCTATCCCCAAGATCTATCTACTATATCCACTCTACCCACAGGAAGCAATACTCACCTCATCTCTAATCGTAGTTGACCTTAAGAGCTACCACAAAGTTAGCATGAACCTTCTAACACGTATTTAGACCAGAAAAACTTACAACAAGGAAACGGCCAATAGCTATCATACTTCTCCGTCAAATACGCATGATACGGCCACTTCTCCCCCTCGAACATCTCCTTTGCCACCTTATGCACAAGCCCCTGCGGGCCCAACGCCGGCCGCAAGCCCGGCAGCCTCGCAACCTCCTTCAGCATCGTCGTCAGCGCCACCCGCGTCATCGGCAAGCCCAAGCACTCATGCGGGCCCGAGCCCAGATGCACGTACGAGTCGATATCGCGCGTTGGGTCGAACGCCTCTGGGTTCGGGAATGCCGCCGCATCGTGCGAGACAGAGCGGAGATTCACGAAGACACGGTCGCCTTCTTTCAGCTGGATCGTGCGGTCGCCGTCCTGGATCTCGACCGCTTTGGCGACTTCGCGGAGGACGCCGGTTTCGCCGTAGAGGCGGGAGCCTTCGAGGAAGTAGTGCATTAGCGTATCGAATGCCTCGTCGGTGTCCAGCTTCGCGAGGGCCTGGACATTGGGCCATTGCTCCTTGCCGAGGGGGTCGTTGAGGAAGAACTCGATCGTCTGGCCGAAGAGCTGGCCTTGGTTCGCGACCATGCCGCCAGCAGTGCCGAGGATATGGCCCCAGACGAGTGTCTTGACATCGAGGCCGGAGTCGAGGAGGCGCTCGATCATGTGCTTGCCGTAGTCTTTGAGGGGGCTGTTGTCGGGCCAGATGGAGTGCATAACTGAGGAGAGGACGCCGCCGTGCTTTATTTCCTCGACGTTGGCCTGGACGAGCTTGCCGAGGAGGGCGGTAGCTTTTTGGGCTTTGACGTGTAGGGGGAAGGATGCGGCGACGTCGACATCGAAGAAGACGAGGGCGAAGACGGCGGACATGATGAGGTAGAGCTCGGCTTCAGTAAAGACACCAGGCTTCTCATCAGTCTTTAGGGGGAGCATGAAGAGCTCGGAGCAGAAGTGAAGATGGGCGAGGTTGCCGACGTCGCGGATGATGTCGACTTGGGTGAAGTCGGCAATCTTAACTGACTTGCCCTTCAGCAGCTTCTTGGTTGTGGTCTCGTAGTACGCCTTCACTTCCGCGTTCCAGTCCTTGGTATACAGGGCGTCTTTCATCATCTTCCGTGACTGGGCGTTCTTGGGTCCATCTCCAGCAAGCATGAAGTCCTTAGCTGGAGATCCCATCAAGAACTCAATGTTCTTGCCCCAAGTGACCTTGAATGTATCTTTGTCACCCATAATTGTCGTAGCTGCCTTATACCCCAGAATCATTTGCGGGTGAGGAGTGAACTTTGGCTTGTCGAAGTCGTATAGGTGAGCCTTGTTGAGGCCTTTTAGAGCTTCCTCCATGGCATCTGGAGTAGTCAATGGGTAGTGAGCATATACCGAGTTTTCCTCGAAATGGTCGGGGAACGCGCGGAGGAACAGTTTGTAGAACACGCAGCCGTTGTCGATACCGGTATCGGTGTCAACTTGTGCGAAGCCCCAGTTCGTCAAGGTCTTGGGATTGTAGTCAAGCGTATAGAACCTGTCGCCCCGTACAAGTGCTACAGCGTCGGAAAGCACAGCACGAGAGACAGTGAAGGGTGGTGTGAGGCCAGCGCCGGGAGCTAGTGGCTTCTTCGCCTCTTCAACAACGATGCCGGGGTAGATTTCGACCTGGTCCGGAGTTTCATAGAGGTTCTTAAGCTGCTGGGCGACGTCTGGATCGGAATTGATGTCCTCGAAAGTATCATGAGGCTTGAGTCCAAAGTATTGCCTGAACTCGTTCAACGAGCAGAGATTCCATGAGCGTGTCTGCTCGATACCGAGAACCTCAATCGCTCGCATCACGGCTGGTACCCTGTTCGCTCCGAAGGAGTTTGCACAGTCCTCCACACCCTCCTTCAAAATCTTGACAAGACCATCATCGGGGTAGGTGCCATCAGCGTTGCGTTTAAGGTCTGCGAATGGCCGTAACTCAGGCTCTTTCGGTGTGGTGTGGTACATGCCCTTCAGCCTGCTGAGAAATTCATCTTTGCCAACAGACTTCGCATCTCTACCAGGGAACAACTTGTCCCACAGGTCCTGTGTCCACTTTTCATCTTTGTCTGAGACGGCGGAATGCCATCGATACACTAAGTTAAACTCCGCCGAAACCTGATTTCCTACCCCAAGTGGAGGACCGTCTTTGATGATAGCGCGAGGATTCAGCTGCCAGTTGCTGTCAGTGCGGTTGAGGTTCAAAATTGTCCGGACGTAGTCGACCAGGACGATGTTGATATAAAGACCGCAGGTGATGAGCCGTCCAGTCTGGAACAGGTCCTCATCATACTTGACCAACTTTGCCTTGTAAGCGTCTGCAGCTTTTGCATCTTTCGGATCTTCCGGTTCGGTGGGCTTTGTGAACCTGCCATTCTCATTAATGGCGGCAAGGTTCTCTACCGTGTAGTTGTGGAATCTATTGAACATGATCAGGATAGCGCCAACTCCCGGAGGGAAAGCTAGCAGACGGGCCTCCGAGAAACAGTCTGGCTTGATCCTGCCGTTGTACTGGTCTTTGGTTCGCATCAAGTCCTGTTCGTCCTGATTGCTACCGTACAATGGCGAAAGGTCCAAATAGGAAGAGGTCAACGAGATCGAGGGATCTTGGTGATCGGTCCGGAACAGGTCATGAATGATGATGGAGGCGAAGTAGAAGAGCATACTCGATATACGGTTAGGATGGAGTTCGTGATGCTTACGGGTCATTAGAGAGTCGAAGACAACGCCGGGGTCTGGGCGGTAAGGTGGTTGAGCCCTCGTCGGCTTTACTGTCCTCGCATAGGGGGTACCAGCTGCGCCGAGCTTAGGGTGTAGTAGGCTCTGGCAATCCAGTCAGTGATCGTACCACGTTGGTTAGACAGGTGCCCACGGACGTTGTTCGAGCCATCAGCTGCCCGGTACTGGTACTTGCCGCCGAGATATCTATTTGAGTCAATTGCCTGCTAGACATATTGGGTACTGGCGCTATGAAATGAAAACACTAACGACTGGGGAGGATGCTCTAGGTCGTTCCACAGTTGCGTAAGAAACAAATTTGTTAGCTTGGTTCGGAGCCCTGAGCCGTCTGGTAGGCCTGCTGCCGCCTGAGAGAATATCAGCAAGCGCGTGGAACAACCAGGGTGCCGTGACATCTACTCACATGGATCAACCCTTCCATCTGATAGGTCTTGTCATCCAGCAACTCTCCAGACATTTTAGTTTGCTGGATATCGATCAGGGTCTTGATGTCAGGAATTGACAAGCGAGAAATGTCAGACAAAGTGCTCTCAATCGTGTGCAGCAGACTACCGCTCGGCTCTTCGGGCAGATTACTACCATCGCCAGTTCCGTGAGGGACAGGCCTCGCAACAGCATTGACCAAACCGGCGGCTGTTCTGAAGGAGCTTCCGATCTTGTTGCGGAGTGCATCAAGCTCGGAAAGCTCTTCCGGCTTAGGCGGTGTGACGCCTGTTCTCATGTCCATGGTGTCTGGATCCTGTGCATGGCGAAGCCACGTCAGCGTGAACATACGAGCGCCTGTCGACTTGACGTCGGGCGGTGATATGTTGCTGGGAAAGGGAGGATTTGAGGAAGAGGAAACCGAGGAAGAGAGGAGCTAAGATAGAGGAAGAGAGGTGTTTAGGAAGAGTTATGAACGTCATCAAGACTTTAATATAAGGTTGAACACGCGGTGACAAGGAGAAGATGACATCAAGTGGCGCAGCGCGGATAAATGAAGATCAAGCGAAGAGGAGAGAACTAGAATAAAGTGATGCAAAATGAAGAGCCATTAGAACTCGTCCTACTCTCATAGTTCGCCATTCCACCCAATCCATCTTGAAAACAATGAAATTGACAAGGCCAACCCGGGAAAGTGCGGAAAGCAATCGTCGTGGACGAGATGTCCCAAAGTTGTTTGAAGAGGGACGATGCTAGGAGAGGATGAAGATGCTTAAGAAATATGTAGGTCGTGGATAAGTTTGTAGGTAGGCCTCAATGGCTGATAGTCAGGGAGTGTGGTGAAACATGCAGGGACTTACTGGGGACGACTACGGCAATTGCGCGCGTGCTCGGTTGTAAGGAAAGAGCAAGTTCTCACGACACGTCAAACAGAGGGTCATACAACAGAATCAGTCCAGAAGTATATGGCTACTAGGGAGAAACCGAAAGCCAAAGACCGTAGCAGTGTATATAGAAAAAGATGGATAACCGGCACGTAAGAAAGCACGACAAGATATCAAGACACACACAGCCAACAGCCGAGCAGCTGGATCTTATAACAACAGGCCGGGCTACCCAGGGTCAGGCGGGAATGGTTCGTCGCCTTGTGCAGCTGCGGCTGAGGGCGAGATGGACGGCTGTCTCAACGCTGCCGCGGAGTGCTGAAGCCAGCGAGCAGCCCAAAATAACGCGAGCCACGCCTCCACCCCGCCAGTCCGCCCTTTGAGATAGCACTGGCGGTATGACCCCCAGCCAATGGCATGCCGCGAGTTGCAACGTCGTTCGAGCAGGCCGCGGGTGGTGTCAGACGGCCAGCTGGGTTGGGTTCTGTCTGGTGGCTCCATCAAAAGAGACCCCACCGGCGTCTCTCAGGGGCCCTCTCCGCTTGCAGCCAATGTGTCCACTGTGCCAGCAGGCGACAAAGAAGGCGTCTGATGCCGGCGGTGCCGCCTGGCGAGAAGGCAGTGATCGTGCCATTTGGAGATAATGGCTGCCAGGGCGATGCAGCGCTTATGCAGGACCGCATCCACGCCGCCTCGACCTCGGTCTGGCCGACGACGACCAATAATGCAATCATGCCGGACCAATTTCAATCGTGACCCTCGTCTACGCTGACATAAGTGCAAAATGACGATCCAATTATGGCCGCGTTGCAGTGGCCGCTTTGGTATTGTATCTATTGCACCATCAAGACGTCTCAGGGCTTGGCTGACAGCATACACCAAGCCTGCAACCTCGTAGGTTAGTGCCAGAGCGCCGGGTGACGGCCCCATTCACTGTTCCGCCTAGCCTACACTCCCTTGCTGCAGCCAGCGGCACCTTGCGGCTGTGGCTGAATCCTCCACCTGCGCGAGAGCGATACGAACGCAGACGTGTGTCGCCCGTCTCATGCTGCTCAGTAGATGCCTGGCAGGATGTAGAACCGCTTCCGCTTATACTCGGCCCCAAACTCCTTCCTGTACCTCATCTCCTTCTTCCGCGCCCACACAGCCATCTGTCCTACCGCCGCTACGGCGAATATGGCCGTGCTGAGACTCCAGTTAACCGACAAGATTCCAAGCCACGCCACCGTCTCAAACATGTAGTTTGGGCATGTCACAAGGCTGAATCCTAGGCCCTTTGGAATCCCCCGCTCTGTGCTACCTGGCTTCCGTAGGTCGCGGAGTGTGAGGTGGTTTGAGAAGTTTCCGAGCTCTCCGACTACGAACATTGCAACGCCCGCGTATTTAAATACAGGGTTGGCCGCTTTTGCTGTGGGTGCGGAGGGCAGATATGTCCAGAATGCGATGTTGACACCGGCCAACAACCAGTAATGTGCGCTGTTCTTGAAGATATTGAGGGCGGGCATTGTTGCCAGCGAGAAACGGTGAACAAACAATGTCTCGTATTCTCGCTTGAGAAAGTGAAGCATTATCATTAACAAGGATATCGTCTGTAGTTCCGATGGTGGCCTGGTGAGGAGAAGGTAGAAAATGGGGTGGATGATGAGAGGTCCTAGATATTCGACGACGAAGACGGTGCGCCAGGAGATTTGCGGCCCTAAATTAAAGACTGTCAGCGTTCAATCTGAGGAAGGAGTGGGTGCTTCTTACCTAGGTCCTTCACATCGATCGTGCTCTTGTTCCTCAGCCCAGTATCTTGCACCGTGACGCTGCTGGAATTGGGTATGGCCGATCCATCACTGCCCTTGGTGATCTTGAGTCGATGGACAGAAATCTTCGAGCTCGCAGCAATCAGCTTGTAGAGTTCCGCTGCGGAGTCCTCGCGACCAACGGTGGTCTCTTCAGGCAAATTCTTGATCGGCTTGCCTAGGAGCAATTGGTTAGGTCATGGCTTCCCAACTTGCTCAGCGCTTCTTACCTCGAGGGCGGACGACCAGAGCTATCGTCGTCGACATCGTGTCCGATCTCGTGTTGGGAGACGAAAGTACGTGGCATGTTTTGGTGGGAGTTGAGCTGCACGGATGACGGCGGAGGCCCGCTAGCGCGGTTTTGGCATGTACCTATGAATTACGGTCAGCATTAGAGACATTCTCCACCTTCATCCTAAGCTAGCATTCTTTCGGATACATAGTCGGCACGGCTTGGAAATAGTAAGCCTTACGCTTAATCATAGGACTCTCGCGATATACACTGAAGTAGAAGCATACTGCGAGTGAAGACCTGAACTAGATATGCTGTTCAATTGAAGCGAATACTCCACTCATACATAGGAGGGACAGGTGCACAATTATTCAATTCAAAACGCCTTGATCTGGGAATAATTCACGAATGATGCTATCCCTAGCTATATACCTAAGCCTATGATGACGTTGAAGGAAGCAATATCGCATGACTAGCACCAGTAATAGTCTACCCACCCAAATCCAGAACCATCGTCTTTGCTACTTCCGGCCCCACACAAGCAACCAGTTCGGCGACTAGTTCTCTCAATGTTTGCGCATTATCTTCATCGCGTGACACATGAATATTATCAGAATCAAGAAACTACGACACGTATTAGCTCTTTCTTCTGTGCCAAGGGTGAAGCCGTAGATGATGAGGGAGTACATACCCCCATCGGAATAATACGCCGTTGCACTTGAAGCGAAATCTTGTCAAGGTCGACTGTTTCGGCGATCTCTTCCTCCGTCATCAGTCCTGGGACCTTGAGGTCGAACAGAGACGTCCCGGCAGCGACTGCGGCAGCGGCATCCGCGGGGAGAGGCAGAGGAAACGGATCTGCATCTTCGTCTAGCTTTTCAGCTTCTGCTTCGGGCGTCTCCTTCTTCAGTCCCTTTTTCTGAGCCAGCGATACATACGACTTCTGGTCTAGCAGACTAGCAAACTCCCCATCGAGAGGGACCCATTCATACGTCTCCGGATCCAAGACGTGCTGGGGTTTGTAATGGCCTTTATAACGCATCTTGACGCAATCGTGGATATAGTAGCCCATATAGTAGTACTTGTATCCCGCTTCAAGCGCAAGCGCGGCTTCGCGAAGGGCGCTCAGTTTCCCGAAACTCCATTGCTCGAAGTCTGAGTGGTAGACAAAGTAAACGCCGCTCACACAATGGGGAAGCAGGTCTAGTACACCCATGGCAATCAATCGTCCGTCCAGGCGGTAACATTGGTGATAGGACCCTAGCGGCTGTTCCTCGGAACCTTCAAGTAGACGTCGAGTGGTTCTCTGGAGAGGCGAGTCGCAAAGGAATCGCTTGAAACCTTTCTCGGTTACTTCGGATGGCTTCTCATGATGGACATTGATCTGGTAGTTCTTGAAGAGCAAGTACTTCTCCTTGCTGAACGAGTCGGGCTCCAGAGTCACTTCAAATTTGTGAGCAGGTTCTGGTGGGCTCTTGATGACTGTGCTCTCGGCCTCGTGGATGGTAGATAAGAGATCGAATCCATTCTTCTGGCGAGCCTTCTCCCTATTTCTTGCGTCAGGTTGCTGGAGACAGATGACACGTTTTTGAGCTTACTCCTTAGTCTTAGGGTACTTCTTCGCTGCCTCCTTGATATAGTCTTCACCGAGAACGTATTTGTTCCATCGATTCACTGCCTGTCTCTGATCTCTCGTAGCTTTGAATGATGATGCTGGCAATCTTTATGCTACTTAGCGAGGCTATATCAGTTGAGGAGCACGGCTGGGCAAACCGGATAGTGTAGTGCGGGCAGCAGTGCCGTCGAACGTCAGGTTTGTAGAGAGTAGTGCCAGATCTAATGGTAACACGTATTAGTGTTCTATCGCTTGTGAAAACTCGAATATCTCTTCGCGCTCAAACGGAGCAAAGGGTGTCTATCGGAATGAATCGGAATGAGAGTGCTTAGGTCCGTACCGTCTCCAACCTCGATCGACTAGCTCCTGATAGTCGTCGACTGTCAATTTCTTTGACAACGCATAGTAGCAAGCGCCTGTTTTTGAGCTGTCAGTTCTGCTGTCATATTGTTCTTGCGTGATCTGAGTGCAAGGCGACTGAGGCTGTCAATATCACATGATGATACAGAGATGCAAAGGCACGAGAGCTCTAAAGGGGCTGCGGCTTTCTTTTCTGTAGCGTCTAGCTCGTATTTGATGCCCTATTGTTTTGAGATTGTGGGTATCGATCGACACAGCTGGACAGCGGGGCGGTCCAGGTCACATGATCGCCATGTGACCGTAGACCAACGTCAACGGCCCCGCGACAACACCACAGCCGGGTTTGGGCGTTGAGCAACATAGAGCTGCGCGACGATAATGACCGTGACACCAAGCCTGCTCTCATGTGTCACGCGAGACTGGCATGGCGTCGGAACAGTGTGGTGAAGAGAGTGGTACGCACGAGACTGTTTGGTCCTCCGGCCAGAGGGTGCGTCCTTGCAATATCCGCAATCCTCCGCCTGATAGCCTAAGGAGACAAAGAGCCGTCAGCATGCCGATGTCCAGCGCGGAGCGAGGTAGGGTGCTGCCTTTTAAGGGTTTGCGCGCGGCGGGCAGTTTGAGCCAGCCATTTCGCACGCGCGCCAGGGCTTGACGATGACTGGAGCACCACGTACCGATCGGTCTCAAAAAAGAAACGTCCCGCTCGTCAAGGGCCAGGGCCTGCATGGCACGCAGTGGGGGTCGCTGGCAGCTGGCGGGGTGCTGGGCTCGAGGGCCGGAGGAGGACGTCGCCAGCCCAATGCTGTGCGGCGGGAAGCGTCCAAGCAAAGGCCCAGCGAGCAGAGGCGCGGGCGCTGCAGGCGTGACGGCGGCGTATTACCAACGGCGGGAGGTGTGCTGGCGGTGCAGAGGAGTGGTGCGGAGGATGGAGAGAGCGCGGCGGCATCAACACCACGACATCGCATCGCAGAATCTCCACGAGGCGGCGTCTGGGTCTGCTACTGGGCCGCGCAGGCCCCCTCCAGGCACTCTCGGGCAGCATCCCACGTCACATCTCGTGCGCCCAGGGCCGTTTGGCTGCCGGGCGCGCAACTGCGGCCATGCAGGACATCAGTCGCCCCCAGCTGCTCGGCCGGCGCAAGGTGGCACTTGGGTAAACCCCCGCTGTTTAGCCTCCCACATTTTCAGACCCTGATTCAACCACGACTAAAACACCTACGCGCTCCACGATGCCTCGACAGCTCTCACGCAGCGCTCTCCAGTATCCTCAGCCCCGTCCCCCGCGGGACTGACGGTCCGCCACGCTCCACGCCCCAGCCCGAACCCCAAGCTCCACCAGCATCCTCCGACACCAACTCCACTGCCCCGTCGTATCTGCTCGGCTTCGCTCGCGGCCTTAGCAAGCGCATCCACACCGCATCCGGCCCAGACTCGAACCAGCAGTCCCGCAGTCCCTCCTCTGCGGCACCCGCCCGCCTCCACCGCCGCTCCTCCTGCACCAGCTTCCTCAACAAAGAAAACCCCATTGACCATGGCCGCCCAGGTGCTGTCCATGGAGGCCCGCACGGGACGTAGCAACCAGCGTAAGTACCATCACGAGACACCCTCTGAATATCGTTCCATGGTGTTGAGCCGTTGGAGTGCATCTCCCAGGTCATCTTGTTCTGTAATTTCCCCTGCTGATGGCTGCCAGGCTACGGCTCCCAGGGCGAGCGCCTCGTCGCGGGCATCGTGCCCCTCTCGACCGACAAATACTACGTCTTGCTCATCCAGTCCACGCGCCGCGGCGGCTGGGTGCTGCCCAAGGGCGGCTGGGAAACCGACGAAGCAACCGCGCAGGACGCCGCGAAGCGCGAGGCCTGGGAGGAGGCCGGCATCGTCGTCAAAATCACATTCGATCTCGGCCTGATCCCCGAGTGGCGGAAACCGGACCAGCTGACCGCCCAGGCCCCAAAGGCCGCCTACCACTTCTTCGAGGGCACCGTGGAGAAGCAGGAGAGCCAGTGGCCCGAGATGCACAAGCGCTCGCGACAGTGGATGACCTTCTCCCAGGCCACCCAGGCGTTGGCAGATAGACCAGAGCTGCTAGACGCGCTGAATCGGTGTACCATGCATCGGTAGTGGCAGCAGCGGTAGTTGGTGGTGGTCGTGCCCGGGGCGAGCTCCGCGGGTCGTTGTCTTCAGTTCCAAATCATGCATGAAGTCATGGTCTTAAAAAGGGATCGGCGGTTTTATAGATCCGACATGTTTTCTTTTTCCGTTCCCGAGTCGGCGTCAGCGGCTGTTCATGGGTCTTCTAGAAAAAAATAGCTTCTCATACTAGCTATACCACTATCAAGACAGCTTGAAGCCTGAGGCCTTTTGCCTCCAAAGTCCCTTACTGCCGTCTCAAAGCTCCAAGTTCGTCCCTTTGACTGATCTGCAAGCTCGATGTGCCGCTTCAGACAGTGGCTGATAGGTGTTGCATATATCGGCATCGGTTTCTCGTCTTTCATTACGAGTACAGTACTAGAACATTAAACTCCTGATACCGTTCTAGCGCCGCTCGAATTGCCTCAAGGAGCTTTCCGCAACCTAAAAGAGGTTTAACTCTATCATTCTAACGGTCTTACAACCTTACCAGGTCACCTCATACAGTGGTAGGAAAGCGTACAAAGGCCGAGCCTATGACCATTGCTCTAGATTAGTGCATTTAAGGTACCACAAGCGATCTCAGAAAGGTGTAAAGGATCTTTCGTCCTAGTACTATAATGCCTTTCGGTGTCCGCGCTGCTCGACAAGATACAACCTGATTACTGGCTTATCGTTTGGCAGAAATTGCTAGTCTACATCGACCTTCGCATTGCTGCTGGTGTTCCAGAAGCCCATGGGGGCACCCCAAACAGTGGTCAACGGATGTACTTAGGCTTTGGCACATGCTGGTTACAGGCTTGCTGTCTGACAGAGATTGCTACTCCAATATCCGCTACATCAACGTTCGTAGCGCCACCGGTATTCTAGAAGTCCATGGGAGTGCCCCAAACAGTGATGAACGGAAGTACCCAGACTTCTGGTCTCACGTGACTAAGTAGTTTTATAGAACTGATCATTTTGAATTCAGTGGAGAGTACTACTACTTGTTTTGACAAGTTGAAAAGGCTCCCTTTTACCCAGTTCCAGGCACCACTTCGCCAGACCCAACTCCACGCTATCCCGCCCCAACAGAAAAGAGAAAACAACTAGACACGATAAAAAGCCACGGTTACGCCTGAAACTCCCCGAGACAGCCCTTTAGTTCCCTGTTGACTGGTTGGGAAATGGCTGATCGTAGGCATATATGCAGCCATACCTAGCACGCATAGTAGGATCGTCGCGGGTCGTATCCCGATTACGACAAGCTCGACAAGACGGACGATCGCCATCACACTTTTCGAAAAGTATAAAGCAAACAAAGCACTTGTTGTTATTCCGTCGAGGTCGAAACGAATAATTCTTCTCCGTTCCCCCCCAACGATTTTTCCTCCACTCGGAGGTATAGTGGCATTGGCGATGAGAGTATCGGCAAGCTACACAGCCGGGATGACCTTTCTCGCAGACAATCTCGTCTCTGAAACAATTTTCGCAGGCGTTTTGATGTACACCCGAACTATGAGCTTGTTTGTAGCCTAGATCAGATATCGGAGGGTGCGTTCGGGCGGACGGTTTAGGCAAGGTCGGAGGTAACATTCCAGATTGCGCATGGCCTTGTTGGTGCTGCGAAAAAGGGAGTGCCGAGGCGGGTAATCCAGACAAACCTGACGCTGGAGCGAGGGAAGACTGCGGAAAAGGGATCGCTGGGAGGATTCCCGAGGCGGGTAATCCAGACCAAACTGACGCTGGGGCAAGGGCAGACTGCGCAAAAGGATTCACTGGGGGAATTGTCGAGGCAGGTAGTCCAGGCGGGATTGAATACGACATATGAGCTTGCGCATGGCCTTGTTGAGGTTGCTGAGCGTATGTTGGGGCCAGTGGTAGAGACAAGTCTCGCGCTGGAGTGATGGAAGATTGCGTGAAAAGGGACGATAGTTGTTGAATCGGGACCTGTGTTTGAGTCTACCATGCAATTAGTCATGGTGCGGTGAGTCTGGCATCACAGACCTCACCTCAGCCGTTGGTGGCATCGGTGTGTGATTCTGTGGTGCCGTCTTCACAGCTCCTTGACCAATTCGCTGGTCCTGTGATGCCGCGGGACGCGACATGGTGTTCAATCCATCCCTCGCTGCACTTTTCCTTATCCCTCCGGAATGATCAGCGCGCGAGCCTTGAATCGCGTCTTGTCGGGTTATGAAGTCGCCAGTAGCTGTATTTGACGAGGATGAAGGACCTGTTGCTCGGTCATGAGTCTCTTGAGACTGGGTATCGTCCTGTGGCAGTGGTGGGGGTATATCCGGCACCAGGCTTGGCGCGTCTTCCTTAGCCCTAGGAGCCACCGAATCTGTCCGTCTATCGACAGCGACATCTTTTTCCTCCTGCTCTTCGACTGAGGCAATTTGCTTATTGGACTCCAGGACAGGGACATCCTGTTCTACAGACTCTTTCACGGGAAAAGCCGGTTCATCCACTGGAAAATCTGGTTCATCCAAATCCTCTGGAATTTCTGGGAGGTCGCCCAATGCCCCCCTTTCCAACCCAAAAAGTTCATCATGGACACCATATTCGTCCAATCCATCCGTATTCGACGGAAGCCCGCATGGTGCAGAGCTTTTCCTGGCCATGATGAGGCTAACTTATGGGAAGGCGTCACGGGAACTGAAGGTTAAAGGGTCGTCAGACTTATGATGAATGCAAACGATTGGGGCTTTGAAGTCTATTTTCAATAATAACCGTGATGATAGTGTGTTCGATGAGACGTGGACGCAGGTTTGTTGTGAGTTCAACGAAGCTATGGGTGTAGATGACAAGAGCTCCTAGTTGAGAGTAGGCAGGTTCGTTTGTAGACGACAGGAACGACAGGAACGACAGGGGCGAATTGAGTGTGATTTATAGTATTTTGCGCACTGTGGAAGCGGGACTGTGGTCTAAGAAAAGGTGTTCGCATTATTGCCAATGAAACGTACCAATGGTCCATCATGGGCGAAACTATGGTTCATCCGACGAGATGTGTCATTACTCTTGGCAACGTACTAGGGGACCTCAAACGGTATTAGACAAGTGTGCACCAGCCCTGGATGAGTCTGTCTAGAATAAAGGAAATCCTGGAGTAGATTCACGGATTCGTGGATTGTCAGTTGCTCTTGGACCCAGCTGGCCTCCTTTCGACAATGAGACATGGTCGGGTAACCGTCGTCACTATAACCCATCGGCTGTGCGCTCCAGATCCAAATCTACCAACCATGGCGCTTGCATTGGTTTGTACCGTAGGTTCATGATGCTAGCGTTGACCATCAAGGTCTCTTTACCGAACTCGATAAGTCGACTTGAGCTACTGGCATCGATGAAAGCGGCCTTCCTCTCAACCATTTCGGCCTCATCGACTGGCACAACTTCAGTATCGATGACGTGCTTCTTCCAACCGTCGTCCAAATCGGCATTTGGATTCCAGGTAATCTTTTCTGCACCCCAAGCTTCGTGAATATGACCGAAGCAGTGCAGTCGAGGTTTGCAGCGGCGGGCGGCACGCAGTAGGTGCTCACACCCTACGGGCTTGTTGCGTGATGTCCTGTCGAGAATGCCCATCGGTGGACCATGTGTCATGAGAACATCCACACTTGGGAAGTCGGGGACAGGGGTTTGCGCAATAAGAGTGGCATCGGGGTGCACATGCTTGGCAGAGTTAAATCGATCTTCATGCCGGTTGTAAGGGAATGCCCAATCGCAGAACTCTGGTTGATATGGCGATGAATAGACCTTGGTCAAGGTAAGCAATCAAAGACAACATGTGGATCTTGATGTCTACTACTCACCCGAAGTCTGGCCCCCGAGGCTAGTGTGAACTCCCTCATCCCTTCTTCGAGATAGGTCACACCAGCCCTCTGGGCTCTATCTCCTGTCCACATGGCTTTGGCTAAGGCGGGCATGTTCTCGTCGTACTCTCCCCGCCGATGCATCCATTTGCCCCTGCGGCCGTAGTACTCCTCGTCGAGACTGATGTCGTGGTTACCTGCAATTACTAGTTTGAGCTCTGCGTCGCAATCTCTCAGCATGTCTAGTGTTCTCTGGTACTCATCCAGCGTCCCGATCGTCGTCAGGTCGCCGCAGTGGAGGAGCACGTCAGCCTTGGGCAATGGCTGCCTGAAGGGAATGTGGTGAGTAGCCGAGCCATTGGTAGGCGTCTCGAGGAACGGCTGCGAGCTATGTGTGTCTGATATAATGAGGAAACGTGTTTTCACTGTAGAAGCGGAAGACATTGCTAAGAGAGCTAGACGTCGTCCAAGTACCACGTGCAAAGATGTTGGGCGGTGTGATATGGGTGAGGAAGCCGGCAGATCAGCGGCAATACGAGATTTTATAAACACGGAACGCTTTGAAAGAATAGGCAGCAGACTTTCCCGCGATCATGATCGTTGACGTGGAGTACCTAGCCTGCTCAGGTGGAGTACACGTCGTTGCGGTCAAGCCACATCGCATTCTAGGCTTGTCTTCATTGGATCTAGTTTCGTTTGCAGATGGCTGTGCAGGTCGATATAGAGCTGGAACTTGACTACCTAGGTTTGCCCAACTCTTCATCTTTCATGTCACTATGAAAACAGCTTCACGTCTTTCGAAGCTGAATGTCCTAAACGAACAATCGAACCCTTTTCTCTAAATCTAATGCCTAGGCCGAGCCAAGTCATAGTCGCACTGAGCTAAATACCAAAGCTTTGGCCGCTCAAGCGCCCGCTGCAGACCCTATCGGGCGGTGACGAGGCATCTAGCCAAGCATTCCATTCTATTCAGTTCTCATTCTTGCATAAGGATCTCTCGTTCGGCATTATGCCCAACTATCTACAACCCAGCCCCCTCCTGGCCTACGCATCAGCAGGCAACCCAAGCACCTCCAAACTCCACTCCCACAGTCTATCCTCTTTCTCCACATCATATGCCCACTTCTCATACCCCGGCGCACCTATCGCATAGCCCTCCTCCACCGGCTCCGCAACCTGCACATTATCTAAATACTTCCCACCAGTCCCCTCCCAGCATTTCGCCACGGCCGCCCAGACGGTCGTCGCAGCACCTTGCGCCGGATTCTTCATGAATTCCGCAATACCCGGCGCCTTCTTCCACGCCTCGAGTTGCTCTGCTGATACATACTTCTGCAGCCCCGTCCAGATGCCGCCCGGGTTCAGCGAGCTAGCATGCAAGCCTTGGGGGCCGTACACGCGGTCGATGCGGTTCGCCATCCATATGTTCGCGAGCTTGGATTGGCCGTAGCTGCGACTGGCCTCGTACTCTCCTGCCAGAGTAATGTTGTCGAAGTTCATGTCTGTGTAGCGATGCGCGGTAGAACTGACAGCTACAACCCTTGAGTTGAATTCCGGTGTCGAAGATTTCAGCAGCGTCGGCTTTAACAGTTGGAAAAGCAAGAAATGAGCGAGATGGTTGGTGCCCATCTGGCGCTCGAATCCATCAGCTGTCTTCTCCTCTGGACATGCCATGATCCCCGCGTTGTTGATCAGGATGTTGAGGGTGGAGCTGCGGGAGAGGAAGTCCGCGACGCAGCGTCGCACGCTGTCGAGCGAGTCGAGGTCGAGGGTGATGAGCTCGCAGCGGCCGGGCTCGAGGATGCCCGCAAGGGCATTCTCGCCTTTCTTGACGTCGCGTACGGCGGCGAAGACGCGGGCGCCTGTGGCTTTCATAGCACGAGCAGTATCGATGCCGATGCCGGAGGAGCAGCCGGTGATGAAGGCGACTTTTCCTGTGAGTTTGCCTTCAAGCCCTTCGTCATTGACGATTTGGTCAGCGGTTGGTCGTGCATCTCCGGGGCCTTTGGTGTTGATATGCACGTCGGCGTATCTGGTATATGCAGTGGCCATGGTGGAAGGGATTGGAGGATGAAATTGTATGAAAAGGTTTGTTCTTGCGTGAGATGAGGTAGTGGACTTGAGATGGAGATGTTCGATAGCAATAGGTGCTAGGTCCCCTTTATAGCATTTAAATCCGCTCAAAAACAAGCGGTGGACTTAAGACGTCGTTTCAGCTCCGGTATCACGTGACGTGTAGAGTTGCCAACCTGTGACCTCCAAATTATGGGCACCTTCATAGAGCCGCTAGCATGAAGTTGGAAATATTGCCACCTACATTCTATGCGAGTCTCTAAAGCTGCGCACCTTCACTATCACTTCGCTCCATGATTGCATGGAACATCTTCACAACGTTCAGAATACTTGGGCCCGTTCAGAGTAACGTGAGCGCAATTTCCATGCCCATTATGATCTCACGCGAAATTTCGGTGGAAATATCGTAGATAACTAACGGAAAAAAGGGCTTGGCGCTAGGGCCGCCCTAATAATCAGTCAGACCTCCAATGTTCGTCCGCGTTTTCCAGCCGCATCGTTTGTCAGCGCGGCTTTGCTACTAACGTACAAGGGGGTAACCTGAGCGGGCTGCTCGCCCTCCCTGTCAGTTTTAGGGGCATTATAGTAATATCCTAGGAAAATAGTGCGGGTACGACTATAATGCCCCCAAAACTGACAGGGAGGGCGAGCAGCCCGCTCAGGTTACCCCCTTGTAGTCGGCAAGCTAGTGGGCCATGCAAGCTAGTGGGCCACCCAATTATTGGTGCGATTTAGACCTTTTAGCACCCCAGCAATCTCAACAATCACAGAATATTCCAGATGATATTAAAATAACCACGGATATCATTATCCTAAGTCACAACCTGTTAATTTTTTAGATCTCTTGATAGCCCTGTTTAGCCGCAGTAAAATGTTGCCTAGTTTTGGCCCCAAAATCAAGTAATACCTACAATATCATAGGATTACGCTGCCATACTGCTCCAAACATTCTCTTAGCTATTAAAATGAGCTAGATAGTATATGCAATCTTAAAGCTATACTTTATATCTCGTGGTTGTTGAGATTGCTGGGGTGCTAAAAGGTCTAAATCGCACCAAAAATTGGGTGGCCCACTAGCTTGCATGGCCCACTAGCTTGCCGACTACGTTAAAAGTTTCAAAAGAGCTATATTCCTACTATAGAAACATTAGCAAGTTTCAGCCGGTGAGTATCTTTAGGGCCGCGGAGTTAATCTAAACGCCTAAAAGCGCACTGGATGAGTTGAATTCTCCTGATCAATACATACATAACACGCACATTGCCACCCATCAGAACGCGTAAATGGATATCGTGTACTAGGCTGAATGCCAGAAAGGGATTTTCGAAATGAACTTCAAGGAAGTGGTATAGAGCCCTTTGTCGATTAAATTCATACAACCCAACCCGATGCCCAACCTACGAGGCTGCTCGTTATGCCAATGATCTCCGGTGTACCCCAATATCATAACCTCATATCAAGCTTGCACACTCGCTTATGGCTGCGGCCGCACGCTCTCTGCGTCTCCGTTAGCATGATCATCGTGTCTGTCGACCATGACATAGTCGCGGCCGTTGTGGGACTGAGGAGTCTCTGGCATCGCTCCTGGCATTGATCCTGGCATGGTGTTCTCGGACTCGGTTTGCGGGTTGAGGGTCCGCGGGACGTTGGAGACCTGGGACAGCGGGCTGTTGGACTCTGAGGTGCGGGCCTTGTCGGCTTCGGCAAAGGTACCCTGAATGGGTGTGCGGCGCTGGCTGTTCTTGCGCGAGAAGGCAGCCGTCGGCGACGTCTTGGCCTTGTTCAGACGCTCCTCGGTCTCGCGTAGCTTGGCCTCGAGAGCTTCGAGCTCCTGCGTGTGGGTTGACACTATCTGCTTCCTGGAGATGGTCAGCCTCGAAGGGGTGGGCAATTGGCACTGAAGAGCGTACTTCTGATGGACAGTGCGGTCTAGGGTATCTAAATCTCCGTCGGTCTTGAACAGGCTGTCGAGCTCGGCGGAGAAGTTGCGAGCAATTGTTCTGCACTCAACGGTCAGCGGCACTGGTCACGAGGTAAGCAGCGAAGTACGCACGATTGCGGGCGGCCAGAGGGCTTCCAGTCTCGGTCAGGATCCTCCATCGTGTCCGTATGGCCGTTGTCGACCCCAGAGACGCGGCTCGTGGTCGGAAGGGCCGTGGGAAGCTGCCGCAGTGGCGAGGGGCAGATGCAGCTAGGTGGAGAATGGTAGAAGCGGAGCAGTGGACGACGCCGCGATATCACGGCGAGTTGAGTATGTCGCAAGCAGGGACGGGGCGCTGGGTCCCGCTGCGGTCGTGCTCCGTGGCCGCAGATGTCTGGGGAGCTCCAGCGCGAGTCCGAATAGGAGGCCTTGGTCTGGCATCAATTTCCCCTGGATCGGCGGCGCACTGCTTGGGCGCTGGGCAGACAGCCACACAGCCTCCATCGGGGCGACGAGCCCTGGAGGTCGCAACGGCAGCAGCGACGTCCAGCAGAGACAGGCCCGCTGGACGCCCATGCCTCACCGTGCATCCAGGTCTCATGTGGCCTCTGCGAGTAGCTTCACCCACGCTGCACGCCGTCAGAAGCAACAATATATCTTCTCCGTCGCACGTGCACCGCGCTGCTCCCTGCCTAGCTCACTCTCCATGGTCGTTATTGGCCGTCCTGCCGTGCTCAGCCCGTCGTGCCGTCCAGCTGTGAGCCGCAGCCCGGCCGCCGGTCGCAAAAAACCCACCCTACCACCAGACCGTGAAGCACCCTCCGCCATCCCAGCGCTCTCCCAGGCGCGAAATCCATCTCGCCGTCAGTGCCTCCAGCCTCGCCCTGCTGAGAGCCGTCTTTGCTGATAATGAGAGCAGTGCCGCCGCCGTGCTGGCTCCTCTACCGCGTCCTCACCCTCGCCCGCGTCCCCCAAAAGCCCAGCGCGCCCGGGGGATGAGTACTATTGACACGCCCTACTCGCCGCTCGAGACCCTGCTGCTCTTCCAATCCCTCGCTGCTTATGGCGTAGAACCCGCCGTCTTCAGCAGAATCTCGGATCTGCTGAAGAAAAACCCCCACATCACCTCCTCCGACCGCTTCGAGGTCGGCCGCCTGAGCCCAGACTCGCTGCGCAACTGGTACCTCAAGGAGCTGAAGCGCGAGGCCCAAAGCGAGAAGCATGACGGCGCAAACGGCGATAGCGAGGGACACAATGGAGAGGTCCAAAACCCACGGAAGCGCAAGGCTCCCAGCCCGAGCTTTCCCACGGTGCAAGAAGCATCGCAGCACACCCATCTCATCCCGAGACTGGTTGCGAAGCTCTATTCGGGATACAGGGCCCATGTGACCGAGTTGATCCGGGACGACGAACGCAGATACGACCGGCTGCAGCGCGACCTGGAGGAAATCGAGCAAGGGAAATGGGACGACAGGTTGCAGCAAGACACGAACGGGACGGGAAAGAAGCCTGCGAGACAGAGCCAGACGCCAACCAAGCACGCCTCACAAAGGGCAACGCCAGATGATACAGCAACAGCAGGCTCTTTGGTTCCTCCGACCACTGCACAGAAACCTAGTAGCGCAGAGCAGACGACTCCGAAGCCAGTGGAAACTCGAAATGGTCAGCCCACTCTTCAACCAGAGAGTAAACCCGAGCCTGATCCGTCTCCTCGCAAAACCACAGCATTGTTGGATAGCCAAGCGCCACCGGCTACACCTCACCTAACCCAACCTCAACCACCAAATACTCCAGGCCATGCTCGGATACCGTCTCAGCCTCAAGGACCCCCGAAGCCTCCGCTAACGCAGTATCCCGCAGCTGGGTATACCACATCGCCTACAGCCGTCCATCGTTCTCCGTATCCTCCCCAGCCTCACTCCGGTCAATTTCCGATATCCTCAGCTAGTCCAAATGCTCCAAGTGCTGCACCAGCAGGCCACCCCCCGTCTCCCGCCGGAGTCCCTGCGTATTCTACCCAATATCCTCAGCTACCTCCTTCGCCATACTCTGCGAACGGCGTGCCACAATACCCTGGACCGTCTCCTGACCATCTTCAATACCCTCCGACCGCGCAGCGGTATCCAGGGCCGTACACCCCTGGACAGCCATCCCCCGGTCCAGTGCCTTCTTCTCAGACTCCACAACAGCAGCGGAGCTACTATGCTCCGTATGCAACACACCAAACTCCGTATCCTCCGACTCAGCAAGCGCATCAGGCTCCTCCCATCATGCAATACATGCTTCCACCATTCCAGGTGACTCCTCAGGACCCAACTCGAGCATATCAGCAACAGCAAAAGACCGCTCAGCAGGTCCAGGTATCGACGCCGAACAATAGGCAGCCTCTTGTTGCTACACAAACTACATCTGGAACCTCTCAACCATCCGCACAGCCGCAGTTTCCACCTCGTGTGCTTCCAGGACATCTTCAAGGTCCATTTTCCACTCCTTCTGGTGTACGAGGTCCGCGTCCGTCTCTCACACTTGCCACGCCAAGTAGCGTCACTCGCTGGAAACATTCTGCGCAGAAGCCTCCACGATCTCCCGTCCGCGCTCCTTCCCCAGAACCCCTAAGTGATGCGGAAAATGACGTCAAAGAACCCGCTCAGAAGGCGTCATCATCGAAGAGTGCAAGTAAGCGGAAAACCAAGTCGAAGGATACCCTGAGGACCGAAGACATCTCTGGCGATGTCGGTGTGCGGCAAATGCGCAGCGGGCGAATTCAGCCGACAAGACCACGAGGAGGCAGTGTCACGCCGTCCGTTGTAGGGAGCTCCATTCGTGGCCGGACCAGGAGTCAGTCGGTGACATCTCACACGGAAACCATGTCCGCAGATCACGAATCGGCTATGGGATATAAAGTAAAGACAGAGCCGGGAACGTCTGCTGATATGATTGATGATGATCGCAGCGCAACCAATACGCCAGTAGTTGCCACACGCCGACGTGGCGGCACATTACAATCTCTTCAATCAAACAAACGGAAACGAAACGTCCGAGAAACGTCAGTGGCCGACTCAGAGGAAATGCCAAGCACGCCTGGTTTGCAGACGGTCGTAGCTCCTCGACACTTCTCTCGCATGTGTAACCCAATCATGAACGACATCCTGTCACACAAGCACGCATCCATCTTCAGTAACCCGGTCAAAGAGAAGGATGCGGAAGGTTACTACGACATCATCAAGCGACCTCAGGATCTGAAGTCAATTCGAACGGCGATTGCGGCAGGGGCTAAGGCCGTCCAAGCTGCGGCCAGCTCTGATACTCCCGCGGGTAGCCCTGGCGGAGGAGGAGGTAATGTGATACTTCCATTGAGCCCAGAAGTAGTGCCACCCAAAGCGATCGTCAATTCTGCTCAATTGGAGAAGGAGTTCATGCGCATGTTCGCCAACGCGGTCATGTTCAATACGGGCGAAGACGGCGTGGTGCAGGATGCAAAGGAAATGTACGAGGCAGTAGAGAAGAGCGTGACTACATGGCGTAGTAGCGCAGAACGAACAACGGGGCGGATGGAGAGCGAGGATATCGGTGCAGAGGACGATGCACCGACGACGGTTAAGCGGCGAAAGATGTAGAGCGCTTGCTTGAAATTTGAATATTAGAGTAATCCCACAACTCCCACATACCCGTGGACTACTACATCTTTTGGTGAGGACGAAAGACCCCTGCACGGGTAGTCCAGAAGAGTCTTGGCGACCTTATTTCGACCTCCCCTTGCCCACTTCTCCTTTTACTTCTTGCTCACTCCCACACTCCATCTATGTTCCATCGATCACTCCACTCATCTCATCTTATCAATACATTTGTCGGTCTTTGTCAGCCCAGTCATTTGGCATAAATGCATGCTCGAATGACGGCACGTAGTGCCATCGAAGCCAATGACGTAAAGGATACGACCAGTGCACTTAGCAGCATAGCTGCGATCGAGGTTGGGTCATAGCTTGATAATTCTATCAAATTGTCGACCTGCCCGATCAACTCCAGGACATTCCTCTCGTGCACTGTGCATTTACTGCTGCAATTCTATCAATTCTCGGGATCTATGCCAACCAGATGTCGCTCTCAACTCCCACCGGACTTCTTCGCGCTCTCATAGAGTCATTCATGTCTTTACCATCTTTCGCGACTGACGATGCTGAAATTGTCATGGTCGATCAGCAAGACGCCCGATGTGAAGAGACCGCAGACCTGACATTCATCACTGACAAACAGAAAATATTAACATCCATCAATTTTCAGGAAAGGTATATCGGGCTTTCCCGCAATAACTTTACCGCAAGCGTGTTCGAGAAGACCTTTAGTCTCTTCTCAAACCCTGAGGATTGGCTCCGATTGAAAGAGGTGGCGCCACAAATCACATGACATTTCGCCCACCTCTTTGCACCTCTGAATGGACTAACGGCTCCTTAGAATCGTCTATCACGTAGACTTCACTTGCGGAAGTTTCCCTCGAGTTCTCAGGTTCTAGCTATTCATTCATAGCTTTCATCAGCATGGGCTCTGAGTGTAGCCAACCAACCAACCAAGACCCACGTCCTCGTATCAAAAGCTTGTGTGTCGGATGACACAGTCATTTAATTCTCGGTCGCAGACGTTACAATACAGCGTAGGGTATTGTAATCTAGAAAGATACGCCGCCAAGGTTTTTTTTCAGGATCAAGCCCAGGCTGGCCTGAAGTCGCTTCTTATTGTATCTCCATTCTATTTGCTGATCTGCCGGACAGGCCGAACATGTTCATCTCTACAAGGCGTCTCCGTGTTTTGAGAAGAATCTTCACATCAGCTCGACAAGCGAAGGCGAGCGCGTTGGATCTCATTGGAGGGTGCACCACCATCGCCCTCGAGCCAGGTGATAGTGGCGAATATCGCGAGAGCGACGACCTGGCGAAAAAGCATCCCATCATCTACGAGGGACCTCGTTTGATAGTGTAATGCCGACGGGAACCGCGTTTTGATCAAAGGACGTCATTCTTCCCAAAGTCAAGAGAGTGTGGTGTGATGTCGCCAAGACCATCACCGGCCACCCCTTGTCCACGATCCACAGTGCGTTGCCGGTCCACTAGGTTCAGATCTTATGGCAATCTTGCATAGGGATGCAAGATTGCCATGCTGGCTTGACATGGGCCAGGGGCTAGGGTCTGAACCCATGGGGTGGCGTATGTATGTGCCGCGGCGAAGCCGCAGTCACTGGCGTGTGGTTGAATCACTTCCACTCCGCTCTGGGCATAAAAGGGTCCAGTGGTCTCAGTAACGCCCCCGCCTTCCTCCCTTAAGCTCGCCGCAGAGCAGACTGGAGCGGATGGCTTGACCGTGTCCACTGCTCACCCCTGCATACAATTCACTACTATCCGCCACCATCACGTCGTCCTAAACGAGAGCATGGCAATTTTCATCGAGTCTACTATATGAGGAGTCGAGAATCCGGTTTGTGCATCCCATCTACCATGTCCGACTTTCCATCTACGGTATCCTTTCCTTTCACTGAAAATGCAGCCTCTTGTGGCTAGTGCCATTCGCTTAGCAATCTCCACTCGCTTCCGCACTGTCCCGCCATCCAACTGCGAGGCTATGTTGCAGACGTACGATACCTTGCTTAGATTCCTATGGTTCTCGACCTGCATCTATTGCTCCGGGTGCATGCACGCCGGGAATTCCAAGCGGAAGCATCGGCAGCCCAGACGAAGTGATGTAGCGTCATAGCGTTGTGCGAGGACGCTGTGAAGTCATATCGACGACATGTAACTATCGTCAGACTAGCAATTATGTCAAGGCAATTATGTCAAGGCAACATGGGACGCGGAGGGGGGGGCCGTTTCCGATTCGAAGATTGAGGGTTTGGGAGTATGATGTGGTCAAAGCATGAGCTTCCGTAGCTTTGGAGACGAAGCCATCGAAAGTTAGCGGGGCGGTGTCGAGCCTAAACCATTGGTGGGGAACTTGAATGCTGAGCCGTAGTAAAGTTTAGGAAGCTAGCTCTGGCTTTGGTATCAGAGACGCTGAAAAAGGGGCCAAGGATATTTAGAACATGTGAGCTGATTTTTCAATTCCCTACCATCCATCGCATCCAACTTCGTCTCTTTTTCCTACCTTCACGTTCATCAAAGGACACGCTCAAGAAAAAGGTTGAGAGTATAGCTTAAAGTCTCGAATTACTACGAAAGCTTCTCTGCTAGCCAGATGCCAGAACAAGAAAAGGCTGTGCATACTGCACTCTGGAAGCTTTTGGAAAAGTTCAGATAACCGCCAGTATCCGGCAGACCGGCTACCGCTACCGCAACCCTCCTTTTGTCCACATTCGTTTCGTTATCTCATAACAACTCCGGGTATCATTAATTCAACATCTCTCAAGTGAAGGAGCTAGTGGAGATCTGAAGGCAAGAAGAACTGGCCCTTGCTAAACTCCAATCAGGACGACGATGCTTTTGAAATCGTCGTCCATCACGCCCTCTTGACCAGATAAGCGGCGAATTGCGAAATGTACAAAGAAGGCTGCACAAAAAGGTTTCTAAAAATCGAAAGCGAAGGCTCGCAAAGAGCCCCAGGATCATTGGAGGGACTGGAGCGATGCGGACGACGTCGAAGAATTGGTGCGGTTCTTATTCCAGCCAATATTCTGGAGCTTGCTCCGTGGTCCCCGGTTCGCGTTTGCTGACGGAATGGGTCGAATACCGCGAAGGCGCTCGTTCTCCTCGGCCAGTCTCTCATGCTCGGCTTCCATGAACTTGATGTAGTCGATGGCGCTGGCGAGGACGGTCGCCTTGCTGGGCTTGGGCGGGCCGGTTAGGTCAGAAGAGTCGCGCTGCGGGAGGGTGGGGACCGCGCGGCGGAGGCGTTCGAGCTCCGAGTTGAGACCCTCGCGGTACTTGCGCTCGACTTGGTTATGGGGGAGGCGCCGACTGTTGCGGTACTTTTGCGAATCGGCGTAAGAGGTGTCGTTGGTCGGGTCAGACTCGATACGGTTGATCCTAGGGCGGCCGCGCTTGCGTGCTACGCGTTTGGGTTCCGGCTCTTCGGTGTTCTCCGAGGGGGACGACTCGCGTTTCAAAGAGGTGGTCGGTGAAGTAGGCTGGGCTTCAAAGCTAGCCTGGGAACCGTCACCGCAAAGCGAGGGCGTGGGCGAGGTATTGCGGGAGGGGGAGAAAGTGTTTGTGTCGAGGGTGCCGAATGGGAGGTTGTTCGGCGCGAATGTGTCAAAGCTGTTCAGCTGGCCGAAGGGTGCTTTGTTCTGCCAGAGCGACTCCAGAGGCTGGGCTACAGGGGCGGCGGCGACGGGGAGCGTCGCAGTGAGCATAGCCTGGCTTTTGGTCGCAAACCCGATGGGGGACTCGATGCTCGCGGCCGGGCGGTCAAAGAAATCCGGAACGACCCATTCGTCGAGCGAGTAGTCGGGCTGCATACTGAAAGCGTCGGCGAGGTAGGCCTTGTCGTATGTGTCGGTGTATGGGAACTCTTCAGTGGAGGGGCTGTTGTCGGTAGATGCTACCAGGGGGTAAGTTGGCGTGCCGAGAAAAAGAGAAGAGGGGTTCATCTCACCAGCTGTGCGGGCCATTGCGTCAGTCGGCAAGAAGGGGCTCCAGTCAACAGTCATGGTAGGAAGAAGAGTGTGTGTAAAAAGAGTCGGTATTGTTTGCAACGAATGCTGGATGCGGGCAGTAAGTGTCAGAGGATCAACGGATCAATGCAACTGCTTAAGAGTATGGAGTGTGGTGGTCGGGCTGGCCAGTGCTATGGTATGGGAAGCCAGTATTCGGGGTCCAGTGGCAACCTTATATTCGGAGACGGGCCCGTAGCCGTGCAGCAGAGTTGCATCAGGGTGCAGGACGAGTCTCGTCGGCGCTACCCGTTTGAGCGAGGCCTAGCAGGTGCTGGGGCAGTCTTTGGAGTTCTGCATGAGTGGAACGACAAACATACGACTCTGCGCCCAGTCGGTCGTCGGCCTTGCGCGGGAAACGCCGCGGTCAAAAGATAACCGGTCTAGATCGAACCCGCCATGTGCCCCGCTCGCCTGGGCTGTGGCCGTGCAGCATCCCTCCATTCCATCCACGGATGACGGGATGGCTTTCGCTGGAGTATCCTACGCGGACAGCCCGCCGCCTATTAATCCTGCTGCTATACTCGGGCGTACTCCGAAGGATAGAGCCACAGAGCTACAGCAAACACAGCGTAGCAGGAGGTCGTCAGTGGTCGTCTGGGCCACGGAGCTGGCTCCGCTGCAGCGCATAGCTCGGGGGCGAGAAGAAGCCGGAGAGAATATCTTGGTTCTAACGACCGCAGGAAGTGGACCGGCTGCATCGACGATGGGTTCTCTTCGACTTTCCTTATCGACAAATACGCCGCAGATTCCGGGGTTCATGGGTCCAGAGTGGAACGACGCGCAGGCTGGTACATGATTGGACTCTGCTATTCCCGAGCCGGGGTCTGATCGTCGATGCTGCAAGAACAGAGGCTAGATACACAAGCCGGCGTTGGAGGGCCCGGTGAGCCGGAGCCGTTGATCAACACCATGATCTCTATCACCACGATCGATGTATCAAGGACCGTTTCATGACAGACGCCGTGAATAGAACCCGACACCTTGTCCATGATCCTTACGGCGTCCTTGAGAACAATACTCACACAGATTCAGGCCTCCAGCTTCCTTTCTGTCTGCGAAAAGCCTACTTTAGCGAGGTGTTCTTGACGGATTGAGGACTACCCAAAACCCACGATATTCCGGCTTTCGGTTGCCGGGACATGCCACTGCACTATCGCGGAATTGCGGAAACCCTCTTTTCTCTCTGCAGAGCGCCTCTATTGAATACACCTGCAGAAAGGGAGCTGCATCTAACGTCGCTGAAAGTCGCGTCGCGCCACTGATGCGTGATGACGCCGCCAGGGCGTTCCCAAAGTCCCTGCAGACGGTGGCTAATCACGTGTGCCGCCTTGCTAGGCTACCGGCGTAGGAGGGACTGAGCACCGGTACAATTTTGCTGGAAGTTGAAAGCTGGGAGTTGAGCGCTAGTACGCTGCAGAGTCCCAAGACGGATAGAGATACCTACTATGGAAGCAGGTTGCTTGTACGAATTCCGAATGCTCTGATATCTACAACACTGCCTGAATTATCAGGAGCACCCCTCATAGACGCATTAGAACTCCTTCATTGCACAGCAATGACGGCAAAGCAGGCTTGAAAACGAGCAATACTGAGATGGCCGTAATAATACGGGTTCGATTCGGTTCGCAATGACAAACAATACACACATCTGGTTTCCATACACCGTATGAGGGTACGTCACTTAATATGATGCAAGAATGGTGTGTTACTCACGCCACGTTGTGAATGGTTGAAATAGTCGCCAGCCCCGTTTGCGGATCCGCCTTCTCTTCTGACCTTTGACTCTCCATCTCTTTCAAGCCACACCTGCACCCACCTAAGACCTTCCAAGGTTATACCTGCTTCATCCGTGGCGTACAGCATGGTTTGACATGAAGTGGAGTTGACGTCCCGGGCGAGCTAGGATACGCCTATCTACCTATGTTATGGATTTGTTCTGGATTCACGTCCCGAGTGTGGAGTCAATCCTGACAGCAAATCTGTCAGGAGGTGGGGTATTTGGTGGTCAATTCGATGGAAACTTGATTTTGAAATAACATCCATGTAGAATTTACCAGAAGCATATATCCCTCGCAAGCTCGCGCCCAGCCTGCGAGCAGCTACATATCCACTCTTCCGTCCAAATCAAGCTCAAACGCACTCAATGAAGCAACAATCAAGATTCAAACACACAACAAGGGTCTTTGCCGACATGCAACTTCCAGGACAAAAGTGTTCATACGAACACGTGCATAAGCGAGAATTGATACGTCATATGTCGACTACGGAGTAGACTCCGGGCTCTGCTGGCGTCCGTCAACATGTCTTTTCGGCAGATGGTATCACGGGCCGTTGTCTGGAGCTCCGAGATAGGAAAAGTGAGCTGTTATTCGGCTACACGATACTAGTAGCACAATCCGCCTTGGTGGTGTCTGTTGTGGATATAGCAAAATAAGAGCTCTAAATCCTAGTCGCAAACCTGCCTGGAATGATGCACTCTGACGTCTCTACAGACCCGGTTCTTCAGCATATTAAAGCATGACTCGCCGTAACAGCTTTCTTGCAGATGTCGACGCGTCGAGTGGACTCCAGGCTTGCTCGTCTATCGTGAAAACGGTTGCGGCGCAGATTCTCAACTCTACTAGTGTGCTAGGGCGTCTAGTAAGCGCACCTCACACTTCGCGACAGCACCACGCATTCGCGCCTTCGCTCTTCCGACATCGTCTCGACCGACTGTGCTGAGGCAGGCGAGTTGCGTCCCCCTGGAATGTCACCGGCTCACCACCCATGGACCTTGGGTCAGTCGACGAAGGAAAGAAAGAGCCAGGAAAGATGACAGCGTCCAACTCCGATGGTTCTCCGCCAGGTTCAAGGGTCCATGCCCCGCTTTGCACTAGAAGCGCCTCTGAAATCCAAAGATAGGCTCTGGGGGTGGCTCCGGGGCCTCAGGGAGCCACTGGATTCGCTACAGATCGCTGCACGTCGAGGCAATGGGCACGGCGAGACACCAGCTCTTCCTGCAACACCATGCTCACAGCTGCAGCGCTTGCGCTCGTCCCTTGCTAGCAATCATCGTGTTCAAATCGTACGTTTAACACGCCAGAATCTAGAGCAGAGCGACACAGGGTCTTGGAAGTCTGCCGAATCAGCTTCACGATAGGCCCTACGAGGCGTCATGCGAACATCGCATATTTCGATTGCTATGCCCAGAGGATTGAAACGAGAACACACCGCACGCGCAGGCCGCCGAGCTTTTCCCAACGTACGCCGATATTCCGAGAGAAGGCCAGATGCTGAGGTTGAAGCCCAGAAGAGTGTCTTAGGGGGGGATACGAGAATCGCACAGCCACAGCTTCACAAGAGCGACTCTCGCAGTTGAAGATCGCACCGCCCATCGCCTACGACTGTTCAGTAGTGCGAATGTCGTCGCGATCTACCGCAACGAGCTGCGCGAAGCAGTTGCGAATGACATCGTAGCGCAAGCGATCGCAACGACGCTACAACAATCCTTCTCACACGGGGACAAGCCAAGAGAGTGACGGCTCAGTGACGGGAGCTCGAAATCACGACATCGGTAGCACGTCCGCTGATTTTCACTGATAGCGAAAACTCATCGTTCGGATGGCTCGTAGGAGTGATTGCGCCGATGCACATGATGAGGCCCCTCAGCCTCGTTAAGTTAGGCTCGTACGAAGATCCATCCGACGGCCGGAAGCTGTGGAAGTTGTTGGGTGGGTCTTGGTGGCGTGAACATAGTGGGTGACGATACTGGATTTCAGTAGCGGAATCACGACGTTAAAGAAGAATCTTTCATGGTCGCAATCGAAGAAGCAGCTCACTGAATGTCAAGGTCATGTGACTAGCATTTGTAAGTCTTTAGTAAGTCTTTGTTAGCAGGTTCCAGCGTCTTCGTCGATTAGTGAACCTCGAGTTTCCAACGGTCTTGGCAGTTTCGCGAAATTGGTATATCCGAGACGTAATGCAGATACAAGGGTAAGATCTAGCAGCTGTTTTCAGCGAGATCCAGCCGATCTTACTCTTAACTACTCGCCAAATGCTTTAAGTAATCTTGGAAACCTCTAGATTAGACAGATATATGAAACGTGCAACCACATTCCACGTCCTCATACTTCGCGATATGTAGTTTGTAATCGAGAAACAGCTCACTCGGCCGGACTTTTGCTGTCGATGATGCAATTGTTATCGCTAATCAGATGGCACCATGTTGGAATTTTCCAACCGGCAGTTGTGCTTTCAAATCACGACAACACTCCTCGGCCTTACGAGCTGATATAAAGCACAACGTGTACTGTGAGGTTCTCCTTTCTCTCATCTCGATCTTCAGGCATTTTACCGTGTCAGTTTTCTAACGTCGCCTCAGCACTCAATCGCACCTGGAGCCGTCACTTTCTCAGCTCTCAATTTTCTGTTCTTCGTGTTTCCCCGCACATCTCCCTTTCAACCACGGGAAAACGGCGTCTCTCCCACGTATTATGTCATCCAAACTCTTCGAGCCCCTGAAACTCGGCTCTCTCAGCCTCAAGAACCGCCTCGTCCTCGCCCCCCTCACGCGCTTCCGCGCCGCAGACGACCATGTTCACCAGTCCATAGCTGAAGAATACTACGCCCAGCGCGGCTCTGTCCCCGGTACTCTCTTAATCACTGAAGCCACCTTTATCTCAGCCCGCGCGGGTGGCTACCCCAACGTCCCCGGTCTCTGGAGTAAGGAGCAACTCGCAGCCTGGAAAAAGATCACCGACGCCGTCCACGCGAAAGGCAGCTACATCTTCGTGCAGCTCTGGGCGCTCGGTCGCGCCGCCAACCCTCAAGTTTTGGAGAAGGAGGGTGCTGGCCCTCTCGTCAGCTCGAGCGATGTGCCCTTGTCTGAAGACGCGCCAAAGCCGCAGCCGCTGACCGAAAGCGAGATTCAGGAGTATATCCAGGACTACGCCAGGGCCGCCAAGGCCGCGGTTGAGGAAGCGGGCTTCGATGGTGTAGAGGTCCATGGGGCGAACGGCTACCTCATCGACCAGTTCACGCAGGACACGGCCAACAAGCGGACGGACAAGTGGGGCGGGAGCATCGAGAACCGCGCACGCTTTGGGCTCGAGGTCGCGAAAGCCGTCGTTGCTGCTATCGGATCGGAGAGGACCGGCATCAGGTTAAGCCCGTTCAGTGTCTTCCAGGGCATGCGCATGGATGACCCTATTCCACAGTTCTCGTATCTCGTTAAGGGGCTCAAGGAGCTCAAACTCACATATCTCCACCTCGTCGAGAGCCGCATCTCTGGCAACGCGGACGTCGAGTCCTCAGACCATCTTGACCCACTCATCGACATCTGGAGCAATACATCCCCGGTCCTGCTAGCGGGCGGCTTCAGCGCTTCGTCGGCGAAGAAGGCGGTGGATGAGGAGTACAAGGACCGCGATGTGGCTATTGTGTTCGGAAGGCTGTTTATCTCGAACCCAGACTTGGTGTTTAGGATTCAGAACGGTATCGAACTGTCGCCATACGACCGCGAGGACTTTTATAGGGTGAAGAGTGCCCATGGTTATACGGATTTACCGTTCAGCAAGGAGTTCTTGGAGCTTAAGAGTAAGGTGTAGCATCGATGACAGTGCGATTATACCTTAGATTATAGATCCTTTTGTTCGTTACTCCTTAATTGGGTCCTGTGAGTTGTCGTTTTGACAGTGCTGATACGTCCTTGAGACGCCCCCGGAGGTTCTGAGCGTCAGTCACGAGTGATCACTTTCGGCCTGATTTAGGGGCTGCGACAAACGACATCGAAATCAGGCTTCAAATCAGGAGATTTCACGCCTCGTGATTCCTCGTCACAGTACACTGTGGGGTTCCCTTACCTGTCACGTACCTGTCAGGAGTGATCACGAATCTACCCGATTTCGAGGCTGCGTCAAACGACATCGAAATGACCCTTCAAATCACACCTCGTGATTTTCCATCACAGGACACTGCGAGGACACCGTGGGGCCCTTCGCATGTTTCGCGTACCTGTCACGAGCCATCACGCATTGACCTGATTTAGGGGCTGCGTTAAAGGACATCGATATGACCCTTCAAATCGCGCTTCAGGTTTTAGCATTGACGGGACACCGTGAGGTCCCTCGTGGGTGTCACGAACTGGTCAAAAGCGATCACACCTCGACCCGATTTCGGAGGTGCAGCATAGCATATCGAAATGGTCCTTTAAATCGGGCTTTGGTTTTTATCGTTCACAGGACGCCGTGAGGTCCTTCGTGGGTGTCATACACCGGCCAAAAGCGATCGCGCCGCGACCCAATTTAGGGGTCCCAGCAGAGGACATCGAAACAACCCTTCATATCGCGCTTCAAGTTTTATCATTCACACGACGCCGTGAGGTCCTTCGAAGGTGTCACGAACCGGTCAAGAACAATCGACCCCCGACCCCATTCAAGAGGTCCAGTGGTTCACTTCGAAGCCACCCTTCAAATCACGCTCCCGTTTTCCTCATCGATAGACCACCAAGAGGTCCTTCGCATCGCTCGTACATGTGCCAAAAGCATCGTATTTGGGCTCTGATTTCAAAGTCGTGGCAAAGCGCTACCTTGCGGTCTTTGCAGGGAGGACTCATGGTTTCGGGAAAGAAATGAGCGCGACAGTGCGGGATGGAGGGTGCTTTGGGAGTCATGGTTTGGAGGGTATATATTCGGGTTCAATGGGAGTGGTTTCGTTCTCTTCTTCATAACACATTCAACGAGGCTTTCAGAAGGCTAAAAATACCTAGAAGACGCTACATTTGAAATCCTAATACTACCGATATTTCAATACCCCTTTTCACATTCTACCAAACGTACGACGAGCAAGCAATCAACATGTCGCAAAGAGCCTGCCAATTCTATCCAAAGTACGCTGGCTACAGGTGCAAATCTGGCGTAATTGCTCCACCCGAAGGCGGAATCCAATGGAGCTGCGACTCCTGTGTGGTAAAGACAGCGTTCTTCTCTAACCTAATGTACTTCTCGTCTCACAAATTCACCAGAACGATCCCGAAATGCCGCTCCATTGTCGCAAAATCTGCCCCGGACGCTCAGAATACGTGAAGGGGCCCGGGATTGATCATGTCAACGCTATAACGAATGCCGGCAAGCACGACCAATCCACCCGCCCGTACTCCTGTTTCTTCGCAGACAAAGACCCTGAAATACAGGAATTTCTCAACGAACATGTAAATAACATACCCTGGAAAAACAATCGCCACGACGATCTTTGGGTGTACGATGGAAAGCGTTCGAATGGAAGTGTGACGTACCGGTACCAAATCTGCAAGAGCTGCAAGGTAAGTCGGCCATAAGTTCAGGAGAAGCAGCTATGACAAGTAGTCTGACCATGTAGTAGAGCCGGGTAAATCTAGGACCAAGGGAAGAGATACGCCCAGATCTGCGAGACAGCTTCATGAAGAAAAAACACGGACAGACTTGGCGATGGCCAGCCAACCAGCCTGAGGAGGACTAGGCGAACACGACCTGAATGCTGCCCCCTTTACCCTTCCCTTTCTTATTTTTGCTCATAGATTTCCTTGCCCTTCCTCCCGGAACGGTCCTTTGTTTTATACCCCATTGTTTCATTTGCCCCATGTGTTCACGACTCTCTTCTTCCCTAACCTGTTATGGCCCTGTTTTATACCCCATCGGCTACCCAGCCGGTCCTCTCCGTCATTACCGAGTCCCTGTATCCACCACTCTTGTATCCTGTTTTATTTTTTTGGTCGACGTCGGCCTTGCCTCGGTCTGGCCGATGTACCCGTATCGATGAATAGAATATACACCTGCAGGAATCAACTTTCCCGCCATGGCTATACAGATATCTCCCATTCACTGTGATAAACACATATCGCTAGCTCATCATGTATACACGATGTGCTAGGCCAACGATCACTTCAAAAAGTTCAACTTCTACCTCTCCCTCGTACCATTCCCTACGTAGAATCTCTAAACCTGCCACCACCGTTTTCAACCGTCGATCCCCTCATCAAAGCACCTTTCTCTCCCCTCTTTCGCTCCATTCCCCACATAGAACCCCTGAACACCCCCCAAGCCCCCCGCAATGCCACCACCAGCTCCCCCTTCCTCTGCTCCAGCTAACAGCTCCCTTCACCAAAGCCGGACCAGCCGCCTCGACCTCAGCATCATACCCCCCCCTCTTTACCCGAATCGCCACCACGCCTTCCCCAGGCCACTCGCAACTCCTCGTCCTCCACCACCGCCAAGGCTTCCTCCTCGCGGCTCTGGATGAGTATCTCGCCCCCGTCATCCAAGATTGCGACTCCTCCCTCTCCTCCCACCACTTCCGTGAAGTCTTCGTCGCTAACCGGCTTCCCTTCGGCAGAGCAGCTCGGGCCCGTGACCCAGTCCGTGCAGCTTTGCATCCGCGAAATGTGCGCCCACCACGGTATCAATGAGGCGGATGCCGCGCGGCCGGATTGGTATCTGCAGCCGAGGTTCGAGAGGGCGTATGATCGTATGCGGAGGGTCCTGTCGCTGGAGATATTGTCGAAAGCGTTGGAGTATCTTGACTCGACTCAGGTGCGCCATGTGTTTTGAGGCGTAAGGGGGGTTTGAGTGGCGGGGGGGATTGCCGGTGCGACTGGGGAGTATAGTGGGTGTAGTGGGTATAGCCACACCGGCTCGGACGCATGCGGCGGAGGCTGTTCGTCAGTGAGGATGGAGACGCTGGAGAACGTGACGGTGAGGTGTGATGTTCCTGAGGATGCTGAGTGCAGTATCTGCAGAGAATAGCTTACGGACAGAAAAAGAGAGGAGGGGAAAGAGGAGAATCATGTTGGGGATGATGACGAGAATGAGGAGGAGCAAGAAGACCACTATGCTGTTCGCACTATGTGTGGCCACATGTTTGGATCCCATTGCCTTGGAAGCTGGGTTTCGCGCTTCGCTGTCTATCAGGCTAATTGCCCGCAATGCCGCCGTATTTTGGTGGCCGTCGAAGTTGACAACGAGGAGGAGGAGCATAAGGTAGAGGATGGGGCTATGCGACACGAAGTGGCTTTAGATGATCCAGTCCCTGTGCATCCAGCTGAGTCGGATGGTCTTGAGACGCCAGAAGACCCCTCCGATACCGGAGATGGCGAGTACAAAAACTCTCTCGACCTTTTGCATGTCTGCCTAGTTAGCCACGACTAATCGTAGGTGAAGGGGTGTAGGGGCTGCTCTTGTACCGTCATCCCCAGAGGAAAAGATAGTGAGTCTCAACATTGGACCAAAGTTTACACTCCACTAAGATGGTTACAGTTTGTGAAAGAGATGATATTCGCGTGTGGGAGTCACTGAGGATAGAGTGCATTAGATCAATCAAGTACAATACCATATCTTGCGCTCAAAACGGGTCATTATGTGAAACGTGACTGATGGAATAGCTCGCGATACTTTATGCCAAGGAAACAGAAATAGATAGCAAACTAATTCACAACAATCTAGTAGTGGATGAAACGTCTCCAAATAAACTGCAAACCAAAGGCCCACCTGGACATGCTTCTTGCAGATAACTCAATCGTTTATCTCATATTCTACTCTCCCGCCTCACACCATTCCTCTTAAACCCTCACTAACTCCTCCATCTCAATTCCACCAGTCTCCTCTTCGTTTTCCTGCTTGAGGAACCCACCCCACAGATCTCGCATTCCCCTGATTCGACGGATGGCATATGTGACATAGCCTAAGCGAGGATGCTCTGGTATGCATGCGGCGATAAATGTTGACCAGTGTTCAGTACAGACATGGTTTTTGGGGAGCGCCAGTGTACTGTTTTTGGTGGGAGTGATGGCGGTGGGCCTCGATGAGGTACGGTTGGAGGTGGAATTGGAGGTGGTAGCGCGAGGGAGATAGTGGTAGTCCAACATCATCTACTGTGTTTGGTGGGATCGAAGACACTTTCCGAGAGATGTTTGGTGGAAATTTGGACTTCACCGCGGTTTTTGCGGCTCTGTGCGTGGTGAGCTCGGAGTTGTGAGTAGGAAGCAGCGCGGGGAAAGACAACGTTGTTTAAAAAGACTTGGAAGTCTGGGTCGTGAACATCGGTAGCGAAAGTCCTCTGTCGTCGTGGTCCGTAGTTGCGTATCAAAACCTGTCTCATCATTCGGTACCAAGAACCATTCACTATTACGTTTCCAGTCAGCACGCACAATGGCAGAAATCATCATAGATCACAGAGCCATGTTGATTTGATCCACAGATCCCATATCCCACCAGAAGGCCTTGTCTCCCAAGACAGGCCTATAGATGAACTATCGTGACTCTTATATTACAAACCCGATGCCATAATTCAAGGTTCCATACATGATTCGGTGTCGACCGCGCGAGGAGAGGGGATATAAGTACACTAGATCAATCTAATAACGCCATTTTTTAGTGCGCGAGGAGCCGAGTCGAAAGCCTGTTTATACAAATGCGAGAAGGGTGTCGGGATGGATGGAGGTGCGAGGAGGTAGTGGTTGGAGGAGGAGGCGAAAATGGGGCGGCGGTGCTCTACGAGTTCTTGACAACTCCGACTTTGGCGGCCTGTAGAGAGTTAGCAACTTAGAATACGACGGGTGTGTTGTGTTAAAGACTTGCCCTCAAGACCCGTCCATTGAGCAAGAAGCCCTTCTGCTGCGTGTGGAACACGGTCCCATCCTCCTTATCCGGCTGGGGTGTCTGGAACACAGCCTCGTGGATGTTGGGATCAAACTTCATCCCCTCAGTACTCGGGTCGAATCTCTCCAATCCGTGCTTCTTCAACGTGCTCATGAGAATGCTCTCCGTCATCTTGAGGCCATCGTGTAACGTGACGAGGTCCTTATTTTCCGCGTTCAACGATTCGGCTGGAACGGTGATAAGAGCGCGGTCGAGGTTGTCAACAGATTCGACGAGGTCCCGGGCGAATCGTTGGAGGGCGAAATCTTTGGCGGCTTGGACTTCGCGTTTCGTGCGGTCTTGAAGGTTGCGGAAGTCGGCAACGCTGCGGAGGTATTTGTCCTTTACAGGCTGTCAGTAACGGGCTCGGTTTAATTCAGCGAGTCGCTACGAGTCCGTGGATCAAAAGGAATAGACAGAAAGCTGGGCAAGGGCCGTGGGGTGCATATATTGTCGAGGCATACCTTCCAATCCAAAATCTCCTTATCCTTCTTCTCCACCGTCGCCTTCAACTCATCCGCTTCCGATGGCTTCGTCTCTGATGGCTTCGCCTCTTCCTCCTTCGCGGCTTCGCCCTCCTTCGCCGCCGGCGCATCAGAGTACCATCTCGCCGCTGCCCGCTGTGATGGCATGGGCATCACGCGAGCTGTGAACCCCGCCGGCCTCGCGGCCCGTAACGGAGCAAATGATGACTGTGACCGCAGGGCTGCGTTCGCGCTCCGGAGGATATTTCGCTGGATCATGATGGCTGGTTGTGTATGTATGGAGGTGATGGTAAAGATGAGGCGGCGAGAGAAAAATCGGGAATGATGATGGATCCATTGAAGCGGCGGGTGGTCCGTGAGCAGCTAGGAGGTACGACTTCAATTTATTCCTACTCGACATAGCCAGACGACATCCACATCCCAATTGCTGCAATGGCTACAATGAAAACGGGTTCAATATGCCTGCGATGTCTACGAGCTCAGAAATATAAAACTAAAACGCTATCCCTCCGAAACACCACCTCAACCCGACCCTTCTCCGCCACATCTTTCCCTCAGATGCCGCAACGCTCTATAGACGCCTCCTACTACCGCGGCGGCACGTCGCGCGCCCTCATATTCCAACCCAAAGACCTCTCCGTCGACCGCTCATCTTGGCCTCCCATCTTCCTCCAGCTGATGGGCTCCCCAGACCCGTACGGGCGCCAGCTCGACGGCATGGGCGCCGGCATCTCCTCGCTCTCTAAAATATGCATCGTAGCGCCAAGCACACGCCCAGACTGCAATGTCGACTACACATTCGTAGGCATAGGCATTGAGAGAGACGAAGTGGACATGGCGGGGAACTGCGGGAACATGATTAGTGCCATTGGGCCGTATGCTGTCAATTCGGGGCTGTTTGAGGTGGGTAAGGACGGGGAGGTTACGGTGCGGATTCATAACACCAATACTGGAGTTGTGATACGCAGCACATTTCTCGTCGTTGATAGCCAAGTGGTGGTAGAGGGGGACTACACCATTGACGGTGTCGCAGGGACTGGCGCGAAGATACAGCTGGACTTTCTAAGGCCTGGCGGCGCGAAGACGGGGAAGTTGTTGCCGACTGGACAGGTTGTGCAGAAGATTAAGGGAGTCGAGGTCAGTCTTGTGGACGCCGCTAATCCATGTGTTTTTGTAAGAGCGGAAGATGTAGGGGTACCAGGGACGATTTTGCCGGCCGATTTCAACAAGATGCCAGAGAAACTGGCGCTACTGGATGAGATTCGAAGAGCTGGTGCAGTAGCTATGGGACTTGTGAAGAATGAGAGCGAAGTTCCCAGGACGATACCGAAGGTTGGCATTGTGTCGAAGGCGGCCACGCATAAGGTGTTGTCGGGAGAAACAATAGAAGAAAGCTCAGTCGATGTGGTAATCAGGTTCATCTCTGATGAGCAACCGCACCGTGCAAGTCCGTTGACGGCGGCGCTCTGCACGGCTGTCGCGTCGAAGATCAAGGGGTCAATTGTCGAGCAGTGTCTGGCGTCGAAGCCGGTCAATGCAGACATGGTCACGATCGGGCATGCGAGTGGGCGAATACAGATTGACGCTACAATGGATGAAGATGGCGACGCCGAGTGCGCAACTGTTTTTAGGACTGCGAGGAGGATCTTTGATGGTAAAGTGTACTATAACGCATGAGCATTCGACCGGGATGATGTCTTTCTTGTCTGTCATGTCCTATCTATTTTACTGCAGATACCCATCCATGTCAATTCCAACCTTTCAAATAACCAATTTGGACGAAATCTAGCATCCATGCACTAGCAACATACTTAGCATCGAGTTGCTATAAAGGCCCATGCAAGGCATAGCGTTGTTCCAGCGGTACGCACTACGGGTCTCGATGGCGCCAACTACTGCATCTATCCGTCCAGTATCCCTCTCCAGCTCCGACCAGGAACGAAATCTCTTGCTTCGGGCTTATTACTCCTATTGAAAATCGCTCACGTCTTTATACTTCCTATCACAGCAATACTAGTTCTAGGCCCGAAGGCAGCTATGCGCATCGAACGCGCCTCATCTCCACCCTCCGTTTGCATATCCACAGCGACGGCATCGGACATATATCCCCCACACCGCTCCGACTCGCAGAAAACTGGGAGTCCCCGACCCCTCAGCGCCTTTCCCATCATCTTCATCCCTCATTCGCGGTGTCTTGTCGTACTGCGTCGCCTGAATACATACGTACATCTCCATCGAGGTCAAAGTCGAAGCCAAGTCTACCTCAAAGTCAAAGCCGAGTCCATCCCCAGACCACCAGTACGCCTCCTCCCCCCCTTTTCTCTCCGCCCTAAGCATCCCAGCAATGCCAATCTCTTACACCACCTCGCCCACAACCTCTTCCTCGCCCACTTCATCTACAACAACCAACCCCCTCTCCCTTCCTCCCTTCCTCTACCGCGTCGACTACCCAGGCTCACGCACCGTCCTCACCGCGACCGGTTTCGTCGCCGCAAATACCACAACCACTATCTCGTCCACCACTGCTCTACGCCACCACGCCAGCGCCCACTTCGACTGGCGCTCTCGCTCGCCCTCCCCCTTCATCTCCCTCTTCGCTGATCGCGCGCACGCTATCAACTGGGCGCAAGCTATCAGTGCCTTGAAGGGAGATGCAGTGTGCTATGTCACGCAGATCAACACGGCTGCACTCGGACCTGGACCCATCTTTCGCGCGGCGGATTTGTTAGGTGCTGGAGCTGGGGAAGGGGGAGGGGGAGGGGGCCAACATGAGAGCGAGTATCTGGTGCTTTGGCGGATTCCGATTGAGGCGTGTGTTGGGGAGGTGGTTGTGAGAGCGGGAGGAGGCTCCGTGAGGGGTATGGGGTGTTGAGGAAAGGGGCGTGTCTGGGGGGCATCAGATTGTGGTTGGAGGATTATTGGTAGGGGTTGGGGAGATGAATCTGGGGGGATAGGGACGTGCTGGGTATATTGAAATGCCACGACGGTCAAGTTTTAAATCGTAACGGTGGAAGAAATTGTTTCATTGTAGCCCTCTTTGGGATGTTCTTGTTGATCAAGTGACGATTGTTCTGGGGGACTATGGCAAGGAGAAGGTGAGAATAGGGTATGACATGTTCTCCCCTTGGTAGAAAAAGTTCTATTGAGCATTCAAACTCTCATGGCTAACCTCTGCAACCGCATCAGTCCTTGACCAAAAGAAAACGCGCTTGTAGAGGAAGTCACAATGATACCTAGTGCAGAATTGGGTATTGTACAATCTATTCATATCCTCTATTATCTACCGCATTCAAGGATCCACTAAGCTTATACGCAAAAGGAAACATTAGAAATTACACCCTCCTCATCTCGGACATGCAACCTGTTTTGATGGAATAGTCGTTTTGCAATGCCCTGTTCTCCTAATCGCATTTGTACCGCCACTAGCTCCACGCCCATTCTGTTTGCTGCTCAAAATGCCATCCGGGTCGCAATATGCACCAGCCCCTGTACAACCGCCGAGAGGACCTTTGGCGAGATCGCAAGTCGGTAGACAGGCGTAGACAGGAATATACTTCCCAAAGCAAGACAGCTGCATGGGTAGACACGATCCACTATCACAAGCTCCGTTGGCCTTGCACGATGTGATCTGTCCCGCTCCTTTCGAGACTGACACAGGCCCGTCGGTCAACTCGAATGTAGAGTTACCAGCGAAGGGAGACTCGAGAAGGGAGTCAAAATCAAAAGCTTTTGTCTCTTTGGGATTCGGCGATGGCGGGGCTTTTGTTGATGTCTCGTTGCGAGCTGTTGGGTAGCCCGTGGAATCTTCTACGCAGAGGCTCGCGTCATCCCATGCTGCGCGCGCAGCATAACGCCAAAGCTGGGTCATATTGTAGACGGTGTCGAGAGTGTAGTAGATTCGGCAATCAGCGGCTTGGTACTGGAACTGCAGAGGCTTGAAGTCGTTTCCGCGCACTTGATTCCTGATGGTGAAACCAGCGTATTCGGTCCACATTCCGGTGTCAGTGCGGTTGGGAAGCTTCGAGGCTACATCGGGTTTGTCGACGGGGAACTCTAATCCTTCACCAAAGTCATAGTCAAGTGCGTCTGCCGAATAGGCAGCAGCACTTCGGGTGCCGCTCACTGCTTGCATTGGTCCGTTAGTGGGTTGTCCACCAACAGCGACTGTCCGAACACCGGCTTGATGCGTCATGAACTCGACGAAAAGGGCACAGGCAGAGCCGCAGAGGCCATCAGTCAAAATTACGATGTCCTCTGCCGCCCAATTTGGGGTAGTATCATTCAGTGGGAACCTTGGATCGTAGCCCCATGGATAGTCGCGGAATGCGGCATAGTCAAAGATCTCGTCGGAGAGGTTATATCGTTGGGCTCCAGAGAATGTATCGCCATTGTTGACTTCAGGGCCGTAGAACTCTTCCCATGAAGAGAAAGTCTTTCCTGTGGCGACGTTGATACGGTTGGTGACAATCCACTCGCTCGCCGCATACTGATAGTTGTCTGAGTGGTTAGTCTCCGGGAGGTCCCACCACGCGGTATACGCTTCACCTAAGATATTGCTTAGCTCGTGGCTGCGCTGGCGGCTTGCTCCGTTGGGCTCAAGGTTGGGGAAGAATTGCTTGAATGTATCGTAGGCAAGGAAGGTGAGCCCCCCCGTGTTCTTTTGCAAGTCGATCACTACGCGAGAAGCTTTGGTTTGGGATGCGTTGCCAATGAAATCCAAAATTGCTTGTCGGAATTCCAGAGTATCATCGCCGCTTTGAAAGAAGGATGGAATACTAAGCACGGCGGTGAAGACATCGTCGAGCATGTAGCCGGACACAATACCCCCTCCATCGATAGAGAGATTAGCTTGGGCGACGACCGGATTATTCGGGTATGCGCCGAAGCTGTCGATGCACCAATTTGGTGTTGAAGTATGTCCAAGGGCACAGTAGGTTTTCAGTATATCCACGAGATAGCTGTCGCTGTCGCTGTCGTTGCTTGGGGTGCTAGCTTCACTTTCCCAAATCGGCCACCATTGAGCGCCCTTCTCGTAGCTATCCGGCAGAAAGCCGAGCACAAAGTAGTTGTAGAAGTCGCCACCAGTAGTAAGAGGACCGGTATCCGTGCAGTCGACGCAGAACGCCCACCACACGGTCTCGATCGTCGTGCCATTTTTGAGCGTGAAGTTGAGCGCATCACCAAAGGTATCATCACCGGGGTACAGCGTCGCCGACTGGAAAGTGCTCAAGTATCCCTGGACGTCGAGTGCTGGGCTATCCATAACTGCGTTCCAATCTGCGTGCGGCTCCAAGAAACCTGCAGAGTTTCGTTCGGCAAAACGCGCGAGATACTCGATGACATCTACACCGTTGATTTGAGCAATAGGCGACGCTTTGTCTCCGTCGATTGCCCAAGCCCTGTACAGATCATCGTCCAGGTAGATCTCAGGTGCTTGTTTGCCGTCGACGGATGCACTTACAAGCCCATACGGGCTGACAAAGGAGAAGGCCGAGAGAGCACCAGCATTGAGGATCACGTGGGTATCGCGCAGCTGCGTAACCAGAAGCTGAAGATGCGCTTCAAATTCGTACTGGTTCTTATAAACACCCGCAGTCACGTTCTGCTTGATGTCCTCCAAGGCCTGGTTGACGTCGAAAGAAGGTCGTTGGTAGCCTGCCGGTGGCACTTTAAGATAGCCTGTTGTGGACTGGAACTGTAGGGTCATGTTGTAGTAGTCGAGAAATCGCGTTGCGACGGCCGAATTGAATGGAACGCTCTGCAGGCATTCGTAAACCCATGATGCGCGAAAGAGTGTGTAGTCTTCAAATATGTTAGTCTGAAGGGTCACCGTGTGACGAGGAGGAGAGTATATACTGTTGTTTACTGCAACAATAATGTCTCCGCAAGCAGTGGAATCGGCCAGCAAAGGACTTGACGGATCCTGACGAGGAGCGAACGTGCCCTTCAAAGGTTTCGCAGAGCCAAATGGAAAGAGACACAAGGAAACGACCAGTAGTTTAGCGAACGACATGGTGAACGAAGTCGGAAATGCAGACAGCATAAGATCGAACTAGCTAAAGGTTTATATGAAAGACTCAGCGGAACTTGTCCATGTTTTAACGAATGAGCCATCTTGTGCGACATGAGATATCTGCTAATGCCAGCTGAGTTCATGCATGGCTCAGCCTTCATGCAACCACCAACTCCCGGAGATTATGGAGTACATGTACGTGCTCTTGGCTTCCGACCAGTGAACGAACGTCAGCTCGGCAGGGCCGAGCTGGAACGGTTCACCGCGTACTGCCGTGAGCTTCAACGACTACTGGCCCGCGCTGGTTGTTAAGGCAAACGATGTGGGAAAGCCCACTCTCCTAATTTGGGATGGAGCCGCATATCCCCTTTTCGTAGATGAGGTTGCGAATACTCCTATCTTCCATAACCCCGGCATAGTTCAGCTAGGTTACAACCTTCCGTTGCCCCTCTTGAATTCTTCTGCTGAGCTATCTGTTTTTACTGGTAGATGATAGCAGCGCCTCTTGCAGCTGAAGGAGGAGGCTGCCTGCTGAGCCATGACCGGTCACTTTAACCTGTGTGGCACTTTACGGGACCGGAGACCGACAGCTGCTAGCATCGGTATCTGTAAGCGTTGCGCGACTGTGTGGAACAGTGTGACGTGTAAGGTGTAGAGGTGTAGCGGGGTTAATATGGTAAGATGGACTTGCTATTGCCGCTCTAGAGGGGTCGGTCGGCTAAAGCAGCTGAGTAGACGGAAAATATTAGATAAATGGGTGTACGACTGCTCAAAAGGGGGTCTGCATTTACTAGTCTGCTTTGGGATGAGACAAGGCAGTGGTAGGTAAGGCTGAAACTTGCCACCCAGCTTGACCGGTGTCGTATTTACTTTAAATGGGCCCAGACTCCTGCTGCCAAGCGGTGCCTGTTGCCTTCTTATTCTACTTTGTCATACGGCCAAAGCAACATCGGAAGCCTTACAGCCCGTTGACCTTTTCGCCCTCTGCTTCAGCCTGCAATTACTATCTCAATCCATGCCTTGCGTCCGAGTACATGTCGAACTCACGAAGAAGAACGACCACCGCGGGTTTCCTCGTGTAACGAAGCAATCTTCAGCGTGATTCGCTCTAAGACATGAACAAATGGCGGATAAAGCGAATGTCACGCCGGATCCTTTCGCATTACGAGCTCATGTCTTGCATTCAGCTTTGGCCCAGAACCAGGTCATTGGCGCCGATATCAATCCTGATTTGTTTGACAAATTTTTCCAGTCGCCAGCGTTCTGTGCATGGTCAACTAGCATCACGTCTTGGCAGCTTCACTGCTATGGAGAACCAGGATGTGGCAAGGTGAGACCCACTGGCATAGTGTCAAGATGCATTGCTTATAGTATAGACTACGCTCGCTGCCGTTGCTACGAGTCGGCTGCACCATGAATTGAACGGAGCTAGAACAGCGATCGCATCGATTTCTATTAGTGAACACGTCGCGTCTACTTCGTTAGATTTCGTCGAGGACCTTCTCCAATGTATTCATAACTCACTGGGCGACGAGTATAGTGACGAGTTCACCGAGTATCAGCTTGCTTGTGAAGAAGGAAAGCCAGTTGTAGAGCGAATCCAGAAGTTGGGTACCACTTTAAGCAACGCCTCACCCGACACCTGCAAATACCTCATCCTGGATGGATACGACCGCATCAATGAAGCATTACAATCTGTCATCGACTTCCAGCTCTCACTTCTACAGACGAGCGGGGTGAAGGTGATGACTACCAGGAGAGTTCCCGTATTCTCCGCTCCCCACAATGCACTATGCGACGAATGCGAATTAGAAGAGCTGGAACTCTGGTGGGAATGCTCGAAGTGTAAAGTCTTCTGGCTGTGCTATGACTGTAGAAAGAAGAAAGACCTGGATAAATTCCACGAGTGCGAAGACGCCGACTTTGAGGAGACTTACCGGCATGTCAGTGTCAAGTTGGGAGATTTCCCACTAGAGGATTTCATCACGGAGAAAATCAAGATGTACCACTACGACGTTGGACCGGATGTGGGCAGGCAAATCGTCGAGTACATCAAGTCTAAAGTGGGAGGGAACGTTACACTTGCACTGCTCTATCTGGAGGATATCTTTATGCAGGACGACTTTTCATTTTTCAATGCGGATCAGGTCGATGACAGGCTGCCCAGAGACGTCATTGCTTTCTTCGATGCCGAGATGAAATTCATTGAATGCCGACCAGAACCTCAAGGTTTACTGTCACTGCTTGCCATTGCTGCCGCCGCGCACAACCACCACGGCATATCATTGGTGAAACTCGAAGAGTGTATTCGTCTTGCTCAAAGCACGTGTCGAAACTTGGATTACCCAAGAGGCGTGGAGGATGTCTTCAATGCAGCAAATGGATGGCTCACCGACCCGCGTACGATAAATCGAGAAGTCGATATCTGTTGTAAACCTGCTTTCACTCTTTATGTGCAGGAGAACTACAACGAGTCTTTAACGTGGACAAAGCGCCAACTCGGGTATGATACGGAGTATGAAGCTGCTGTCACTACGTCGGAGCAGTTGCTCGAAACGCCACGGCTCTTGGGGAGTACTTTCGATACACTGGATAGTGGTACGGCCGTTTCAACGCCCCCCGGAAGTATTGACAATGCGCTTGGCTTGCTTGGGTCAAAGCGTATGCTCAATAGTCCATTATACGTCGGCAAAGAGGAAGGATTGATCCAGTCCCCATCTAGGATGGATAGCACCGAGAACGTGAGTAGCCTCACTCTTCCCGTTCAGTTGAATGAGTTATCCCTTAGTAGCACCACAGAGCCAGCTCTCCCGCCGCGGCAATCTAAGAAAGCAATATGTGACTTCTGCACAAGACATGTACTAGGATCTGGAGCATCATCGGGCCAACATCATGTCTCAGCTCATGATGCCGAAATGTCCATGGATCGTTGCATCTTTTGCTCATTATTGTACTCCACCGATAGCACTGGAGAGCTCTCATCGAGCCGCCAGGCTTGGCCGTTGTATCACTGGGCCTTCCGCACTTTACCCCGTGGTAGAGAACTCAAAGGGTCAATGATTTTGAGATTTTGGTCCACGCAGCCTACACTCGTATCTAAATCGTTTCGTTTCTTTCCGGGAAACGATTTCCACATACCTTCCTCCAATGAACTACAACACTCCACAGACCCCAAAGAGAGTGGCGGATATCAGATCAAAGAGTGGATGGAGACCTGTACCAGACATCATGCAGGCTGCAGCAAGAACCCCGACGACAAGCGTCCCGGCGCCTCTTTCCTGCCAACTCGGCTCATTGATGTTGATACCGGTGATGAAAACGTCGTCCGTCTTATAGAAACCAAAATAACGAAGGTGAAGGGCCCATATTGCACATTGAGTCATGCATGGGGACCGCCGGAGAAGAAATTTCTGACCACGACTGTATGGAACATGGCAAAGCATCTGCTGAACGGCATCAAGATGAGTGAGCTACCACCCAACTTCCAGCAGGCAATTGAGATTACTCGATTCTTGAAGATCCGGTATATCTGGATTGACAGCCTAGTCATCGTCCAGGAGCCGTACGGCGACTTCGTAAAAGAAGGTGATCTCATGCATAAGGTCTACCGGTACTCGTACTGCAACATCGTCGCAGCGGACTCAAGCGATGGATATGGTGGCCTTTTCAGAAAACGTGATCCGCATGCTGTTCTTCCTGTGGAGTTCCGTGCTACCGAAGCGACTTACGGATTGGGGAAAAAGGCGTGGACTATCGTTCCGGCTGACTTGTGGGAGAGAGAGCTTTTGAACTCTTTCATTTACACCCGTGGATGGGTGTTTCAAGGTGAGTACCAAACAGACCTACAAACCGCCAGCACGCGTCAGGCCACTCATGCTGAACCTGACCATGGCAGAACGCATGCTCTCCCCTCGCATCCTCCATTTCACTAAACATCAGATCTTCTGGGACTGCAACACACTCTCGGCCTGTGAAGCGTTCCCTACTGGCCTCCCCCTCCACTTAGATAAAAAGGCAAGCACTGACCGACACTGGCGTGGTCGGCTAGACCAAAGCCAAATCTCTTCCCGTGCCCTATGCGGCGCGAATGACGACGAAAGCTCATACACATTCTGGATGTCGGCGGTCCAGAACTACACCGACTGCAATCTCACTAATCAAGGCGATAAAACGGTAGCGATATGGAGCGTCGCGAAGCTGTTGCGCGATATTTCGTCCGAGGAATATGTTGTCGGCATGTGGTCGACTTTCTTGGAGGAACAGCTGGCTTGGAGAGTCCGCGATATCGATAGAAGTGAGAGGTTTCCTGAGCTCCAGATTGATATTCCCAGTTGGTCATGGGCGAGCATCAAGGGGCCCATCTTACCTCAGCATCGGCTAGCAATGAGGTCTTATAAAGTCAAGAACCACAAAGGTGGCGATGTGAGCTTTACGATCGAACCAATAACAAGTCCTGACACAGAGCCGAAACTAAGGAGTAAAGCGTTGGATATCGCGGGGTATATCAATAACGGAAATATAGTTGCTGCGAATGACGGCTATCGTCTCGAGGTTCTCATTGGATCAAAGGGATCTATTCACCTCGACGCCTTTCCTGATGAACCATTGGCGAGCACAAGCATTGAATCAAATCAATGCGAATTCGTGATTCTTGCGGCAAGTATCTCAAATACCACCAAATCACATATTCCAGGTGATACCCCATTCCCAAAGACATACTCCGGCATTGGTCTTCTTCTCACAAAACGGTCGCTGTGGTACGAGCACCAAGCAGAGCGATTTCGCGCGTTTCGGGAGGGCTGTGGAGACTTGACAAGTCTAAGGGAACCCAAATGGCGAATGGATGCTTTTGAAAAGTTGATGCTGCAGCGGCCGAACACGGAAGAGGGATTGGTCTATCGGAGAATGGGTGCTGTGCATTTTCGAGACCTCGATCAACGGGCGTATGGGTGGCTTCAGCAAGGTCAGCCGCTCAAATTTTGGATAGAATAGTCGGGTGAGGGGGATGAGTTCTTAGTGAATGTACATGTATTCGATAGTACGAAGTTCTAAGCCCGGGACCACAGAAAACGGCGACCAGGAATGAGAATACACAGATGAGCTAGATCCCATGCTGTGTGAGACAGCTAGATTTATTAGAACGTCTATTGTAATGATAGACATACTTATGCACTACGGCATGCAGTCCATTCGCGGGTATCCTAGTGGGGGAGTTGGTATCGGGAACTATGTGATGTAAGAAGCAGAAGTGCATCCGGCATATGACTTCGTCGGGGCTTCGGCCCGCCTCCGATCGAACGCCGCCCGTTTGTCTTTATGCTCTCGCCACCCCTACCTACATATGTATCTCCTGCCATTTCGCTGTCAACATTCTTTGCAACAACTCGTGCTAGTCATCTACAGCAATTTGTTCAAGCTTACGCTCATTTTCCAAAACTACAGACTAGAACACTGCACTATTCTACCCACTTCCCTGCCAAATCATCTAATGCCTTTTCTTTGAGTGTGACTGCACCACCTGGCCTGGGCCAAGCGATGCGGCAGCTTGACGTCGAGAAGGCATCCACCGCTATCATCCGTCCATCGCGCTCATCGCGCCGCAATACTCAAGTCCAACTAGAACAGAGCACGTCTTGGGTATCTCCGCAATCATGAAGTTCAGTACGCCAGCCGTGCAGCTCCACGCTTTTCCCATCGTCGTCATTTACTTCGTTTCTCGTTTCTTGTCCCTTGTTGTCTCCCTTGTTGTCTTGATCAGCTTTTCCAACTCTCGGCTTCTCCTGCCCTGCCCTTCTACCTCCGGGTGTTAGTACGTACCCGCATACGCAGTGTCCATTTCCTATTCCATCAGGTGTCTACCAATCCGTCTAAGCGGAGTAACAGACGCATCGCTCACTCAGAACTTTCCTACAACATCATCGTACAGTCTCTCGAGGAACGTCCAGCTCCACTCAGCGATACCATCTATCTGCTTTACGTCGCGCATCCAGTCTAGCAGCAGCATGACAGTTTGCTCGACCTCTCCTTGGTCGAGATAGTGCCCCATGATGTCGTGGAGGCATTTGTCCACGGTCAACATCCGGAGCACGAGGAGTACCCCAATGAAGTTTTGCGTCCATGCGAAAAGCACTGGCACAAGACGCTTCCTACTTTTACATGGCCACATGGCAATCGGCCACAACAATGCGCTTCTCAGGCAGCGCGCCGCCATTTCCTTGTCTTCGTGCGTCATGGAGTTGGGGTGGTGCAACGCCTTGAAGACAAACGCCCGGTACACCATGAACTCGGCGTAGTAGTACCGCGAACGCAGCTGCGCTGTGATGATGTCGAGTATGTTGCCTCGCCACGACTCGGCCGTTCCTTGGTTGAATCTGAAGAGCACCTGCTGCGCACCGGGCACCCCTCTGCTACCGCTATGATTCGGATACGCAAATCGATCGGCATCGTGCCATTGCAGCGCCACCGGCAAAGCGTGGCGCCAATCGTCGAGCTGGGTTTTGAGCTCGTTGATAATGTGCGTGGGGGGACTCCCGGTCTCATCTGAGGGTTCGTTGCGACTGTTAGTCGCTGGGAAACATCAGTATAGTGTTTCGGGGTCGGCTTGGACCAGGTGCTGAAGCACTGTGTTGCGGAGTTGACTCCGTTCACAGCACCGGCTCCCGTACATATGGAGCTCCAGGTCCACGGGTACTTCGACGCGCCAAGAATTCGAAACACTTACCTCGCGAAATATCAGAGTGGATGCGCGCGATGACCTTGCGCAGGTATTCGAGCGCCGTAAAATGCAGCATGTTGTAGTGCATGTCGTCGCTGATGTTCGAGTCGCCATCCTCGGGCAGCGGCACCTCGCCCTGAAGATTGCAGAGCCCCGTTTGCGGCAGGTCCAGGTCCAAGTGGAACCAACTACATAAATTGGTTCATCGTTGTTCTGAAAGACCAGAATCGATCTGGGGAGCTATTGTCCGTACGTACTTTTCAATCAGATGGCACATCCAGTATACTCTTTTGACTGCAACGCCTTTGGAGCTATTCCAGTCCACTTGTTCGCTATATCACAAGTCAGAAAACTGAGTACAGCTCTCGGTACAGCAATACGAACCATCTAATGATAACTTGGCAGGCGGCGGCGGCAGCAACGGTGCAGCGCCAAAAGTCCTAACGTCGCAGGTGAGTAATGTTTATTTTGCAAGAACACAGGCTAAGCACTTACCAAATGTCGTGCGCATGATTCATAATAAAGTCTATTTTCTCACAGTTAGCAAAATAACACGGATGCGAGTTTCCTCTGGGAGACATACGAGGATAACAGGTGGCACTGGATGTTCTCCACACTGCACTGTGTGCTCACAAACCCCATGCGTTTCCTCGCTTCGTTGAAAATCGCAAGCCCCGGTGGCTCTTTTGACGTTCCACCCCTAATGCCACTGTTGGACCGCACAGGGACTCCGTTCGCGCCCTCGTCTGCAACAACGCCAAGCGACAGGACCAGTAAGACTAGAATCGAAACTAAGTCATCCCCGAAACCATTCCGGACAATACGCGCGAGAAAATCTTCCTGGAACTCTTTCCGGTCCAAAATGGGAAACAGTCTATTAAAATTTGAAAAATAAGCCTCGGTGTATTTGTTCATCACTTCCATGTTGAGGTCGGGAAAGCCTACGCCTTGTGGCGTGCTCACTCTTATCAGGGGCGTCCGGATTGACAGAACATCTGGGTGCTTGACCAAATCATGGCGCAGTATCCATGGTGTCCCTGAGCGGATGATGCTCTGGAGGTCCAGGCCAGCTACTCCTCTATCAGTCATGTACTCAGCGATGGCAGGCCACAGCAAGATTTTATGAGGAGCCGTCAGGATGTTTTGTGTCATCGGATTGTCCATGTACGAATACGTGGCGCTCTCGGGACTGAAAGCAGACATGACGTCAGGCTTGATGCTACCCGACATGGAGAAGGGGCTACTCAAGTGCAGGGTAGAAGATTGGCCGACTGTCGAGGCTGAGGTCGGACTTCTCGGGACCCTGAAAACAGGAGATCCAGGAACGACGTGGCGGCCGAGGACATCGATCTTGCTCTCGATTCGTGCTTGACCCTCAAGAACGCGGGTGATGTTGTCACTTATGTTGACCATGGTCTTGTCTTTTCTAACACCGTTGTTAGTATTGCGATTCGACAGCAACCTGCTGCCCCGCATCCATCACCGCGGAGCGGTGCCGACTCACTTGGTGGGCTGAGGCTCCCGGTACTTGCACTCGACGTTTAGGCGATGACATAAACTGCATTTTGGCCTTCTCTCATCACATTTTGACTTCCGGTTCCTACACGTCTCGCACGCCTGAGCAGCAATAGACGCGCGCTCGCGCCGTTGGCCGCCATCCCCAGGGCTTCCCACCGATTCACGATGCGCTTCAGCGATTCCAAACCCGCTCTCCATGCTGAACGGGCTGCGACTCTAAGTTCTAAGCTGCTCGCAACATGCGGTGGACGGTGCTGGATTTGAAGGTGGTGTGGACTTAAGCTGGTTAGATAGAGCCGGACCCCTCACAGACGGATAGCTGTGAACGACGGCGAGGATGAGGAAGAGTCGAGACGGATTTGCTGCGAGCAGCGCGATGCCTGGTGAAAGTGAATGCTAGTTGATACGCGGCGGGGTTGTGTGAGATTGGCCAACTGTGCGAGGCAGACGCGACAAGAGCTGCGCTTTGAGGATTCTCGCAGGCTTCGGATCGATCATGCGGGTTAGGGGAGTCGAAGCTTTCGCCTTCATCCACTCCACATGGTGCTCCGGACACTCTCCGCGGGCGGCACTAGGCTCACAATTTGCCCCCAACAAGCAAGACGGCAATTCAAGAATCCCGTAGAAGCGGGAAAACCTGGAGATTCAAGCTCTGTGCTCACCCTGAATGCGCAGGTCTAGCCCGAGCCAATAAGCAAGAGGGTAACCAAGGTTGCCACGTAGGCTTGCCACCGTGCTCGAAGCGTCTCGAAGTGCAGGTGTACCTGGAGCAGCTTCTCTCTGCTATAACTGCCCTTTTGATAGCGATTGGTATGGCCAGATGATGTGCACTAAGCAAGGACACGGGAGTACATCCAGACACAACTGACCTAGCTTCGACAAGTTCTTTTAGCTTGTGGTGGCTAGTCCAACTTCAATACCATCCGCTTTTATATAAAGTGGCTGACAACCAGCGGCAGCGACAACTTCGTGTCTATCTACTGACGAGCTGCAGCCTCCTTGCCAGACGAACGGAGCGCGTAATTCTCCACTGCACAAAATCCAGGGCCGAGGCACGACTTTTCGATATCGAATGGTAGTTCCGGATTGAGGCTGGTAAATCTCATAGCTATACAGTCGCCGTATGAGTTTCTCTTACCTGGTAACAATGCCACGACTCACAGAGGCGGCGGATGCGGCTCCATCAATAGTGCGTTTCCCGCTCTGCATGCGAGGATGATTCTGAAACTTACCATCAAGGAAATATCAAGCAAATTGCAAGGAGGCCTCGGGGCGGGTTGTTGGGCCGGACGGCGTTGCTTGCATGCTGAAACTGACATTCTCCCGCCCGGAGGCTTCTCCGGCTAAGCGACCGATGAGATCTTCATATGGTCCATCACGTGACTGAACCTCATCACAGGCTCATCCTCACCTTGTCTCGCCACTAGATCCTCAGAGCCACTTTTTCCCATCATCGCACCATGCTGGAATCCACTGTTGGAACCTATAGGAATTCGCCGTGATCGCCTGTTTCACCCACCAGAGCATTCGATGACGGCTCCCACTCCCGCTGCTCTCCTCCAATGGCCCTAGCAGAACAACACAATCGTCTCTTGGAACCTCGCCACCCCCGTTTGAACAGTCACGGCATGGACCCTTCCACGGCTTCCTCCCCGCTATTGTACTGTATGGACCCCTGGAATAAGCTCCGGGGCATCAATCACCTGCCAGATGAGCAGTGCAGCTTCTTCGATGCATACGACTGTTCGGGACGCATCGCCTCTAGCGCCCCAAACAACCTCGATCGTGGTAGTAAGCTGAGATGCGCAGCGGGCTGTTCTACCGGTGCCTAATCATGATTTGCTGCGGTGCCTGTGAAAGGTCACCATTATCACCCGGTGACTTCTCTTGACGATTACCAACACGCTCACGAATGTTTCTCCTCCATCCGAGGCTGAGGCGCATTATGTGGTAGTTTCGAGCATGAGTGGGAGCTTTCCATCTCCAAAGCTACCATACGACTCCCGTGATTCGTATCGAAGAGCGCACCGGAAACTCTACTTTGCGCGTCGTACTAACAACACTCACTGACAACAGTCGGCAGTTTTATCCATCCTACTTCCTCCTTCCATGATCGCGCGGTTTTGGTACCCGAACAGATCACCCAGTACGTGGACCAGATGGCAGGAACAAGACATTACATTGTAATCACGATGGTCCAAGGGGCGTTCACTCGAGCATCAACCGAGCAATTGCATAAACGACCCCTGGACCCGACTCATGCCAAAAAAGCAAGAGGCCCCATGGCCAATCCCTGCAAGAAGCCTCTCCATGGAATTAGACACGCGTCAAAAAACCCATAACGTAATGCGTGCTGCAAGCATGTCAGTATTCTTTAGGAACAACCACGCCGTATACACAGTAAACAAAGTCACGACGCCATGTTCCATTTTCACCCGCGAAAGCTCGTGGTAACAAGATGTACCTTGCATCAGCTGAGCGTAGAGCACTTCGCAATATCATAAGCCACCCGGCTCTATGCGCTTCCACTCCCGTCCAGCCTCGCGCGCCGGCTTTCCAGACAACTACGCACGTCGCCACTTCACGACCATGCAAGCCATCTCGGACTTTCTGCTTCTACTTGTACATGTACCTAGCTCCATGTGCGGTAGGTCAGACAGGCCCCTAACATGCTAACACGTCCGCGGTCCACAGCCTTCTCGAGTCGTCTAGCCATGAACAATAGCATGTGCTTTTGCCTCCTACTTCAACCCACATACCGAAAACTCGAACACTAGCCAACTCCGTCGGTGACCTGAGCCCTTACAAATGCTATTTGGTTCCATGCCTATCCAGCCTTGCGCCACATAGTTGACACAGACCGCAGTATCGACGAAAGAAAAAGCTCCTCGGCCGCTGGGGGAGGATGTTGGAATGATACTCGTGCACATGAAAAACAGACACTAGCTTAGCTTTCTATAACTCCATAAATTTCTCTACATGCTTCCCGAACAGACGTGAAGAACATGTCTATTGCCACCTCTCAATGATCCCAACCCCTCACCGCACCCGCGACTTCCAAAATCAACAGCTGTGGCGAGGTCGAGTGACAGAACGCCGAATTGTTTCGAAAACTTCATCCAGATTCTGATAGCCCATCGCAGCGCTCGCTTGCTCTTCTGTATGTGTGCCCGCCTGCATCCACACGCGCCCTTCTGCCAAAGCCTACCTAGTAAGCGTTCTCTTCCTCATAATAGAATACAGCGCGTACGACGTCTATTCGCTCTTGTTAAGTGCCAGTGAGACCACTTAGAAAAGTAGACTATGCAATGCTCCGTTGGTAGAACATCCCGTATCGTTTAGGGCTTATAGGGTATTGAAGAACTCTTGGGCTACCGTGTGGTACGTTAGTGTGGAGGCTTGGGCTCTGATGGGGCAAGACGAGATCGACAAGTTCATCTTGGGTTTGGTTATCTGAGAGTGGGTTTCCGTCCCAACGGGTTGCTTAGCTCTAGCGAGAGGTTTTAGAGGATAGGGAGGAATATAGCATGCGGGTGACATCCGCTTTCTTTTTTTTTTAAGTGCGGTGGGCATGCGTAGAATACAAGTCAACGTACGCTTGGATGTCAAGGTCTTTACTCCGTTAGTTGATTTCCGAGGCTCCAGGCAAGGTGAGAGTGATTTGTTATAGAACCCAGGGGCAACCTCAGCCGATTTCCTTTCGAGCTCTATAGCTTTCCATACAAGCGCCTCTAAGCCTGCCAAGCCCGCATCGGCCTCTTCATCATCCACGTCTTCCCTCTAAGCCTTCCAAGGCCGCGTCGTCTACTTCTACGTCTACCGCCAAGTCCGCATTGTCCACCTCAGCCATCCCAGGAAAAGTAAAGAATCCGAATACAAGTATAGATGTGCCAATCTTGGACCTAACTACCCCCGAGGACATTACTAGAAAATATAGTGGGCAGTTTAGAAATAATAATAGAATCCTCTAGTAGACTATAATAAATCTCTAGACTACCTGGCTAGCTTTAGGTTAGGATCTAATAACCTTAACAACCGCGTGGTCTATAGCGCTAAAGACCGCAGTTCTAGCTATCTAGGTGTCCGCGAAGCTGATATTACTTATTAGGGAATTAGGGAGAATTTTCCGGATCCACAGAATTATACTAAGGCCCTTTTCCATTGCATAGGCGTCTAAGTCGCACCAGCGAGGCTTCTGGGACAGCCTTGTAAACTCACTTATTAAGCAACACATTGCTGACCATCCAAGCCACCTAGATGGTTGCGAGCGGGAACTATTAAATGCAACGATGTGGTACAAAGTCAACGGGAGCGAGTGGTTAGGAAAAAACAAAAAAAGAAAGTCAATCTTTTCAACGAGATGATCGCAACCTCGGACACAACATCAGTTCTCAGCCCAGACATACACAACCCAATCGTACAAATCTAACCTGATCCACAAACCTTCAATCAAGACAACCAGCCCCCCTTTTTCCCATCTCCCCTGCTCCTCTTCCCCCTACATCCCCGCCCTCCTCACAACTCCCGCCACCTCATCCTCCCTGACCTCCCCCGGCACAAGCCCCAGCTCCGCTAATCCCCCCAAAAACCTCTTCCGCCCCTCCTGGTAACTAGCCTCCCACTCCGCCGCCAGCTTCTCCACCTCCCCAACCGCCCACTCCGTCCCCGCCTCCCCCGTATACTGCACCCGCCGCCTCACAAGCACCGCCGCGACGTTCTCCACCAGGAAAATCTGCTGCGTGAACCTGAGATCCAGAGCCGCAATCTCGTGCCGCAGATGCGGCAGCGTCGGGCTCGTGGGAACCGGCCGGGCCGGCAGCGGAGGGATGCGGACGGGCGCTGGGGAGTCGGCGGGAGTTGGTGGTTTAGGCTGTGGTTCGGGCAGATAGTCGGCGAGGCTGGCGGCGCTGTTGATGCGGCGGTAGCTGCCCGGCTCGCCTGGGCACGGGAGGTGGATGGGGAAGGTGATTTGGGCGGGATTTAGGGTGGATGGGTCGCCGCGGTAGATGTTTAGCGGGGTTCGTGATCGAGGCTTTGAAGGGTTGTTGTGTTTGGTGCGTTTGCGGGGGGAGCGGCGCGGTTCGGGGGTGGGCGCTGGGGGTTCTTGGGCTGAGTTGATGGTTGTCAGGCCTGAGGTTTCGGAGGTGGAGGTGGAGGGGGCGGGGCGTTTTATTGACTTTGGGGACGCTGGAGTAGGACGGGTATGTTGGCAGGAGAGCGTTCCTTCGGGCTCCGAGACGTTGGTAGAATCTTCAGAAACGCGGGTAGGGCGCTGCTTAGCCTTCACAGACATTGAAGCGGAGCGAGTGTGCCAGTGCGAGCGAGTCCCCTTCTTTTCTGAAGCCTTTGAGGCGGAAATGTCCTTAGGAACGGGAGCAGCGCATTGGGTCGACTTCTCTAGCACAGTGCTAGGACGGTCACTTCGGCGTGAGCAAGTTTCTCCAGGCTGGCCGGGTTCGGAGGTCTCAGAGGTATCTTCGGAGATGGGCGCGGCGGGTTTTCTCTTTGCGGGAACAGGATCAACGCAGGCACGCTGGTGCGAGTGAGCAGGCCGGCGGTGGAAGGATGGTTTCGAGAGAATGGGTGTCTCGTCAGACGTATCAGAGCTATAGCCGGTGCTTGAGCGCATGTTTTGGAGACGGCGGGAACGTCTAAGTAACCCAGGTTCTCTCGGCGCGTCTTTGGTTGCTTTGAGCGGCGGCGGTGCTGTGGACAGCGCCAAACGCGAACACTGAGATGATGAAGGAGTGATAGTGCCGATAGAACCGTTGGGTCTGGAGGGCTGGCGGGAGGTGTCTACGGCGGATGCCCGCTCGTGGTCGGAATCGGCAACTGATTCAGCGTGCGTGGGCGAAGATTCCGTGGGACCGAGCGCATTTGGAGGCTTGGAGCTGTGGTCGCAGAAGAAAGCGTTGACCCAGCATTTGAACAGATTCTAGAGTGCGGGTGTTAGTGAAGGTGCTGCTCTAGGGGACACAATAGCAAACTTACAGCGATTGTAGACATGGCGTCGGTGATGAATAAGTTTAGATGTTGCGAGCCGTGGTCTTTGTTTTGGCCGCAAAGCAGGCTGAGGATACGGACATGACGCAAACATCTGAGTACAATGACATAGTCTGTTATGGCTTGAACGATTCGCTACCTTTTGTGATGTTGGAAATGTGAAGCACGCTTATTTGCGGATGCTTGGGGTGCGTCAAATGCTGCAATTAAACCCCAAGGCCTCGAATGCAATATTACCATTATTGCACTCTCACCAGCCTAGGAATAGTGCCAAAAGCAGAAGGACCACAGTTTTACTGGTCCAAACAAGCAATAACAAACATGTAGGCAGGCTACACCTGCTGTGTGATCTGTAAAACAGATACAAAAAGGGTTCAAGGAGCAAAAGACCACCCTCCTCGAGGGAGGGTGTAGAAACCCCGGGCGGTTTACTCCGTTTCGCGACGATCAGGACTTACGTTTCCGCGCGACTTTTCAGTCGAATCTATAGGGAATAGCCATAATGTCGATTTCTGACAAAGGCTGGATTCGAACTCACAACCTCTGTGGGGACTCGTTGGTGGCGCTGAACCAACTGAGCCGACCGACCTGCTGTTCGAATTAGTTGGAAGATGGCAGAATTAACCCAAATATATGGACTCACACGGGCTGTCAAGCCACAATCTTTCACCCTGTGGCGTTGCAGGTGGCTGGGCGCCGACGGGCATGGTTCCGGTCAGTCTCAGCCTCGGTGGCGGTTACCTACTTAAGAATTCTACGGCAAAGTCATTGACGTAGACGATCATATCAGCGTCGGGAGCTGTCATCTGAAGGTGAGCAACAATGTATACGGCCTGGCTTCAAGAACAGGATTCCATTCCCAGCCCTCACAGCATGAGCGAAAGACTTACATCAGTACCATACCTATCCCAGTTGCCAAACCCCCCACCCAGTAATCCCCGCGCCACAAATCACATACACCATATGATTCCTCCTTTCCTATACGACTTTGGTTGGTGGTATGGTTCACCTCTGGCGAGGTGAGGGCCGCTAGTTCAGCGATAACTTTTTAGAATGGTGATAAGAAAGTGTGGTCAGAGTCGGGACAGTACTAGAGAACCGCCACATCCCCTTTCACTGTATTTTCTATTTTGGGGTTGAGATTGAAAGAGGTGAGGTGAAAAGAACTTGGGGGCGCCCAGAACGCAGAGTCGTGATCTCATGACGGTTCTTACCTCTTACTGGAACGAGCAATGAGAATGTGCAATTCTTACAGTGGCAGTGGTATCATATTCAAAAATTCACCTCTTATACTCCTAAAGTTTCTTGCAAAAATCTCTCCCGTGCCTAACCTGCCAATTGCACAACCAAACCTCAAACGCCATCCCCACGAAGCCCGCTATACAAATACCCCCCGAATCGCTCACACTAGTAGCACCAAGACTAAATTCGCGGTCCGCTTTGGGCACATTGTCTGTTATCTCCGCGAAGGTGCTTACGTACACGAGGCCGCCTAGGAGCCCTTCCCAGAAGATGATGAGGCACACGATGTAGAAATTTGGGATGAAGTCGAACAGCGCGTGCGACGTGAGGAGAATCAGGTTCAATACTTGAAGTATTGAAGGGAAGTAGAGGTGGTGGACACGGAAGAACGGAGTTGAGGATCTTGATAGGAAGACGCCCACCTGGTAGACAGCGTTGTAGGTAGGGTAGAAGGATCTGAAGTGTTCGAAGGGGCTTGATTTGAGAGGAAAGAGGAGTGTGGGCGCGACGCCTTGATTGATCGTGTACTCAGCCACATAGACAAGAAGGAGGGGAAGCATACTAGAGGAATTGTTAGCGGGGAATTGCTTACATGGTCTCTAAACGTACTATGGGAAGAACAATCCTCGAGAGCGAGCAAGATTTGCCTTTAGACTATTCCATGCGTTGCGTGTTCGCGATCTCGACTGGTTGATGAAAGTAAAGCTGCGGCCTGACGCCGAATGCATGGAGGAGCTGAGTAGATGCTCGCCTTCGGGAGATGCAGTGGGTGAGGAATCGAAGTCACTTTCTTCGGCAGAGCCAGTAGGTGCTTGGTCTTGGTCTTGGTCTAATCTCTCGTACTCTGCTTGCTTTGCGCCGGCCTTGAGAGGGCCCAAGGGCAAGATGATGAAAAAGCTAATCAGCATGATGACGGGCAAGAACGAGAAAGCCAGGAGACTCGTGCGCACACTCAGTCCCAGAGTGGTTGTGGCGATCACGTAGGCCCCGGCTCCGATGAGCCCTGCTCCGCCTGTCCCAGATCCCCATGCAGCGAGACTAAAGTGGCCGTAATGATGCGTCAACCCGAGAAAGCTGAGCTCTCCGCCTCCGCTGCTCAAGCTGGCTAGGACGACGCCTAACATCTTGACTGCGACTGTTTTGCCGTCGCGTGAGGCGGGAGTCAGGGCAATAAGAAGCATGCCACATGCGGACAAGGCCACGAAGATGAGGATTCGGATCTGGTAGGGAACCTTGTGGATGAAGTATGGGGCAACCAGCTTGGTCAGGAAGGAGGGTATCACGTCGGCGAGCAGCACGACGCCCTTGGGGACTGATGGCCCGACGAGGTCGAGGGCGGAGGAGAGGATGATGACATAGAGGACGTTGTTGATCAGGCCTAGGACGTCAGTCTATGGATGTCATAGATTAGGTTGAACATAAGAGGTCTCATATCTTTGAATTTCAAGTGACACTACAGACGCGGGACTAGTTGGGGAAAGGAGTCCAGAGAATATGCATACCGAACAGCCAGAAGGCAGCACATACACGCGGATCGGCGCCATCGAATACGGATCTGAGACGCGCGCGGAACAGTGGCCAGGACGCGGCAGGCGAGCCTGGCATAGGCAGTGGCATGGGGAATGCAGGGCTAGACAGCGCAGGCAGCCGGATGAGGGGCGTGTGTCTGCAGCATTTGGCTGGTGGCTGGTGGCTGCGCGGTGCCAGGCGTGCGTTATCGTGAGTTGTCGTCTCTCGTCTGGTGTTGAGCAAGCTGCGAGTGACAGGTCGGCATTGGCAACAGGCCCACTAACTCGGGCCGGGATTAGCGTCCAAGATTAGCTTCGGGCCCTGGGCGTTGGCGTACAAAGGGATGCAAAACACTCGATGCCATTCCACGGTTGCCAGGCCCGTGGGCTTGACTGGCTCGCGCCCACATTGCACTCCATGCCGCCCCGCGCTCACGGGCGGCATCTCAGCAGGGGCCCCGGCCGGGCGCATGCGTCGTGTGCAGTTTGACTGTGCTGGCTGCGCTCACCGCCTTGATTGCGCTGCGCGCTGCGCGGTGCCTGGTGCTGGCTCTATTACTCGGGGCTGCGGCGCGTCGGGTCGGCGAAATAGAGCGCTTCAGCGTCGCACTCGAGGCACGGCGTGTGTGCTGTGCGTGGCCCGAACGAGCAAGGCTGTGGAGACGGCAGAGGGACACATCCCGGTCAAATCGGCCCCCAAGGTCGCCCCGTCCAGGGTGGCTTGCTCGGACACGCTAGGCGGCCCACCTTGTCGTCCCAAGGTTCGCCTTTCCTTCTCTCCCAGCTCATCCATCCACCGCTCCTCCATCACCAACCACCCCCTCGACACCTGCTCGCCCGTCCTCCTCGCCCGCAGTGCTCTCCAGAGCCATGCGAGCGCGCCTCCCGAGCACCAACTAGCTGGCGACGATCGAGCCAAGTGCCTGGCCGACCGAGCAGAGCAGCGCGACCACGATGGATCCACGACACAACCAGCAACAGTCGCAGCACCCCTTCACCCGCCCGCTCATACACAACCCGAACCACCAGCCGGCGCCCCCGTCCCAGCCGCGGCAGCCCTACTCCTCCTATCCTCCCGTCTCGCAGCCACAACCCCCCGTCCACGCGCCCTTTTCCGACCCGTACACGTCGAGACGGGACCCTTTCCTCCCAACACCCTCCCAGCAGGGTCGCCGAGAGGGCTATGGCATACACGATGGTCTTCGCGATAGAGATGCCGCGCCTGCAGAGCGCCAGGTCATGAATGGAGGCTGGGCAAATTCAGGTACGATACACGTCTGTTCACCGGCGACGATTTCTTAGGCACAGCACACGCGAGCATGTTTCCACATCGACTCATGAGCGGATCCCTTGCCGACTACGCCATATGCGCTATCCTCGTACCCCTTGAGCGTTTGCAACACATTCTACAACCGTTGGACCAGAGCAGGAGGCAAGGGTTTGTCTAGCCGCCGTGTCTTGTCGTTGCGTCACACGCCACACCGTGCATCTGCCATGTGCAGGAAATCCCGCGCGATGCAGCATCCAACAGGCACGCAGCATCGAGCAGGGCAGTCCCCCAAACGCAAACTCGCGACTCGCACCCGTACGACCGCAACGACCGGATACGCGTGGCTAAGACAAACACCCACTGAAGAATGCTCGAGGACAACGCGTTAACTGCCCCCTCATCCCCTCTCTATGCTCTCATCGGCCTTCAGCCTCTTTTCTGCTGAACCACCGGAATCCTCGTCCGTACCCACACTTTGGCGCGCTAAGCGAGCTTGTTCCTGGGGCACTAGCTTTTTCTAACTGGCGAGACGTTTGATGGCTGATCAGGTTTTAGCGGCTCAACACCAGCATCACCACTCCCAATCTGGCCCGCCGCCTCCTCCCTCCATTACGTCCGCCCATAGCTCCGCAAACCAGCCTTCCTACGGCTACGATGCTGCACGGAGACGCTCTCTCGGCGGCGCCAGCCCCCCAACTCTCTACGGAGGTAAGCTCTATTTTTGGTCCCGTTGCAGACGCATCGAACACTGCAGTCGCACCGAAACCCGGCATGAATTGGGCGACACAATCCATGTTCATGACTGCCACGACATCCGCTTGGCATGGTTGATTGGATGTTTATGCCAGGCTAGGCCCGCACTATCATACCCCCCTAACCGTATATCGTTCTGGCCAAGCGTCACGTTACTAAGCCTTCTGCAGCTCCCCCTCATGAGGCTCCACCACCCCCGCCGTCGTTTCCTCGCCCGCATATGCCACCCCCATCGTCCCCCCAGCAGCCGCAGTCTCACTTGTCTCATGCGACCAGCCAGCGTCCAACCTTCCCGCCGTCATCATACGGCGGCGGGCGAGAGCTTCCCGGCCTAGCCTCAGGTCACCGACAGGGAGGCAGTATGTCTATTTCTTCCCTCATCGGTGGTGATTCTTCAACGTCTAATCATGCAGCTCAAAATCAAGCCTCTTCTCCCGGTACATCCGCCTCAGCCACCCCAATTAGCAATCATGCCATGCAACCTCCGTCTCCACGGCGGGTGGCTTCCGGATCTAGGTCTGAATTCACCCAGTTCCGCCGAAACCCGTCTCCCGACAGGCACGCGATGCCAAACTCAGTAACGAGGATGTCTGAGGGGCATGGCTATTCCGCCAGCTCTCCTCCCAGACCTTATTCTAGTAGCCATGGATCCCCAGAGCATGGTCGGCAAAATCTGCCCCCAGCTTCGCAACCGTATAGGCCAATGACGTTTCAGGGCTCGCGACTTTACCAGTCGTCCCCTAACGATGCACAATCACGTGACTCGCGACAGTCTGGCATTCCTCCGCGTCCAAGCAGCCAGCCTTCTGCTCCAGTCGAAGCAGAGTCCAAGTCAGGTCTTGATGCGCTAGGGCCAAGACGAGCTGCGTATGGAGCCAACGAAGGCGAAAGAAGGCGAACTATGGGAGAGTCTCATCATGCCAGGCCCAATACCTCCGAACTTCTAGGCGGTGTGACGCAAGAACAGCGAGACCGCGAGCGTCCAGTTACGGTGCAACCTGTTTCGCAGTCTGCTTTCAGCCCTCCCCGAGACCAGCGAATTTCGGCGCTTCCCCAGGAGGCCTCACAGCAATCCCAACGAAACTTGTTCTGGCGTAACCAAGCCGGAGCTGGGGAGGAAGGCCATCGAGGCCAGAATCCCGGCTCCGCTCCATTGTTTCGTCTGGGATTCGGAGGGCCTGCGGCTCCGTCTCAGGCGCAGTCTACATTTGCAAACGCAAGCGCCGATGACCAGGCGCGAATCCGAGCGGCATCTGAAAATCACCGGTTGATAGAGCAGTACCATGCGCCGCCGACCTCCGATCCGAACAGTACGGAGAGGCGGAGGGCTGAACAGTTTGTACAAACTCCTTCATCCGGTTCCAATTCGTACACACCTCGCTCTGTGGGGTATGAACAGCAGCAACGTCGCTTCGGCGAAGAAATGCTACCACAAAAGTCGTTCCTAGGCAACTTGGGTCCAGAAGCAAACAGACGAACAGGACGAGCATCACCACTTCCTCAGGCCGTACAAGGTGCTCAGGCTCAACCAGCGGGAATTGGCGGCGACCCTAATATCAAGAGCGAATTCGGAAGGATGTTTTCTGGTTTAGGGAGCGGACTAGGGACTGGTCCTCCTGGCATTACTACACCATCGAGACAAAGCCCTCTTCCACAGGGCTCCCAGGAGTCTCTGGGCGGAGACTTCATGTCTCGAGTTAACTCTCAGGGCGGACGAAAACCGAAGAGGGTAAAGGATGAAGACAATGCGCTTGATAGCGATGGAGACGGGAGAGGCACGCCAAACCTCATGGGCTCGCGTGGGCCTAAGCGCAGCAAACACAATCACGCAGCCCACCATCATCACCACCACGCCCATCCGCACCAGTAAGTGTTTGTTGGGTGGCTTCCTTGGACAAACAAGCTAACCGTTTGCAGTCATCACCATCATCACCACAAACCAGAGGATGAAGCCGCTAGCCTACCTCCTAATGCTGCAGCCGCTCCTTTTAATAGTGCTCGATATGGTTCTGCTCAGCCGCAAAATGGCACGGCAGCGCAGATGGCCCATCACCATCACCATTATCACACGGGCCCTCACCACCATCACCACGCACCAAGACCCAGCCAGCCAGCGCTAATGCCTCCTCCTAAGCCTGTAATCCCCGAACACGATATCTCGTCGGTTTTGCAAGATGCTGCCAAGCAGCCTCGACGCCATCTAGGAAGTCAGATGTATGAGGCCAAGGTAGAACTCCCAAAGGCAAACTCCCAGCTAGACGAACAATTCGGGTACTCGTCCAAGCCGAAGCCCCTACCTGACTGGGACTTCAATCCCGTCAACTGTACCTTTACGATTCGCGTGCCACACCAGTACCTACGACCTAGAGAACGGTCGCAAATTGTAACGCAGCGGCATCTCTGGGGCACGACAGTCTACACGGCCAACTCGGACCCCATCGCGGCCGCCATACACTCGGGTTGGCTCCGTGGCGAATGGAACGACTCAGTCAACGTCGAATCGCTCGACCCTCGACTTTCCGATCCCAACAATCCCTCTGACGCCGAGGACACGCTCGAGAAAAAGCCCAAAGCACCGGTGGTCCCGCCGCCTGAGATGAGCCTCCACATCACACTGCTCATTCTGCCAACACTCGAGGAGTACTTCCCGATGACCGAGTACGGAATAACGAGCCGCAAGAAGCTGGGTTATGATGGGTGGAGCTTCATGATCCATAAAATGCAGTGGGTGGAAGAGGGATTCGGGGTCCGCGGGCAAGAGAGGGGTGCTGCGGCGCTGAAGAAGAGGCTGGATGCTAGCAATGCGCTGATGGCTCTCATGAATGGCTCGAGGTCATTTGGGAAGATAAACAGCGGTGGAGTCGCCGCTACAGGGAGCGGGTTGACGAAGCTGCATGCATGAGACAGACACTGAGAGTTGTGCTGATGTCGTGTGTTTCCGCAGATTCTGAGGATCTAGGTCCGCCTCGTACCATTGGCGGTTCTGTTAATCTTGGTGCAAGTGCAGAAGTTATGAAGGAAAGGCGGCGAAAGATGATTGAATACTGGCGGCTGGGGCATATATCGTCACTTGGTTGGAATGACTGATATTAGCAGCACGTACATTTGGATGGGCGAGTGAGGTTGAATACAGACGATGTGAGTTGGGGCAACGAGCACAGCACGGGAGCGGAGCCGGGACGATTCAGTTTCCTGTCTGTCTAGCATCGCTATATACCCATACCTTTTGACGCATGAGACGGCCGGTAAGAGCGAAATTGGGTAGCTTGCGCAAACACAATGAGACTTTATCAAGGTAGTCCTGTAATTATAAAAGGAAGTCGGACTATGAGTTTGCGTACCACTTTCCAGCTACTACTTGAAGGGCGGGAGTGGAGTCGAGGTTAGCGCCCTGGCCCACACGTCGGTCGCCTGCATGATCGGTCTTTGTCTTTGTCTTTAGCTTCACGTCTCCATTCACACCACTCTTAGCAGCTAGAGAGCTATTCTGTTTCTCGGAGAAGACGTTCAACCTTCTCTCAGCTCTTCTCCTGCTTTGTATCCTCGGTACCAGTGGGCAAGTCCAAAATCCGTACGACCGGAGGGGTGCCTACGTCTTCAAAATGCACGTTCGTGTGCCTTGGATTCATACGCACACAAATGCGATCTATCCTGTCTAGTTTGCACAAAATTTGTATCTTGCGGGGATAGCAGCATCATGGACTCGCGGCCAGATACAGCGTCTTCAGAGAGAAGCCTTTTGGAGTATTGAAGCGTACTAATAATCCACAAAGCGATCTACACGCGATCAAAGTCCTTTGCGCCGCTTTGAGAATCCAAGGGCCAAGCTGTTACCAGAGAATAGGTCTGGTGTACTCAACTCCTATGCGGCACATCTCTACTATGGCAAATCGGCTCTCAGAGCGGCTGACACGAACGTATGCGCCGAATTCAATCTTCTAGCCAATCTATACGTCTCTGCAAAATCGTTCTTCTAACCAACCTCCACGTCTTTGCGGAAGAGGCGCAAGACGCTGAGCGCAAGAGCGACATGACCGATGCGATCTTAGCGCTCGCAAACCCAAATGAAGAAGAATACAGCACCGCCAGAACATGCCCGGGATGGCGCCCTGTCGACGTCTACAACGAGCTTTCCGGACACGCAAAACGACTGATTTGGAATCGAATACCTCCCTCAAAGAGAAAAGCCGAAATCGAACCTTTCGTAGAGTTCATCTAGGATCTTAACGGGCAAAGCGCCTTCTTGTTGGAATCTACAAAGGCCTCGCCGCAGAGTTCATCTGGGATGGTGCCTTCTTGCCAAACTCTACGCAGACCGCATCTTTTCGCATAAGCTCAAGCTTGAAGACAAAAGTCGAGACGAATACTCTGCAGAGTTCATCTGGGATCTTGCCGATGCCTTCTTGTCGACGCCTTCTTGCTGACGCTTTTTGACAATATCCACACAGACCGCGCCTTTCCAGACAAGCTCAAAGACAGAAGTCGAGACGAGTACCCTGCAGAGTTTATCTGGAACCTTGCCATGGTTATGCAGGAACGCAAGCCCTTGCCCAGTCACCTTGACCTCGAGAAGGCCAGCACCATGAGATGTCATAAACCGGTCGATACCACAAGATGTCATGAACCAGTCGACGAAGTCAGCTGGGAGGGCGACAAACGAGCTCGCCAGCTCGCCGTTGTCCTCCAGAAGGCCGGCACCACAAGATATCATGAGCTGGTCGACGAGATCAGCCGAAAGGAGAACAACGAACCCCGAAGCGGCGAACGAGCTCGCCGTTGTCCTCCAGAGGGTCGGCACCACAAGATATCACGAGTCAGTCGACGAAGTCAGCCGAAAAGAAAGGGGAATACGGAACTCCAAAGCGGCGAACGAGCTCGCCGGTATCCTCAAGAAGATCGGTACCACAAGATGTGGCTAGTGGGTCAATGAAGCCAGCCGAAATAAGAGCTACAAAGCCAGAGCGACGAGACGAGTGGCTGATCTCATCAAGAATGCCGGTATCACAAGATATCACGAACAGGTCAACAAGATCAGCCAAGATGAGGGGAACGACATCCAAAGCGGCGAAATCAGTCGGCCTCCCAGCGTTTAGTAGAGCTAGAATCGGCTGCGGAGAAGTAGGAAGTGCATTTTTGATCGTCGTACAACCTCAATCTTTCTCTCTGGACTCGTGTGCACTTGCCCGGCACTGCTTGAGGTCCTCCAGTACCATTTTAGCATTTGTGAAAAGGCACCCTAACAAGCCTAAAACCTGTCCGGGCCGCCTTAGACGGTGTGTCACGTGGGGCACGAAAAAGGTGGCATTCTAATTCTACAATAACATGTCTCGTGTGTACACCTGTCTACCACTGCTTGGGGTGCTTTAATGCATTTTCAGGAATCTGAACGAGACAGAACCCCTCCACCTTGGGCTATATGGAAACTCGTTGAATCAACCCAAGCAGTGGCAGAGAGGTGTACATAGGAGACAGATTGGTTGATGACTGTGCCATTTTTTTTCCCGCGCCCAGCGTAGGTGCTAGACTGCCGCTGTATGTTCAATGAAGCCAGGCAGACGTCTGCCGGTCGACGTTTCTTGTAAGTGTCTCTAGAGTCGGCCGAGTTGGATGCTGGTGTCCGTTTCGTAATTGAAGCAGAATTGCCGTCAGAATCGCGATGTGTTAAAGGGGTGGAAGTTATGCTCACGCTACCTAGAGGTCGCATTGTGGTTCCAATCACAGTCATGCGCGCGTGAGATGGTCTCTGGAGTCTGTTGGATGGATTCCTGCTGTCTGGCTCCTATTCGAATCATAAATGAGCTCAAAATCGTAGCTTTAGGTCAAAGGGGGGTCCCGATTCTGGGCTCAAAAGAATATCATATCAATTCCACTTGCATCTGATTGCCTTTGTACGCTTTCCAAGTGATATCTAGATCCTGTAGAGACAATCTATGGTGTCCCTCTCTATTTGAAGTAGAATTGGGCTGGCAATGACAGGTTTTGGCCAAAAGGGGTCGGTTTCTGGCCCCTAAAAACAGAATTCCAGCCAAATTCCAGCGGCTCCAATCGCTCTCAAATTCGACCCTCGATTCCGAGCCCAATTCTAGTCTGACTGCAAAATGGAAACGGCCAATCGACTCGGTGGAGGCCAGAGACGCTACGACAAACTGGCTACGGCACCCAGACGCAAGATGCAGCTTCTGGGTGAGCGCAGGCCCGGCTTTGATGCGAGTCTGGACTGACGGACTTTTGTGGTCGTCGGTGCTTTTTATGTCGTGTCGCCCTGATAAGCGGCGTGGGCTCCGCTTTCGCAATGGCGGGATGGGGATCCCCTGGCAGGCGGGAGGGCTTATTGAGATAATCTCCAGTGCGTCCTCTTTCTTTCGAATCTGCCAAAGCCCAATTCCCCAGACACCGACTTTTCTAGCACTTTGGTCCGCACCTGAGCATCCCAGACGCCGGGTTCAGCCACGACGAGCCCTCGCCCGAGCCGCCACGACGGGACGCACCGACTGCCTGGCAGTCTGACCGAGCGGGCGGAGATCGGAGAGCCTCATTGAGGGGATACCTGGGAGATAAGATGTCGAGGGTCCGGAACTACTCGATGAGCAGGGTCAGTGGACTGCCTTCTCGTTCTTCCCAGCCGTCTATCGTGGTTTCTTCCCTGTGCTTTCATTCCGCGGCTGTTTTGCGGAGCTTCCGATGCTGGATGGGACGATGGAGGGGCACCAGCCCCGGCCGTTCGGGCAGACACCGCGAGGAAAGCGCCGGCTTTATGTCCACGATCACGGAACAACTGGCAATGGCGTCACGCGGTCTACGAGACGAGAAGACAGTGCGACGCGTGCTGAACACAGGCCGCATGCGAACGACGCGGGCTGCGGGCTGCGGGCTGCGGGCTGCGGGCTGCCAGCTTTGACGCCACACCGTCGTGGAGCACGCACTGGGCGTTGTGAAGCAGCGCACGGCGTGATCGCGACGCTCTCCTGCACGCCAAATCAGCCCGTCCAGCAGTTCTCGCAGGCACGACGGGCATTGCCAGCCCCGCCAGGCAGGCGCCAATTTATATCCAGAGCTGCGAATCGGACAGGCATGCGGACCCTTCACAGCATCGACGGCCCTAGGCCCCTCACCCCGCTTGTGGTACCAGATTTTCTGGAGAGCGAGCCGAGCTAAGCCATCAGGCCGCGAACATCATCATCACCTGTTCGCCCACGCAACACGGCAACACCAACGAGGGCCCCAACACCGCCAACGCTGCCAATTGCTGCCATTCTTTGCCCATTTCTCCCACGAGTGCCTGCACCGCCCGCCGTCTGCTCTCCGCCCACGACCAGCCCCACTGCAGCCACTCCCACACCGCCAGACACCCATTGTGTTTCTTTTGCCAGACCTTTTCGCGACTCCTCTCTTTCTTCCTCCACTGCGCCTAAGCCGCAAGCAATTCCTCCTTCTCTTTCCTTCGTCATGGCGACCAACGGCGTCTTCGCCCCCAACATGCGCTCCGTCCCCACGGGCGAGTTCATCTCGCCGAGCAGGAAGACTAACGGTGCCGGCGTCCAGGCAGAGGACACGCGGATATGCGTCGTCATGGTGGGCTTGCCCGCGAGAGGAAAGAGCCTCATTGCGCAAAAAGGTACGGCCGTCTTGACCTGTACACACAACGTCGCGTATCTGGGCTAATTGCTTTCTCTGAAACAGTCGTTAGATACCTCCACTGGCTCTCCATCACCGCCAAAACCTTCAATGTCGGCCAGTACCGTCGCACCGCCACCCCAAACCCCTCTGCCGAGTTCTTCGACACCACAAACCCAGAAGGCGAGCGATTACGTCGCGCGGCGGCCGAGGCGGCAGTCAACGATATGTGCAAGTGGTTCGCCGAGGGTCGCGGACTCATTGCCATACTAGATGCGACAAATTCGACCAAAGATCGACGGCGATGGATACAGGAGCGATGCACCAAGCAGAACATAGAGACCTTGTTCGTGGAGAGCAAGTGCGACGACGAGGACCTCATCATGAGCAACATCCTAGAAGTGAAGACCACATCCCCCGACTACGTCGGCCAAGATCCTGAAGTCGCGGCCCAAGATTTCAGGGACCGGATACGAAACTACGAGAAGGTCTACCAGACGATCGACGAGGATGAGTACGATTTGACCTACGTCAAGTTGATCAACGTGGGAAAGCAAGTAATCATCAATCAGATACAGGACTACCTGCAGAGCCGCGTGGTGTACTACCTCATGAACTTGCACATCAAGCCGCGCTCCATTTGGTTATCGAGGGTGTGTACCCCATCTCTCCGTCTCGAAACATGCTAATCTATCTCTAGCACGGCGAATCCAACTACAACCTCAGCGGCAAGATCGGCGGCGATGCAGACATCTCAGACCGCGGCGAAGCCTACGCGCGCGCTCTCCCCGGCCTGGTCGCGCAATCCGTCGGCGATGGCCGAAAGCTCACCGTCTGGACCTCAACCCTTAAACGCACTATCCAAACCGCGCGCTTCTTGACCTTTGAAAAGCTCGAATGGAAAGCCCTCGACGAGCTTGACTCCGGTGTCTGCGACGGCCTCACCTATGGCGAAATCGAGCAAAAATACCCCGACGACTTCAAGCAGCGTGACGAAGACAAGTACAACTACCGCTACTTGGGCGGAGAATCGTACCGCGACGTGGTTATTAGGCTGGAGCCCATCATCATGGAGCTAGAACGCAGCGAGAACATCCTGATCGTGACGCACCAGGCGATCCTACGGTGCATCTATGCATACTTCATGAACGTGCCGCAGGAGCGGAGTCCGTGGATGGAGGTCCCGTTGCACACGCTGATCAAGTTGACGCCCAAGGCGTACAGCACGCAGGAGGAGAGACTCAAGGCGGACATCCCGGCTGTTAGTACGTTCCGGGAAAAGGGGAGCAGTGCTAAGCATCAGTGATTGTGGCAGACCAACGAGATTGAGGAGCGGGTTCGGAATGAGAATCGGCCGGCCTTGTGGAACAAATATCAGGAAAAGAGTGTGGATGGTTGGGTTGGGGAGAGGCTGTGATGTTTTGATACTGGGTTGTGAAGGCGGAGGGAGATAGGACGTCCACATACGGAACATGAACCAGATCATTGAAGCGCCCGACGATTGTTTCACGATACGACCAACACTCGCATCACGGAATCCGATGCGATATCGGATGATTCCACTACTGGACGGATATGTGGGCCTTCTTAACTCCACTCGGAAGGCTACCATAATCCTCTTTATTCTTTCCCTCTCTTTTCTTTTCTTTCTTTCCTTTCTAGGGCTGGCGACTGCCCCTATGTTCTTGATGCCAGCATCTCCATGGCGTTTTCGGGCTACAAGGATACGCAAACACGACTGGCTTCATGCCGGGAGAGTACGTATTTAGATAGGTTATGGTCTGGGTTTTCGGCTTTAGCTTGTATTGGAAAGTGATCAATCCAAACGGGGCTAAAGGGGAGGCGGAGTTTTACATAGAACTCGGAAATGAGAATTGGCATCTCTGCTCTTAAATATTTTTGTTGGTGTTTTTTTTTGTAGATCTGGGGGTGGTGATTTGGCAAGTGGGTTCTGATATGCCGTCGACATGAAAATAAAAAATAAAAATTTCTTGCTTCTGGTTTTTCTCTTTCTTTTCTTTTCCTTTACGTGCGGTCATATGCTAATTCACATGATTCTAGAGCTCTTTGAGTGGGGGTGGGGTATAAAACCATCGTCCTCGTCTGCGAAGTTCGAAGCTTCAGGAGGACAAGTTTGGGGCTTGGAGACTTTTCAACAAGCATGACGGAATGTTCTATGGGGGTTTGGATCTGGGTGTTTGTGCAGCAAAAGAGCGCATCACCTTCTGGTGCTATGGCGGGAGGCAGGGCCGCGGAGGAACAAAACGATGCTTATCCTATGCCATGGCTGGGAAAAGGGTCGGCTGTGGATGATCAAACCAGTGTAGTCGGAGCGTACAATGGCTGGGAGCAGGAGGATCGAGCGGTGTGAAAGAGATTTGGTGGTGATTAGGATAATTGGGCGAAGACGAACTGCGAGGTGGTGAGCACTAAGATGAGGTTTGTGGTGTTGCTTAGGTGCTGCTTATCACCATCATAGCACACATGTTCTAGAGACGTTGTTGGAAGGTTGGAGAGGCGACTATCGTCTCGGACGAGTGCATGCGTGCCTCAAGTCTTTCAAAATTTCACGCTATGGCCCGAACATACTCTAGCGAGTACGGACTTATTATACTTCTACAAGTAATCTCTACACAGTCCGGCCCGGGCCACCGCCGAACTCTTCGTCCTGCACCGAGTCCATCATCGCACCTCTTGCTTCTCTCCAAGCCTCTCCCTGCCCCGACCCCATCCGGCTGGACCGTCGAGCTTGGGGCGGCGGTCTCTGTTGCTGTTGCTGTTGCTGCTGTTGCTGTGGTTCAGCAGGCCCGTCGCGTCCATCGGCATTCTCTCTACGGGCTGGTGAGCTATGGTCAGACATACTCAGGGAGGAGAAGTTAGGAAGAAACAGGACACTTACAATCATCCTCACTCACCCATTCCTCCCCCTCACCACCCGGATTCCCTGCTAGCCCTTCGCTGTCATCCAGGGGTTGCCCAGGCCGCATGCCCCGTCCAGAAAGACCTCTTCGTCCCCATTGAGGCCTGCCGCCGCGTTGGCCTCCTCGGCCCCTGTTGCCAAACTGGCCTCGCGGGTCTCCGCCATCGAGGCCGTCGTCGTGCATCCCCGGCCCAGCGCCCATAGCACTTTGTCTTCGTCCTGCACCGCGAGGCGGGCGGGCTCCTCGCGGTGGCATACCGCCGCCCATGGCAAAACGCCCAGCTTGGTTGGCGCCAAACTCATGGTCAGGAATCGACTCCTCTCCAAAGTCTTGCTCATAGCCCATCCCAGCATACATATCACCCGGACCGCCTCCACCCCCGGCGCCCATCTCACCATACGGATCGCCCACAAACCCATTCCGCCCTCCCCCTCCCATTCCAAACGGCATCTCCCTCATCCCCCTACCCATTCTAGGATCCATCCCCCCACCCCCACCACCACCACCACCACCACCAAACCCCTCCCCCCGTCTCCCCTGCATCCCCACCAACCTCCGCAACTCGTCCACATCCCGCCTCCTCCCGCGCTCCAACGCCTCCATCCGCCCGAGCACCTTGCGCTCGCTCTTCTTCACCCGCTCCCTGCACCCCCGATCCCCTTTCCCCCTATCCCCCCTGCCCTTTCCACCCCGGCCATCGTCCCCCCCACACGCCGCCATCCCATTCTCCACGTCCTCCTTCAGCTCATACCGGATCTCCCCCTCGCCCATGGTCCCGTCGGCGCGCCGGCTGCGGTACAGCACGCGCGTCCCCTGGCGGCACCGGCACGCCGTCTTGCAGAAGCACGCGTCCAGGAAGGCGTCGCCGGGGAAGCGTGCGTAGTCTCGTTGTACTGGGGGCGGTTGATGTGCGGCCACGGGCGGGCGAGGCTGGGGTTGGTATTGCGGCTGCGCTTGATAGGGGCCCGGTTGGTATGGCGGTTGGTACGGAGGCTGCTGCTGCTGCCGCGCGGGCGGCTGGGGGTACGGTTGGGGCTGGGGCTGGGGCTGTGGGTACGGCTGCGCCGGGTAGGCCGCCGCAGGGCTCCAGTGTGGCGAGGCCATGGGATACGCCGCGGCGGCGCGGGGCCGTGGGCCGTAGGCGGCTGGTGTTGGAGGCCGGGGGCTGCGGAAGGCTCCACCACCTGGAGAAGGCCTGTATGGTGCTGGCCCGCCTACGCCGCGGAGTGGGAGGGCGGCGTGGTAGCGGGGGGAGGGGTAGTCGTGGGAGGAGGGTGAGCGGGAGCGGGAGCGGGAGCGGAGGCGTAGATTTGAGGACGGGGAGCAGGGGCAGTTTGTTAGCACGGGCCGGTAGTGGCCGGCGACTTGGATGTCTGGGCGGTTGGAGAGGGTGTTACCCATTTAGGGGGTTTTCCCGTTGAAAGGTGGGTGCGGGTTTAAGATTTGGGAGAGTGGGGAGGGGGGGGGTTATCAGATGGAGTGGAGCTTTGATGAAGCGAAAGAGGTCTATGAGAGTTAAACAAGCAAAGTACAATCATGGAAGGAAAACAAGAAAATAGAGCGACGCAAAGCTGATGAAGAGTTGTAGTGGTGCTGCTTGCGAATATATGCAAATCAGCATACCAGAACTTCACTGAACGATCTAGAGTTCAACACACAGCGGAACGAAGAAGAAAACAGGAAAAGAAAAAAAAACACCCAAGAGCGAGCGTTCAGCTCTGTTTCTAATGTTGACGGCGCGGGAACCGCTCTGTTTGCGTCGTGAGGATTGCCCCTTGTTTGCTCGAGTCCACACGTCGTACCCACTCCGCGAAGCTAGGTATGAAGCATCAGCAGTAGATCAAAAATACATCAAACGGGAGGAACGAGACAAACTTAGAGTCCATCTTCTAGTGAGTCTTAACTTCCTATATCCCATCACGCAATATGTCAGTGCCGAAGGACTATTTTGAAGGTATTGTATATTCCGCAACCCGAGGTATCCTCTGCATCAAGTATAGTCATTACACAGAGGCCTCGTGAAAGAACTGGCATCCCACCCACCCCTCCAACGCCAGAAGCAACCAAGGACAGAAACAAAGAATAAAGAAAAAGGAAACAGAATGAAAAGAGAGCTGTACAGCTTCAAGTGTGCGGGTTCGTAAGAACCGGACAAGGTAATCAATACATTCAGCTAACCAACAATTGCCGCACAGCGACATTTTGGCACCAAACAAAACAGTGTTTTCAAGAAGAGAAGATTAAAACACGGCTCTAGTAGATCATGGACCGCACTTGATCGCGTCGCGGATTTGCCGGATTCACTCGCGGAACTGCATGGCGTGGGTCCTTCGCGACTGGTGGAGGTGGATGTTGGGAGTCGCGGTGCATCCACTTCTGCGGACTCGTGGGAGCGCTCTTGCTGCTGGCTCGCTCGTATGGCTGGGGTTGAGATCGAGGACGCTGCTGGCCGGCGTTGGTATGGGCGTTCTCTTTGATATTCTTTGCGTTCCTGTCCCGTCGCTCCTTGTTGAGAACGAGGTCGGTCCAGCCCTTGGAGCTACCGATGTCCTTTCCAACAGTCTCGCAGAGGACCTTCATCCAGCCTTCTTTTTGCGCGGCGCTGTCGGCATAAAAGTCGATGACCTCGCCATTAGCAAAGCGGATCCGGAAACCTTCCTCGACGAACATATAGCCTTCCTCTTCCTCAGCAAACGCGGACTTGCGTCGACCTCCACTCTTAGACGGTGAAGACTGTGTGAGAGAACTCCGGTCATCAATCAGTTTGCTGGCTTTTGCAAGGTTGATCGTTGCACGAGGTTGTCGCGTAGATTCGTGGTACGCGGTTAGCTTGGTGCCCGAGAGGCGGAAGAATCGTCGGCGCCAGTACTAGAGCAAACATTAGCACGCTGTTATCCTAGAAAGCTGTAAGTCTAGGAAGTCAATAAACCACTCACTGGACAGTCACCGCCTTGTTGGCTCAAAGGGCCTTCCCAGCTCGTAGCCTTAAGCTCCTCTGCCTCTTTCAGCTCGCGAATGCAAGCACTCATGCTCTTCGGCATATCCTCGTCCTTGGCAGTCTCGGGTTTTGGAACGTAAAGAAGTTGCAACTGAAGCTTGCCAATACGATAAGGTGGGCGTCGGACCATTCCTCCTCGCTTGCTCTTGACACTGCTTCCAGGATCCACTGCCCACTCGTTGAAGCATGGAATGTCGACAGTGAAAGGTCGGCCGAAAGCCTGACTCTCATGGTTGTTGAGGCAGACATATGCGCGTGCAAATGAGCCATCTGTGCCTACGAGGTCGTGCAGCAGGTCCCAGGCAGTAGCTTGTTTACTGGCCCGCTTAGACTGCATTTCCTGCTGTTTGATCTCGGCAGCACGCTCGTTTGCCTCGTTTTGCTTGCGCTCCTGCTCTTTACGCTTCTTGGGGGAAGAAAGGAGACGGCTGAAAGCTGAAGTAGACTTCTTGTGATTTATAACCTTCGTCGGAGACGTGGTAGGCATAGGCGGCTCCGGCGGTGCCTCGAGCTTGGTTTGGAGAGTGAGTTGAAATTCAAGCTCCTTGTAGACGGTAAGCTCAAATTCCTGGCCAATAGGAGCGGTCTGGCCAAGCTCAAGCCATGCGGTAGTCACACAGTGCAATCCATTGTCGAGGGTGAGTTGGAACCACGTTCGTTCGGCTGGTGCTAGTTAGCATTGAACGATCCTAACAGCTGTGTGCACACTTACTCTTTGGGAGCGGTAGATCGAGGTCTTTCACTCCAAGAACCTTGACAAACAATCTCCCTCGCTCCTTCTCCTCTCCGGTATCCTCATCTATCATTGTTTGGCCTTCAACGAGAGTTCTCAGCCCAGCAGTTACATTGCTCTCTTGGCCGGGCAGCGGAGGTGCTGGACCACTGGGAGCCTTCCGTACATTACCAGAGGTCGAGCGAATGCTCTTTCTCCTGACCTTTCCATTCCATGGCTCAGTTGTCCAGGCTTTCCGGTCAGCGCTGGGCTTGCGAGGGCTGGTTCCAGCGGACCGTGTTCCTCTGCCGTCTGGAGCAGAAGCTTCGGTCGGTGACATTGGCGGCTGCTCATCGCTGAACTGCCGACTACTTGCAACCACCACCTTTGTGTTTTGTCTCATCAGGTACCCTTTCTGTGTGCGTGCATAACCATTAGTGGGACTGTACTCGTATAGAAAACCCTCCCCACATATGAAATCTTCTCCTACATAACCCGAAGGCATTGCAGCAGCTGATGTGGAGAATCGGGCGTAAGAGGGTAATGGAAAGAGGTCTACCTTCTGCGCCTCAATAACACGGTCAAATTCCTCATCCAAACCGAAGCTCAGATCGTCGGATGCTCCGCTGATTGGTATGTCGAGCTTGAGTCTATTACTCTCGCGACGGCGTGGTGGATTCTCCTTGTTTGATCCATCGCTGTGCTCCTCGACTGATTCCTCTTCATCGCCATTGGTAATGTCCAGACTCATGGACTGCCTCTTGGGACTTCGCTCCGGAACCGGTGGTGCTCGCTCTCCACTGACTTGGCGACGCTGAGCTGCCATAGCTCTGATGTCGGACTGGACAAGGGATGGACGAGTCTTTAGCTTTGCCCCAGGTGCTTTTATGGTTGCAATCGGCTCTGGGACCACGGGAGAATCGCGCTCTTGCGGCTCAATCATTGGATGCCGGATAACTGAATCTGGAGTACCTGGCTCATGCTCAGATTCTTCTGCTGAGAATTGAGGCAGCTTTAATTGATCCTCGGGCGTCGCAGGGCGTGGGGTCAGCTCCGGCTGTGGTTCGAATGCTGGGATAGCCTCAAAAGCAGCTTCCAAAGCGATCTCACGAGGAGCTGGTTCTGGAGCCTTAGGAATGGAAGGCGTCATGTAGGAGTCGAACTTCAACCTGAAATCATCGTCTCCCACGAAAGAGCCAAAGTCAGGCAAGTCACTGGCGGTAGTTTCAGGTGCAGTATGGTGCTCTGCTTTTGGCGTCGGGGGTCCATCAGAGTCTGTGATTGTTGGTGGCTTTTCAACCTCTTCAGTCAATTTCTGAGAGTACAGGCTGGCGTCATCGTCATCTTGACGCTCCTGCTCTGTCTTGTGGTGTATGACAGATGCTTCGCGATCGTAGTCGTCCACTTGGGAAACTGACCGCTCGGGGTTGTACATCTCAGTCAGGGAGTATGCGTCAACCACGCTGTCGGCATCGCTTCCAGCCTTGACTGGCGCGTCTGGAACATCGACATCAAAGTTCGAAGAAGCCTCTCGGGAAGGAATTGGAACGTCAGGATCGAGATCCGCAAGATCACCGTAGCTCCGCTCGGGACTAGACGCCATGGAGAAGTCGTAGTCGTAGTCGTCGAAGTTACGGCTCTTCACTTTTCGCAGAATGGACTCCCGTGAGATCCGTGGGATGTTGAATGACTCCATCTCAGAATCATCTACCTCATCGACTTCATCCACATGGACTTGGATTCCGAGACCCTGTTCTTTCTGAGGCGACCTCGAATGTTGAGATTCATTGTGGCTTTCCTGAGTCGGGGTATCGGTGTTGCGATCATCGAGACCCATCAGACGAAGCCTGTCCTCAAGCGACATGGAGGTATCACGCATGTTCAGAATGTCGGATTTGGACACTCCAGCGGCACGTGGAGGCATCGGTAAAGACCGCTGCGCGCCACTCACCCGCTCAGCCGCGGTCGATAGTCCAATGCTGGAGTCTCTCCTACGGTGGCCATTCGCTGCTTGAAGCTCAGGAAGAGGCGGCAAAGGCCTTGATTCACCCTCCGAGTTGGTTGAGCCCTGGCGGTTCTCCGACTTTGCGACTCCATTCGGACGTGCAGTCGGCATGGGACTAGCCTCCCTGCCATCGAAAGGATCATCAAAAGTATCTGCCAAAGAGGTGTTCGCGACTTCAGGGCTCATGTGTCGCCAGTCTTCCGGCAGCACAACAGGCGTCTTGTCTGTATCCTCCAGAGACGCGTCAAAGCTATCATCATGGTCTATCGAACCACGATCGAAGCTGTCGTCAAAGTCCTCAGCAGAATCAAAGCTCCCCTCCCGTGAACCAGAAGCAACAGACGATGGATCAGGCGTAACCATCTCGTATTCGTTGATTGTGGGTGGAGCGGCGTCGAAGGTTACACTCTTTGCATGTCGGCGCAAGGGACGCGGGGTTTGATGTTTGAATTGTTCCTCGTCGTCGGACCAGATGCTGGATTCGGGGTCGTATGTCTGGCCAACGGCGCTGAACCTGGCGTTGCTGGCGAGGGATGATTTAGTCGGCGACGCTAGCTCGCTATTGGAGTTATACGGGGAGACTCCGTTGGGTCGCGCAGGAGGTTTGTTCGGGCTTAGGAGGAAAGGGATCTTGCTCAAACTCTCGCCTCTACGATGTCCCTTGAATTCCTCGTTCTGTTTTCGCAACCCGTTAAGACTCTGGCCACCGTATGCGTTTCCTTGAGCCTGCACGCTGAGAGGGCGACCGGCAGCAAGAGGACGCTCGACGACTGGAGTTGAAGTGGGGTCGTATTCGTTCTTCTGCTCGCGGGCGAACATGCTGCTGTTCTTGACGCGCGACGCTTTCTTCAGGTTCTCGATGGAGGAGCGCTTGGGCGACAGGGACTGCTCGCGCTCAAAATCGTTCTCCGATCCAAAGTGGGCCGGGGAAGCTGGGTCGCGTTCTTTCCAAAAGAGTCGCGGGGAGTTGTTGAACGGCGAGGAGTCGAAGGGAGACGAGTCTCGATTGAACATGAGTTTCTGGCGACGGGTTAGAGCGAATTGGGAGCAAGAATGCGGGCCGGCAATACCTTGGTAGATTGGTTGAAGCTAGGAGAGTTTCTTCTCTGCTCCGTCGTACCAATCTCGGACAGTGGTCGCTGGAAAGCGGCGCCGGACATCTTGGACGGCGATGTGGATGGCGTTGTTTTGTTTATGCGGAGAGGCGGAACCTGAAGGACGGGGAACATCAATACACTATACATGCGATACACGGAGGAAGACGTGGGTATGCTCTTACCCCTTCAGAAGGCATCGCACTCAGGCAGTAGCTGCTGGAGTAGGAATTGGCGACGCAAACGTGCCCTCGGCGACGGATGGAATGCGGAATGCGCGCGCTCCGTCAAGGAGTAACCGCGGTGATGCGCCGGAACAATGATGGCAGTGAACACAGCGAAGTCTCAAGCGAGAGTAGGAGAAGTTCGAGCAAGGCCGACGGGCAGAAGTGAAGTGTGCAGAGCTAGATGCTGGAGTTGTGGTGGAGGGGAGGGCCAACCTCTTAGCTGAGTCGAGGTTCCATAATACGCGTGCACGGCCCAACTTTTTTAAGCTCGTCGCGAGGAGCAACGGCACGCGGGCATAGAGAAAGTGGCATGCCGAGTTTGAACAAGCTGTCTCATGTGTACACCTGTCCGCCGCTGTTTGGGTTGCTTCAATGTAATTTCAAACGTCTGAAGAAGATAGATGCTCTTCGCCTTGGGCTAGGGGGAAATGTATTGAAGCACTCCATGCAGTGGCACAGGTGTGCACACAAGCAGAGTACTTGATGAGTATGCCACCTTTTTCATGCCCAGCGTGAACGGGAAAACAGCTGCCAAGGCAGCACCCACGTGCCACGCTTGCAGCCGGGCACCAGTCTCCCGTAGAAGCCACTCCTTTCGCGAAAAAGTTCTGTGCATCCCGCCTCACGCTGTACCACAATTGCTGCATTTGCACATCCATCTTCTTCTTTCTTCTCCTTTTCGAGGCTCCAATGTTTCTTCAATGAAGTAGCTATTTCTTCGCAATTCGCAGAATACCCAAATGTTGCGCCCGACGTCCCGTCTCTGTCCCTTTTGCGAAGTTCGATCCATCCTCAACACCAAGCCGTCGCCCATACAATCCCCATGGCAGCAATCGCGCCATTATGGCCAGCTCCAGAGGCGGAAACCTTCCAGAATGGAGCTGTCTCCCAATGTCGGCCGCACTCGAGATCCGCCTAGGTCGATGACAGACAGCAAGCCTCCGGAGAAGAAAGCGGTGGACCCGTTCGGCAATCTCAACCAGAGAGAAGCACGCGTGCAACCTCCTCCACAGCGCAAACGGACCGAACTCGAACACAAGCAGGCCTACAATGCAAGAGAGCGTGGATCGTCGAGAAAGAGACCAGAAGCTTTCAAGGCCCTGAAGATGCAACGGGCGCTGGCACCTGTGCCATATGGCGACCGAGCCGCCGTTAAGAGCCAGATCAGTGACCTTGAGTCCTTCGACGAGTTTCCGCTTCTCCCTTCTCTCAAGAAGGCCATCGCGGATGCTCTTCCTGGCCTGGAGGATGTTTCTCCTACGCCAGCACAACGAGTGGCCATCCCGGCACTGCTAGGCGTTGACGACCGCCGTCGCAAAAGGAACCCCGTGGAGAAGAAGGGCATGGAACAGTTCTTGTTGGCAGCGGAAACTGGCTCTGGGAAGACACTGGCATATCTGTTGCCCGTCATTGACGCCATCAAGCGCGCGGAGGTCATAGAGGCGGAGGAAGAAGCGCAAGCAGAAGCAGCAGAAAAAGCAGCGGATGCACAGGCGAACAAGAGAACCGACATGTTCAGCTTGAAGTCTCCGCCTCTATCGACAGACCCCCATCCCACCAGCGCAAGACCTCGCGCTATAATACTCGTACCGACAGCAGAGCTTGTAGTGCAAGTCGGCCAGCTAGCAAAGGCCTTGTCTCACGTCGTCAAGTTCAGGACTGCCCCGATATCAGCCGCTAACACCGCAACGGTCATCCGAAGCCGTCTCTTCTCCCCCAGTGGCGTCGATGTAGTCATCAGTACGCCTCATCTGCTCGGCAGCATCGCCGAGAGTAACCCAAACATTCTAAGCCGCGTCACGCATCTCGTTATCGACGAGGCTGATTCCCTTCTGGATCGCTCGTTCTCACCCACCACATCCGCTATAATCGATAGATCTACTCCATCCCTCCGCCAACTAATCCTCTGCTCCGCCACAATCCCCCGCCGCCTAGACTCTTTCCTAGAAAAGCGCTTCCCCGACATCAAACGCCTCGTAACACCAAACCTCCACGCCATCCCCCGCCGCGTCCAGCTCGGCGTAGTCGACGTGAATAAAGAACCCTACCGCGGCAACAAAGACCTCGCCTGCGCCGACACCATCTGGACCATTGGCCGCGCCACCGCCGAGCACTCCGACGAAGGCACCGAGCATGTTGAGCTAAAGCGCATCATCGTCTTCGTCAACGAGCGCGAGAAAGCCGTCGAGGTAGCGGACTATCTCGTCACCAAAGGTATCGACGCCGTCGCCCTCAACCGCGACACCTCCGGCGAGCGTGCCAGCCGCATTCTCGCCTCCTTCAAGGGCCTGGCGAAGGGCGAGGAGGCACCGGTTGCGGAGCCCGCGGCGTCAGATGCGCCGGTCGTGAAGACGGCGAATTTCTTCCCGGGCCAGGGCGCGGAAGCAGCGACGCTGGCTGAGCGGAGGAGGAGGCTGCTTAATACGAAGGTGATTGTTACGACGGACTTGGGATCGAGGGGGATTGATACGTTGGCTGTGAGGCATGTTATTCTATATGATGTCCCACATACGACGATCGATTTCATCCATCGCCTTGGCCGCACGGGACGGATGGGGAGAAGAGGGCGAGGTATCGTGCTTGTGGGCCGTGGGGATCGGACGGACGTGGTTAAAGAGGTTAGGGAAGGCATGTTCAAAGGGCAAGCTCTGATTTAGGGGTTCCCTCGCACATGCCCCTTTCAATTTCTGTAAAACTATGTAAAATCATGTATGACTGGGCGCATCTGGTTAAATGTGATACCTTATTTATTCCCTTCTGTATGATGTATCAGCTGTTTCTCAGATTACAGCTCAGTCCCTGTAAAGGTCAAGTTTGATAAGATGAGTTCACTTTGGACATGCCGCAACTATTTTTATTATTACCCCCGCCACAAAGACATCGAAATCTAGTCGCAAGACTTTATGGCTTAGGTGCTACTGGGGCGGGGAATAGTAACGCTCGGTGATTGTCCGGCGCTTTCGTCGAGTTTTGTTGACGAGAGGCGTCCCGTATGGAAGAGCGACACCACTATGCATAGACGTGTGCTTTTGGCTGAGGTTTCAGACGAAACGCTGCAATGAAACAAGATGATGGAGCAGGACTGGAGATGTATGAACGGGACATGGTCCGGTGCTACTTAAGACGTTGGCTTGATATCTGCCAAGTAGGCTCACATGCAGAGTACAATGCCTGGTCATAGAAATCCGTACACCTGCCTGCCACTGTGTATGGGGCTTCAACGTACTAATAGAAGCGGATACACTTCCAATCTGCGTACACCCTATTGACGCTGTTTGGGGTAGCCTCATGCATTTACTAGTTGTCCAAAATAGGAAACTTCTCTCTTATTCGGAATGTGGAAAATACTATGAAGCTCTTCATGCAGTGGTAAACGAGTGTACGGATTTCTATAATGAGGTATTGTACACACTGAATCAGGCTAGAGTGCTTGGAAATTGGTTTATTCAAGATAGTGGTTGTGGTCTAACATAGAACTACAGATTGAGGTTCATGCATTCAATACAAAGGTCACAGACGCAAGGAAAGAATTGAAGTTGAGAAAGAGAAGTATACTATCTTGAAGAGCTCATAGGCTCCTAGTTATGGAGTTCTAAGAATGGAAATGAAAGCATATGAAGCAGCGAGGTCAACAAAAGATTGGCAATCCAGCCAACCATTTATCGCCGCGGCATATGCTGTGCAACAGTAACGGCATCAATGACATTCGCGCGCCTCCAGAATTTTTCATACTCGACTATTACCGAGACTGGCTGCGGTCGTTGCATGAAATCTGCGCCGTCGGCTGCGATGGTTGACCAGGTAGCTTTCAGGAACCAGTCCCTAACCCACGACATCGGCAGGATGAGGTGCCTCTTTGGATCCGCGGGCTCCGAATCAGCCGCGTCTTTCGCATCTACGCGCGCCCCCCAATCTTCTATGGTGACAGAGGATTCGCAGCAGTGGCAATGGGCCGCTAGACTCTCAGAGGCTGTGGGCAGAGCTCCGAACACTGAGTTTTCCCACGAAAGTCCCATTTCGGATTCGGGCTCATCGTAATGGAACAGAGGCTCGGGATGAGAGTTTCCCCAGGGCAGAGCGTAGAAAGCATGGGCAATCTCGTGCACTAGAGCTTGCGCCAGACGGAAAAGCACACACAAATCTTGTGCGGAGTACTTGGTCCGAGGCATGACTTCAGAGAAATGTTCATGGCCCGCACGTTGGACGGAGTCAAGATATTCGAGTATCTCGATCTCTCGCTCTTTGGTGCGGATATGAAGATCCTCTGCGTAGGATCTAAATGTATCAGAGAGCCCAATGATGGGATTGCCGTGCGACTTCCACCACTGCCTACCGTGCGCGGAGAAGGCATTGGAGTTCTTTTCCGAGCCTGTCAAGAATCGAAATGTAGTGCCTTTAGCCAAGCTATTGAACCTGTTCCGGACGCCCGTTAGTGTAGAAGTTGCATCGATCCTGGCATCGCGCGACAGGGTCACTCTAATCTGTTGTTGATAGATCTCTGGTGATGATGGATGATCTGGAAGAATAAACGCAGGCTGTTCTAAGGTCAACTTACTTTGCACTAAGGAAGTCCACCAGCACAGCATCTTTTCTTCTGTGATAAAGAGAGTAGCCAGCCTTAATGCTGGCTTGATGGCTTCGTAGACGTGGTCTTCGCACTCGAAGTTTTCTTGGTCGAACACGGGATGGATGCTGTTATCGAGCTCCACCGGCATGATGACGTCTTGGTTGCCATTGGAGCACTGCGAATACAAGACATGGTTCTCGTCTATGCGAGCAGTATTGAACGATGTGGCTTGCTCCTCACTGCAGAGTTGATCTGCGAGATGCTGATTTCGAAACATGGTTGCCTTGTTCGATTTGAACTGGGTTGCTTGAAAGACTATCTTGAATTCTCTGCTTGTGCTGAGAGTGGCAAATAACGAATTGAAGAAAGTTTTGGTTGTTCTGATGACCATGATGAGAAACCTGAAGGCCTTATATATTCAAACGAAAAGAACATTGTTGCGATCTAAGAAACAGAGTAGAAAGTAGAAAAATGGCTTTATCTTGCGGTAGCACAATGTGATTGTTATATGACCTTGATATTAGTTAGTTAGAATATACGCGTGACGATGATTCGCAGTGGTATTGTGCAATCTTCAAAGAAAGATGGGAGTGAGGTTGAGCAGCCTGAGCAGGGGCAGGTAGTAATCCAACACTGTCTAAGGTGGGCGGAAGAGCTACCAGACCCGCTGATAACTGACATTTTCCCAATCGTCCTAACGTACCAGGGGGCCTCAAGCGGTGCCAGGCAAGTGTACACAAGCCTAAAGTGAGTGTGTTGCTACAAAGGTAGAAGGGAATTACAATAAGGATCGCGAAGATTGGTCCAGCGATGTCGGTCCGAAGAGTTGCCGAACAACCTTACAAAGGTAGAATTTAGAAGCTCGATTTGAGTCACCTCGTCTTGCTTCAACCACAAACCACCATGTTGCTTCCACGAGTTGGGGCCTTTTTGGCTCGTCCGGCACGCTGCCAGAGTCTCCAATGGCGGCAAATGTATTTTTATCCCCTCAATTGACCCCAAAATCGTAAAACATGGCATTAATATGTTTACAGGCGAGCATTGTCAAGCTCATCACCCCTCCGAAAACTCTCCGACGATGACCTCAACAGCGTCAGCAAGCACGTTACCCAGCTAAAGTCCCAGGGAGCTTCGCAAGCCATGTTGTACGCGACTGGAATGAACGATGAGGACCTGAAAAAGGCCCAAGTTGGGATATCATCGGTGTGGTATTCAGGAAATCCCTGCAATATGCACTTGCTGCAATTGAACAACAAGGTTAATGAGGGGGTGGAAAGAGCGGGGCTCAAGGGGATGCAGTTCAACACCATTGGCGTCAGTGACGGCATCTCAATGGGAACTAAGGGAATGCGATATTCCCTCCAGTCCAGGGATCTTATTGCAGACTCGATTGAGACTGTAATGGGTGGACAATGGTACGATGCCAATATCTCCATTCCTGGGTGTGACAAGAACATGCCTGGTGTCATAATGGCAATGGGGAGAGTGAACAGGCCCTCTTTGATGGTGTATGGAGGTACCATCCAGCCCGGCTGCGGAAAGGTCCAGGGTAACTCCTCGATTGACATTGTGTCCGCCTTCCAAGCCTATGGCCAGTTCATTACTGGAGATATAACCGAGGAGAAGAGGAATGATATCATTCACCACGCTTGCCCCGGGCAAGGTGCTTGCGGAGGTATGTACACCGCCAATACCATGGCCACGGCAATTGAAGTCATGGGTATGTCTCTTCCGGGATCTTCGTCCAATCCCGCAGACTCGAAGGCCAAGCAAATAGAGTGTCTTGCTGCTGGTGGGGCAATCAAGAACCTCCTCCGAGAGGACATTCGGCCCAGCGATATTCTTACCCGCCAGGCATTCGAGGATGCCATGATCCTCGTCAATATCACTGGAGGATCAACAAATGCCGTCCTTCATCTGATCGCCATTGCGGATTCCGTTGGCGTCAAGCTCAGCATTGACGACTTCCAGAGCGTCAGTGACAGAATCCCACTATTAGCCGACCTTAAACCATCCGGGAAATACGTCATGGCCGATATCTTCGACATTGGTGGCACACCGGCCCTCCTGAAATTCCTTTTAAAGGAAGGCCTACTAGACGGAAGCCGTATCACCGTCACTGGAAAGACTCTCAAAGAGAACCTTGAGCACGCTCCAGACTTCCCAGCCGACCAACAAATCATCCGACCATTCAGCAACCCGCTTAAGGAGACTGGTCATATTCAGATCCTTCGTGGCAACCTCGCGCCGGGCGGATCCGTAGGGAAGATCACCGGGAAGGAAGGCCTCCGTTTCGTTGGCAAAGCTAAAGTCTACAACGACGAAGACGACTTCATCACCGCGCTCGAAAAAGGCGAAATCAAAAAGGGCGAGAAGACCGTCGTCGTCATTCGCTATGAGGGTCCCAAGGGCGGCCCGGGAATGCCTGAGATGCTAAAGCCCAGCTCCGCAATCATGGGGGCTGGTCTTGGCAAAGATGTTGCCCTTCTCACTGATGGGCGCTTTAGTGGTGGAAGCCACGGCTTCCTGATTGGCCATATTGTCCCCGAGGCGCAGGAGGGTGGGCCGCTTGGCCTTGTTCAGGATGGGGATGAGATTACCATCGATGCTCAGTCTAGGGAGCTGTCCGTGGATGTTAGCGACGAGGAGATGAGCAAGCGGAGGGAAGGGTGGACCGCACCGCCGCTAAAGTACTCGAAGGGTACGCTGTATAAGTACGCTAAGAATGTGACTGATGCCAGCCATGGTTGCATTACTGATGCGTAGATGGTGGAAATCCATTCTCTGTAGTCTGTTATCACGTTCGAGTTGCTAAAAGCGGGAGTTTTTTGGGCCTTTCGTGGTATCTCGGAGGAAATCATTGAGTTCACTCCCTCATATACCACTGTTCATAGTAATCTTCGATGGAATCTGACTCGTCTTCAATAAACATTGTGAAAAGGCAACAACTCTTGAGATATGGATGTTTTGACGCAAGTCATAACATTTAAACAATGCACCAATTTGGGATTTCAGTCCAATAAAGGACAGGCTGAAACGCCCAATCAAGTCAAGAGCAACTTGAGAAGTTGGTAGAAACTGAATTGATTTCTCCTGAAGCCTACAATTCTTGGATGATGTCGTATCGTGCACCATGCCCACTTTGACATAAAATGTGCTTTTTATGTGTTCACATTGATCAAATTGGAGGTCTTGTAGTATTAGTAAGAGCTTCAATAGAGGGGTTTCCTAATAGTACAACAAATCGATATATACAACCAAGCTTAGCGCTCGAATATTTCCTCTTTCCGTATCCTCTCGTTAACGGCGTCTATAACCTTCGTATCATACAAATCCTCCAGATTTTTGTCCCCCTTAAGGATCTCTTTTTCGTGTTCTGCCGCCTCCTCCTTGGTCATACACACTAGGTCCTTCAATTGCAGGAGTGTGTTCTTCTGACCAGGCGTTCGCTTGTGAACAAAACCATCTTCGGGCTTGTTCCACCTCGTCAAACAAAGTCGTGTTGAGAGGCCGCTGATAACGCTCCTACCACGGTACACATCGTCGACGAGGTATCCCACGTCGTCTTGCGTGATGGGGATGCGGAGACCTAGGGAATCCTCCCCTCGAGATCTGGCGAGCCTCTCTTCAAGACCCAGTAGTGAGCCCAGAATGCCATCGTACATCTTGTCCCGTGCCTTCGAAGTAAGGTACTCGTGAGGATAGCCGGTTATTTCCAATATGACATGGTTCGCGACGGCTAGTCCGAAGATTGCTGGCATCGTTCCAAGAACCGGTAGTATCCTCACTCTGAAGTCCGGGAGAACACCCAACTCGCCCACGCTACCCTTTTTGTACTCCTCCTCGGGCAAGGGGAGCAGTTGTGCTTTTCCAGGACCAGTCTTTTCGCCCGAGAAGACGACGGGAATGCCGTCTTTGACACCCAAAGCTCTTAACTTCCGCCTAGTAGCTTTAGAGAGCGGGTCGTCGGTGCTAGCTGATATATCACCAATGAGAATTCTCGTTGGGTCAGACTTGCACCCCGCACCCATTGAAGAGATCACAGGGATCTCGTGAGAATGGCAATAATGCAGCAGCGCTACCTTACTCTCGATATTGTCAATTGCATCAATCACAAAGTCCGGTGCATGTCCATCAAGTGCTGTTAGTTGGCGAGCTGCAGTCTTCTTACTGAACAGTTCGTTTCGGCAGTCGAAATGCGTCCAAGGCGTGACTTGCTCCAAACGCCTGCGGATACAGTGGACTTTCGGAGTGCCGACGTCTGCAAGAGTAGCAAGGGCATGTCGGTTCAGTGAAGAGAGAGTCACTTGGTCGAAATCGATGAGACGAATCTTGGACACTCCGGAGCGGGTGAGGGCGGCGGCGCAGTGGGATCCTACGCCGCCGCAGCCGACGATGATGATGAACGAGGAGCGGAGCTTTGAGAGGCCCTCGTCTCCCAGGAAGACTCGATTGCGGGCCAGCTGCTCGAGAATGAGGTCTGCAAGCGTTACTAAAGAGCTTCTTGAAGTGATTGTGGGTAATACCGTCATCGTAGTCACCCTGTCTTGCTCGTACGGCTAGTGCCATGCTGTGTTCGTCCTCTTTGCTTGGAGCAAAGACATCTGCAGCCGCACCATACTCTGTAAGCTTCACGCCAAAATTTCGCCGTTAGCTTTCATAGTTCTCAATGAAACGATACTCCCTAAAATTTCGAAGATAGTCAAACGAATACGCTTACTTTGGTTGCTACATGTTCTTGGCTGATGTCTGGTATAGACGCCTTCAAATCATGAACCTTATACCTCCGCCTGGCTGTCTGAAAGCTAATGACTGCTCCAGCTGCAATCATGCCCGATACCACCGCGGTCGTGATCAATTGTCCTCTATGGGAAGCTGTGATCCGAGAAATGAACCATGCGGACATATTGAACCCTCCGAGGTCCCAGATGACACGATAGCAGTCAGTGCCTTAGCTAGCTAAGCATAGCGCATAGTGAGGAACTAGTGAAGAGAGATTGATGGCCTGGCCCGTGATAATTCCATGGTGTTGAAAGAGTTGATGCCAAGCTCATTATGTCATCAAAATGGCCCGAGCGTCCGGACTACTTCATCACGGCCGATCCGCGACCTCACTTGCTCTCTACAACACGCGACAGCGAGTAAGTTTCCGCGACCTCCTCAGACCTGCCACCACTAACCACCCCACAGTATCCCCTTGACGAAACGCTCACAGAGCTACGGTAGCGGCCTCAACTATTGCTTCGGCATGGGCGAGTGACCGTACTGACCGAAACATCGAACAGAAATCGTAGGGAGCCCTAGCTGTGCTGGGTGCGGGCCGGCCTTGTGCTGTGCTCCGCTGCTTGCGTCGTTGCCTTCCTCTCCTACTCGAATTCCAACTGCTACCCCCTCAAGCCCGCTTTGAGCGCGCGATGACGACAAAATATCCCCGAAGCGCCCCGCCTACGTCAATCTACGGAGAGACAGGCGCGCGAGCAGCCACTGCGGAACAATATGTAGTTTTCAATCGGAGCGCCGTCTTCGACAACTCGGGCGGTGCTTAGCAGGCGGGTTCGGTGGCGTCGCGAGAGGGGAGTGCGGGAACTGTCCAGTGATGATAGATCCGAAAGGATCACAAAAGCCAAAATTGACGGGCAGCCCGGCGACTCTGTGCTCTGGCAACAGGGTGTGGGGAAGTTTGTGGTTGCCCATGAGAACACAAGAGAGCTAATCTGAGGACAAACAAGTCAGTGTTGGCTTGTATTTATAGATAGTGATAGAACGGGTGGATTGATCCGTCGGTTTCGATCGACGGTGGCCATTCTTATGAAATACAACAAGAATCTAGCAATCTTCATCGCTATATCGTGAAAATCATGCATTGCATTGAATACTTCTTGAAAAGCTAGTGTATATTGCAAAGAGCGCTGGGCCTTCATGTACCATTACACGAAGACGGAATTTGATCGTTTGCATTGCATACCGCGCATGTTCAACTTCGAGTAGGATGGATAATTCCTTGATAGAGCTTCTTTTACCAGCATAACAATCACCAGGGCCCTCTATCTGAATGCAGCTCGTATTTTACAGTCATAATAGTACACCATGTCAGGGTCTGGCCCCAGGCCTGACCACTCCTTTTGTACATCAGGTCCACCCCATAAGCCCATAAGCCACCCGGTTTCCTTTAATTGACCTCTGAATGTCCCGATATATTCTCCTGCTCTTCTAAAATGACGAGGATCAAAACTGCGAGGAGCTAGAATTCTTCTGTATCGCCGTGATGTATTGTTGGGAGACTGTATTCCATGCGGTCATGTATTTCTGCAGGCAGTTCGAGAAGCAGGTTTCTTCTCCCTTGGAGAGAGAGGTGCTGGGTTTGGGGACGCATCGTTCGAAGCAGTGCTCATTGAGTTTCTATAGAACGAATAGGTTAGCTAAGTTCCACAAAGTGAAAGATACTAAGGCAGTCGCATGCCCTAATAGCAATTGGTCGCCAATGCTTAATCGTAAGGCGCTGAGAAAATGGGAAAGCTATACCTCTACCAACATCTTCGCGTTCTGCATAGCAGCCTCTTGTTGGATTTGCCTCATGACCTGGGTTTTGGGGTCGCCAGAGGCGTATGCGGACATGCCGGCGCCACCGAGGGAGTCCATGATGCAGAAAAGCCCGAATAAATTGAAAAGATGAAGCTGTATCTCAAGAGGATAATAGGATTGATAGTTACGCAGCGGGGCGAGTGGTGAACGGTTCGTGGAGTGCGGATGGGATCGATGATGGAACCCTAGCACCCTAGTTCTCCACCAGAGGTTCCAAAGTTTCGCTTCGTCGTCTTAGCCCTGAATCGCCCTACGTAAAGGACAGCTGTTTCACACGCGCCTCAAACCATCCTCTTGAGGCCGCCCACCACTCCTTTCCTTTCTCTTCTTCACTGCGCGGAGTCTATTATTCACTTGCTAGAGCTATAAATTAGCTCCAGATTCTTTCGTCCCCTTTTAGCGGAGTGAAGGAGAGCACAGGATGCTGCTCTCGCGACCATGGAGTAGCCTTTGGCTATTGGCGGGGAGTTTGACTGGAGTTCTGGGCTTAGGGCTGTCTGAAAATCCTGATATCAAGGCGATCGCGGTATGATAATCGGCATGTGGACTGGGCTACAGTGGCTGACGGTTGGTATAGCTGCGGACACACAGTCTTGAACCTGTGAGCACACCCCCAACGAATACAAATACGACTTTAAGTCCTAATTTCTCCCCTCTATAGCCCTATCTAGACTCGGACATGCAAAGCCGTTGGTGGGACTTTGGCGGAGACACTCTTGTTCGGACCGACAAATACGTTCGCCTTGCTTCCGACAAGCCCTCGAGGACAGGATGGATATTCTCACGCGTACCACTGACAGCTACCAACTGGGAAGTGAGTACAGAAAGCTGAAAGGCTTTAATTGAAATTGCTGCAAGGTCTAGATTCTATACTAACCCCTCCGCAGATCCTCATCGACTTCAAGATTCACGGTCAAGGCAACCTGTACGGCGATGGCTTCGCAATGTGGCTCACTAAACAGCGAGCACAAGCTGGGCCAGTCTTTGGATCCGCCGACAACTTCGAGGGTCTAGGAATAATTTTCGATACGTACAAGAACAACCGACCAGGCACCGTATTCCCCTATGTTCTGGCGGTGATGGGTGATGGGAAGACCCCCTACGACAAGGACAATGACGGCAAGGCCAATGAGCTGGCCGGCTGCTCTGTAGGGTTCCTTTGCTATTCATATGCCGATCTCAGGTGCTAATACCATATCTCGCTAGGCCCGCGGCATGCGCAACCAAAACCACGCCACCAAAGCGAAACTGACCTACTTCCAAGACGAATCTCTAAAGCTAGAGCTGGCATACAAGAACGAAGACGAATGGACCGAATGCTTCAACATCCCCAATGTCAAAGTGCCACCAGTTGCCTACCTGGGCTTCTCCGCAGAGACTGGCGAGCTCTCCGACAACCACGACATCCTCTCCGTTCACACCAAAAACCTCTACGTCCACAACTCCGGCACCAATGCCGGCACAGGCGCCCCTAGTAGCCCCGGCAAGGGTGGATCCCGGTACGACAAGTACGCCGCCAAGAAGGAGAAGGGTAGCTGGACGTGGTTCTTCCTGAAGTTTGTGCTGTTTGGATTGGTGGTTACGGGTGGGTATGTTGGCTTCACGGCGTATAGGGCAAGGCAGCGGAGTTCGAGGTTCTAGGCTGAAGTAGGGAAACTGTGGAATGGGAGTTCAGTCGGGTTCGGGCGTGGTGTATTTCAACAACTTTGGAAAAAGGAGGTGTTCAGTGCATGTGCAATATTTCAAGCGTTCTGGGAAGGCTGGGACGTCTTTGGAAACACTGGAAGTTCTTTAGTAGCTCATTGAGAAATGTATAACCACGAAAACAGGTCTAGTTGACCCTACTATGATTTTGGAAATCGATTTTGAACATGCAATCGTAGGTCGAAGCTTCCCTCTAGTTAGAGAGTTGTCATTACGTAAGTAAAGTAGCTCCCATATTTCTTAAGTTTGTTAGAGTGAATCAAGGCACATACAGCGGCAAAATCAGTATGGTAAGGTAGAGCTTGTCTCGGAATTAGGGAACACCTGACTTCCGTAACGATTCAGCTTACAATGCCTCGTCATAGAAATCCGTACACTCATTTACCGGCTAACAACCTTACAGTACCACATTCTCCCACGTACAGCTTCAATACAGAGCAAAATTTAGAACGCCCGTCTTCCATTGCTCTATAGCAAAGCACCTCAAGACTCACTGCCTACTAATTTAGCGGTCTATGTGGTTTCAACTCCGTCATAACATCGGCACCTCCATCTTGCATCCCAACTCTCATCCAATCCGGAAGAGCCCTCGTCGGCGGGGAGATGTATGCAAATGCGGGGATAGAAAGATTCTGCGCCTTTCCACTCCACAGCATATTTGCTATACAGTCACCGAGGTCTTCAGGCTTGAGGAACGGCATGAAGAAATTCGAGGGGCCCTTGATCCCGGTGAACATCTTCGTTTTGACAGCTGAGGGACAGAGACAAGAGAGCCGGACTTGTGGAAGTTAGAGTGTGTTTAGAAGAACTAGATATGGATCAAGAAGTTGGGGCTTACCAGCTGGCGCCTTGTAGTTGTGCTTCATCTCCGTCTGAAGTCCTTCATAGATCGCGATCGCGGCCGCTTTGGTGGCAGCGTAGTCTGTGACACCTGCAGTCGCCAGATGACCGGTTTGGGATGCGATGATAAGGAAATGGCCGTGGTTCGCTTGCACCATTTTTGGAAGGAAGGCCTTCGCGGTCCATATGACTCCGAGGTTGTTCACTCCGAAAGTCCTGCAGGCGTGTTAGAAAGCTGTAGTATGGAGGATGTTGACTTTTGGGGGTATTACAGTTCAATGTCGCGTTTGCTTGCTTCCAGGATTGGCTTTCCCCGACATATTCCGGCACAGGCGACTACGCATGTAGGATCTCCAACCTCTCTACACCACGGACGTTAGGGAGTTGTTAAAAAGTGACGTTTAGGAGATATAACCCACTTCGAAATCTTGGCCGCGACCGCTAAGACCGCTTCGTAGTTGCTCAAATCACACTTATAGTAGTACACATTCGAAGCTAAGCCAGTCAGTGAACGTAGAGCTATGATCTTTACTTCTCAAGATCGAGAAACTGACGCTTGGTAAAGGTAAGTCCTAGCACATCGATGACTATCACTTTCGATCCTCTGGCCGCAAGGTTCTGCACGGTTGCAGCTCCAATGCCCCCGGAACCACCGGTAACAACAATGATCTCTTTATCCCAATCATACTTGTCGCTCACTCCGTTGTTCAAAGCCCTCATGCTTAAGGCACGATTCGTTCGTAGTAAAAGGCCCAGTGCTACTACTACAACGGCTTTCTGGAGGACCGGCGGTAAAGGTCGCGAAATAGTATAAGGAATCAGTCCATTGCTCGGGAGCAACACAAATTTGTTGTCTGTGAAGTAGTGAATTGCAGCTGTTCCAAGCGCTGCCAACCAAGGATTTAGAACGGTCTTGTCAAGCAAGAGCAAAAGATCTCCAATTGACACCATGCTGAAATTGCAAATTGAAAAAGCGATGTAGTAGAAATAAAGTTGACATTAAATTGAGATGACTGCAGAGTAATATACACTAGGACCCCGCATCCTCCATGACTCTGCAGAACGGACTTGTGTGTTCACGGCATTCAGCTGTGTGGGGATACAAAGGAAGTTGCTATGATCTATGATGAGGAAACTCGTTAGTAACTGGTGCGTGAGAAAAGTCTGACTGGCCGGATATGACCTCAGCCGAGTCACGTGACGGACACCTTCACGGCTATTAGTATCCCTTGAAAATCCCGAATCAATCTTGTAAGTGCTCTAAAGAGTCACAGCGTGACCTCTTTTCAATCTTTGTTCCCCATATGTACCTCAGGTAGCTGCATCGTTTACAAATTGCCATAGTTATTCTATGAGTCCGTGGTTTTTCTCACTCGAGACTATCCTCTCAAACATCTGCCAAGTGCAACCCTCAATCTCTATTTAGTTCCTTCGTATGAAGTTAATTAGGAAAATCCATGTCCTCTTGTCTGCTACGTAGTCCATTCGTCCAGTTCTTAGCCCACGAGGACAGTATACTGAAGACATGACTAGAAAGGAACTGTCGCATTCTATCAACTGGCAGATAGACTAGAATCCACTGGATCAATCATGCCGCAGCAGTTCCCCGGATAAGATAGTAAAGACTACCCCAGATATTAGGTTACGCGCTTGTGTCGTTTGGCTAATGCAGTGAAGCTTAGCAGAGGATTTAGCATGTGCAAGAATGTTGCTTTGTAGGCTCTCTAAGCCCCATCCAGTCTCCGTCCTTCGTCGTGCAGCTCGCTTGTAGCTTCCTGCTTCTTTACTACCACAAAAGAAGTTTTGCTTCCGCATGCAACATTGCAAACCACCGACCCACGAAGACAAGGTATCTCCGTCAGTTTCTCAACGAAGTCCGCTCTCTTACCAATACCCAGTTGGCCGAAATCGCCTTGGCCGCATGCAAGAACAGCTCTCCGAACTTCTGAATTGTTTGTGTCGCTACTTGCGGCAACGATCAGATGGCCTGCACCGATGCCAAAGTTGACCACGTCCGCCTCCATTCCATCAATGCGAACCTCGACGACATGGACGTGTGTATCATCATCTTCTTTACTGAGTGCTGAAATCTTGCTCTCGAATCCTGGCTCTGATCGGCCCCAGATATACAGCTCCCCTCCATCCAATTCAGATCCAAGCGCGCCACTCATCCAGCCTCCAGAGCCAATTTTCTTAATGCGAATTCCCTCGATATACGGAACGCGCGTAGGAGTGGTGGCTGGTGCATCATCGTCAACCGTACGCCCAAGACACTGAGGGTAACGAGGGTCACCCCATGTGAAGACCTCTCCGTTGTCAAGTAGTAGCGTGAAGAAAGTAGCGCCGGCCTCAAGTTGTGTTGGCATCGATTTCGTGAATTCGCGGCCGACGAGCTCAAGTAACTCTTCTGAAGTTGTGACAGCCAATTTCTGAGTTGACTGAACGGGAGAGTAGACACGGCGATGCCATTCTTCGAAATGCTCGATCTCGTCGAATTCTTTGAGATATGACCCTTCGGTAGCCGCATCGCATGCAGTGCAGTGATTGATGACGGCAATTTTCCCGTTCCCTGCGATGGCAATGACTGGAGTGATGAAGGATACCCCTTCAACTTTTGAAACGTCGCTGGTGGCTATGTAGCCTTTGAGGCCGTCGTCGTTGCCGTAAAATGCGTAGCGTTGCAAGCCCTCATGTTCGAATTTGTCGAAATCTATGTGATTTGAACTGCCGTTTGCGTCGCCATAGTATCTGGTCTGGGCGGTAGCGTAACACAGGAGAGTATCCGACCATGACGCCCACAAAACTTTTGGCTCAACGCTACCAGTCGAGCAAGTCATGACGTGAGGCTCAAGGATGTCATTGGTGCGTCGGTTTGGGAGGGAACACAGCTGACCCAGAGCATTGAAGCCCCAGGAATAGACGTCGAACATGCGTAATTGGTGCGAGGAGAGGGCTCTGCTGAGCTCTCTGCATCTTGGTGTGGGTGAAGGAGAAGCTGTCTGAGGTGGACTGGCGAGCTATCAGGCTTGTCAGAACTGTTGCGTTACAACTTTTGTTAATACATTAAAGAACCTCGAGCAGCACGCAAGTGTACATACGCCTAGAGAGTGTTCTTAGTACGGAACTTCGCGTATAGCTGTGGACTACCACTTTATGTTACAGGGGCTTGGCAGAGAATGAGTTTTTAATACCCTAGACTACTTAGAAACCCAACCTCGTTCTGTCCTCAGCAACGTACTAATACAAAAGGATCTTTACCCCTTTATAACACCGCTGATGGTGCTTCGATGTGCTCACAGGGATATAATGTAACGGGCTCTAGGCCTGATCTGTGTCCTTCTCTCTACTGCTGTCTCATGCGTCTAGGCATGGCTTCAAGCTTGTCAGAACGATAAATTTGAAATCACCTTGGGATTGCTAATAGCTCTATCAAGCACTTTAAACAGTGTTAGGACAATGTCAGAAAACTAATACCCCGATGCTGTAGCAGTACGAGCTCTATTAACAGCTTCGAACACATCAATACCTGCGGAGAGCGTCACAGCTTAGAGAATCTATGAATGAACACTATTCCACTTTCCTAAGGACTAGATATTTTCTAAAAGTAAGACATCGCTCATAATACACTGTCTTTGCCAAAAGTATGTGCGCACTCTCTCGCTACTGTTTGAAGTGTTTCGTAGCATTACAAAAGCTCTGATTTGATGTAAAGCCTTTGTGAGCTTGAATCAAAGAACTTTCACACGCTTACAGCCGGTCTATTTGGCTGCTATTTGTGGTGCTACAGTGGATCATCGTAAACTTGGAAGAGATGGAAAGGGCGGCGTGTCTACACCTGTGTCCTAGGACTATAGTGAGAAGATAAGGACTCTAAAGATTCTATAGAAATAACATGTCCTACGATATCTAAAGGGTAATCAAGTGTACCAGAGCTCTGTATTTTAAAGTTCCACAGTTGCCATTCTACAAATAGTATACAATTGCAGCAGCCTCTTTGAGGAATCGACCACCTACAAGATATCACACATGCTGCCCTCAATCGTGCTGTAGCAGACTTTCCCGATCGCCTGCTGCAAACAAACTCATTGTTGCAGCATACACGGTCTCATTGTCCGCAGTCATACCTTCAGGCCACATTACGCAACCTGCAATTGAACATCTTCAGCTTCCAGTTCTGCCTCCACTTCCGCCTCTTGTTTCCTATTCCTCGTGCTTTGATCCAAACTCCCCCAATGCTTATCAACCTCCTCTTTCGGTAACCCCAACGCGAGTGCCTCTAACCGCAGCCTCTCCCGCACGCTCTCTTCCTGCATCAGCCGCCACCTCAGCTTCCACCCCAGCTCTCCCAACTCCTTCACCCGATTTTCCTTGTCCTTAAGCAGGTACTCATCCAGTCCACCCGACTTATCAATCGTCCGCAGCACTCTTGCCGAGACTCGTAGCTTCACCATTTTCCGCAGCGCGACACTGTACAGTGACTTATTGAGGATGTTCGGTTTCCACGACCGCCGCGTGTGGGTCTCCGTCCGCTTGGACACATTGTTACCGAAGTGGATGCGCGTGCCGCCGTAGAGGCCCCTGTTGGACTGCTTGTAGAGGAGCGCCGGGCCATAGGGGTACGCGGGGATGGGGGCGTCGGCGGGGATAATGGCGGCGGGCTTGTATTTGCGGAATTTGCCTTTTCCGGTGACGAGGTCGGAGTGGATGGGCTTCTTGGGCTTGCTGTAGCTGAGGAGGGGGGTGCTTGTGAAGGTTCGGTTTGTCGTGAGAAGGGTTTCTCGGATCGAGAGAGTTGGCCGGCGCAATTGGGTGTGGAGGGCCATTTTCGTGGTTGGCGATGGCGTGGCCAGCTGGATGAGGTCGCGGCGGAGCGCTGGCCGCTGTGTGGGTTGGATATGGTGATGGGTGGGCGATAGATGGGATGAGGTCGAGGTTCTGGAAGTTTTAGACGCGCGACTAGCTTAGGCGATAGGGCTGAACTTCTTGAGATCTGACTTCACATCTTCCAATGAACGAGCATTACTTTTTTTTCGTGCTTATCAAAGACCTACAAATGATAGTCTGATTCTACCGCAGTTTCTCCTTTCAACCTCGAAATCCACGTGTTACCCTCTCTCCCCACGAACTAGCTGATACGATGGCATCTCTACAAGAACGCCCACCACCGACCACCGCGTCAATAGCCATAGCATGCGCAATTATCGGCGGAGTCACTGGCTACTTTTTGGGACAGGGAGCTTCGATCGGCCTGTTCGGAGGCAGCTCGAGCCAGAAGCCAAGCCATTCGAAAGAAAAGCTAGACGAGGATGAGGACGAGGACGAGAGTTTAAGCGACGAGGACGAAGTAACATCAGCCCAGAAGAACTTCATGGCGAAAGATGCACATATCAGGGAGGAATGCAAGCTCGTTTTGGTTGTCAGGACAGATTTGGGCATGACGAAAGGTACGATCAGGCGCATAAGAACACTCGCAACTGTCCCAAATCTCCAAAGCTGCCTTTTGAAGCTATGCATGCAGCATGCTAACACTGTAATCCTCAGGCAAGATTGGTGCACAGTGTGGCCATGCAACTCTCGCCTGCTACAAATACTTCCTCCGCAACTCCCCGGACTCGCCAATCCTTCGTAATTGGGAAAGATATGGACAGACGAAGGTTGCAGTGCAAGTCAGGAGCGAGGAGGAGCTAGAGATACTGCAGGCCCAGGCAATGAGCTTGGGGCTATGCGCTCAAATCATACATGATGCGGGCAGGACACAGATCGCGAGCGGCAGTGCAACAGTACTAGGGATTGGACCTGCCCCGAAGAGCATCGTAGATCAGGTCACTGGCGGCCTGAAGCTTTTGTGAGAGTGCTCTTCGCACGAGAGGTTGGGAATGACATGGGCAATGGAGTTGAGGGCATTCAAGGCTTTTGGTTCGTAGCATTTGCATGGCGTTCAGTTACAGGCATGATATGAACTCATGAGAGATATCGGCGGGAATACAACAGGGCGTCTTGCCATGAATTCTTATACATCTTTAGGACTGTTTGACGTGCTTCAATACACTTTCAAAGTTCACATGAACAGCAAGTCTATGAGATGGATAGTCGGCTTGAATCGCTGGACCACCTCAGACGACGTGAAGTACTACTCACACCACACATCAACCATCATACATACATCAGGCAGCGGCAGATGAGTGCACATGATGAAGAATCGCGCACTTCATTCCGATATTAGCCCTCGCAAAAAATTTGGACTTCTGACATAATGTCGGTCCTTGAAATGATAATATGTAGGCTGAATGGGTTTTTCCCAGACTTCACTAGCCGACGGCCGTCAGTAAAGGGATCGGAGATCAGACGCCCAGGCATGCTCGCCCTCCACCGAAATCAAGCCCCCGAGAGGGCGACCTCAGGCTTTGAGAAAGCATCCAACTTGTTCTGAGACCTGTCGACCGGAAGATTGACATCATGGTGTAAGAGATGGCTCCATAGGTACGGTCGAACTGTCGAGTTGTCGACCGACAGCCCTGGAGAGGGCGCCGAGACATCAAGACACAGGTCTGTGGATGAAGAAGAACGGGAAGACACGTCGGAGAACTTTTTTGTAGGGTGGGCCGCCTTAGCGTCGCCAAGACAGCAAGGATTAAAATATTAGCGTCGCCCAGCCCCATCGTCAACTTCAACCTCACTCGAAGCCTCACCTCACCTCACGACTCCTCGCAGCTACCCAAGTACCGTCACTACACCCTCGAACGCTGCTCCCATCAGTCACCGCCATCATGGATATCGTTTCCATCGAAGAGGCGAACAAGATTCGCGTGGCCATGGGGATGAAGCCGCTGCCAGTGCCAGGCGCTGCCGCCCCAGGACCTGTCTTCAAGGAGACCGACAACGGCGACGATTCCGAAGACGACCCCGCAAGCACCATCGAGACTCGCACAGCTGCGGCCTACGACAACTACCAGAAGCTGCAAGAGGAAGCCGCGGCGAAGAAGGAACGCGATGCCAAAAAGGCCGCCATCAAGAAGGCCCGGGACCAAGCTCAACGTTTTGCTGCGTTGGAGGGGAAAGGCCTTGCGGACGACGATGAGGAACTTGATACTAAGAGCTGGCTGCTCTCATCAAAGAAACGGCAGAAGAAGATCGAGAAGGCTAGGAAGCTCGCAGCAGAGCTGGAGGAGCGTGAGAAGCAGGCGTTAGCCGCTACTGAATACACAGCTGCAGACCTCGCAGGTGTCAAAGTCGGACACGAGGTGAACGAGTTCGGCGAAGGCCAGGACGAGATTTTAGTGCTAGCCGACGGTGCCGTGACTGACGACGAGGCCGAGGACAAGCTCGAGGCGGTGAATCTCAAGGAGAAGGAGAGACTCAAGGAGAAGCTCGATAGCAAGAAAAGGAAGCGGGTGTACGATCCGAATGATCAAGACGAGGGCGAGAGCTCCGTGCTGGCCCAATACGACGACGAGATCTCAGGCAAGAAGAAGAAGGTGTTCACTCTCGACGGAAAAGGAAGGACGGTTGAAGAGGTCACTATGGCAAACACAGACTCGTCAAAATCGAAAAAGGGAGTGAGCATTAGCTTGGATATTCTCAAGGATGAAACGCCCATCTCCGACTACATGGATCTCTCGAAAATCAAAGTCAAGAAGCCTAAGAAGAAAAAGAAGGAGACTCGCAAGAAGGTGATCGACGAAGATGATATTTTCGCAGTCGCAGACGCAGCTCCACCCCCAAATGACGTCGAGGATGGTGCAATGGATATCGATACTCCGAACCAAGGAGCACTCGTTCCGCAGCGAAAGAAACCCTCCTTTGACGATGCCTTCTTGGACGACGACGACCTTCAGGCTCAACTTGCCCTGCAGAGAAGGGCTGCTCTCAAGAAGCGCAAGAAGCTGCGTCCTGAAGACCTGGTCCGCCAAATGGAAGAAGAAGCGTCAGCTACGCCTGATGTTATGGAGACCACGGAAGACGGCGAGGATGAGCCTGGCCTTGTCCTCGACGAGACGTCCGAGTTCATTGCCAACTTTCAGAAACCTGCGGAAGAAGAGGCTCGACCAGCTAATGGACGCCTGTCGATGAGCCCTGACTCCCCTGCGGCTGACGATGAAAGTGACATCGACATGGATGACGCAACCGTACTCCAAGAGGAAAGCTCCCGCACGCGCAGTGTGTCTGTAGACATGCCAACGACTGGCCTGGACGATGAAACGACGCTAGATAAGGGTGTTGGTGCGGCTCTTACCCTTTTGAGGCAACGTGGTATCGTGCAGGGTGGCGATGCTGGAGGCCTTAACACTGCCACGCGTGAGCGCCATCGCTTCTTGGCAGAAAAACAGAAGGCGGAGGAAGCTGCCGAGAGAAAGGCCAGAGAACAGCGAGACCAAGACAGGAAGTCTGGACGCCTGGATCGGATGACTGCTCAGGACAGGGAGGCCTATGCTCGCTCAACGAATCTAGCCCGTGAACATGCGGAAGCACGGAAGCAGGCTGAGATGTACAAGACCTACACGCCAACCTTCGAACTCAAGTACACCGATGAGCACGGAAGGAACATGGACCAGAAGGAAGCCTTCCGCCATCTTTCCCACCAATTTCACGGAAAGGGTTCTGGCAAGATGAAGACGGAGAAGCATCTCTCAAAGATCGAAGCTGAGAAAAAGAGGTTGGCAGCTAGCACTTTGGATTCCAGCCAGCACACGGGCATGTCGAGTGCACAAGGTGTACAGGCGAAGAAGCACAAGCAAGCTGGCGTACGTTTGCAGTAAGGTGAACGACTGAGGCTTTCGGGTTGTGCTGCTCTATTGCAGTAGTCACTCTTCTTTATCAGGTCAGTAGACTCACAGATTGTACAATTTGAAAATGCTGATATTTTTGGAATGCGATAAGCGACGGCTTTGGAGAGGGATATTACTTCGATGGCAATAGCTATTGCAAGCAAGGACGACACAACTACAAGCATAATCGTTATTCACAATAGGTTAGAATGTGCTCCACCTTTGTCAAAGTGTCTTAATTTGCTAAATAGATAGAATACTACTACAGAGTTCATGCAACGATCTCGCATGTGAGTACATCTGTTCGCCGTTAAGGCTATTGACCTGCTGTCCGCATATCGGAGGGATAAGACCAGCATATCCATTCCTACCCATGACCAACTCCAAGTATGGGCCACTCCCATCCTGGAAGATGGATACGGAATAGTCCGAGTTCCCCCATGTGCCCGCGAAGCTCCGGGGAAACAGCCATAATATTGCCAAATGTTCCGCAGATGGTGATGAGTGCATCGAGGGCGCCGAGGAAGCGGTATTGGCTCTCTACTTCTCTGTGTTGGAATACTTCATTGATGAGCGAGCGCAAATCGCTAAACGTACGACACATGGCCAAAAATGCCAGCATCGGTCTGATCAGCGAACTATCGTGTCTGGGCGCATGGAGGCTCTCGCGCCGTAACTGGTCTGCGGGCACGAAGAAGACCTTCCGACACATCGGGCAAGTGTTTCGTAACTCAAACCAAGTTTCCAGGCATTCGCGTCCGAAAATGTGCGAGCAGTTGTTTGTCTTGACCCAGTCGGCAGCGTGGTGTGCTGCGAGACATATGTTGCAGTCGCCGAGTGCAGCCATTGTCGGCGAAGTAACCATCTCTAGAATGTTCGCCTCCTCAACGTGCGCCTCGGCGAAAGAGTATTTGTCGATGATTCGGACTCTTTGAAGCTCGCCTCGAGTTAAGACGGCCAGATCATCCCGAAGTTTCCTCAACGGCCTCGATAATAGGTGCAATATCAAGGTAAAGTCACGCCTCAGATCTCTCAGGCGCTCTTCTGCTCCCGGTTTTCGCATCTCTTCCAAACCACGGACACTGTGCATCTCGTCCTGTATGCCCATCATCAAGAAGGTAGCAGGCGGTATGATAGACCCGTCAAGATCCCAATCGACACCTTGCCATATAAGTTGCCAGAAGCAATTGGTAAGCACGACCAACTCAAGCTTGTCTGCAGGCCAATCCCTACCGCCGTCGTAGAAGGCCTCGTAAAATTCATCGTCAATATTGCGACCTTGGTCTTTGAGCCGCTGTATATGCGGTTCCCATCTCCAACGCATTTCATACCAATTGAAGTTCTTCAACTTGTCTTCTGTCAACCTTAACACGCCTGAGGAAAGCCCAGTATAAGGCCTCTGCTCGCGGCTCAGCAGTGCTAGAAGCATGATGTGGTTGTAATTCGGATGCCAGCGACGGGTGCCTTCCTTCAGGAATCCTTGTATTCGCTTCATCTCGCTCGTTGGTATCCGCGCTGCTTGGTCGTCCAGAGAGTCATTCTCGCGAAATGTCGCGAATATCTCGAGGACGTCCGTTGGGGGCAGTTTAGTCTGCTCGACGTCGCCGGGAACCATCATGCGCCAGATGTTGAGAGGTTCTGCCCATACCTTCCGCACAAAGATGTCAATGCCGCGGAGCATGTGGTTAGGGTTGTTGGTGTACGACAGTAAGTCCTTAAGGAAGCAGTTGATCATGGCCTTGGCTTTGTCGTCGACTAGCGTAGCAGTAGATGGGGTTAGGCTTGATGAAGCCATGTCTGCCCTACGAATTGGGTTTTTAAGCGGGCTTGGGAAATGCTTGGGAAGGTGTTTCACTTATTGCAAAATGCTAATAAGTTTATAGGGGGCGATATGTACGCGCAGTGAATATAACTCTTTATGGCTATGCCGTTAATGTTACGTATTTATACTAAGGTCACTTTGAGTAATCAACACAACATGGATAGTGAAGGCTCGAAGTGAAGATTTCCTCTAAAAAGAGAAGTATTCGCCTGCCCCCTTTTACACGTATATATAACATGTCATCTACGTCTGTTTCGTTATCTACAATGCCTTGTTATAGAAATCTGCACACTCGTTTGCCGCTGCATGAAGAGCTTCATAGTATTATCCACATGCCGAATAAGAGAGAACTTTCGCATTTTAGACAACTAGTAGACTCATGAGGCTACCCCAGACTGCGTCAATAGGGTGCACGCAGATTGGAAGTGTATCCACAGCCCTATAGACAGTGGCAGGTAGGTGTACGGATTTCTATAACAAGGCATTGTATCTAGTGTAGCACAATCTGTGCTAGCACACTCCTTGTAACTCCGTCAGTCCCCTGCTAGATCAAGCAAATAATTTGGGATATGCTTCTAGCCCCATACCTCGATCGCTAATCTACCTTTTATAGAAATGACAAAAAAAGGAATATCGACAAGTAAGAGTCTAGCGCCTGCCAGAGCCCCATAGCTCACGCAACGCCCTCATCCACCTCTGCTCCTCCCATGCCAGAGCCGTCCAGCTGCCCCCCTAAGGCGCGATCCCAACCCATCGGGCCGCCTAGTTGCGCTCTCTCTACGCACGCGCTCCCTAGCCCTATCATGGCGGTCTCGAGCCAGAGGCGCCGGTACAGAACGGCGGGTATCCTCGTTTACAGTCCCGTTGCCGCCGCGCGCGGTTCGGCTCGATGCGCTTGCGTGCCTACGCTCAGGCGCGTGTGTCGTAGCCGTAGTATACGTCGGAACATGGAATCCCCGAGGGTTGGGGTAGTTGAGGCGCGTGGTGTTGTTAAGAATAGAAGAGATGTGCTCCACCTGTTCCAACCCTTGAAACAGCGCTTGGAGGTTGGGCTCTTCTTGGGAGCCGAAAGGCTGATGCTGGTCGTAGTTGTGGCCGTGGCGATCGCCCTGGACAGGATCTCGTTCATCGAGGAGGGAACCAACGCCAGATCGCGTGCGGAGATCAGCGGGTCCCGGCTCTCCCACTTCCAAGAGGCGCCGTCTCGTACGTGAACGCAGTCTGTCCTGGTTAGACCGCTGTTCAAGATCCCTAACCCTATGTCCCAGGGCAGATTGGCGGCCGTGCGGTTGTCGTTCGATAGCAGGGTCTAGTCTACGAGTCTCAATGTGGAGAGGAAGTGGGATGTCCACGACATCTCCACGCGATCTATGGCAGACAGTGTAGCCTCCATTGGAAGGAAGAGCAACTGCATCGTCCACGATCGACTCAATCTGAAGTCGCTCACGCTCTCCGGCACCAGCCATTGCATCATCTCGGGTCCCAAGCCTCGCAAGCCGGTGGGGGAATGGCGGAATATAAGGTCCTCCTTCTTCGTTCAGGCGCACTTCACCCGGGTTAAACATTGTAAGGTCCTCTTGTAGGCCCAGACCCCAGACTCCGCCCGCGTCAGGCTCCTCGGACGGAGCTAGTTCAGCGCGCGCTGCAGCATCTTCCTCTACCCAGCGTTCCCAATTTCCTGCGTCATCGTCGTCTTCTGAGTAGTAGTCGTCATCGTAGCCTCTACCTGGCCAGTCTTCACTGCGGCGTCTCGCTCTATACACCCGAACCCGCCGCGACTCCTCTCGAATCTCGTCAGATAGCCGGAACAAATCACGATCCATCTGGTCCCGAACTCGAGGAGGTTGGCCAGGAACTAAGACAGCACGACAGACCGGACACAAATTTGCGTTCGCCGCCCGGCTTTGGTGCCAGCGTTGAAGGCACTTAAGGTTGCAATACACATATTAGCGGGTTTTCATAAATAGGGGTTTTTTGAAACAGATCCTAGGTCCTCTGGAGTTATTTGTCCTTGAGTGCCACTCAAATCGTGTTTAAGACCCTATTGTAGCTTGTGTTGGTGCTAAAAGCGACTAAAATAGGTGCTCAAACGCGACTTGAGTGTGTGTTCAAACGCGACATGAGTCACGTTTCAACACGGTTCCAGGAACAATGACACCAGAGGACTCTGGTATGTGTATTAGGACCTTACGTACCTCTGTGCAGAAGGTGTGTCCGCAGGGGCCGCTCTGTAGTGCGTCGCGTGGGACTTCGTCCATGCAAATTGGGCACTCGATTGGGGTTGGCGCCATGGCTCCGGTTTAGGGTGGTGGTAGTGGTAGTGGAAAAGAGTAGTGTGGAGATGTTGGGGAGGGTGATAGTGCGATTCGTAAGTTTTGGGTATATATACTAATAAACGCGCTGAGGAGAAGTGAATTATGCCTTGGTTAACTGGAGAGTAGGGTGAAATGGGAGGTGTTCTGTCATATGTGGCACATGTTGCTTGTGCAGGTATGACGGTGATTGGGACCATGGTCGAACAGTTAAGGGTGAACGGCTAGAATGGGGGTTCCAGATTTTGAAGTTTGGAGGTACCGCTTCTCGGACCATTTTTGGCACTCCTGGTTCAAGTAAGCTGTGTACCATACCCTACACCGGGAGCTCACTCATTGGCTAGTTCTGGTTTGTTACATAATTTGGACATCTCAGTGCGTGAGAAATTAAAAGTTGTGCTTGAAGCTGATATATATACATGTTTGCTTGTTACATCATTTAATATGCCAAGAGGCAAGTATTTTCAGTGAGGCAAGACTTGGCGTAGTCAATTTTGAAAAGTCTCCGGCACAGAGAGAAATTCTGTCTCTTGGCGTTTTTCAAATTGCCAAGAAACAGATTTCTCAAAAGAAGATGCATAAGGAGATATGTGACAAGCATGTCAAAGGAGGTGTGAATACACACCAACCACTATCACACACAGTATCACAGCAATACCAATAAAGCCTCAAGTATTCAATTCGATTCGACCTTTTCCATCCCTTTGCCATGCCAAAGCCACTAGCCTACCCCATTCGCTCACCCACCCATTGCCCGACTATGATATGTTTTAGAACCTCGCCCTTCCCTTACCAAGCACCGGCCCGCACATCCGTGCATTTGCCACAGCACCCTTCCTCTCCACCCACACAAAAGAAAGGAGAAGCATGCGAGTCAGACTAACCCACACAGCGCAATGGCCCATCCCACCATAGAGTCAGTCCACCACGCTTATACAGCACGCTACGCTCAACGCCAATCACCAATCACTGGTCCCACACAGCACCGATCACGTCTCCACATTTGAACAAACAGAAAGACAGAAGGAAAGTAAACGCCGTTTGCCAGGTCCCATCTATTTACACAAGTGCATTTTCCACACTAGAAGCCAAACAGGAACAAGAAAAGAGAGGGGGGGTTAGGAGGAAAGAGGGAGCATCGGAAGTCGCGATGCATGCGAAGACGGAGGAAAGCGCTTTTGTGACGAACAGCCCAGACTCCAAGTTGAGCGCGCTGACAGCAGATGCACACAAGCAAAGACAATGCTCCGTCAATCCCGCTAAAACAAATCTCCGCGGCGTGATGGGAAAAAAACGGAAGAACTTCTGGAGTGGAAAAGCCGAGGGATGACCAAAATATAAGAGTTCAAGCTTCCACCGCTTGAGTTTTCAGTCCATTGATCGTGACATGTTCAGGCCCGGAGTCTTCCTCTTCACTAAGCGAGTGTTTGTGCTTCAGTAGACCGTCTTTTTTCAAACGCGGCTCGTTCCCGGGACCGACTTCGTCCTCGGACTCCGTGTCATCATTCTCGTCTTTACTCTTCCCATTGACTGAAGTGCTAGACGTATGTGGCGTGATAGTCTGGCTCGAGACGTGCCTCGGCGGCTTTGCCCTCTTCTCATTCGTTGATGGCCTTGGCGTAACATCCTCAACCTCGTCTCTATCAATATTAGCGTCGCTGAGCACAGGCGCAGTGTCGCTGCTTTTGATTGACGGCGCCGCCTCAGCCTCGCTCATCGCGCTCTCCTCGCCGGACTCTTGCACAGCTTCTTGTGCCTGCTTGCGAACCTTGAGTCGATCTTCTGCCGGTATATCCTGCCAATCGGCGCCGAATGTGATGACTGAGGCTTTCTTGCCATGCACCGTGAAGCTCCCCTTCGCTCTTGACAAGCCCTCGCTTTCTGGAGCTTCGTCGCTGACAATGGTCGAGTTTGACCCCTTGCCTTTGCCGCCGCGGCGATGATTCGATCCGCTGTGCGAGTCACGCAGGGTGCGATGCAAACTCCGCCGAACCTTCGACCGTGACTCTGGGGAGCCTCCCATTGCAGCTGGAGTACGATCCGCATCGGATTCGGAAGCTGTATCAGGGCGCGCTCCGTCAACAGCTACAGTCAGGCCATTCTGAGGCTCGGTGCTCCGGTCTTCAATTGGTGGCGGTGTAGTGTAGTGGGATGGCGTCTCAGATGCCGTCTCCGAGGCTCTATCACCAAGAGTAGACACAGACGGACGGTGTTCGCGTGGCAAAGCGGTAGGCGATTGTCCAGATGTGCTTACAGCACTGGGCAGCGACCCGCGATGATTCGACGATACGGGGCTGAAAGACAAAGGGGGCAATTCGTATTGCCCCGGCACGTGGCTGGGGCTGGACTGGCGGGAGTGCTCTGGTGGTGTCTTGAAGATGTCCTCTCCAAAGTCCGTCTCTCGAGACGATTTCGTACCTGGCCTAGCGGATGGGCTGGGAGAAAGTGGAGCCCCCTTTCCTCCGAGCAGAGAACCAGCCTTGGAGTTGAGCCGCGCTAAGCTGCCGATTTTGGACGCCTTTGAAGACTTTTCTGGCTGAGTTTGTGGTGTAGATTTGCCCGTAATACGGTCAATTCTAGCTTGCCTTTCATTTGCCATGTTCTTCTCTTCCTCAAGATCTAAGGCAAGGATGTCTCGATGGCACTTCATCCGCCAAATCTCTATCCGAATCCATTTGAGCCGTGCTGCCATTCGGCCCGCAGCGATAATGACAAGCTCCCTTGTCTTTGGCTGTATGGGAGCCATTATCTGTAGATGCCGAGCGTCTCTCAGTCGGCCCTCGAGCTCTCTAATGGCAGCCGCTAATCTTTCCTCTGACTCGCTGATCTTGATTATCATCAGTTCCCGTCGGGCAGCACTGATCTGCTCTGCAAAATTCTTATCTATCCTCCCACTCTCAATGGTGACCTCCCCAGTTGGCGTTGAGATGGACTTTGTCGATTGTGAAGACTCAAGCCTACGGAACCCACGGTTCCTCTGTCCATCCGTGAGCCCTCTCGGCCGGACGCTCAATGTCTCAAACGCAGCTGAGTAATTCAGCTTGCCTAACCAGTCGTTCAGGTCTGTCTCGTTGTCTGCGAGGAACGTCTCTTCTGTGCCTCCCTTGGAGTAAATGACAAAAGAGTGTTTGTGTTTTCGGTAAGTCGTATCTACCAGAGCTACAGTCCCATCCATGGGTATAACGTGATCTGGTTTGAAGTCGTGAACGGGAGGCGTAAAAATCACTGGGCCCGTGTTGCCGAGCTTTTGGTGTTGTTCATGCTGATGAGTGAGTGTTTTGACCCAGCCGTGATTTTTGAAGAAGGAAAGTCCAGACTGCGTTAAGATTGCACCCCATTCTTGCCACGGAGACCGCGCTGCTTTTCGTTTGGTATCTTTTCTCCATATCGTACCAACCTTAGTGACAGGCATCTCCACAATTCCGACTTGAGTCTCGTTGGGGTTCTCTTGAGTGGCGGCCGACATGAAGGCCTCAGGTCTAGATCGAGATGAAACAATCTGGATCACGCCGTATTTGGAGTGCGTGCTGTACAGTGTCCTTGCATCCAAGGATTGGGCGGTTCCCAAGTAGCTGTATGGGTCATCTAGATTCATGACGTCCTTGATGTTGGGTCGTAATGCATCGAGTTTGTTCTCAAAGATCAGAGTGTACGGGTCAATGGGTTCCCTCGTTGCCTTTCGTGCAGGATCGCTCATTGGGGCCTTGAAAACTGAGGTCTTCTTGCTGCGGAATGCGGCTGTCCCCTTGATGTCAATGTCGTCTTCGAAATGAATGAAAGGTGTGTAGACGATGTTGTCGTATATGCATCCAAGTACGTCGTCGGCAACGCCTTCGCAAGAAGAGTTCTTGATGTAATCCTGTCTCTGCATTTTCCGCTTGTTGTTCTTGTTGAAGACGTCCGTGTGGAGAATCACAATGGAGAATGATATGAAATAAGCTTTGTCTGTAACATAGTTAATCTCAAAACTTTCCAATGAGCATCGAATTTGCATACCTGGATTTATATAGATGCCCGGATTGCACTCGTGATAGCGGTCGGCGAAGCCCTGCAGGACTCTGTCTATCTGCTGTGTTTCTTTCGGCAACTCGACCTCCATCAGGAGCTTCCTAATGGCCATGTCAATTGGGTCTCCGAAAAAGTGGAACTTGCGCATATAACTCCGGAGAACCGCCAACATAAAAGCGTCGCTAGTCTTAGAGAGTACGCTGGCAATCACGCTACGGTCCATGACTTCCTCCAATCTTTCAAGGTAGCGGCCGGGGGCCTCCCCCTCTTCTCGTTTTGGAATTATCAGGGCCTCTCTGCTAATGTTCAACGAGTTGTTGTGGGAGGATAGGCCAGGCGTGCCATGACTAAGCGCGGGAGTCCCATATCGGGGGGAATGAGGTTCTGAGTTTTGACGAAAGCGTTGTCCTAGTCCGAAGAGGTTACTAAGACTGCTTCTACCAACAGTTGACGTGGAATTCCTGCCACTGCCTGACACGAATGGCGGAGTTGGTGGGGGTGCGTCGTCCGATCGGCCGCCCATAGATCCCATAGTCGAGGACCGTCCGCGTAAGCCCAACCGCATTGGGGCTCCTGTGTTTGGAGACGACCGAGCTGAATGAATGGATTTCAATGAGTCGTTTCTCAGCAACTTGGAAGATCCTGGCGCCGCAATGTTCATAGATGATGCGGCTAATGCAACGTGTGTGGGAGAGGGCATGGAACTTGTTCGATCATTTTCCTGGTCTTGTGTGTCCGTGCGATGGATTGCTGTCAGGGGAGGGCTGTATCCGCCAGGAGAGTGGTTGGCAGAGCTAGAGCTGATAGCACTTGTGGATGCGCGTGGAGTGGCAGGAGCTGCGTTTGGGGATTTAGGAGGGTCGATTTTCATAGGTAGAGGGAATAGTGATGCGCGCTGCTTGTTCCGCCGACCGAACTTGAACCGCCCGGTGCTGGCATTTGAAGTTAATTTCGGTTTAGGCGGACTCGCGAAGTGGACGTGGTCGCCAGAGCTGCCATCTGACCGAGAGGAATCCGACATTCTCGGAACTGGAAGGGACAGTGTCGAGTTTCCTTCGTGGTGGCTCGATTCAGGAAGCGCATTTGGCCGGTGGCTTGTCGATAACCTCTGTGGGTCCTCGCCCATTGGGGACGGTGCCCTCATATTCCCAAACGGCCTGCGCTTCTTGTCCATGGATTTGCGAATGGTGTTGGGGCGTTCGGCGGAATCGGGATCAAACGACATACGACGACGCGCGAATTGCTGTAAGCGGCCAGTGGGCTTGTTTTTGGGGATCTGGCCCTGCAGGTCTACGGTTGGGGCAGTCATGATGATGGCCGGTGCTACACGCGCAAATGGTCAGTCTCCTGTCATATCAGCTTCAGATGTTGCTTACCCTGGGGAATAGCAGGCACTGGCGGGGCCGATGCCGCAGCGTGCTCCTTGGCCTTGACCGACAGCTGCGAGTCTGAGGCATGGCGGAACCTCATGATGCTGAACCGCTTCGTGTTGGGGGTGTGGTCCTGAATCGGGGGTGATGGCGGCGGCTCCTGGGTGTCTCCAGACCACGAGGCCCTCCCCAGCTCTGCGCCGGGCGGGCGTCCACCATCGTGTGAGACGGCTGCGCGGTCAGGTTCCAGAAACTCGCGGGAGGCATTGGCACTGCGGGCCTTGTCGCCACGATTGAGCACGCTGCCGGGGTCGAGGGTGCTGCGGCGCTGGAGGTCCCGTTCGCTGCGGTTTGGTCGGAGAGCCCTCAAAGGCATTGCGACGTCGAGGGCGGGCTACTCATCTAAGCAAGCAGCGGTGGTACCGGGCAAACATGGCACAGCTGGGCGGCGGAGGGGAGATTTGGTGGCCAGGATGGGAGAAGCTGGGCGTAGGATAGGGCTGAGCTGAGGTGCTACCAGGGGCCACGGCGGTCGAGGGGCGGAAACGCAGTCGGGCACGCGGCGTGGATGCTTCGTGCGTTTGGATAGAGGCTCGGACGAGGGCTGGAAGCGTGTACAGTGGTGCGTCGCGTCTCGCCCGTGGCCAGCTTCAACAGAGGTGTCGTCTCATCGGAGCGAGTTCGCTTGAACCTCAGTCGTCAGCCCTGTGAGGAGTCTAGGAGGAGCTCCAGGCACCGACATCATTCACCAACAACACCATTACACCAACCTCTACTGCTTTCTCTCCACGCTCCCGCCGGCGCAAGCCTGCTGCAGCCTTCACTCCTTCGACCCGTATAGACTGCCAACATGCGCCAACTCTCCTTTGCCCTCGCGACCTTGATCCTACTCGGTCCCTCACTGATCACGGCCGCCCCGCCCACGACGCAATGTAGCCACCCTTTCCATGCTCCCTGCCATGAACACGTCCCGCGGCCGTGGTGGAGGCTATCATATGCCATCATCCGCAAGGTCTGGGGGCTTCCCGAGAAGCAGCATGCCTTCTCTGGCGCTGGCGACGTGCCTGTGGGTGCGAGTGGGCCCACCGGGAAGCTGCTGGCACGATACGGCCAGGACATCGTGATGCGCTTCACCATCCGGACTGCGGAAGAAGCCTCTGCACTGGCTGAGGCCACCGACGTCTTGTTTCTAGATGTGTGGGAATTCAACGACAATTGGGTCGACATTCGACTGGCAAAGGACGTCGTAAGTGGAGCACGCGACACTATGTAGCTAGCAATTGTTGACATTTGGTTGCAGGTACCCTCTCTACTTGGGCTGCTCCCCGCATCTCTCCAAACCTCTCATGTTGCCTTGATGCAAGACCTCGGCCTTGCTCAGGCCATCTTCGATTCGTATCCGTCGCCCTCTTCTACCCAGTTCCACGAAGACCGCTCCTTCACACCGACCCTCCGCGCTTCTTCTTCTGCCGAGAACATCTTCTTCCAGGACTACCAGCCCCTCTCTGTCATTACACCCTGGATGAACTTGATGGCATCCATGTTCACGACCCACGTCCGTCGCATCAACGTAGGTATCAGCTATGAAGGCCGAGACATTCCAGCTTTGAGAGTTGGTGTCCACCCCACAAACAACGACGAGCCTTCGAAGCCGCGAAAGACAATCCTACTAACGGGTGGTTCCCACGCCCGGGAATGGATCTCGACCAGCACTGTGAATTACGTGGCGTGGAGTCTCATCACCTCTTACGGCAAAACTCCTAGCATAACGAGGCTTCTCGAATCATTTGATTTCGTTTTCGTGCCCACGCTGAACCCAGACGGCTATGTCTATTCCTGGGAGACTGACCGCCTGTGGCGCAAGAATCGTCAGCCTACCTCACTCCGTTTTTGCCGAGGCGTGGATCTAGAACGCACTTACCCATTCCAATGGGACGGAGCTTCAACTCAGGGCAATCCATGCAGCGAATCTTTCGCCGGAGATTCCCCTTTCGACGGTGTGGAAGCAAAGAGGTTCGCCGACTGGGCGCGAAACGAGACTGAGAACAACAATGTCGACTTGGTGGGCTTCCTAGATCTGCATTCGTATTCCCAGCAGGTGCTTTACCCGTACTCTTATACCTGCCACGCGGAGCCACCGACCCTCGAAGATCTGGAGGAACTAGCGCACGGCCTTGCAAAGGCAATCCGTATTTCACGAAAAGGACAGCCGTATAAAGTAACATCCGCATGTGATGGCAATGTTGCTATTACCAAAAATCCCAAGGATGGCAAGGAGGAACGGATTCTACTTCCTCGAATTGAGTCGGGCGGAGGAAGTGCTCTGGATTGGTTCTACCATGAATTGAGGGTTAAGCATGCGTACCAGATCAAATTGAGGGATACGGGAAGCTATGGCTTTCTACTCCCTAAAGAGAACATAGTACCAACAGGAGTAGAGATGCTGGATGCAGTGCTGTACCTCGGACGGTACATGCTCGGGGAAGTCGGCATGATGGAAGGCGAGGCCGAGGAGAAGGAGGCCGAGGAAGCGAATCCTTTCACCCAGGCGCAGAGTGAGGACACTCACATCGTGGGGCCGCAGAACGAGACAGTAGAAGAGGAGGTTCATGATGAGGACGAATCGAGTTTGGAACTACGACGTCGACGGAAACGTTAATCCAGGTCTTGGATGTGTTTCTTGCTCTGTTTTCTTGTTAATACTAATGACTAAGGAGGTCAATGAACTACCTTTTCTACAACAATCTTCACACAATTTTGGCAGTCTAGAAGACGCGGCGTTCTATGATACAAAGGCATGCCGTAGGACCTGTTCACTTGAGAACGGATAAATTTAATGTGTTAATAGCTTCATTAGCTCAGTCGACACTTGCCTCTCCGTTGGACGGAACATCTGAGTTCTGAAGCGGTCTTCCACCCATATATAGCATGCGGATACGCGTAATAAAGTCGAATTGGCTATTTTTCGATCCCCATGCCAAACCAAAATCGTGGGGTACTTTCGAGGCCGCATGGAACACATTCCCGTCACCAATCTTGCGTAGCAGAGCCCTGCACTTCTAGGCTTACGCAACTCTCGCCCTCTGTGCCTCAGTTCCGAACTTGTCTTCGAAACTTACGTGCAAACCAGATATTGGCAAGAGACAGTCAACATGCAGTCAGGCATCTCCGGTACTTCCCCGCTGCTCACCCTTCCTCCCCAACTTCCAGTTAAACACCCCCGCCAGCTTCTGCCGAGCTTCTTACAGCCTTCCAAACTTTCCTGACAACGCCCACCCAGCGCGGCCTCCTCGCCACTATCTCAAACGAATCCATCCAGCCTGGCCCCGCCATCTCCTCCACCAACTCCTCCTTCCTCTCCGATCTCTCCAACCTCTTGCCCCACCTCACGCCCAATGGCGCACTGTATATCATCCTCCGCCGCGCGGACTCTCCCTCTTCCTCTGCTCCAGCTGCGGGCTCGCTCGTTGCGGTAACATACGTGCCCAATGCTGCACCCGTACGGCAGAAAATGCTCTTTGCGTCCACGCGGCTGACGCTGCTGCGCGAGCTGGGCTCTGAGCACTTTGGGGAAACAGTGTTTGTAACCGAAGCAGAGGAGCTGAGTAAAGAGGGGTGGGCGCGGCATGAGGCGCACGGGGAGGCTGCGAATCCGCTGACGCAGGAGGAGCAGGACCTCGAGGGCATTAAAGAGCAAGAGGCATTGGAGAGCAGGGGCACACAGGGGAAGAGTTTAGCTAGCGGTGGGAACTTAGCTGTGAGGGCGGATGATAAGGTGGTGGAGGCTGTGAGTGCGTTGGGACAGGGTGGGGACAATTTGGTGCAGTTGGTATGTTTGCTGTCTGTTCGACCAAGCTTGAAATAGGGAGGAGAGCTGAGGTATGATGAATTTTCGGTCACTGACTATGTAAACTGCAGGCACTGGATCCCAAGACCGAGACTTTGACCCTCATAGCTACCTCCACCGCCACCGCTTCCTCTATCTCCGGCGCAGTCGACAACTCCTCGCCCCGCTTTCTCTTCTACCGCCATGACACGGCGTCCTCGAAACCGATTCTCTTCATCACTACGTGTCCGTCAACTTCGAAGATCAGGGAACGAATGCTGTTCGCCGCGTCCCGTAATGTTGTTATCCAATTCGCGCAGAAAGAAGGCGGTATCACGATAGCAAAACGGCTCGAGGTCACGAATCCGGATGAGATCACAGAAAAGTTGATCGAAGAAGAGGTTGGAGAGAGTGGAAAAGAGGAAGTACCAGCAGTGAAATCGGGATTCGCGAGACCGAAGAGGCCGGGAAAGAGGTAGAGAAAGTACCAAAATAAGCGTGTGAAGTTGCAGATGGTAGAGGGAGAGACAATCATTTCAACACCATTGACGGCCAGTGTATAGGTGGCGCAGCTATTGGTAACTACTTGCGAAAGGGGACGAAGAAGTCAAGCAATCACACGAATAGACTCGAAAGCTAAAAACTAACAGTGGTCCTGGCATTAAAACGAACCTGAAAAGCCATGCTTCGCTTATGCAGCTAAAATTTATGGATATGCATGTGTCAAAACTTCGTTTCTCATCCCTCTCTTCTATCCAGCTCGCACCCATCCAATATTTACAAAGCGCCATCAAGCGGCACTTTTCCCTTCCCCTCCTCTTTTGTCTTTCAAGAAATATAACGAAATCTAAAGCGGACATTTCCTATTCTTCATACTTCCCAGCCGGGGGCATATCCCGATTCTTCTCCAACAAGCCCTTCAGATACTCGTACACGGTGAACGTCACAGCCTGGCCGGGCGCAACACGCATCACGCGCGGCGTGATACCCTTGTAGAAACTGCGGCTGCCTTCTTGCTTCCACATTTCCCTATTCCCAAAGTCAGCCCAATCCTTCCCACTACACCAGAAAAAATCAGAGAGCAACCTCCAGGGACAACATACCGCATAATAACCAAAATCCTCTGCACGGCCCCCACCCCCGACTCCGCCGGCGTCTTCTGCAAACGCGTCTTAATCGTATCAATCGGCGCATTCGACAACGGGCCCATCGCGCCCGACACCAGCCCAATAAACATGGTCTGCCACCCGGGCAGATCCGTCGTCCCCTGGTATTCCTGCAGCTTCTGCCGGAACAAACTATAAGCAGTAAAGTTGACGGCTTGATTGGAGCCCTGGCGCAAGGCCGTGAGCGACACACCGCGGTACAGCGCGCCGGCGCCCTCTTCTTTCACGACGGTGTAGAGCGCGTGCGCCGCGTTGCGGTATTTGGGCACGTCGAGCGGGTCGGCCATGCTGTGGTGTTGGGCTTGCAGGCGGATCTTGATGACTTCCATGGGGGTCACGACAGCGACGGCTTCGGTTACGCCGGCGGCTAGGCCAGCTGTGATTCTCAGGCATCAGTGTTGGTCCACTGATGAGCTTGTAGGGGACACGCTGAAGGGATACATGGGGGTTTAAGGGGGCTTTGGAGAGGAGAAGAGAGGATTGGGGGCGTACCAAGAAAGGTGCTCTTCTTGCTCACGGTCCCGTCCGGCGCCGCGAGCAGCTGTTTGTACCACTCGTAGCTGGTGAAGCGGATGGCCATTTTGGGCACGATGCCCGTGAGCACGGCGCCCAGGCCTTTATAGAGGCCAAGGGGGGTTTCGCGCTTTATGATTTCGGAACCGGTTTTTAGGAAGCCGCGGCGTTTGACCTGTGGTGGTTGGTGGTGTTAGCTGGGGAATTTAGGGCCTAAGGATTGATTTTGTGGGCTGGATGGGGAGGAATTGAGTGTATTGGCCTCCTAGAAGAAGGGAGAGCTGAATTGTGTATGGGGTGGGACGTACGCCTGGCGCTGTTGCTCTCCGCGAAAGCTGCATCCGCACTTTTATCGTGTCTGTTCCATATATTAGCTATGCAATTCTTGGGTGGAATGTCTGAAGCTTGACATACCGAGCGGATGGCACACGAGGGCCTCCATCATACCAGCTCCTCCACCAGCTGCAGCAATACACATTAGTTACCAATTCCTTCAACAAGCTACTCAGTGAGCATACCGATCAGATTGGTCGCCGCCGACGCGGGCTGCTTCCCATTGGGCCCTTTTACAGAGTTCGCTGCCATTTTGTGTGGTGGTGTCGAATGCCCGCGTGCTCACGCAAAAAGTTCCAAGATACTGGCAATTGGGTATAAAACTCAAAGAAAGGAACCACGCGTCGAATACACACAAAAACACCTGGCACCGAGGATGATCTCTCCCGGACCCTAATCGGAGCGTCTCTGCTTTCGCGTGGCTCGAAATGTGCCGGAACTCGGTCTATCTACAGCGGCGGCGTGGGGAGCTTTAAATTAGGAGAAGTGGAGAGCAAAGGGCGCAGAAGGGGCGGCACGACGGAGAGGGCAGCTAGGGCAGCTTTATGCGGGCAGAAGAGAAAGAGTCACAAGGCATCTTTGTCTTATTAGATGGGCTGGCTGGCTGGCTAGACGTACCCGCGGGAAAGAACAGGACGTGATGCCACCAGAGCTTTCCCCAGCCTCGGCCCTGACGCGAGCCCAGACCGGGAGGGCACGCGGCGCCGGGCAGCAGGCTCAGGCGTGGAGAGAGATGGTCTATGGTCGCTTTGGGGCATGGGGGATGGGTGCAGGGCGAGCGGAAGCTGAGCTGGAGAGCTTCGGCTTCTGCCCGGCTCTGCTGCGGGAGCGAGTGGGAGCGTTTTCCGAGGATGCCAGATGCCGATGTATATAGTTCTTCTAATTGAGGCTATGGTGGTTTAGTTAAACGGTCTTCGTCTTCAACTTGAAGCGTGATGAGAGGAAAGGTACCCTCATGGCATCCCCTCCCAAGTCGCGCTGTTCCTGCTGGCATGTGAAGACGTGCAGACATGACGTTGGGTGCTGGCCGAAAGCATCAGCCGAGACCCTTGCCCCGCTTCCGGGTTTGCCCGGCTGATTGGCTGGGCCTGAGCCCCTGCCCGAGTGCTTCCCCCAGGCTTCACCAACACCACACTGTACAGCACCAAGCAGGCGATGCGCTCCCTATCACGCATGTTTCCTGCAACGGCTCATAAAACCCGTGAATTCGTCATGTACCCTACTCAAGCCCCTCATGTGCCATTACATCTCTCCTTGCTTCTTCCGAGCGCCAACAACGCTCTACCCCTAATCAAACCTCTTCTTTACCCATGGCGGCATTACTTTCGTGGATAGTGCCAGTGTCAGATCCGCGGCACGTCGTACCCGTGTCCATCGTTGCAGTATCGCTCTCTTCAACCTTATTGTGTGCCGACTGTCTCCGTTGCATCGCCGTCTTCGTCATCCCAGCACGCGCCAATAGCACAGCACACGTCTCTGCTGGGTGTTTCTCCAACCAGGTATCGTACCCATCGAAGCTCATGGGGAAGAAGACCGGGTTGTCCGGTCTTTCGAAGAACTCCAATCCCTCTGGCCGTGGGTTCGCCGTGGTAATGGTGATGTCGGACGCAATGCGCGTGCAGAAGCGCTCCAAGGGCAGGTCATTAACCTCGATGCCAAACGGATTATCGATCTCGTTGCCAATCTGCGCAATTCCGAGGATGATGTACGACGTCACAATACTAACCGGTATCGCAGTCCATTCCATTATGTGCTGCAACTGGAACGGCAGTGTGAGCACGTAGATCCACGTGATCTGCGAGATGGCAATCGAGTACGCAATAGGCATCGGAGTGTCGAGAACGCGTTCGCAGGTTACCAGGCTCTCGTTCATTTTTCTAGAAGATTCAGCGCTTGTGTCTGTGCGATGCCGAGAGTGAAGGTTCCGTTCTTCGAGATCTCGTCCACATATCTCGATATATAACTGAGGATCTCGAGCGGAAGGCTCCCTAGGGGTCGCGATGTTTTCCCCAGTGCCGCTTGCGGATTCGCTCTCAACATTGGAAGGCGCAGATACTGGTCGAGGCGGTGCCGTCTTGTATCCTGCCTCGTGGCAGCCGAGTCGGCTGCCTTTGCGAAAGTGTCTAGATGGCCGACAAGTTCTTGAAGGTCCTCATAATGGGTGTAGGGTTCGTAGCGCAGCTTGTGCTTGAGCGCAAAGGCAAAGGCCGTGATGAGGTTCAGGCACGACACCTTTCCCAATAGGTCCGTCTTTCCAATCTCATCATCTCCATCTTCTCCACCTCGCACTTCAGTATGCATCCAGATGACACGGGCAAGGCTCTGCGATGTTGACGTTAAAGCGGCCCACGCTTTTCGTCCACTTTCGTACCGCTCATAGGCAGTCGAGCTTCGAAAGTTGAGCGCCAAGCCGACGACAATACCGAGTACAGTCAGTACAATAGGGTGAACAGCAACTGCGGGGACATGTCAGCTGTGTTGACTTAATGACGGCAACTTCTTATGCATACGATCTTGTACACACACGGAAACGGCGGTTACTACAGTTACCCAAATCGAGTAAAAACATATGGGCAAGAACAGTTTGGGCATGACACTGCCATGCATTTGCATTGCTCGCGGCCATTTTGAGTGCTTCGCTGGATCTCGCGGTCCGACCTGTGCGTTTTGTGAGCTGCGTGCCTTCATATACCGGACTATGGACCATAAAAACTCACAAAATAGTCTTTAAATTGGAGCTGAGTCTTCCTCGTTTTGCTTTTCCTCGTTTGAGGTTGGTCTCTGCTGAAGTTCAGTTGCGGGAATATACTTTTCCTTTTTTGAGGTTGGTCTCTGCTGGAGTTCGGTCGCGTGAATATGGTCGGCATAGTGAGCAATGTGAACTTAACGAAGAGTTCACGAACACAATGGGTCTCGATACTCACGTCAAGGTCCTGCAGAGCGTCTCTTATACCTGCTCCCACAGCCTCGAAACCGTAATGAATTCTAACAGAGCAGCGAGTTCTCCAACTCTTCGCCCGCTACTCTAGAGCAAAAACTATTGGCAGGCGTTGCTGGATACCTGCTCATGCGCTGGTGCAATCACACCACTCCGAAGCTCCTGGAACGGTACGGCCCGCCGTGGCCTGCGAGCTAAGTAGCGAATATCAGGGCCTGGAGGCTGATCGAGAATGCTAGGCTCACGATGTCTTGCGCTTGAATAAAGAGCAAATGCGGCTCGGGTCTTGGACTCGCCGTGCCTTTCCAAAATCATGCTTCAAGATCTACGCTTACAACTCTACGGCTTTTACTATCATCCCTGGATCGAATCGCAGGGTCGAATTGAGAAATTAGTGTCATCAGCGGCGACCGTCGTCTCGTCTAGAGATTCCAAACCGCATGATATTCCGTCCTTGGGTCGGTCACTTCATTTTCAGGTCCCGCGGAAATACAATCAACTTGAAGGTGACGTAGCGTTAGGTGCAACTTTGATCAGATATCTGGAATACACGCACGTTCTAGTCCTCCATTCTTACACGTCGAAGCTATGCGGGAGATCATTCAGCTGGTCGATTCATCTCCCCTCCCCCAACACACATCTCCCTACGGGACGTAATCGCGGAGCATTGCCAACGTTGACGTGAAAGGGATTGGCAGACCGGCCGTCGTCACTTCTCAAAGTCCTGACGTCGATATTAGCATCGAGTTCTAGGTGGGGTTTGGGGTCTTCGACATTTCTTTCAATTGATTCGTGGACTATTTAGCACGAAAGCTAACCAATGATGGCGGCGTCTGCAAGGACCCGTGGATAGGAGAAACTAGCTTACCACAGCACAGGCAAACCCCTCACAAGAATTTAGCTTCGATGCGCGGCTCGTGTCCGAGTAGATTCTTAGTCGCAGTAATCACTGTTCGCTCTCGTCTAGAATCCGTCTCAGCCAGAGCACTCTGGACTGGTGTATCATGCAGTGGACTCCCTCGGTCCCCCTTTACTCTCGAAAGAGATTCGCGTCTAGGCTCGGAGCGCGACGTACGACTAGGAAATCAAAGTGTAAATGCACACGTGAACCATTATGTATGGCACAGTTGTTTTCGAGGACTTATGACAGCATAGTATCAGGAATGGTTGCCGATATCGGTAAGTATCAGCACAAGGGTCACGTGACAATGAGCTCGTCGCTGTAACCCGAAACATCGAGTAGCAGCTTTACCAGATCGATGTCTCAAGTCCCCTCCCCTTCATACCAAGATGCCTTCTTCCGCCCCTTCTTTCCCTCCTTTCACGCCATACGTACAAGTAAGCAATAACGTACTTTCATCCAGTCTCTGACTCACTCAATCACACACCCCCAATCAACAAACTACAAAAAGCCACCAACTCCTCAACATCGCCCCTCGCCATCCCCCACCCTAAAATGGCCAAGAAAAAGAAGAAGAACCACCCCCCAGCACAACCGCACCCCCCTCCCCCCCCGCTCGAATTCCCGCCCCCTCCCCGCCTCCGTCTCCCGCATCCTCCCCTTCCTCTTCCTCGGCCCCGTCTCCGCCACCTCCAACGGCCCCTTCCTCACCTCCGCACACGTGACGCACATCCTCTCCATCGGCAAATCCCCCGCGCCAAACCCCACCGCCGCCGCCATCACGTACCACCGGCTCGGGCTGCTCGACAAGGCCAGCGCCGACATGGCCGCCGTGGTGGCGCAGTCTGTCGCGATCATAGATGCGGTGGAGCGGGACGGCGGGGTCGTGCTTGTGCACTGCTCTGCTGCGATCTCGCGCAGCCTGGCGGTCGTGGCGGCGTATCTGATGCTGCGGCGCGGGAAGACGCTGAGGGCGGCGTTGGAGGAGCTGACACGGGGCGGGGCGGTGGTGGCGCCGAATGCGGGGTTCCTGCGGCAGCTGGGAGCTATGGAGGAGAGCGGGGTTGGTGGGAAGGCGACGGTGGAGGTGGGCGAGGGCGAGCTGGAGGGGACGAGGAGGGTTGGGGATGTCTTGGGGAAGGCCGGGGTGGATGAGTGATTGTGAGGTGAAGGGCGATGGGGCGATGAGGGGGCTTGAGATGTTGAGATGGAAGATTGGAGGTGTTGCGTATTGATGATATTGGGCTCGTTTGCTAGATGAGATGAGTACCTGCGCCGGTAGCTTGACGGGCGAGGGGTCGAGAGATCAGTGTTTGGCATATGGTATCTATAAATCCCACAGTCAAAACTCTGTATTTAGATGAATACTATTTCTAATCATACATCACGCCTCTCCTTTCTCATGCAATAAAACCTCATATCCCCTATGCTTCCCTCCGTCCAGCCAAAACTCCAAAACTCCTCCTAACCCCGAGCACGCCCCTAAACATCTCTTGCTCTACCAGTTGTCCCACTCATCCTCCTTCTTCCCCGCAGCTCCCCCACCACCCGTCTTCTTCATCGCCGCTGTGCCGATCCCACTCGGCTTGCTCTTCTGCCGTGCCCCTACTCCCACCGGTTCGCCCGCCGCACCCGCATTCGCAAAATCATCCCAGAAGTCGCGCTTATTGGGCGGTGGGCCCGCGGGGGCTTGGCCGAACTCGTCCCAGAAGTCTTTCTTCTCCGGCGCCTTGCGGCCGGGTCTCGTAGTGTTGGACTGGTCGTCTTCGCCCTCGACGAAGCGGCTTATGGACGTCGCGGCGGCCGAGGTTCCTTGCTGGATACCCTGGCCGAGCAAGGCGGCTGTTTGGCGGGCTTGGGCGGCGAGGTCGGCTTCGGAGAGCTGGAGGGGGGGTTAGCATTCTGTAGAAGCAAGTTTGTGGTATCATAGACAAGCTGGACAGGTGTAGAGATCGGAAGAAAGGTGTTCTTACCTTCTGCACCCCCGGCTTAACCCACCCTTCATAACCCGTCTTCGCGCCCTTCCCCACTGTAGCACCTAGCCACCCAAACCCCTTCGTCAGCGCCGCAATGGGATCTTTCTGGAAGTCGTCGATAGCGGGCGGCGCATCAGGATTCTCGTTCTTCCACCCCGCAGGCTCGCTGCCAAAGCCCGCGTACTTCCCGCCCTGCGAAGGCGGCAGATCCGCACGACGGCTGTCGTTCTCCTGCCCCTTGCGCGCAAAGAAAGCCTCATTCTGCACCTTCTTCGACGCACCCAGCGAGCTGGTCCCGAGCGCCGGCGACCCAGACCGCGCGGGGAGCCCGGAAACATCTGTTGGGCGTGTGCGAGAGAGCGGCGTATGGCTCCTGCTCCCAGCTGCCGAAGCGCGTCCACTTAGCGGCGTTGGTGCCGGCTCTTTATCCTTCTTGACGCGCTTCGGGAGGTTCGAGGCGTCGTACTCGCGGCCCTCGACCTTGGCCGTTAGGCGCTCCTTCCACTCGTCGCCGGCGTAGCTGTCATAGCGCTCGCTGATGGAGGAGGCGTCGAAAGTGCGCGATTCGGCTTTGTTGGAGGCGTGCGCGTTGAAGAAGTCTTGGAAGGGCTTGTTGCCGCCGGCGGCCATGCGGTCGAGCTCGGCGGGCTTGAAGGCGTCCATGGTGATGGAGCGCACGAAGGAGATGTGCACGCCTAGTCCGCGGTGGACGCCGCTACAGGAGAGGCACATGAAGACGCCGAGTTTGGGAGAGGCCTGAGAGGGAGGTTAGCATGGCGCTGCAAGACTCGAGGCTTAGTCTGCTATTGTAGTATCACACTGAGAGGTCAACACGGCCATTGGAGGTGTATATCATCCCCTCTCAGCGGAGCTTGTACGCGGAGAGGATGTAGTGTTGCGGTGTATGGTCAGGAGGGGCAGCAGAAGAGAGGTTGCCATACCCATTGTGGGCTCGGCGCATTACAATCGACGCAGACATTGTTCTTATTTTCCTTCTGGATCTCGAGTAGCTACAGAGAGAACGGTAGTCAGCACGTGTGTTTGAGATGTCACCCTGTGGGCTGTCCTTGGGCTGCGATCTGGGTGCCGCATTTCAAGCTCCGAGAGACTTCTTCGCAGGACAAGTGGAACACACACCTTACTCCTCGTCTCAGGGTCAACTTCCCACATCTTGCTCATGGTGACGGGTGTTGGTTTGGGCGTCGGTACGCACGCGCCCAAGGAGTGACGCTGTGGAGATGGGAGGTTTCGAGACGAGGTGGTCTGTGTGTCATTTGGATAAGCCCAAAGCGCCTAGAGATTTATAGACACCTTCTAAAGCCTAAATCGCAGTAATTCTGTGGTCAGATTTGTTCAAGCGTTAGAAATCAATTGGGTCCAATCTAGGTAGAAGCACCCATGCCAGTTGGAAGTAGAGGTCGTAAATCAAGAACGAGAAAGTTCAAATCGATCTTTGCATTATGTTTACTAGGCCTGTACAAGGCAACTCCCATAGCTGCTTTTAACGCAAGAGGTCCATCATTTTGTCTCTCTGCAGTTGCATCTCCCCCTTGGTACTGAGTAAACCTCCAATACTCATGCATGACCACTTCAAGTCCCCAAGATGAAGTACGCCGTCCCACCATTCCTGCCTTATGTACGTGACGTGCGTTACAATGTAATGTGATGAAAGGAAAATGTACAATACAAGTTATCTGCAACTTGTTGCTGTTGCCGGTCATAAGTGTTTGCTCTCGAGAATCCATGTTCCGTGCATGAGAGGCAAATGATCTAAAGTCCGCCGTCCCAAAATAACACCACCAGCCATGCTGAATGCAAAAAACAACGCCGATACGCCAATGCTAAGACATGCTCAATTCAATGGGTGAGGTAGAAGAGTAAAGTGGTGCCAAAGGCGAAGACCTCAGGGATTCGACGGATCAGGATTTCGGACCTGAATTAAATTAGCATTTGGAAGCTAGTAGCTACTAGTAGATCTCACATTGAGCGTCCTGGTGTAGTCACGGTTGTCCTCGATGGTAAGTATACTTGTGTGACTGCCGTTGTCCAGGTCCATGAGCGCCGAGGGATTGAGGCGCTGGTCGTAGAATAGCGGCCGGCTGTTACGCCTGTCGGACGCCGGGCTGATCGAGGCTGACTGATCCAGTGCTTGCGTACTGCTACGCTTGAGGTTCGTTATCACTGGAGGATAAGACGGCTTTTCCGACTTCCCCAGGAGGCCAGTCCGGCTCATTGTGCTCGTGTTTCTTTGTGGCGGATTTCCCGCGGCCTCCGAATCCTTGGTCTTGTCTGACTGTCGCTTTCGCCAGAAGAAGAACCAAAACAGCAATGCGCCAACTAAGGCGAGGCCAGCAAGCGATCCAATCACAGCACCGGCGATAGCTCCTCCAGAGGTAGAGTGCTTCTTTTGTACGATCTCGGCTGGCTGCGTCGACATGCCAGTGACCGTCTTGGTTACTACGCTTCCGCTGACAGTAACAATCTGAACACTCGTGATTGGGGTAGGCGTCCAAGATGTAGCAGAGGAGGTGGTGCTGCTGCTTGGTGCTTGGGTGGTGGTGGAAGGGGCAACCGAGGTCTTCTGCGCTGAAGATGATGATGATGACGACTAGTTCAGATGTTAGCCAGAGAACTAACAAAGCTGTGGCGGCTAGTAGGATATCAAAGAAAACTAGCATACAATGACTGTCGAAGATACAAGAACTGCCGAGGATACAGCTTGCGATGGTGTTTCAGTGACTGTTCGGAAAACAGTCTCTGGGTCATCGTGAGACTGTGGGGAAGAAGAGCTTGGCGGAGCCGAAGAACTCTACACAATGAATCAGAAAAGAAGCGCAAGAGATGGGGTGAAAAGCAAACCACAAATGGAATAGTAAGGTACGTTGACAGGACAACGAAAGATGAAACAATCACCAGCGAAGTTGAGCGTATGATCAGGAAAGTTGATGGTGATGGAGATTTATGCGTGGGCTTGGATGGCTGTTGCGAGAACGACGACGCCTGCGTCTTGGAGGGATATGAAGAGATAGGAGATGTCAAGGTGGGAAGAGAAGGAGCACCAACCTCCGGTGTGGGCGTAGAAATGGCAGCTGAAGAAGGGATGGCAGTAGTAAGTTGGGATGTACTGACCATAGCGCTGCTGCTGGTACTGCCAGCTGCTCCCAGGGTTCCGGAAGGTTTATTGTTCAATGCGACGTAGCCGAACAAGCCGTCCGCTTCGTTGCCGCATTGCTCGTCTGGGTATCCTGGGCAATTCACATTGCAGTTGCTGACAGATGTCGTATCCGCGGGCACGTAATTAGAGCACCAGCAGTTGTTCCCTTGGACGATAGCGAAAGCGTAGCTAGAGACGCACTGGTCGTGGCACCAGCCGTTGGACTGCCATGTCCAGAACTCTGGGCTGTTGTTAGTAGACGTGATTGAGGCAGAAACTGCTTTACATACTTGCGTCGCTGTCAGATCCAGTGTTCTCCGAAGAGCAATAGCTCTGGAATAAAGCGTCGGCGGCGGCAGGCCGCACGAACACAATGGCGAGCACAAGGGCCAAGACGGGCGTGATCAAGCTATGCATGGTGTAGCCGTCAGAGCAAGCGCGTTGGTGGGCAAGGTTCGGTATAGATGAGTCTTCCAAGACTCCGCCAAGCAGGATTGTGGGGTTGTTGACAACCGTCGCGAGAAGGCGAGTGAAGGATTATTCGTGGTGTGAAGGCGGATCCGCGACCCGTGGACAGTGGCCGGGTGCCACGGGGTGTCGAAGGCGGTGAGTCGTCAATTGACAGGCCAATATGCGAACAGCTGATGTCGAGGATGCGGTAGTCCAGGAGCCAGGGAGCCCGGCAGCGCGGTGCGGTTGTGTGCACAGCGTGGGGTAAGATTGACTGATTAAGACGACGAGGTTAGCATTGCGTCCTGCCTCTGCGCTCGGTGAGCTGCACGGAAGGCGGGGTGACGGCGACGGGCGAGTGAATGGGTGGTGGTGGTGGTGGTGTTGACGGGGAGGGTGGAGGGTGCTGCAGGAAAAGGTGGAAGGAGTTTGGAGCACGGACGCTGTTCCTTGTTGGACGGGCTTAACACCGAGGGGCCGGGGAGCCCCTGCGTCGAAACAGGCCGTGCCAGCCGCCGCCGAGATTGCCAATGCTGCTCCTGCGCATCGACTGCCTGGCTCTCCGGCGCAGCGTGATCTGTCCGGCGGTCCCGCAGCAAGCACCGCAGCAATGCTGGTAATGAGGACGCTGTCACGACGGTCCACGAGGGAACCGCGGAGGCGTGGGTCGGTGGTAGGAATGCAGTGGAGCCTGCGGATGCCAGGAGCGTGGGCGGAAGAAGAATGCCGTTGAATGCTGCGTCGACGACTCCGGCAACGCGACGGTGACGTTCAAAATGGCTGGTGTGGACGAAGTGGCCGGGGCGATTCGCTGTCCACCAACGCTTCACACACCAGGACAGCCGGCTCGAGCACGGCGACGGGGCGTGCGGAGAAGATAAGGCCCCGCGATTGAAGCCCGTCAGGGTCGCACTGAAAGATAAAGCGAATGTGGGCGTCGTCCCGCGGCTGCTGCAGCAGACTCCAGGGCGCGCAAAGAAGGAAAATCCAAGCAAAAGCGAGAGTGTATGGAGCACAAAGAGCGTTTCAAGAGGGGAAGACTTGGGACGGGAGGACGCTCGTGATAGCTGGGCAACATGGTCGTCGGTGCTGCTGATCACACGGCAATTTTAGAACACGCTCGTATCCTCCTCCCTGCACCCGCAGGCATGATGCAGATGATGCAGTTAGCCACCCACACCACACCACCAAAGGTAACCCCGAAGACCTGGTGCTGCGAGAGCCTGTACTGCCGGAGAGCAGCCTGACATCTGGCGATAAGGGCCAAGGGCCTTAGCAGCATTCTATATATACATGCTTGCCACGAGGATGCTCGAGAATGCACCGGCACCTGGGTATCATGCAGACTTCTTTCGCTGCCAGCTCTGCGTGCTGCAGGAGCCAGGAGCAGCGCCGGATTCGATTGAGCGTGAAGGCCATGTCCCGTTTGAGGGCAGCCCTCAGCGGTCCTCGACTCAGGAGCGCCCAATTCAACCACCAGCGACTCGTCGAAACACACCAACTCCCCCATCGAGCGTCGTCCTACACATGTGGGCGTCTCGCCGGCGACGTGTTCGGCTGCTCTTCCAGAAGGCCGTCTCGCAGGCCGCCATGGCGTTTGACTTTCGCATTGCGACTGACCTTGATTCGTCGACAGGGCTCTCACAGGCCCGCCGCGCAGCCCGTGCAGTTTCGAGGCTCAAGGGCTCTCTCCAGCATGTTTCCGGCCACGCTCGCGCCGCAGCAGCCCCCAAGCGGGGACCCGCTGTCCGCAAGCAGCGCCTGAGGGCCGCAGCGCCAGCCTCATCTCCACCACTCACGCCGCCAAGCCGCGTTGAGAAACGGTAGTGGCGCTGCATGATGGCATGTCCTGGCACAGACGTCTCGCCTCCCGCCCGCCGTGTCGCTCATTGCATCATCAGGAGGCGGCACGAATTCTGGGGAGCTGCTTCGGGCAGGCAGACGGGGCATCGTTATTATATATCTCACAGCGCTCCCTATGTCTATCAATGTCATTCTCGATGTTGTGCAAAGTCTCCTCAATTTTCGGGCCCGACTCGCTCGAGCAAGAGGTAAATATTGGAGAATTCAAGGTTTAGAGCTTGCGGCGTCTGAGTGGCTGCTTAGCAGCCGTCTGCCGGCGTGCCGCTATTGAAGATCGACGGCACGACTTCGCAAACTTTCATGTGCTAAGCTCTTCCAGCATTGCACTTGCGTCTGACAGCGGCTGTGGCTGTGGATGTGGCATGTTGCTTACAATTCTGGTAGTTAGAAGTTAAGAGGCTGACGTGGATAGCGTTGCGATAAGGCATATGAAGATATGCTGTTCAACGCTGCATCAAGTAAGCAAACAGCGTGATCGCAGATCTGGTCGATCTCATTTCTGCCCCTTTTTTGAAACTCGACCTCGGGAGGTTCGTATAAATGGGACATTAAAGTTCGGTCTCCAGACGTCATTCTTAATCTCTATCCCGCCAACTTCTCTCTATCCTTCCCCCTCTCTCATTTTGGAAAAGTAAGCAAGAATGTACAAAGAATGACTCTGCACCTGGGTCGGCAGCAACCGTGGACACCGTTCCATATGTCGACTGTCCTTATCGCTCGCGGAGATTTCCTCATGCTGTGGAACCACGGAAGTACCCTGCAGACAGGGAGTCTGCATGCATGCCGGGCGCATCGAAAATCAAGATCGAACATTCATCCATTTACCCATTATGAAACTCGGCTATATAGTCCGTTTCATCCTCTTAACACCAAATCAAGCATGTCTTATGATGGGACAAGCGAAAATTCCGTTGTGCTCTCGCGGCGTTGGCTGCTCTTACTGATATCTATATGCAGTATTCCTATCAAGTCAGCTCCACGAGGTGTCTATCTCACGTAAGGGAGGGGCTTGGTCACACTCAATGCTGGGTCTTTGAGACGGTGAGGGTCGAGTCGGACTAACTTCCCATGAGAACATAAGGAAGTCTCGATTCTAGACGTATTCAGAATTCCCGTCGAGACAGCTTGTGTAGCCGTAGTCATGAGGCTAGTAGATTGATGAGATTGATCCGTCTCAAGGGACGAAGACACGATGGGACTATGGTTGCGGAGCTGATGAGGCTGTTGGGATGTGATACTGGTAGACATAAGCAGTGTGCTCCATTGATTCGAGGTGAGGGGAACAAGGCAGGGTCGGATACTGTAACTGTAGGCGCGTGGAAATGGCTAGTCGGCTTGTGTGTTCGTCATTGTAACAGCTCAAAAATACTTCAAGATAATATCCCATGGCTTGAGGCATTCGCACAAACCTCGTTTCGTCGAAGCGTGGATACCTAAGTAAAATATCATGGATCATGATGTTCTCCCTAGAGACGTCTATATTTCATTGGTTCGTCTATCATTCCTGTCCCATTTAATCAAAATGTCCAGTCATTTTTAATTTACGTGTTCTTCATTCCCTCACAGATAGTTTGTCCCGCACTTGGCTGTTTGGATGTGGTTGATCACGTGACATCTGGACACGCATCTCACCTTCTGTTGCCTACCTCAAGCACATTCTGAACACCACCTTCTTTTACAAAGCTAATAAGGGTCCAAAGTCCAAAAAATGTCAACCTTCAGCGGTCTGTTCATTCCCGTTGAGATCGTCTACTCCATCCTTGATCTCCTTCCCAGCCAATCAGACCTCGCCTGCCTCTGTCGTGTCTCCAAGGAGTTCCATTCTGTCGTCTCTCCACGACTCTACCAAAACCCTGCCGTCCGCTATACCAAGTACACAAATGCCCGAAACGCGCCCGTGTGGACCTTTCTCCGTACCGTGATTCGAAGATCTGAGCTAGGTGCACGCGTCAAGAAAGCTCACTTCGATAATTTTGACTGCGACTGGGACGAATCGAGAAAAGGGAAAGAGACTCCCGATATTGATGGTAACGATCTTGAGTTGATTCGCAACTTGATCATATGGGCCAAACTCCCCAACCCGCAAGAATGGATCCAGGCAGTAAAGGATGGCGACCCGGATGCACTAGTCGCAATGGCACTGTGCCGGCTTTCGAAGATCGAAATACTTGAGGTATCCTTCCTCCGCTCACGCTCAAAACAGCGAACCTTCATCGGCAGGATGTTTGAGGCTCTCCAGGCGATTCGCTCATCTACCGCGTGTTTTCCGCATCTTCTAAGAATTCGTGAGATAAGCAATTTGCCCGAGTATTTCACTCCGCTTCAGGACGGATTTTGGCTATTCGGCGTACCGGATCTCCAAAAGATTGAGACCAAGGTTAGGGAGGTGTCCGAGTGGTACACTTTGCATGTAGAACAAACTCTGGTCAACCCTGATCCAGACTACGTATTGTCGCCCTTCCGCTGGCCTCAGTCAAACATGGAGGTCCCGACTATCACCACACTCATTCTAAGGCAAAGTCATCTCAGCGTGCCCGGTATGCGACAATTACTGGCAGCTTTGCCCAATCTCCAGGAGCTTGAGTATGACTTTTGGGGAGTAGGAAACTTGAACTACGAAGCTCCTGACGAACTCAAATATCCCTGCTGGCTTATATTCGGGTGTTTACCAGACCATGAACTGAATTTCGGTGACGGATTTGAGCCCCTTCAAGACCACCTCCAGGTTCTACGTATGTCGGCTACAGTAAACGGAGGAGAGTATGTTTATGGTGACCCTCCTTATGCCGTAGGAAGTAGTGTCCCTGCGCTCAATCATTTCAAAGCCTTGAAAACATTGGCAATTCCTCTTGCGATTTTGTTAGGCTGGAATAAGAGTACCAATGATAAATTAAGTCGGATTCTGCCACCGAATTTGGAGGACCTGGAGATCACCGACACCTTTTGCGGTTCTGTATCATACCAGTGGGAGCCTCATCAAGTACTGCCGCGCATCTGTGACTATCTTATGAGCGGTGCAGCAAAAAATCTTAAGAGACTCATTCTAGGCCGCCATCTGAACAGCTATGGAGCGTGGGAGAACGATGTCTTTGATCCGGTCCAGCAGCTCTGCGAAGAGCTGGGAATCTCGTTCATTTATGATCTCGGGTGCCACTGCGACGAGCCGAGCAATTGCAAATCGGATTCGCCGATGGTGGAAGACATCCTGAAACATATGGCATCGAGGAGTACTGGTACTACAGAAACACCCAGCGAATCCATCACTCCGGGCCAATGCGACAGAATTGGGGCCCAGATGGATCAAAAGCATTCGAAATCGCGGAACTTCGAAAAGAAGCAGAAGGATATGTCGATCCGAGACTTGGCAAGGAAGTCTACAATTTCAGATGGTCTACTTGGGAGATCCCAGAGCTAGACGAGGACGACGACTCATCTCGTATGAACCTTTGAAGTCTCCCTAACATTCGCGAGATCCGATACCATGTAAGTGTCCATGCAAATGCCCACTATGCAGATCACGACGAGCTTTTCTCGCGATTCAAGGATTTACACTCTCTCTTTAGGATGCCCAACCTCCAGAAACTTGATGTTAAGATTGGAGAACTGACAGGAGAATGTTACGAAGACCATGGGTGCTGGAATTCCCACTGGCCCGAACCAAATATTCATTTCCCGACTATCACCTTCTTCGTACTCAGACAAAGCCACCTGGGCAGCGCATCTATGCGAGAGGTCCTGAGCGCCATGCCAAATATCTCGTCGGAACCACAAATTTGAAGAGATTCGAGCTGGGCGGCGGCGACCTGACGTTACGGTGTAGCCGCGTCAAGGGACGAGCGCGCCTATGGGGTCGTAAGTTCGAGTATATCAAGAACCTCTGCGGAGATCATGGAATCGCATTTGCTCACGACGTTAGTGGCGACATTTTCGCGCCGCTATTGCCTTGGAGACCTAATGAAAACTGTAAGACTTGCAAAGGCGTGTGCACTGTGTTATCCAAATCTTAAACGATTGAGGAGAAAGTGGAACAATCAGGCTTATCCGGTCCTTTGTCATGACTTCAAACGGATAGGGCTTGGCAAGAGCTGCGTTGATATCACTGGGAAAGAGAAAGTTGCTGAAGCTATCGAGAAGACTTTGGAAAGCGCCAGATGTGCTACATCCCACAAGCTAGAAGATACATGCAAAGAAGATCAATTGAGCTAGACTTTCATGCTCAGCCGACGGCGTGGCAACCCATATATACTATAACGATGCTCTAACTGTTGACTTTGGGAGGCCAAGCAGGTTAGCGCTCTGCAGCCTTTCGAACGACGCTTTTCCTCGCGATTGACGCCATCCCCGCTACACTCTCCAAGAGTGGTCTCTCCCACCTTCCTCAGCTTCTTGATCGGTTTACCACGCGTTTGGGTACGTCTTTTAGGCTAGTCCCCGATCCCTCCTTCGAATATCTTTATCGCTTGTAATACTTCTACATAGAGCGTGATAGAAAGTATTATGCGCCGACGGTGTTATGGTATTTCGTAGACCTCAACGGATGAATGTGAGTTGAGATATGGATGTCGTAGCTAGTCTCGTCCTACGGCGGCGCAGAAAATTTATATCCTAGGCGGGCTACTCCTTGATTATTCCGAGACGCTTGAGGCCATAACGCACTTTACTATCAGCATCCGGACTAGTGGATTCATCAGGCATAACTTCAAGAGACTCGGGCTCTGTCGAGTCGGAACAACAGGTTTCGGAGGCCCCGAAGCTTGTGGCAACGCTTTCTGCGCTTGGGCGATCTGATGGATTGATATTGAGCATCGATACCACAACAGGACACAAGAGGTCTACTGGAAAATGAGGATAGAATGACGTCTCGGGTAGAAGAGTAAGGAGCCATTCCTGCACTTGAGGAATGTTGGCTTGGTAAGACAAATCTCCATACTCATTTGACTTTCTGACAGATTCGAGGCGTTGTCGTGGGCTGCGGTCAGCTCGCCCCCCACGCTCCCATGGAGGAGCTATTACATCTAGGATCTCTGCAAAGACGCAGCCCATGGAGAAAACGTCCGCAGCCAGCCCACGTCTGTCCCTATCAACTACCTCAGGCGCGGCGTACTTTCTTGTGAACATCGTCGGGCCTTCTGTTTCCGAATCCGTGTGTGTATTATATGACCTTGCGATGCCAAAGTCGGCAATATATACTCTGTACGCGTTGTACGCGTTGTACAACAAGCCGGACTGTTGATCTTGTCGAAGTTTTCGCACAAGGATGTTCTGCGGTTTAATGTCCATGTGCTTTGTTATGTTCCCGTGAATGTATTTCATTGCGTTGGATAGACATCGAAAGGAGCCGAAAAGAGCACGATGCGCTGCCTTCAATTCCTTGTGTTCAGAAAAGTGAGGCAAGAGACCATCGCCATAAATTCCACGAGCTGATTGCATAAATCTTTCCAGATTGAAATCGGCAACAGGGTATAGCAGAATAGCTAGTTCGGTCTCCATGACATATGTGCCAACAACTTGGATTATGTGTAAATGTCTGAGTTTCTGGAGGTGCGCAACTTCTTGGATTGCCATCTCTCTGGTGAATCTTTCATTGCAGTTGACGGTTTTTCGAGCAAGAAGAATTCGCCGGCATTTTACGCTCTCCACTACCGCGTTCGGGGTGGATCCAAGAAGTTTTTGACGCTTCAAGATTTTTTGAAGCTTATCCTTTTCATTCGTTCTGAATTCTGCATGTTGCCCTCTCCCACACCAGTCCTTCTCCGTGGAAGCGTCCACAGGTAAAAGACCTATGGACTGCAAGAGCGCAGCATACTGGCTATTCCTGCGGAGTCGATCAATATAAGCCCTGATATGGAAGAACACAGGGCGAATGATCAACCAACGTACTCTTGCATCATACTGAGCTGGCTTAAGGTTCGTAGACTTGTCCCTCCAGAAGCGGTGTAGAAGCTCCCACTTGCTGCGGACGATTTGGCTGTGACAAAGCTACTGGAGCTAGATCTCTTGGAAGCTCCATATGGAAAATCGAGATGCTCTCCGCTTTCTGGTCCAATGTTCGTACGAAAAGTTTCCGATTGACTGCTTTTTCCAGAAATTAATGCTGATTCGGCCGTTTCCAACTGGGGAAGCAACGAAATGTTACTACTCGAGCCGTTTGCAGACATAGAAACTGGGAAAGCTTTCGAGTGGCATATAGGCTGCATGTGCATCGATGTTTGTTTTGCATACCCCAAAAGATCACTCCAGATTGACCACCAGTTGTCAAGGAGCAGAGGCGACATGTTCCGCCTAAAAAGGCGAATTCGAGGGTACTCAACCAAGTGTCTCACCCTCCAGTCGCAGTTTTGACGCCGATCGAGTTCCTCCGCATAAAGTATTTGGAGTTTGTAGAGGTCTAGATCGGACAGACCGCGCATCATCATCATGGCTAGGCATTGATATCGCTCACACCATGGGATATCTTCGCGGGCAAGCGAAGCTGGGGGGTTCCCCTGTTCGCGTAACAGGAGTTCAGCATGGAGATCGTACTCTAGCTTAAGCAGCTGGTTTTCTGATAACAAAGCTAACATGTCCAGAGGGCTCCACGGTGAAAAACTTTCGTATACGACATAGTACTTGATGAAGCTGAAATAACTTTCGGGTGCTGTCACGACCTCTCCTTGTACGGCTTAGCTAAAGTTACTCTGTAGTTCAGCGAAATGACAAAAAAGACTTAATTCTCGATGAAGCTGAAATAACACTCACGACCTCGGCGGACCCGGGAGAGTACAGGTTGGTGTAAGTTCATTTCATCAGTAGTTCCCCACAGGTGGCTCGCTCCAACGATTGGTACGTCCAAAATGTAGTGATGCTTGCGTGATAGAACTAAAAGCTCCTCGCGCACATCTGAAGATAGAGCTGTGCCTGGCGCAGCTTCGCCCTCAGAAGATCCTCTGTCATGCTCTAATTCCGCTCTGTTCAAATTGGCGCTACACCCGTCCCGAGGAGAAAGGACCATCTCGGCAGGATGGGTGTTGGACTCAGTCTTCGATTGCGGAGTCTGCCGAATAAGATGCTATGCCTGAGTATACGGGAAAGGCGTTCGGTGGTCTCGGCTGTGGACACCGGGTAGTGTGGAGGAAGAAGTTGAAGCTATTGTACGCGGGTATTGTTCTATAGATCCGGTAGAGGCTCTACGTGATTCTATTACGAATTAGAAGGGTGTCATAATGAAGTCCAGCTCCACTTACATGCATCACTCGACATGACTTTCCTCTGCCAGGCTTTCCAAGAGAAGGGGAAGTGAAGTTCGGCCATGCTGCACCCTCAGCCTTGCCTGCTTTCTGCCTCCCCACGCCAAGAATTGGTGATTGGTGGTCGAAGATGAGGCTGAGTGCCATGATATGATGGGAAACACATTCCCACAAGTGGAGTAGGCGCTTTGATAGCTCCACATTATAGCCTTTGAGATTCAATTATTATCTGAAAGCAAGTTAAAAAAGCTCGAAGTCTCAGAATGGTGTTGAAAAAGCGTTGTACATGCCCCGAGCTCTGCTACTGCCACTGCTTCGTGTTCTACGTTATCGATAAGGCTATAGCCAATAAGAGGCTCTGATTCCTGCTTTCGTGATGAGAGCTGCAGTGACCTAAGGCTTTTCGAATTACTTGTAGATAGCTGTGTAGGTCTAGTCTCTAGAGTTGAGTTTTGCCATTCTGTTGCATCGATTTGGGCTCGAGACGTAGTTAAATCGACTGGTTACATGCTCTGTAGGATGTCTCGTGCACAGCCCAGAAAGCCAAATTCCCTAACTGGGCAAGTCTTGGCCTTCCGAGAATTCAAAGTGTTGAGTCTACTCCACCTAGCACCATGTCCGGCGCGTGCTGAAACTAGTTGAGCGTTGGCAGCAGCCCTGGTAAGCGTAGAGGGGTGTTGGTCATATTAAGTCATGTGATCGCCAAGCCCAACCCCTGTCGCAACTTTTCGAAAGACCGCCACGCACAAGTCCACAAACAACTCCAACCTCATTTAGCACAGCTATTCAAGATGTCATTCTACGACGAGATCGAGATCGAAGATATGACCTACGATGCTGCTTTGGAGATATACCATTACCCATGCCCCTGCGGCGATCGGTTCGAGATCGCCATCGCCGACCTGCGAGACGGAGAAGAGGTGGCAGTCTGCCCAAGCTGTAGCCTCATGATCAAGGTCATATTCGACATGGTGAGTCTTTCGATGCACAGAATGATTACTCTTACGAGTGGGAGCTTTTAGATTCGGAATAAGTACTAATCACGCTTTGCGCCGCAGGATGATCTACCCAGAGAAGAGAAGGAAGACGCACAGAAGGTTGCTGTAGCGACCTGAGAGCATACGAGAACCAAGCCGGCCATTCAAAGAACGATCCGTACAATGCTAGAAGAAGTAGAAGGGCAAAATCTTAGCTGCGCGGGTTGCCTGTCACCAGGACTCCACCGCTCCGCGCATATCCAAGAGGAGACTTGCGCTGAGCTCTCGTCAGCCCTGGACATCTCAGCCACCAACTGCGAGAGAAGCCCTCGTGTGGAAATAAGCAGAGGATTTGCCAGGCATACAGCCTTTAAGCGTCGGAACAATAGGGTAGCTTGAAGGTGAAATCTGCCGCTGTAGTTGTAACGGGCATACATTCGGGCGGTGCGTGGCAAGAAAATCGGCATACTGCGCTAGGTTATCTATCCGGTGCAGATAGGAGATGGTACGGTCAATACTAAACACGTTTGTCACTCTTGTCCTTCGATACAGCCAAATAGGCTGACACGTGTCCTCAGCTTTCTAATATCAACATCATACGAATATGAGCGGGCCTATTGCAGTGCTAGTAGTAGGGATACTAAACTACCTAATGATCGGTTTCTTAAATATCTCACATACTTCACGTCCAAATTAATTGTATGCCATCAAAATTAGACTGCAACTAGGTGTGCCCAAGCACTACTAGAAAAGTTGTGAATACCCATACATCCGTCTTGGGCGCAGTCACCGCAATACCATTCTCAGTCCCAAAGAAAATCCCAGACAAGGACTGCATACGCTCCCCTTTGCCGCCTGGAAAGCAATGTGTTTGAGGCCTTCTACCACTTAGCCGCCTGCGAGGACATGTGTTTGAGGAACTCGTCAGGAACGGCGTCAGGCAAGTCCTCTAAGGGGTGTTCGATAATATGGTCCCAGAACGTGCCCTTGATGATGTCTGGTTGGTCGCTAGGAGAGTCGAACCTCATCTTCTTCAGCAGTTCTACGAGCTCTTCAATGCTGTTGTGAAAGGCAGATACATCGGGACGTTCCATAGGTAGCCCCAACTTCGTTAGCGAAGTTGCGAAGTTGCCACAAATGCGGTCCATTTTTTGCTTGTCCGCTTCGCATAAATGCTCGGTTGGATAGGCGAGGAGGCGCTTGAATATGGAGTACGTGTCGCCAAGAAGGCGCGACATGGATGCCGAGCGAGCCTGGAGCACGAAGTCTGTGTTTTAGATCGGTTAGTGGCTTCCTAGGGACAAGGAGGGAATACACATACCGATCACTCCTGGAGGGAAGTGCCCGTTCATCGGTTGGGACTTGCTATTCAGCAGATTGCCTTCGCTATCTGTACGACCAGTCCGAATAAGGTGCTTAGCTAGTTCGGTGAACTGGAATGCGAAGCCGAAAGTCCAAGCAACGTACGCCCATTCTTCTTTGCCCGGTTCAAGATACCAGTTCGCAAGCGGAGCGTCCGTTCCATCCTTGAATCCCTTGGAAACCCCATATCCCTTGGCGAAGTTATCGACCCGATCGCGAACGAATATCTTCCAATTGACCGTCGCGACGGTATCATACTTAGCACAGATAACGGCGACCTTGACGACCTCATCGAAGGTAAGCTGCTTGGGCAGCTCCATAGACTTCAAATGAATAGCACGAAGGACAAACAGCAAGGCTTTCGGATCATCATCATCGGCTTCGAGCTTCATGTCCTGAAGCTTCTTGTTCTTCTGCAGTTGCTCAGCCCAGACAGGACTTGCCATACGCAGAGAAGTCGATGACACGCGAACGCCAATGAAGTCGTCTGCCTGATTGGGTGCTCGGATCAGGAGCCAGAGGTCACCCTGGTTGTCTAGCTCAATCTTGTTGACAACCTTCTCAGGGGAAGACGGTGCACCCCAGATAAAGCGTTCGATAAGGCCGGGCACCGAAGCAGAGGACGGCGTCGCGTCGTGTCCCTTCTTCAGGGCCTTGACCTGACGATCCGGGTTAGAGACAGTACCACTATGTAAGCCCTGTAACGCAGAGATGGAGCGCTTCTTAGCTCCTTGGCCGGCGGATGATGGTTTATGAGTCTGCGACATTGTACCGGACTGAAGATGTCTTGGTGGTCTTTGTGGGCTGCGCTGCGCTATTAAAGGTTTTCAGTTAACTAGAATCCACTCGTGAATGCGTCTCGCGCCTACTGGCATGTTGTGGCGAGCAAACCACAATCACGGAAATCTTTTTGTAGCTGCTCCTAGAATCCTCAGGCGAAATCTATGTTGATGTTTGGTTCTTCTACATATATCAGACTTTCAAGGAGAATTATGAATTTCTATACTATTTCATAATCAATTTGACGACTCAAAGAGAATGAACGCTCGCAATCGCACTCCTACTTCACCAGAACTCTGACCCCCTTCGAGCCATGTTTCGGCCGAGGCCCAAAACAGTCGCGCTGGATCTCTACGTCTTCTTCGGTCGTCTCATAGAGCTTTAGTCTGTTCCCTAGGCGCAATACAATCGTAGCAATACAGATAAACAGCTCCGCATATGCAAGACTAGTAGAATGTACGTTAGCAGCCACTGAATAGTGAGGACTTACGGCACACGTACTTGATACCGAGACATTGTCGAGTGCCTTTCGAGAAGCTCAAGAGGTATCTGTCCAAGTCCTTCCGACGGACACCCTCGCCGTTCAGCCAGCGCTCTGGTTGGAAAGTGTATGGCTCGGGGAAGATTTCTGGGTTGGTATGAACCAGCACGGAGCTCATTGAGACTGCGTAGCCAGGAGGGACAGCGTAATCGACTTCCTTTTCAACACCTGTAGCAGGATTCGTTACATGGGAGTGGAGGTAGACGGAATGATCTGGTTGAATTCGCGGTAGACGGCTGGCAACACCATACGATCTTCTGAGGGCTTCATGGACGGTCGCGCTGAGGTACGGCAACTGCTCTAGCACTGATAACGGTGGTAGCTCCGAAGCATCTGGAATGTTGGATTCCAATTCGGCGCGTAGCTTTGACAGAACTTCAGGTTGGTTCAAGACATGGAAAAGCCCGACAGTTAAAGCTGGGAGGGAAGATCAGTACATGCTAGTCGTTACATGACTTATTCAGCTTACTCCATGCGGTCGTTTCCGAAGCCGCTGAAACAGCTACCAATCCTTCCTGGAACACTCTTTCTGGGCGTTTCTCTTCCTCTGGAAGTGTGCCTCTGAGTAGCTCGTCGAATATGGTGTGGTGTTCAGACAACTTCTCATTCTTGATACGAGTAATTACTTCATCTCTCCGTTGGCGAACGCGCTACCCTATCGTTAGCCACAGAAGTTCACCAACCAATGAGGATTAAGAAGGTGGCCATACATTCTCATGAGCGAAGTAATCCGCCATATCAGGGTTCAATCGGATGAAAAGGGAGCTGTTATGCTGTCAGTAGAGCACCGAATTTTAATCAATGTGACTGACTGAGGAACCATCCGCATCAAGACATGTAGCCACGGAAGCTGTTTCATGAGCTGAAGCGAATTGGACAAACCATCGAGGGCATTCTGAAGATTAGGCTTGAAATTGACGCCATCCAGATAGTTTGATCGGAAGCCGAAGTTGTGTTCGTTGATGACATCCGTGCTAAAACTAGACGTCGCAGCTGAAAGTGTGACAGGCCCATTTCCGGAGTTCTCCTCCAGCCTCAGGCAGAACCTTTGAGCAGCGTCTTGGATGAAGGGCTCAGATTCTCGTACTGAGCTCTTAGAGAAGAAACGGTTGAGAGCTCCTCTTCGGGTACGATGGAGATCGTGTTCTACGGTGAGGAGTGAAGACTATCGTGAGTGTCAATGTTGGTCATCAATGAAGGACTTCCGGTATCTAACCTCTGGAACTCTGTCGCAGTCAGCGTCTGTTCTATGAGAACCAAGGAAGGATGCACACATACCCAAAACTGCCAACAAAGTATGGATCTTTATTGACTTTCTTGCCTCCTCCGGGGTACACTACATCTATGAGGTTAGGGTCGTTGACATGAACCTCGTTTGGCGTGATTCGAATTATCGGACCTGCTGGAGTTAGGACAATAACTGTCAAAGAATCGGACAGTATTTGGGAGATCAACCATATCTCTCATGGAGTTTTTTCAGTTGGAAGACTCCTTGACCTCCTTTGATGATATCATAATAGAACTCATACAGCCAGGTCACGGCAGCGAGTTTGGGTCCTGGAATATTTGCCAATGGGTGGAAATAGAGTCGAGAGATGGCTTTTGTCAAAACGACAGCCGCGAGAATGGCAAAGAGGACAGCTTGCCAATGCTGTCCAAGAGACTCACGGCGCGTTTCGAAAATACCCATCATGCAGATGGGCAGCCGGTAATCCTGTAAGAATGCAAAGAGGCGACGCAAGCAGGCAGATAACGTGGAAGGGCCAAAAGCCGGAACGCAGAGCGGGGTTGGCAAGACAGACGCCGAAGATTGCGAAGCGCTACGTTTTGAGGTGCGTACATGAGGCCTGCGCATGTCGAGTCAATGCTGTGGAAGAATCCCGAGCTGCCCATTCGCTAATTCGGAAAGGCCCTGCAGCTCCCCTGTCACCTGTCACCCAAAAAGAAGCCACGGCCGCTTGCATATCTTCACACGGATTTATGTTGATTGAGTTATGATCTTCGGCTACTCGTACTCCTGCCTATGTTAAGTTCACTATAATCCAACGCCGACAATGCAGGAAAAACCAAGCCCCCCAATGCAACATTCTTTGAAAGAGTATATTTTACAGAAGTTTCACTGATGTGGGTTTGCAGCTTATGCCGCGACAGGCTTCAAATGACCTTGTTTATCGTAACGTGCCTCTGCGAGTCTATTAGTCTCTCTTCCGGTTGCGCCTGGAGTTCACAGCTGGCGGAGGTGTTGACGGAAAACTTGTGCTTACTGAAAAACGTATAACTTAATGTGATAGTTTCAATCTTCCTCATATTGAGATCCTCCGCAAATTCCGGATCAATGTAAAAGAAGACGGGCATGTCCACGGTTTCGCCCGCATTTAATCTCTGCTCCTCAAAGCAAAAGCATTGTATCTTGCTGAAATATGGCGCGACTTGTCCGGGCACCACACTGTATGTCGCTACTCCAATTATATCTTCATCAGACAGGTTTGTCGCAGTGTAGAAGGCGAGGGCCGTCTCGCCTGGTACAACTCGTACCTCGCGCTGCTGCGGGGTGAACTTCCAAGGCATGACATCGGAAACGGACCCGTTGAATGTTATCCTCAGACGTTTGGCATCTGCTAGTGGTTTGAGGCGCTCGGAGGGGTCGTCGGTGGAGGAAGAGGTGTGAGCGGCGGATTTGATGGGCTGACCACCCCATCCTGTGGTTTGGCAGATCTAGCAGCGAGAATAATTAGAATAGGCTATAAACGCTTGAGTGTAGTACATACCATTTTGTAGAATGGCACAGAGCCATATGAAAGAGCTACTGTTCCTAAGATCGTACTCAGGACGTAGTAGCTGGTATATTGTTAGTACTTCGACAGCCTATGCGTTCCAGGTATCCATACACAGTCGTCCGATTCCTTGTCTTGAATGCTGCTTGCGCATCCTCCATTGGCGACGTAGCACTCGAGCGCGACTCTGGGGTGTTCTTAAGACTTCTGCGCGTCGGAGGAAGGATGTTTGACCGGTGGCGGGGCGCTATTCTCGCTGGAAGAGCGCAGGAATGACATATCCAGGGCTCGGATGCTCGCACGCTACGGCCTACAGACCGAAGCAGCGGCGTCGATATATTCATGATGTGGTGGGCAAAGTGGTGCGGTTCTATGGCTTCTCGGTGGTGAGAGATCTCCGCCGAAGATGTTCCTAGCCGCTTGAGGACGATTGTATAAAGCTTGGACGGGTCACCATTTTCTTCACATAAAACCACAACCTAGCGGCCTCAGAATTCACAGCAAATCACCCAAATGAGTGTCCTCTGTGGAGTCTGCTCGCAGGCGCCGCAGAAATACAAATGCCCTACCTGCCAACTACCATAGTTCGTATAATCCTTTTTATGCAGCCTGTGCTTCACTAATTATTGACAGCTGCTCGATCCCATGCTACAAGAATCACAAAGCATCCGAACACTCCTCAAAAGATGCCCCGAATGCCGCTCCGATCTCTAAATCCAAAGCACCGGCGCCCATTCCTCCAACTGCACCCAAAGTAGGCGATTTCTCAACCCTTGCAGACCACCCATCTATGCAAGCACTACTTACCTCACACCCAACCCTTCGAGATGATCTACGTAAGGTCTATGCGGCGACTTTTGCGCGCGACCCTTCACAGCAGCAGGATCACCAAGAGCAACGCAGCGGTGGGACACATCGAGGACATATGGACCGTGGACGTGGTTTCGGAACTCGAGGCAGGGGACGGGGAAGAGGTGGAAGAGGGGGTGCAGACACTGCCCCATGGACTCCTAAGAAAGGAGAAAACGACGCGCTGTATATGCTCAAAGGTATACGGCAGGGTAAACGGGACGGCAACGCAGAGGGCATGCAAGAGTTTGTGAAACTTGTGGGAGAAATCTATGGAAGCGCGAATATTCCCGACGACGAGGCTGAGCAACATGGCGACTGATCAAGGTAAGACGCCTGGTGATGGTTCTACATCTACCAACGGACTGTCCGCATGTTTCCGCATCTCACCGACTCCGCATTTGTGCGTGCCAAGCACAGTCACCCATCTTGCTCGACGGTTACATATCAGACGCCGCATCGTACAAGGTCGCACCGGCAACATTTGCATGGAGCGATAGCTCGAGGACCCATGGCTCTTTTGGAGATGGGTGCGCATCCCGCTAGGCAAAGCCCCGCGGGGGTCTGGCTGTCTGGTTCCACGGATGAGTCTGGCGACAACCATGGTACGCACTACGTCTAGTGCTGCACTTGGAGTGGCAACGATACCCGAGAGGGGGGATTTACCATGTGCTTTGGCTTTGGAACCAACTCAGATCGAGCCCGCCCGGCATACATGTCTGATCGGTGCTTGATATCATTGGCTTGCTAAGTTGGAGTGGAAACCGAGCGATTACTAGGACAAAAAAAGTAATTAATCTGCTCCTCATCTTTAGCCACCAAACTGCAGCCTGTCTAGAATGTATGACGACGCCAAGGGTATGGTGTCTCAAGGGATCAAATGGCGGGGATATGTAAAGTGACCGCGCTCAGAGTGCTTGACCAGAGTATGCACTAGTAGCATTAGGGATTATATACACCTATTGAAGTCATCATAACCTAAGGGCGGTGGCCTGTCTGTTACTAGAAAAATGCAGGTTTGCCATGTCTAGTAAGTGTGTACGCTTGTCCATCACTGTCTAAAGTCCTATGAACTTTCATAATTTTGAAGCTCATCTTTTTCATCGTAACGGTTATCTTATTAATACTCTACATGTGACTGAAGGCCCTGTTATCTAGCCGTCTAGACTTGTCTTTGACTAGTTAATAAAGAGCTCCAAAGAGAATCATGTCAACCATCTTCCTTCAGTTTAGCTTATATTTCTATGTACCGAGCTGTTGCTCCATTATCATCCTGCTCGTTGGTGTACTGACCTGGCGCCTTCTTGGTCTCCAGGATGGCCTTGTCAAGCTCCACGTATGTGCATTTGAACCCCCTTACGAGTGTCTTCCTCGAGGCATTGAGTTACTGCTGGTATCGAGATAGAAAGCTTCGAGTCGGGGACGCCGAGGCCGCCGTACGGTGTGTAATAGAGATCCTTAGGATTTGGAATCAGGTTCGACATAGTACTGCTACCATAATCTTCGTAAGAATGTGAGGGGTGGGGAGGATGGGTGGGGAACGTACCTAGGCGGCAACGCTTGAGATTGAGATACAGCTGGCGGCACCGGGGGGCTCGTGGATAGGTATGCTAATAGAGTCGCCGATGCAGGCGCTGATGGATTCGTTGATGAAGGTGTTGCAGATCGAACGGACGGTTGGCAGCACTGGAGGGAGAGTAGTCCAGCTTTGATTTTAGAGAGAGATAGGGCAATGTCATAGCTGCAAGGTTTAATTCTATATTTAAGAAATTTGACGCGCACAAAGCCATCATCATCGGAACAACTTGTCATGAGGTCTCATTTTTTTCGACTCCCGATTCAGAGGGGCATAAGGGCAATGAGCTAGAGAATAAGAAAAGGAGAATATTAATGGGGTTGAGGGTCCCGTCAGGACGCCCCCGAACAGAGTTGAAACTTTACACTCGATGGAAAATTACACCAAGGCTAAATGCTCGTGAAGCAGATCTTGAAGCATGCCGAAGAACCTTTTAGGTCGTAACCTGAATCACGGGGTCGTGATCTTGACATCATGCCCTACTGGCCGTGTCAAGCGGTGCGAACTGGAAGCTCCGACGCGAACTGGAAGCTACGACGTGAGCTAAATCACGACGTGACGAACCTTACATAGAGACCAGATTCTATGCGATGTGCTAGAGCACTCCAGACGAAGGCAGAACCTAGATGGGCCATGCCAAGCCCCATTATTTTACGAGCTTCCCCAAGAAGTAAAAGTCTCGGTACTTGATCGCTTGGAGGAAGCCTGGTTAACGGGTGGGTGGCTCGCGATAAGTAGAACCCAGGTCCAGCTCAAAACGCACTCCACTACGACCGAGGTTATTATAGCGGAATTCCCTGTGACACCATCGTAACATTAGGACACGATGCAGCTGCACCCCGCTGAGGACAGCATGCATGGGAAGTAATTTTGGAATATTGTGGCCATGAAACCGCTCAGAGGCCGCGAAACGCCGATCTGCTGAGGTTGCGACTTCCCCCAGGCAAGCGAGAATCCATCGGCCTTCCCGCCCGCCGCACGTGCGCGGCATCCGGGGCGCTCCAATCGCGCCAAGCCCAGAAGTAACCTTAATCCTACGTGCGCCACGATGACGGCTTTTCCCCGACAGGAATGCAGGCGCGAGAGGATCTGCTTATGAGCCAGCGCGGCATGGTTTTTGCAGTCGCGGATGTCTGGTATAGCATGTCATTGTGGTGTCGTGATCGCAATCGGGCGAGCAGTTGGATGACGCGCATGCCGTCGGGCCCACTTGTGGCGCGGTCAGCCATCTCGTTTCAAGCGGCCTGTGGTGGAGGGTGGATGCGTGGTGGATGGCGGAAAAGAGGGCCCATCCCCAAAGCCAGGGCTCCGGCCGGCCTCCTTTCTGTTCCAGTTGTTCGCTGGCCGGCTGCCGAGTCAGTGTGGGTGTGCTTGGCTCAGACAAACCGTTCCGCAAATCGCGCGCCAGGGCCGCCGTTCCAAGCCAGGTACGTGCCGCTCGGCCGTGCGTGCGCCAACGTGCAGAGATCCAGTGACCCTCCTAGACAAGCAAGGCGACGCCGCGGGCAGGAAGGCATGAAGGCAGCAGGGTCGCACCGGGCTGCGCGTGGGTAGTACTGTGACACGGCTGCCGCCGCGCGGGAAGCGGAGCGACATTTGCGTCACGTTGCGGGCGTACTGCAGCGTCCACCCGGAAGCTGGCGACGGCGCTGTGTGGAGAAGGAGATGCAGATCCGCATCGTCAGACATGAGGACCGGCGAGAGACTCCTCGCGGCGCCCCCACCCGCTGCATCCCGGCAGCAGCAGCGGCCTCCCGCGGACGACTCGCGCCGACGAGACGCACGGGTGCATGCCGGCGCAAGGCCCGACCGGCGGCAGGATGAGGGCATGGCATGGGCAACTGCAGGCGCCGCGGAGGGGGCGTTCGCTGGCGCCGCGGATGCCCAGCTGTCGCTTTCGTTGCCACCGTCGTACAATACATAGCGCCGTAGTGCCCTAAGCCAGGGGTGGCTATTGTATCACACGAGCCGGCGCGAAGAAGAAAAAAGACCAGTTCAGGGCCCAGAAGAGCGCGACCAGGCCTGGAGAGATGACAAGATGACAGGGCTTCGCTGGCATGGTGGGCGGTAGCTGATCGCCCCGTAAGGCGCTTCCCGATTCTGACTGGCAGGCCGGTTATCAACCAGCCTCCACCTCAGCTAAATGAGCCCCGCGCAGCACCCGCATAGAGATCATCGCGTCTGACAGACCTGCGTTTGGCCCGGCAGAACTGCCTCAAGCGGGCGGAGAGGCAGTGTGACGCCTGGCCGGCGCAGACAGATGCGGCGCACGCCATCGCTCCAGGGAAGCTTCCCAGGCGCCATCACGGCAGCCGTCTGGGGAGACCAAGGCGCAGTAGACGGCACCCAAAGTGCTGTGTGTGCACCGGCGTGCTACCGTATCGTGTACCGTATCGTGCGGCCAAGGGTCGTCGATGATGGAAAGGAATGACAGGGCCGTTCGGAGTAATGCTGGAGGCGCAGTAGTCTGCAGGCTGTCAAGGCATCTGGAGGCTCCGAGGCGCGAAGCAAAGGGCGACAAGAGTGACGAGACGAGGCCGCGCAGGGAAGAGGCTGGACGTTGAGCTGACCGTGCATAAAGCCCACGTGATGCGCATACTCTAGCGGCACGCAGTTTACTCGCTCCAGAATCTAGGGTCCTTCATACCTTGAACGTCAACTTGTGGAGTATGAAGGGTCTTTTCGCTTTTTGATACTGCGAAAGGGGCTCTCCATATTGATGCTGTTTCCTGGGCTATGGACACCATCAGCTCCTACTATGAATTATCCTGCTCTGGCCTTACCTTTGTGATACTCTTGATAGGGTGTGTCGTTATCTGCCGCTGTTCAAAGGGCTTTAGCACGTTCTTGTAGTATGGAGATGTGTAAGCGAGTTGGTTCGAATCTCCCTAGACATATACTGTATAGGAGAGCTAGATGGGCGATATGTATTTGAGGTCCTACCGCAGAATGCAGTCTCCTAAACTGCCGCACGCACAAAGTAATGCCGGGTTCCAGATTCTTGGTGTGGAGTCGCAGGTGGCGCTTTGCAGGGGGCCAATGCGGATCGAATCGAACCATGCTCCACAAAGACAAGGGTCGGGTGGGCTAACAGCCTAATCCTGGTCTGGCGCCTCTCCCTCTCCTTCACGACATTGTGGATGCTCTTGGGCGTGGATTAGGGGAGTTATTCCGTGTGATGAGCCTTCGTCTTCGTTTCCCCCGTTCCCTCCGCTGCTGCTCTCTCCGCCCAGCCTCACCCTTCACGCTCCCAACGCAGTGCTGCCTCTCCTCACCCACGCCCCAACCCTCCCCTGTGCTGTTTGCCCTTGCGCTGCCTCTCTTTACACACCCTCTATCTATTTATTCGACGGGGTTCCCGTCCAAGTTGCTGTTCCGGTTGGCTGGTTTCAGCGAGGGGGCGCTCGTTGCTCAGTATGTATGTCAACCACGGTCTTCCAGAACGACCCAAGGTCATCCCAAGAAAGACAGCCAAACTAATCGTACCAGCGCCCGATCCGTCAACGTATAACTACACCTCTCCCGCACTCCTGCGCGCCCCGCCTCCCACCGTCGGCCTCCACGCCGAGCATTCGTCGGTCAGGATCGTCTGATCTGACTTGAGGCCACTGCACGTCTCTACCTCCTATTAGATGGCAAGCCATCAACACCCATCGCCTACTACAGGCATGCCTCCGCATCATGGCCCGCCAGGCCACGCGCAGCCCAACGGTCATGGCCCAATGCAAGGCCAGGCACCCAAGACTGCGTCGGATTACCTGCGCAACCTCAACGAGTCGGTCTGGGTGCAAATAGGTACGCGACAGAGCTCCTTGTTATTATCGCTCTCCCCTAACGCCGCTAGGCTCGTTGTCCGAGCAGATGCACGATCTCGACGGCGCCATTGGATGCTACGAGCACGCGCTTCGACACAATAGCTGGTCAGTGCCGGCCATGAGTGGAATCGCCGGCATTCTGCGAACAAAGGACCAGTTTCCAGCTGCTGTCGAGTACTTGCGCACAATTCTCAAAGTCGAGTCCACTAACGGCGAAATTTGGGGGAGCCTCGGTATGCGTCCTCTCGTCCCGTGACCCTGCAAGTGATTGACCATGTATCTCCACAGGCCACTGTTATCTCATGATGGATGACCTGCAGCAAGCCTACTCGGCATATCAGCAGGCGCTCTACCATTTGAATGATCCAAAGGTAAACAACAAATTCATCAACAACCTCGCGACACTGCTGACAGCAACCGCCAGGAACCGAAATTGTGGTACGGGATTGGCATTCTGTACGATCGGTATGGCTCGCTCGAGCATGCCGAAGAAGCCTTCTCTCAAGTCATGCGTATGGAGCCAAACTTCGAAAAGGCAAACGAGATCTATTTCCGTCTCGGGATAATTTATAAACAACAACAGAAATTCCAACAAAGCTTAGAGGTATGAATTCGCCAAGCTAATACTAAGAACCCGGGCTAACTTTCTTGCAGTGCTTCCAGTACATTGTCACGAACCCCCCACGGCCTTTGACCGAGGAGGATATTTGGTTTCAGATCGGACACGTATATGAACAACAGAAAGACGTAAGTGTCAGATTGTTGTCCTCACGGGATTCGCCTTAACATTCGTTCAGTACGATTCCGCAAAGGAAGCCTATCGAAGAGTTCTTGATCGTGACCCAGCTCATGCGAAGGTCCTCCAGCAGCTTGGCTGGCTGCATCATCAACAGAGCACAAACTACAGCAGCCAGGAGCAAGCAATTGAGTACCTCGAGAAATCAGTCAACTCCGGTATGTATTTCACCATTGATTTTGTCATGTGCCCACCGCTGACTGTTTGGCTTCAGACCAGAACGATGCACAGAGCTGGTACCTGCTAGGCCGCTGTTACATGTCGCAGCAGAAGTACCCAAAGGCGTACGAGGCCTACCAGCAGGCGGTCTACCGCGACGGGAGAAACCCGACGTTCTGGTGCTCAATCGGAGTGCTGTATTATCAAATTAACCAGTACCGAGATGCGCTTGACGCATACTCCCGCGCGATCCGTCTGAACCCGAATATATCTGAGGTGTGGTATGACCTTGGCACTCTGGTAAGTTTGCTCCGTTTCCTGCATCTTCAAAGAGTATCTGTCTAACGTGTCTCTAGTACGAATCTTGCAACAATCAGACTGCCGATGCGCTTGACGCTTACCAGCGTGCCGCTGACCTTGACCCTACGAACGTGCATATCAAAGCGCGCTTGCAGCTTTTGCAGAGCGGCCAAGCCACAAATGGCGTCCCAAATCAGAACAGCCAGCCGATCCCACAAGACGTCCATCCCCAGGCTTACCAACCCGCGTCCGTTAACGGGCCGCCGGGAGTACAATGGGGTGCACCGGCTCCTACACAGCCACCCCAAGGACCTCCACCTGCGTTGGCCGGAGGCGAGTGGACTCGTCCACTTGCTCAGATCCGCGATCCCCAGCTGCCTCCCCAGCAGCTCAACCCGTACGACCACCGAGACGGCATCCGTCCTTCCAATCAGCATGGACCTCGACCCGTCAGCCCTAGACAGGAGCCGTTGAGGCAATATCAGGAGCCTCCGCGCCCTAACCCACCTGCGCCTCCCCGCCGCGGATTGTCTCCCTCGCCAAAGACACACAGTGTTGCACCAAGCTTGTACCATGGCCCGCCTCAAATGCCACCCCAAGGACCTCCTACGCAGTCCCAGCTCCAGCAGCATCAACCACCGAATCGTATCTCGAATCCAAACTACGGGCCACATGCTCAGAATAGCGTGCCACCTCCACCGCCTCCACCACCCACCAATCTCAACGGTCCTCCTGCGCTAGCTCCTTTGCCACCGTATGGTCGCCTGAATAGTCCTCCCCCGGAAGTACGACCCATTGTTGAGAATCGACCCCCATCGGCAGGCGGCAATTACCCACCGCAACCATACCAGCATCACGCCAACCCATCTTCAGGAGGCGGGATTGCAAGCGGCGCGCCTGCTCCGGCATCTGCTCTTGCGGCAGCCGAGGCCGCGGCCCGTGACCGGTCTGATCGAACTCCCACTGTTCCTCCTAAGAGGCTCAGAGATTGGGAGGATGAGAGCCCCCTCAACCAGAAGCCTCCGTCTAATGATGAGAAACGCCAAAGGATGGAAGAGCCCCATAGCAGACGCCCGTCACCTCCGCAACATAGAATGTCATCTCCTCCGAGACACAGTCCCCAAGACAACCCCGATATGCGTCGGATGAATGACGGCTATCATCCTTCGGAGGCTGCACATCACCCAACGTCCCTTCCTTCCATCAACGCCACGCAACCAATGCCCCAACCAATGCCTCGTATGACAGAGACTCCAAAACAAGAACGACCAGAGCATCATGAGCCGGCGGCGCGTCAGATGGAAGTAGATGAAGACTATAGCGATGGAGCTGAGGATGAGAAGCGTAACGTTCCAACCAAGTTGGAAAGAGAGAGCCCGCGTGCTGCCACCAACGGAGTGTCGCATGCTCCTACGACGACTGAGTAAAATGCATTGACTGATTATTTGTCTAGCACAGGTTGTTTGTGCTCAAGATGCGGCTTCTGGTTTGACGGCGTTCAAGCAAGCCTACACTCATTGCAACGTCATACGAAGAAGCTTGCTGCTGGCGGGCCTTTTTGACATTTTAGTCTTCCCTCTTTTGCATATCTGATTTTTCACTACCCCTCATGCCTCCTTGGGCCACGTTTGATGACTTGCCGGGCGGAAGCATGCTGCTGTTGTTGGGTGATGGCTAGGTGGTTTTTGTCGGTTCTGCTATTATTCTGTCACAAAATGATATCCGCCCCACTTCCTTTTCTGACTCCTAAAGTAGTACCAGAGTAAACGAATGTGCAATTTTTTAATTCTACTGCAAATATGTTGTGTTTTCTTCCGTGGTCTGTTTCGGTGAAATGTTTCGCGTGACCCTAGCTAGTTGGCTAGTTTTCTCTGCCTCTTCTCGTAATCTGCACTGGCTCAGACGTACCCCATTGACCCGCATCGGTGTCTCTCACCAGAGGCACCATGAAGCCCATGGCGAAAGCCAATAATGTCTATAGCTTTGCATGCCCCTGGTCTCCAAGTTTCCGGATTGGACACAGATCGCGGCGCTGCGCCTGAGGCCCCACCCCAGCCTCGATACCTGTCCGGCGTTCGAACACCATACAAATATCGGGACTAGAGCACTATTGGATGCCTCGTTGATACATTCATGCAAGTAAGACGTTTCCTTGATCTTCCTATCGGCGCCATCGCCGCAGTGAGGCTGGAGGCAGCCTTGTAGCCTCGATGGCTTTCATGCAAGGCTGAGATGTGGCGCTCAAAGCATGTCGATATGGATGTGTGTGCCTGGAGGCTTAGCTTTCATCCGGTAAATTCGAATACTTTCTTCCTCGGCTACTCTTGCGCTGTCCTGATTTGCTCTTCTGCATTCTTGTCGCCGTGATATGGTCAGTGCCCTTTTCTGAGTCCTCAGCCTCGTCGCCGGCAACGTCCTCGGCATCGTCGACCTCCTCGACAACGCCAGCGCCCTGGTCTGCTCTCTAGCGGTGACTCTGCTCGTCCGCATCGGCAGACTCAACGCCACTGTGTTTCTAGAGATTGGGGAAGAGGGAGATGGGGTAGACGAGTTTGATTGGGTATAAATAGTTCGACTACTACTAGCAAGTCGGTGCAATTTACGGTCGTTTTAATCGAGTTAGTGACATGGATTGCAGTTCAGATCACTGGGAAAAGGTTAACGTTGACATAGCTGAGAAATATAAATGGGAGCCAGTTTGTGCAATTTGCATTCATTCATGGCTTGTTATTGGCATGACTTGCAAATCAGGCCGTAGAAATAGACGTGTTGAATCGGTGCTATCTGGACTTGATTTTGGTACAGGATTGGCGTTACATCCCAAATCAGGCCAGAGGAAAGAAGTTGGTTTTGAGATTGCGAGATGTATGAACGGGAGCCAGTCCGTGCGATTTGCGCTCGGTTGTGGCTTGTTATTGACAGACACCCTAAATCAGATCATGGAAATTATATTGATTTGAATGTTGCATGAAGCATAAACGGGAGCAAGGCCGCTGGCACACACCATTGCCAAAATGGCCTGACATCGGCCTCAGTTTCAGGCCTTTTGATGAGGCAGGTTGCGTGACACCTCAAATTAGATCTGCGGAAATGGGGTAAATCTCGCACTGTTGAGATGTACAAACGGGATCCAGTCCGTGCAGTCTCGACTCAGTTTTGGTATGTTATTGGAGCAACACTGTGAATCGGACCTCAATTTAATGAGTGTAAACAGGAGCCAGTCCGGTATCTGAACGTTTTTATCAGAGCGGTTACGGGATGACCTTATTCGCGGTACCTTTTGAGACATGAAATTCGTCGCGCTCTGAACCAGACCTTGGACCTGGAGTAGTTATGGCATCACTAAGATGTATGTACGGGAGCCAGTCCGTGCGATTTAGACTTGATCCTGGCATGTTATTGGCATGACATGTATATTGGGCTTGCGGCTTTAATCAAACGTGTTATACTCGAATAGACTCAAGACTAAGAGAAGAACTATAGCTCTTGAAAAGAGGCTTGGAAACGTATTCTCATCTCATTTTCGATACTCTTCCTCTTCAAAATCACGTGACAAGATGACGCAAATCCATGCCCTGCGAAGCTCCGAATTCCATCCCACAATTCTCAGCAAGCAATACATCAACCTTGAAACCCGGCTAGAGTCTTTTGTGCTCAGTTTCATCTTCTCCAGAACACGTATCGTGACCAAGAGCTGCTCACCAAACTTCGTGGCACCTGAAAACCACTGCGTCATAAGGCTTCATGACCAAGATCCCCACCACACCCGCGTCCCGCAGCCTCCAGCGCCTACGACAACGCCTGTATAAAGCTCCACTACTACCGCCTACCTCACTAACCCAGCTCCTCCCTCGACTCCGCGCCGAATTACACGTCCCCGGTACTGGCACCTCAAACCGCGCAGTCCCAAGTCTAAGACCCACCCTCAACCTCACCACCCGCCCTTTCACGACAACCTCTCTCAATATGTCCTCCGACGCCGACTACGCCTCCTTCCTGGACAAAGCGAACCAAGACACGGGCGCCAACAAGCCGTCCACGCAATCGAAGAAGAAGGTCGGGACCAAGTCGGTGGACACAGCGGTGCCCAAGGCGCTGGAGGAGGTGGAAGAATACTATGTATCTGACGCGGATGAGCCGTTTGAGCCTGTTAGCTTGAAGTATAAGGGCAAGGGGGTGCCGTCGGCTGGTAAGTGAAGTCCAACCCTAATGCCGGCTCGAAGCTGTTGTTTAGACTGCGGAATTTCATTGGAGTGGAACTGATGTTGAGTAGATGAGCTCGGGAAGTTGCTGTCGCATGACGAGGTCTCTAGTGTGAGCGAGAAGGAGTTTGATCCTGAGGGCCAATACAAGAGTGTCTTGGATGCGGTCAAGAAGGCGGGGAGTGGAGAGGTGGGCGTGTTCAGGGTAGAGCATGGGAGCACGAGGGCGGAGTACTATGTCGTTAGTGTGGACACGAAGGAGGGCAGGCTGGTGGGGTTGAAGGCTCTAGCTGTGGAGTCGTGAGAAAGGGTAGTGCTTTGGAGTACTGGCGTTGGTGAGAGAAAGGTGGATTGACACCACTCCCTATCAACTTGAGAGCTGCAACTATGCAGTGGCTCAGCTAGAGGGAACTTGAAACAAACTTAAGCATCACTATCAGCTCTGTGGTGTTGTTGGGTCGGAGAATTGAACCTTGAGCTGAAGGTAGGGCTGAGCTGAGAGTTGCTGCAGCCAATCACGCTACTGGAATGGTGATTGTCATGAATCAACATCACAGTCGGTACTTATAGCATGAGCTATGACTAGAAACTAGGTTTCTGGGCAGAACGCTTGCAGCTGTGAAGTGATCTAAGGTTTGAAAGCGGGAGCAACTGTGGAAGAACCGTCGGGAATAACAGTGGTCAGATTTTGAGGGCCCATATAAAACTCCACGGCAACGGCACCAGTCAGAGTATAACCATAATACCTTTTAGGATGAACCAGTGTCAAATGCCAGATCCTTCGCCAGACCCGCATCCCCCACAGAGCCAAGAAACAACGGCGTTGAGGGAACGGTGGTGGAACACTCGACAGATCGCCCGAAGGCTTCGCCTCAAGTACGCGTAATCAATGTGCCTGCTACATAACAATCACTGGCTAAAGGCGAGGCCAGTTCCCGCCGAAGAGCGGCCCCAGGGCTCAGCAACGGGCATATTGAGGGGACCCTGTGCATGGAACAGCAAACCGTGGCGACACAGGTGCCCTCTCGATCTGGCCCGCGGGGAGTGCCATCATGATTATATAGCTTCGATGCTGAAGCGTGTCTCTTTCCGCATATTCCGTAGATGGCGGCCTCAAAGCGGATCACCAGCACGCAGCACGCAGCGGAGCCTCGCTGACCAGTGGGGCCTGGTCAGTAGCAACGGTGGGTGCAGCTCAGGGGCGGCGAGGCTGGAAACAGACTGCCGGTCGCGAGCATAACAGGTGTGGCTTGAATTCAAGAGGCGACTGCGGCCAACGGTTTCGTGGGATGAAGGTTGAGAATCCAGAATGGCTCGCAGCGTTGAAACAGCAGTCTTCTCGCGATGATCTCATGCTCAGGGGATAAAATTAGCTGGCACCAGCGCTGGTCCTGCATTGGCGGCCTGTGGATTTGCCGCTTCTGCAACGCCCCCTGCCCGTGATTCGCCCACGCCGAGCTATGTCGCCCAGCCCGCCCCTGATGCCAATTTTCGTGCTGCACTCACCGTCCGCTCTCCAATTCATCCCAATTCACTGCTTCGTCTTTGTGCGCTGTTCGTCCCACCGTCCCTCCCGCCTCCCACTCCCCACCTCCCCGTCGCTCGCTCCCTCGTGCGCTGTCGTTTCCCAGCACGTGTTTGCCGCGAGCCCCTTCTCCGCCTGCACGGCCTCACCACTCTCTGCACCCCGGTCCGCCAACTCTGGATAGGAGCGACCTGCAATCCCGCCGCTGCTCTCGCCGTCTCAGCGTCTCTGCTCCTCGACCGGCGCCCTCTCCCATCTCTGACGCCTCCTGGACGACCACTGCTGCAGCCCCGGAGTCGTGAGCCCAGCCTGTTGCCCGCTGTAACCGCTAGCTACCGCTGGAATTTGACCCTTTGCGACCGACCACAACATCTCTCGTTCGACGCCCTCCGACACCCGCCTCCACTCTGGCGACCTCATAGCAGCTCCCTCCAGCTCCCTCCGCCTGTCTGCCAGCATGGCCTCGCCCGGTGCCTCTCCGCCGTCGAGGGGCAATGCTCCTCCTCACATCCGCCTCAACTCAGGGACGGACAACATGCTCATCGACGACCTCCAGAACAGCCGCCCCGGCACCGCGCGCCAGTCCTCCTCACGCTCATTAATACCCTCCCACCCCGGCACCGCCCCCTCGTCCGGTCTGCGCTCCCCCCCGTCGGGCAGCGACCTGTACAACCAGCCTGCCCACATCGCCGATTCCGCAGAGCTATTACTACCTCCCAAAAAGATGCGGACACGGCGCTTCCGAGACGAGTCGCCAGCACCGCAGTCTCCCTCGGGCATGTCGTCGCGGCGGACGAGCTGGAGCTCCGAGTCGTCCGTCAGTCGAGACTCCCGACACAGCCCCTTTGCGTCGCCCTTTGATGATTCGCGGGCCCCTTCGCGGGCTGGGAGCGACGACGAGCTCAACACACAGACCGTGTCCGAGAAATACAACATCCTGCCGTCCGCCGGCCTGCTGCTGTTCCCGGAAGACGTGGAGAAGGACGACTGGCTGCATAATCCCGATCCGAACGAGAAGGAGAAACGCGACTGCGACGTCTTCTCAAGGCGCGGGATTGTCAACGTTGGAGGCCTCGCACTCATCTCGCTGGGGGTGCTCTTGCTATTCATAGGCTATCCGATACTGTAAGAGACCTGTCCTTCCGCAGCTCGAATAGTCTGCTAACTCTGACACAGAACATTTGTGCACAAGTTGACCTCGCCAACAGTGGGGCCTTGCACGTACAATCCGCAGTGCATAGATGTGCCAAAGGTCCCGCTTTTGAAGAACATTCGAACAGGGCTGGTAGACCCCGACACACCGGATTCTGTCAAATCAAGAAAGTCCCATGATGGAACCACGCAAAATCTAGTTGTAAGTACAGTTCGAAATGAGCCATTCAACATGCTAACTTCTACAGTTCTCTGACGAGTTCAACACTGACGGGCGAACCTTCTACGATGGCGACGATCCTTTCTTCCAGGCAGTGGACATCTGGTACGGAGTGACGCAGGACTTGGAGGTGGGTATCTGACTCGACTTGACTCAAGACAGAACACTAACCCTCCATAGTGGTACGATCCAGACGCAGTCACTACCAAGGACGGCGCTCTTAACATCCAATTTGACGCCTTCAAAAACCACGGTCTGAACTACCGATCTGGCATGCTGCAATCTTGGAACAAGCTGTGCTTCAAGGGAGGTCACATGGAAGCCAGCATATCGCTACCTGGACGAGGAGACACTGTCGGGTTCTGGCCGGGTTTCTGGGCCATGGGAAACCTTGGACGCCCCGGATATGCTGCAACCACCGACGGCATGTGGCCATACAGCTACCACGACGAGTGCGATGCCGGCATTACTCCAAACCAGAGCTCGACCGATGGAATCAGCTATCTCCCAGGAATGCGACTGCCGGCTTGCACTTGCGCAGGTGAGGACCATCCAAATCCGGGCACGTCTCGAAGCGCACCGGAAATCGACGCTGTTGAAGCCACCGTTGGCAATTTGGATGCTGTCAACATGATTGGAATGGTGTCGCAGAGTTTCCAGATCGCTCCATTCGATATCTGGTACCGAGCAGACACAGGTGAGTTGCTTTTACTATGCACTCCGACGGGTAATGCTGACATGTCCCTCTAGATTTCATGCAGATAAATGACTACTCTGTCACATCTATGAACTCGTACCAAGGAGGCCCCTTCCAACAGGCTATCTCTGTTGTCTCTCACTTGAACAACGACTGGTACGACGGTAAGGCTTACCAGAAATACGCTTTTGATTACAAGACCGGCGACGACGGGTTCATCACCTGGCACGTCGGTGATGCAGAAACCTGGACTATGGACGCGAATGCTATTAACCAGAACGGCAACATCGGAAAGAGGGTTATTCCAGAGGAGCCCATGTCTATCATTGTCAATTTTGGCATGTCGAATGGTTTCTCGGCCATCAACTTGACTGGTATTGGAGCAACACTTCCAGCGACTATGCGCCTCGACTATATCCGGATATACCAAGACGAGGGCAACGAGCTGATCACCTGCGATCCGCCGGGCTATGAAACGACAGGCTACATCGAAGACCACCCAGAGCCTTACTCCAACCCCAATCTAACACTATGGTAAGCATTCCAATCTGCAGAAGATAAGCACTCGCTGATCACCGATTTAGGAAAGCCACAAAGTACGATTGGCCAAAGAACTCCTTGATGAACGATTGCAAGATGTAACGTCTCGGATCGCTTCTCAATTATGCAACAACCAATTTCATCGACTATCTCAGCGCCTCCAGTTGCTTTCTTCTTTATAATGTGGCCACGGCAACGATTATTTTGCAAACATCCTACCATCGGAACGCAAACATCTGCGTATTTCATAGATCAAGAACCGGAGTCCCCAAGGCGTTCAGACACGCATTCGAGCATTTTCCACACCCTGCATCACTCCGGAGTCAGTTGGCGCTTTTTTTCAAATTACACCTATTGCTGCGTTGGAGGCTACCCTTTGGTTATTAACCCGGTGCCTCTTGGTTGTTCGTGTCGGGTTGAACAACAAAAACACTAGCCAAGCGACTTCCTAATCCCTAAATCCCGTCTTCTTTCGAGGTCCACGATCAAAAACGGAGCGGCTTTCGTGATCCTATCCATCCACCGGAGCGCACACGAGGTTCATCGGTCTACCACCACCATCCCCCTAGAACGAACCACGTCTCTCCGAGCATGCCTGTGTATATCAGTTTCATCGCACTCAGCATTCTTGCATGTATATTCACACACACTCATGGATTCCTCTTCTTCTTCAGCCGGGGGGCCGCCTTTCTTTTGGCCTCCTTTTTTCTCTCTTCGTTGTCCGGGCAGGCTCAGACCCTTCTTTTTGGTCAGACTTTCGCGTTTTTCTTCTTCTTTCAGTTGCGTGTGCTGTGTGGCTTTGGGAAGGCTGGCTGGGGTACACCCTTTTATATGACGGCTGCCGGCGGGGATATCATAGAATTTTTAGGTGGTCAAAGATTCACTTTTCTTTCTTGGTGGGAATGGGATGGAGGAGGAGGAATGGAATGAGTATTGGGTTTTTTGGAAGTGGAGTTGTGTAATTTACTAGGGGGGTTGGAGGGTGGTGGAGGGGATGGGGTGGGGAAGTAGGAATGATAATTGAATATCTGAAAAGTTCATGAATGTGTTTTTAGGGTGCGTGGTGTCTTCATCTGACAGGTCTCTCACAGCCATTCCATATTAGCTTACACAACTTCACTTTTTGGCTGAAGGGAGGGACATCTAGACCTGTCTCTAACAGGAACTGGGAAGCAGCCATATTCTCGCACTAATCCTCGGCATTCGAACAACTCTCTTCGGTGATACTAGAACACCCGGCTACGCTTCACTCGCGACAGTGAACACCTGTTCTCCTCCCTCGACCCTCCGCATCTCGGCAGCATCTGTCACACATGACCCATACCCCAAGTCCACGTGAATAATCACGCCCCGCTGACTAAAACCCCCCTCAATATCTAACTAATCTACTATAAAACCCTCTTCCTTCCCTCCGTTTGCCGAGGTCCTCAGCAGCGTGGTTTTCAGGAGTTGGGTCAAAAGCGATGAGCTAGAGCTGGCGTGGCTGCGTCGTGGGCACAATCGCTACACGTCGGTCTTGATGGGAATTGGGGATTGGGCTGGTGGGGATCGAAAACATGGCAGGCGTTTTCCGCGATGGGTGAGATGTGGTGGTGGTGGTGGTGGTGGTTCAAAGTCTGCCGAATGCTCAGCGCTATGGCTGCATCGTGAGCAAGACTTTCTGGAAGCTCGCAACCATGGATGGGAGTCGGGGGTTTGGCTGGTGGAAACAGAACAGACCTTTGCAAAATGGGTGGGGTGGGGTGGGGTGGGGTGGTGGTGGTGGCGGTGATGTATTACAGAGAGGGCGCATGTGTGGCGGGTGGGTGGAGGTTGGGGAGCGGTGTTCAAACGAGATGTTGTTGCCTCTGATGGAGGGGAGAGGGAGGAGGGCGAGGGCGAGAGTGATGATCTGAAGCAACAGGAGACGAGCGTAGGCTCCAGCGATTGTAAGGTGTGGTGGGCAGTATTCCAAGGAGGCGGTGAGGTTAATACACTGCAGATGCGAGGTTGGTGAGCAAAGGGCGGTGATGGAGACTATTGAGATTGTATACTGTCGAGGAGGTGAGTCAAGAGCTCTGCTGTTGCCTTTCTGAGGTGAAACGTGAGTAAATAGAGAGGTATGTGTTGGTTTCTCCACCGTACCATCTGAACACTCGTGGACTGCGAGCATTATGTACATGTGCGCCCTGTTCAATACTGGTAGTGATTGCTGTAGGTGATTGAGTGGATGGAGAAAATGGGGGTGAATTGGACATCTGGCCATTGAGTACCGGGTATGGTTGTGAATTGGGGGTGGTGTAGAACGATTGGTTCTTGACACACCACATCAGACTGTCGAATTGGGCACACGTGTCAAGCTATGAGAAAAAGATGGAAGCCAGTCCGCTCGATTTCGCTCTGTCAAGACGTTGAATGCAAGGGTTATGAATGAGATGGAGAAATCTTGGATGGAGAAAATGAATCGCGAATTGGGAGTGAGCTAGAATCGATGGCGAAGAGGTTTGCGAATTAAAAACAACCGCTATTCGTTTTAGCACTGTGGAAGAAAACTATGAGTTGCTTCCGTAGAACCAACGTCTTGAGAGAATGCTCGTGCAACTTAGTCTGGTTTGTATGTGTCTTGAACTAGGAAATGTTCCAATATAGTTTGGAATACTCGAGCCTCCTTGGTCCTCAGTTCCACCAGCCTGTCTTAATTTTTCAACCTACATGAATGTTAGATCTCTAGCTAACCTTCTCGCGACACATTAGGTAGCTTTGTTGAGATACGGAAACCTATAGCCTCTCTCCAGGGGCAGTTGAGTTTCTAATATGGTTTACAGATGGGGCTGTGTCTGATTGTCTCATTCAGCTGGTTCCATCCGATATTGTTTGGGATTTTATGTTCCAACAAGCTTGTCAGGGTCTCTGGGACATCGAGGTGCTGGACCGGCATTTGGATATAACGGGATGTCCTTAGGGAAGACATCCAATGTTGGAAATATGCTTATAGTGAGGGGCAAAGAGAATCTGATTGATGTGGAGGAGGCAGTTTCCGAATTCGATATATTGAAGTGAAAGTTGAAGAGAATTCCCGTGACCTTGGCTTAGCTGAGTAATGCAAAAACGTCATAACTTAGTTAATGGAGATTTCCAATGCCGCAACCCTCACGACGACACCTCTCGTTTTCAAGATAACCTACCTTTGTATCTTGCATATCACCTTCTAATTACTTCGCGACCCTATAATGGCGTCTCTCGCTGCTCCGCGATCCGCCGTGCGATACCTAACTCGAGCGGTGCCGTCGGTAACCTCCCGGAGAAGCAGCAAGCTTGCCACAGCAGCTTCAACAAGATGCCTCCACCAGATTTCCACTGCACCATCAATAACGGTTTCCTCTACACGGCATAGACCGACCACTCAACGATGGACTACCTCCAGTTTCACACCGGCCACCGCGAATGGCCGGAGGACTATGTTCATCCAGACGGAAGACACTCCTAATCCTGATGTATGCATCCCCAGCGAACAATACAATTGCAGCACTAACACGGTGTCAAGGCTCTTAAATTCAACCCTAACAGCCGCGTGCTACCAGAGTCAATTTCGTCGGCATTCCTAGAGTACCTCTCACCTCGGTCAACGCTTGCGCCGCCACATCCATCTCCTCTCGCCGCACAACTCCTAAACGTAGACGGTGTCACTTCTGTCTTCCTCGCCACAGACTACATCACAGTGTCCAAAGATAGCGCCACGCCATGGGCCCATGTCAAGCCCGAGGTGTTCAGCATCATCAACGAGTTCATGCTCTCCGGACAGCAGATTGTGAACACGGTCGAAGACAAGGCGGGAGAGAGCGGACAAGGAGGTACCGAGGTTGACAGCCTTGCGTACGACGAGAACGACAGCGAGGTCGTGGGAATGATCAAAGAGCTTCTCGAGACCAGGATCCGGCCCGCGATTCAGGAAGATGGCGGTGATATTGAATTCCGGGGCTTTCACGACGGACAGGTGCTGCTCAAGTTGCGCGGAGCTTGCCGGACATGCGACTCGAGTACAGTCACTCTCAAGAACGGCATTGAAAGCATGCTAATGTAAGTCGCTCGTGCTAAATTCCAGGCCCGTCGGAAACTAAAAGCGGCTGCAGGCATTACATCGAGGAAGTGCAGGGGGTGCAGCAGGTATTAGACCAGGAAGAGGAGATTGCCATGGCCGAGTTTGCCAAGTTTGAAGAGAAGCTGCGGCAGCAAAAGGGCCCTGATGCAGCGCCTTCGACGGTAGGCAAAGGCAGTCTCGACACGGTGGAAGGGTAGAGCATGTATGAGAGAATGCATTGTGTTGAGATCGATCCCGATGCGGCGCATAAGCTTGTGCCAAGGCCACAACGGGCTGCATAAATGCGGGAGCGGCGAGTGGACGGGCAGGCCTTGGCGTTGAGTTCGCAAGCCAATGACGGCATGGCGCTTTCGACGCCTTCTCGGGTTCCCAGCTGCAGCCTGGTGGGCCTGGTGGGCCGAAGCTTGCACCGGTCTCGGTGTCGCTGAGCACGGCGGATGGTGAGGCCCACAGGCCCAGGAAAACCTCAGATTCGCCTTCATGATAGAATTGAATATCCTTGTAGAAGAGCGCCCGTCCTAGCCGTGCCCTGTGGCGAGCCTCCCGCACGTTGATCTGCTGAAACGGCTCCGCCTTCCCGGCCCTCGAAATAAGCTTGTGTGCCGCCTGCGCTGAATCTGCATGTGGTAGCAACGGCCGATAAGGAAAGCACTGACATATGACATCGCGACCAGTTCCTGCATCGTGAGCCCGCGCCATGCTAGCTAGCAAGACCTCCGCCGCGCCGCCCTTAGCTTCCACTCCTCCACCACTGCCAACGCGCCCTCTTCTCCCTCCAATCCACCCAAAAACCCAACGTTAGCCTTGCCATTCATTTTTCCTAAGCCTCTACACTTTGCAGCTACCCTCGTTCGTATCGTTTATCTTTCAACGCTTGGTTGCTTCCCACTTTCCACCAAACCCCCCCGCAGCTTAGCTGCTACAACTGTAATCCACTCGCACTCACTTGAGGCAAGCTTACGCCCCCGCCTTCGAGATGGTCCTCGTATCCAACCAGGAGTACCTCGGCGAGGAAGAGAAGCGCCTGAAGGAGGACAAGGAACGCAAGCAGTACTGGAAGAGATGGGGTTCGTACGTTGCTGAGAGGCAATGGGCGACTGGTACGCTTGGTTCCAGCCCAATTAACTGAATACCTAGCTAACAGTGTGCAGTGAGAGAGGACTACTCGTAAGTCTCCATGCTGACTGACCGCTTACGCTTCTTCGGACTAACTTCTCTTTCTTGCAGCCATGATGGAGATGCATGGAGCCGTAAGTAGTCTTTCCTAAAGCTATCGAGGGATCTCGTTAACCCAGGGTCCAGATTTCACCCATGACATGGCGCGTTCCAGGGCCTTTCGGTGGGGCGAAGACGGTATTGCTGGCGTCTCGGACTCCCACGGCCTGCAGAACATCGCCTTCTCATTCTGGAACGAGAAAGAGTATGCGCCCATTTCTGAAGCTCTGAATACGATTACTGACTTGCGGTAGTGATTTCCTCAAGGAGAGGCTTTTCGGCTTGTCCAACCCGCAGGGAAATCATGGCGAATCCATCAAGGAAGCCCATTTCCATTTGGACAACACCCCTACGGTATGATGGCCTTGTCACTTTGTGGCTTTCTTGTACTTACTAGCTACAGCATTCGTACATGAAATACCTCTACAAGTACCCTCAGCGAAAGTTCCCCTACGAAGACCTCATCAAGGAGAATGCCAAACGCTCCAAGCTCGAGAACGAATACAACATCATTGATACCGGAATCTTTGATGACGACAGGTACTGGGACATCTTCATCGAGACTGCGAAAGAGGCCGATAACGCTGAAGAGCTTCTGTTCCGAGTCACCGCCTACAACCGCGGCCCAGAGCCAGCTCCTCTCCATATCGTTCCCCACGTGTGGTTTCGGAATACTTGGGCTTGGGGACGCGAGGATATCAAAAAGAAGCCATCCATCCGCAAAGTTTCTCCAACGACAGCACACTCAAAACATCACAAACTGGGTGAACGCTACGTTCAGCTGTCTCCATCCCCAGGCACTGGACCTAGCGGTAACGATGTTCAACCCACACAGCTTTATACCGACAACGACACAAACTACAAAGAGATCTGGGCAGGCACCAACAAGACTCCATACGTGAAAGATGGAATACATAAGCGCATAGTTGACGAGCAGCTGGACGCAGTCAACCCCAAGAACATTGGCACGAAGATGGCTGCTTGGTATGCCTTCGACGAAGGCGAGGGTGTTGCTCCTGGAGAATGTGCTGTTGTTCGTTTCAGGTTTGGCAAGAGATATGAAGGTTTCCTGGACGAGGAGCTTTTCGACGACATCATGGAGCAGCGACGTGCCGAAGCTGACGACTTCTATTATCGGATCAGTCCTCTTCCCATGGCTGATGATCTTCGCAACATCCAACGTCAAGCGCTCTCCGGCATGCTGTGGTGTAAACAGTACTACCACTTCATCTGGGACCAGTGGGCCAATGGTGATCCTGGAATGCCGCCTCCACCGCCAGGCCGAAAGACTATCCGCAACAAGGAGTGGAAGCATATGCATTTGGATGATATTCTTTCTATGCCAGATTCTTGGGAATACCCCTTCTTTGCTGCTTGGGACAGCGCCTTCCATTGCATTCCACTGGCTATGATCGATCCAGACTTCGCGAAGAAGCAACTTGACATCTTCACTCGAGAGTGGTACATGCATCCCAACGGACAACTGCCAGCTTACGAATGGAACTTTGGAGACGTCAATCCTCCAGTCCATGCGTGGTCTGTCTTCCGAGTGTTCAAGATGGAGCGTAAGATGTATGGGCGCGAAGATCTTGACTTCCTCGAGCGCGTGTTCCAGAAGCTACTTCTGAACTTCACATGGTGGGTGAACCGGAAAGATGCAGACGGAAACAATGTCTTCGAGGGTGGCTTCTTAGGCCTCGACAACATTGGTGTCTTCAACCGTTCTGAACCGCTCCCCACAGGAGGTGTCCTCGAGCAAGCAGACAGCACCGGATGGATGGGCTTCTTTTGTCTCAACATGCTCAACATGGCCCTTGAACTCGCTAAGCATCGTCGGATCTACGAAGACATTGCGTCCAAATTCTTCGAGCATTTCCTGCTGATTAGCGATGCAATGCAGTACCGATCTGGCGGAGAAGAGAAGCCGCTTTGGAATGAGCAGGATGGGTTCTACTACGATGCCATCTCTTGGGGCGGACCATGGAGCCACCAAATGCCTGTTCGGTCGCTTGTTGGGCTCATTCCACTCTACGCCACTCTAACCCTCGAACCCGAAATCATCAAAAAGTTCCCTTCGTTCAAAAAGCGGCTAGACTGGTTCGTCGAACATAGGAGCGAAACGGCTACCAGGAACATCGCATCCATGAAGCGCCGTGGCAAGGATGACCGAATGCTCCTGTCTCTCGTCAACGAGGACCGACTCCGCTCCATCTTGGCCAAAATGCTGAACGAGTCAGAGTTCCTTGCTGATCACGGTATCCGTTCTCTGTCAAAGTACCACGAAGATCACCCTTATTCGATGGATGTCAATGGCCAGAAATTCCAAGTCAGCTACATCTCCGGTGATTCGGATAGCGGACTGTTCGGAGGAAACAGCAATTGGCGTGGTCCCATCTGGATTGCGGTCAACTTCCTGCTCATTGAATCACTTCAGCGATTCTACATGTTCTACGGCAAAGAATTCCAGGTCGAATGCCCCACAGGGTCTGGGGACTATATGCATCTAGGGCACGTTGCCGAGGAGATTCAACATCGTCTCCAGCACCTATTCGCTCGCGGTGACGATGGACGACGGGCTATCAATGACGGCAACGAGATGCTCGACTACGATCCGCACTGGAAAGACTACCTGTGGTTCCATGAGTTCTTCGACGGAGATACTGGTCGGGGTCTGGGCGCAAGCCATCAGTGTGGATGGACGGGACTGGTTGCAAAGATGATTCATGACTCTGGGTAAGTTGCAAAACTTGATTCTTTTTCGATTGTTAAATGCTAATGTCTCCGGCAGCAACACTTGTCGCCTTCCACAAACACCCCGTACACCAACTACAGCGGCGTCCCACTACTTCGACGATGTCTGGACGACAACAGGAAAGCCCAAGAAGCCGCATCACCTGCGTCGTTCTTCGACCACACGCTCTATCGGGATGCGTAGCGATTGGGGCGAAACATCGACTAACGAAGATGACGAAGCCCAGTCGCCTATTCAGAAGAACCGTTCCAATTCCATAGGCATCCCCGACGCGGAGGACTTGAAGTACAAGAAAGAAATGGACCAGCATATCCATACATATGTGAGCGATCAGCTGGAGCGGTTGAGAACCAAGGACTCAGGAGGGGTTCAACCCGATGAGCTTGAAACTATGCTCGACGGTCAGGTCGACGGGGAGACGAATGGTGGCGACAAAAAGAACGGATCTGGCGGCTACTTCAGCCATAACAGCCCCTTTGATCATGATGGTTAGAGAAGCAGTGACGATGCTTTCGGGTCGGTTTTCATATTCTCTTAACCTAAGACGCGCGGCGTTCTCTCATGCAGCGGTTTTCTCCCTAGGACCTAAAATTACATCCTTCCCTGATTTCGTGGCATTGCATGAGCCTTAGGCTCGAATGGGCTTTAGACGGAGCATTCGTAGACCGAGAATAGATTCCTTGCGTTGCTCGTCCTATTTATGATTCATGATGCTACTGTGATTGGTGACAAACAAACTAGGGAGCACCAAGTGAAAATAAACTCGACAGTAGATATCAAGGCGTGTATTCGTTGAATGATATATCTCAATTCGATTTCCATGTGATCCGCGGTGGGTAGTGTACTTAGTCAGCAGGATATCAAGATCTAAGTGCCAAGAGATCTTTTGTTTACTCCACTACAACTCTGCTCAATCGCATACTCCGCGACAACTCCTTCGTCGCGATCCTCGATTCCACTCCTTCTACATCCCTCTTACTTGCACTGCCCTCCCCTTGTGGCATCCAATCAATTCCTGCAAGCAGTAAGCCGCCCATTCCTTACTGATGCCATCACCATGCTAACCACCGGAATGCGATCAACAGCAAGCGCAGGCACCCATTCGACCCCACGTAAACCCGAGACCGTGAGGTCTACCTCGTGGACATGTCTGGCTTCATAACAACAATGTTCGTGTCCACTTCTTCTTCCCCTACTGCCTTCCCCACGAATCCAAAGCCCCTCCAGCCAGTCTTCACCCTCGCCCAGAGCGAGAGCTGCATACGCTTCGAATGAGACTTGCTTGGACGGAGAGAACAGATACTCGGGAAGCAAAGAGATCTAGGGTGCCTCGACTCAGTTCCTGTCCGACCGGAAATGACGTACAAAAGCCCGCTGCAGAGGGGTTTGAGCGAGGGGTTCCGGGCAGCACAAGCACAGACTCAGGCTCCGTCTACAAGCGTAGGGCTAGGGATTAGAGACTGTGGAGACGAGTTGGAACATACAGGCATGGTGGTTCTGCCTCCAACACCGGTCTCTAGTCCCAAGCTGGCCCCGCGAGACGCAAGCCCGGTGCGCGACTGCCCCAACTACTCGTACAAACTACTTCCTGGTGGCGAGACGCCTGTTTGTGCTTCTCCGGTCAAGCTAGACTGGGAAGGGTGTGCTAGTCAGACTCCCAAAAAGCTCTGGGCAGGGTGGGGCACTGGGGGTGCTCCGGGTCCTACTGGCACTTTCAAAAACTTAACGCCGCGAACTGGATTTGGAGGCCTGAGCTTACTTTCTGGTTTCTTGAGCAGCAATCCCCGGACGCGCACGCCGTTCAAGCCGCAGAAGTCGAATCGGGGGACTAGCAGTTGGCAGCTCAAGCAGTATGCGGAGGCGACGCTCGGGAGTGGGAGCTTGAGGAAGGCGGTCAAGTTGCCGGAAGGGGAGGATAAGGATGAGTGGTTGGCTGTTAATGGTGAGTTGGTTATGGAAAAGGATAATTGCTTTACAGGAATGCTAACGTAGTGGTCGTGTAGTGGTCGACTTCTACAATCAGATCAACCTGCTCTATGGTTCGATTACCGAGTTCTGCTCGCCGCAGACCTGTCCGGAGATGAAGGCCACGGACGAGTAAGTCATACGCTTCATTCAGTTGGAATATGGCACCGGTGCTTATGAGTATAGATTCGAATACCTATGGCAAGACACGGAGAACTTCAAACGCCCAACCAAGATGGCGGCGCCAGAGTACATCGAGCACCTCATGGCGTGGGTCCAGAGTAACATCGACAACGAACAGATGTTCCCCAGCAGGATCGGTTAGACCTCCTCGCCCCTATACTATCGACAATCAGGCTAACTCCCCTAGGCGTCGCCTTCCCCAAGACGTTCCCAGCTCTCATCCGCAACATGTTCAAGCGCCTCTACCGTGTCTACGCCCACATATACTGCCACCACTACCCTGTTATCATCGAACTGGGCCTCGAACCGCATCTGAATACGAGCTTCAAGCACTATGTCCTCTTCATCGACGAGCATGGACTTGCGTCGGGCTCAAAAGACTTCTGGGGACCACTGGGCGATCTGGTGGAGAGCATGCTGAGGAGCGATTGAGTTGGAGCAGAGACGTGGTTGCTACGAATGGTGTATGAGGTAATGCGGACATGAAATGGCATTGAGCGGCAAAGCAGCTTTTCGGATTCTTTTGTTTTCAACGAGGCGCAATGGCGCTGTTTGGCTCATAATCGGACAGTAGGAATAGGGGGCGTTGTTCCAGGGCGACATGCAGTTTGTATTAACGACAAAACAATCCGCGGTGCTCTCTTAGTTTCATGGCCATACTCTAGCTAGCGAGTCCTGAGATTCCAACGTGATTGAGACACGCACCCTGCGGACTTCCTCTGTTCGCGCTTTCTGGAATATGGTATGAGAGTGATGTGATCAGCAGTGGCCAAAATAAGTGGTTTCCTAGGCGTCTGCAACGTTGGAAGTAAACCAACTGGGTGGCATAGGGTCTATCTACATAGGTATCGGAACGTAAGGTTTTCTCTGTGCATAATTTGGAGGCTCAAGAGCTTACACTCTAGTCAAGAAATCGTGCACCATTTTGCTTCTCCATTTCTAATAACAGGATACCTTTTGGCAGAACTCATTCCCGCGAGACACACGACAAGGCTTGAAGACGAAGCATTCTGTGCAAGCCCCACTTGTCAACGGCTATCTACCCCACACCTGGGCGCTGTCAAGCACCCTGGGAACGATTGCGTCAATGGCGCACTTAGCGAAGTGCATTGGCACAATAGCGACAGGGCTCTTCGTCGATGCAGATCCTGTGAAAAGGATCCAGCAAGAAGTCGCTCACCGTGTATCTGGTATTCGGATGTTGTTTCCTGCGGTTGTAAGAGGCAGCTGGAGCGAAATGCAGAATCAAAGCTCAAGGAGACTCGAACAACAGCGCTCCCGTTCCCGCTACCAATGGCACTAGCTCTCCCCAGACTCCCCTCCCCTCCACGCCCAGAGGCATCAACGTGCCATGAAACCTCCAGCAAATGATCCAACTGCCTAGATGTCACTGTTCCAAGCCATGGCTGTCCCCGCCCGTTCGCCCCATCCAGCCCGCATGCAGCATGATACCAACGCAGGATCGGGCGTGACGTCACAGCCAGCAGCGGTACCCAGGCGAACATCCTCCTTTGTGTGCCGCCTATCGCGTGGACAAGGACCCGCAGACCCAAGCGAATGGTGCTTTCACGCGACCGTCGGGCTTGTCTTCCGTCATGCAGCGGCACGGCGGGTTTGTTTGAGTAAATAGGGACGATGATCATGCATCGTGGGGCCAGTTGGGCAGATTTTAGTGGTAACCCAGCGCCCGGGTCCAGTCTCGCCGTCAGCGGCGGTGGGGAGAGCTTATGAATGAGTGATTCCCTGGGGCCCCGCATAGGTTGCTTCAAGCTGTGTGAGGGACTGACTTGCTCTTCAGTTTATACCGTGGTGCTTGGTTGTGCTTCTTAGTTGCCATTGATTGAGTGAGGCGGTTGATAGATGCTTCGTTCAAAGTTCGAACACCACGATTCGAGAATTTGATAGCACCCTCACGCCCCCTTTCCATGTGCTCTACCTTACAAACGTCACCATAAACACTGCACAGCAGGTTCTATAGCAAGAGTAAGGATCCCAGTTCAACTTTCAAGTCACACTTTCAATATCAATCTCAAACTCACACCCCTCAGACCTCAACCTCAACACCACCCACCATGCTGCCCTCCCACCACTCCGCGCGCCACTCGTCCGGCGACGAAGAAAAGCCCGACAAGATCAACCCCGTGCGCAACTCCAGCATCGCCCTGTCCGCCGCCGAGCGCGCCCGCCGCAACATCAACGCCAAGCTCGCCAACCCGCTCCAGGGCTACAGCTACGAGGAGCTGCGCAAGATGGGGCGCGACTACGCGTACGAGCACGCGCTCGCCGAAGCCGACGACGTCCGCGCGCTCGAGCTGGGCGCGATGCTGGCGCGCGACCCCGAGAACATCGACATCATGAAGCAGTTTGGCGTTACCGATGAGGAGCACGCGGTGCTGGTGAAGGAGATCACGCATCGGTGGAGCCAGCCGTGGTTGCTGTATTTGGTGATTATTCTGTGCTCGACTTGTGCGGCGGTGCAGGGGATGGGTGAGTATCTGTTGATTCATAGTGACGTTGTTTTGTGAGGGTTTGAGAGGAGAGATACTGAGAGAGTTTAGATGAGACTGTTGTGAACGGTGCGCAGCTGTTCTTCTTGCCGCAGTTTGGCATTGATAATGGCGACGAGCGGTCGACGTGGCTTACGGGGCTGGTTAATGGGGCGCCGTATCTTTGTTGTGCGCTTATTGGGTGTTGGTTGACCACTCCGTACAAGTGAGTGATCGAGTCTTTGCCTAGAAGAAGCAGGACCAGAAAATTGATTCGGTTGCAGCAATTGGTTCGGTCGTCGAGGTACCATCTTCATTACTTGCCTCTTCAGCGCTATTGCGTGTTTCTGGCAAGGTTTTGTGAATACGTGGTGGCACATGTTCATTGCGCGGTTTGCTCTTGGATTTGGGATTGGGCCAAAGTCGGCTACTGTTCCTATCTATGCTGTAAGTTCGGATGTTGTTCAATTCGAGTTCCTGGCTGACGACTATGTAAAGGCCGAATGCACACCTCCGCAGATCCGTGGTGCTCTTGTCATGCAATGGCAGATGTGGACTGCTTTTGGTGAGCTCATTTACGAAACGGAGTAGGAAGGATAACGAGTTGACTTCTCCAGGCATTATGTTCGGCTACGTCTCTGATTTAGCTTTCTACTCCGTACCGGATAAGCACAACATTACCGGTCTCAACTGGCGTATCATGATGGCTTCGGCCATGCTTCCCGCCGTATTTGTGTGTTTCTTCGTCTTTTTGGTCCCCGAGAGTCCGCGGTGGTACATGTCCAAGGGCCGCCACTCCTCCGCCTATCACTCCATGTGCAAGCTCCGCTTCAATAAGGTCCAGGCGGCTCGCGATCTGTTCTATATGTCGGAGCTGCTCAAGGCCGAAGAGAGCATGACCATTGGCCAGAGTAAGATCAAGGAGTTGTATACTGTTCCGAGGAATAGGCGTGCCATGATAGCCTCTGAGATTGTCATGTTCATGCAGCAGGTAAGTTTGAACTTTCCCCCCGACTTCCCTTGAACCCCTTTTTTCCTCCAAATCTTCAACACCCCACAAAAGTCAGCCCACACTAACACCTCCCCAAGTTCTGCGGTGTAAACGTCATAGCCTACTATTCCTCCTCCATCTTCGTCGAATCCGGCTTCAGCGAGCAATCCGCCCTCGGCGCCTCCCTGGGCTGGGGCGTCATCAACTTCCTCTTCGCTATTCCCGCCATCTACACCATCGACACCTTCGGCCGCCGCAATCTGCTCCTCACCACCTTCCCCCTCATGGCCCTCTGCCTCCTCTTCACCGGCTTCTCCTTCTACATCCCCAGCAGCTCCAAAGCTCACATTGGCTGCATCGCCCTCGGCCTCTACCTCTTCGGCATCGTCTACTCCCCCGGCGAGGGCCCCGTCCCCTTCACGTACTCCGCCGAGGCGTACCCGCTCTACATCCGCACCATCGGCATGTCGCTCGCGACGGCGACGACGTGGTTCTTCAACTTCATCCTGTCCATCACGTGGCCGTCGCTGCTAAAAGCGTTCAAGCCGCAAGGCGCGTTCGGGTGGTACGCGGCGTGGAATCTGGTTGGGTGGGTGCTCGTGCTGCTCTTCATGCCGGAGACGAAGGGCAAGACGCTCGAGGAGCTGGATCAGGTGTTCTCCGTGCCGACGCACGTGCATGCGGCGTATGGGCTTCGGCAGGTGCCGTATTTCTTTCAGAGGTATGTGCTGTGGCGGAAGGTAGAGCCGGAGAGGTTGTATGAGCGGGAGTCGTATGATGAGAATGCTGTGGAGCCGGGGACGAATGTGGTGTAGATGATGAGGACGTCAGATGGAGTTGGCAAGAGGGAGTGAGTAATGGAAAAAGAGGAGGAAGTTTTACGGAATTGGTGAGGCGCGTATGGCGAGGGAAATTGAAACGGGTTTGTGGGGGACGGCCTGGATGCTTCTTTGATACCCAAGCCCCTCATTTGATACTTAGATTTGGTAGGACTTCTTTGTACGATTCTTGGATTTCGGGGGTTTCCGTTTTCCGCGGAGGTGTAATACGATAAGGACGGTTGGTGGGTGGAGGTAGATGATGAAAAGTCTGCTTATGAATGATCACGTGCTTCTGATCATGGGCAACAGCTTCAAGCATACGCCATAATTTCCTCCCACCCATCTCCATCACCTCCACTCGTTCTCATTGCTCATCATCATACCTGATTTACCTCAAATCACGTTACGATAGCTCATCGAGCGGCGAGCGGCCTGTTGGATACCGTGTCGCCGCGAGCACATAGTGAGGTCAGGAACCCCCCCAAAAGCATGTGATGTCGGGAAAAGGGCATCGAGCCGCGATCATCAGGGCTCATCAGGGTGGAACAACTGCTCGAGTTGGCGTCGCCGCCGCTGTCGGAAGCTTGTGATAGCGCTGCGAAGCACCCTGCTGGCTATTGAGCAAGTTTTCAGGGTGCAATTGGAAGAAGAACGAGGTCATTGTAATAAGGAGAAGTTACAGGGTGACACAAACACCGGACTGAGTCGGGCTCGCGATCTCGCGATGAGCAATCGCCGTGGCGAGGAACTAATGGGAAGCAGGAGAGAGGTCCGATGAGGCTCCCTGTGATCTGACGGAGATTTGGTGATCCGGCGAAGCAACTGGTGATCCGGCAAGCTGTCGAGGAAGATAGCGGAGTGATTCGAAAGAGATTTCTGATCCGACAGTGACAACGCTGTCAATATGGGTATATAAGAGGGCTACCCAAAGCCTTTACACTCTTCCTTTTGCACTCCACTTTTTCTGGCAAGCAAGTTCAGCTTCCACATCGACTCTTTCTCGAGTTGCTCTTCCTTCTCCTTTTCTCTCTCTCTCTTGTCTATGTGGGTGTTGTTTTGCTGACTACTAAGGATGCAGCCGCCTAATTTGGCATGCTTGTGCCCCCGGTCAACTGATACGCCTATATCGATGATATCAACACTGTCAAGGTATATTCGAGTCCAAAGGCTGGATATTTTGAGCACGTGCTGATCTGGAAAAGCCCCAGTCTCAACCAAGGTTCCGGAATCGTGTGCCACGTAATCCTTCGACTCACTCATCACACGACTATAAAAGCTTTCCTCTACGACTCTCTCCCACTCCTCCTCCAGCCCGAAAAATTGGAATAACTCCTCGCAAGCCAACAAGCTCAGCGAACACTGCGCCCATACTGCGCCCATCATGTCAGACTTGCCCTGGAAGTTCAGCGGTGCGGGGGACCCTAACAAGCCGGAACTTCTGAGCAAAGCTCTCAAAAACATCCATCCCGGACGACCTGCCACTTGGGGAGGCATTTTCCAAAGCGAAAGAGCCGATGAAAACCGGATCTACAATGAGTTCAAGACTCACACTATCCCGGATATTCCAAATAACACTCGAGTTGTTGCAGTGTTGGGAATCTCACCTTTGGGTATTGCCAACCCTGGCAAGCGGGACGTCGATGCGTGGATGCTTTCAGATTTTTTTGCGTTCTGGAACGTGCTTCATGGGCTCACCAAAGACCAGACCTGGCTGCATTGCTTAGATCTCCAGAAACTGGTTGAGAAGCACACGCAATTTCTGCACGGCAACCCCTACAAGAACGATCGCAAAGTAGTTCTCGACAGCCAGATTTTGAAGAATGCAACAAGTGCATCCGAGCTACACCCCCCAAAATCTGTTGAGCCCAAACTGCTCAAAGCCTCGTTTGAGAAGGCCCTCAGGAAAGAAGCTCTTGCGGCTCAAAAAGCCAACCAGCCCCTTCTCATTCTGATATTCACCCACGGCATCCTCACTCAAGGCGTCAATATTGGGATAAGCGAGGAACAGAGGGCGAGGCTGATAAATATGGCACCGGTGCCACTCCAACTCGGCCATAACAAGGAGCTCGACGAGAGGCATTTCACTATCGTTGACTTTCGCAATGCTCTAAAAAACATCATGATTGACATTACTCTCATCACAAATGCTTGCTATTCTGGAGGCTGGGCATGCAATATGTCAAGGGCTGGTGGAATAACTGCCTTGACTGCAGCTGGTCCGAGAGGAAGGAGTAAGGCCTGGCGATATTCTGAATCGTTGGGACGTGCTTGTGGGAGCATGTTCGCTTCAGCAGTCATCGAGAAGCTCACTCGCCATCCAGTCACAGAAAAGCCGCTTGTAAATGACGAGAATGAAGACGCTCTCACTGAAGAGCAGTTCGAAACCTACCAGGCGTTCACAAGATCTACCTATCAGCTACTCCTCAATGAAATTGACCGTCGTGGTTATGAACATGGTTTCGTTTTCACCGCACAGGACGATGACTGGGAAGAGACATGGGGTAAGCGTACGGGAATTCCCATGGCTGACTTCAAAAATCGTTGGGACAGCCTTGAGACTTGGCCTAAAGATCAGTACCTTCACCCAGGAGGCCCTCAGAACCGCGATCCCAACGTCTCAGAGGAACTTCGACAAGAGTATCTGAGTCTCGAGGCCGAGGAAGCTGCCCAACAATTCAGGGATAAGAAAAAGCCCCCACGAACACCTTTTGAGCCATCGGGCGGCTTGTTGGGCAAGAGGAAGGCGAGCAGCCAATATGGCGGGAGCACTGAAGCACTATGCACCACCGTCAAAGAGCTTTCAATTCGATATCTCAAAGGCCATCCACACATTGAAGACTCACCAGAGGGCGGATATCACGCTGTTTTGCGCGATATCATCAACGGCGACGAAAATGACTTGAAGACACTCGAAGCCGCTAGGGAGTTTCTCCAATTTAGGTACCAACAGATGGAAGCCGCCGATCGTTATGTCGAAATGATGGCACTGAATAAGCCCTATGACCAAACCTGTGTCGACTTCGACCCCCACAATCTTCAGTTCAAGGTTCAGCACCATTGCTCGGAGTTCTGGGACATCATATGTGCTCGACTAAATGCCTTGTTCCCGCCGCCGCACTCCCGATCGCAAGGAAGGAATTTTAGCAAGCCAATCCTCTACCTGATCGCAGTCTTCGCATTCAACAAATTGAGTCCTGAAGAAGCAAAATTTGCGATTGAGAAGGTCGCCAATTCTGCAACAGAGGAGGTCGAGGCTTTGAAAGAAGTTGTCAAGACTGACCCAGAAGTGCGAAGCAAAAGGAGAAAGATGATGGAGATTTTCAAGGTTCCTCTCGGTGCTATCTCTCCAAACAAACGCTCTCGCGCAAACACTTTGGAGGAGAAGAAACCTGACCAAAAGAGCAGTCACTCTCGTGGCCATTCTTTCGACTCGGGCGGACATTCCCGTGGAGAGTCCAGCGGAGGTGGAAAGAAGAACCTGCAGTCCGAGTGAGACCTCTGGAAGAGCATGTCCTACACACGGACACAGACATGTTGCCCAGGATGGGTGTGGCCCATACTGGAGAATGTTCGTGGGTAGGGATGACATTCTGTTTTTTGAAGCCAGAAACCGACCCCTTTTGGCCAAAATCCGTAATTAGGGAAGGACACGTGGAGGACACGTGCTTTTAGTAAAGAAAATGATACAATAGTTCATATGACCTGGATAGTTGACAAAGGCTATCCACTTCTACGTTATGATTGAGATGTGATTGGGACTTTGAAATTCGCGCTCTCTGAACGTTCCTGTGCATGTGCATGCGCCATGCTGTTCGGAACCCGCGCGCGTGACCGTTGCGAACCCGTGGGATTTTAGCGTTCCCCGGCTCCCGACGTCCTTCGACACTCCATCGCTGCTCTTTGGCGTCTACGTTCTCGATGGATGGCTATGCGCCAGATCGTCCTCTTTAATCGAGCACTCGGTAGAGTAGAAGATGGCGTTGATGAGACTTCGGGTTTTTTTGGATGAGATCGTGGCTTGAAAGGGATCTCGGCGTCTGAAGCGATGCCAACAGCCCATGGCGGGTCGAGGCGCACGATGGGAGCGGCGACAAGGTGAGGATTGTGCAAGGTATCGCGAACGGACTTTGGAATTGCTGGGTTGAATGGAAGGGGTAGGAACAGGGAATCGAGGTAGGCTATCGACTCGACGTAGGTATTTTTAAGTTTTCATGAACCATTCATCGTCGTTCGTCGCTCTGAACTTTTCTTGAGTTTTTGTAGGTCTGCTCTGTTTCTTATGTGAATCTTTTTCTCTTGTCTTGTGGAGTCACGGTGCACTGTGCATGGAAGAACGTTGTGGTGAAATGCAAGCCTCGTTAAAAACCCTCGTAAGGGGAAAAAGAGTGCCTGCGCTATATACCCCAAGTCCCCTCCTTCCTCCCCATCACTCTCCACCCTGATTCTCCTCCATCCCATCTCGTTTTTATCCTCCCCCCAAGCCTCCGCCTCAGGCAGAGCTTGATTCCTCTTGTCCTCCAGGTTCCCTATGGTATTACTTCGCCGCCCTCCCCTGACAGGCTAGCGCCAGCTTTTTCTCCAGTGGGATCCTCTCCCGGCTTCCGGTCAACCCGACACTGATTGTATACACCGTCCGCGTTGTCTCTCTCTGCGCCGGGCTGCTTGTTCAGGGAGAGAGACGGGTCACAAAAGCTGGGAGTCCGCTCAAGTCAATTTAGTGCGGAGGACTGTAGCTTTTTGTGATGACCTCGAGTCTCAACCCCTACTCCTCATTCCAGCGTGGTCGTATTCCGAAGCGGGTGCGGCTACAAGAGCAGTGAAGGCGTCGTTCCTTGACCAACCCTTGCCAGAACCTAGTGGTTCTGAACTGTTCCAAGAATCCGGCACTCCTTCTTCCAACCTCCGCATCAGCGCCCGTATGCCACGGTATTCCCAACGGGTGGGCTGAGCATTGGCTTTCCGAAGACTTTCCGGGACACCTCGTGCGTCCTCTCAAAAGCGTCAGCGTCGACATCTGCATACACACTCCCCCCCTGCACGGACTAGACACCACCGTGCACGAAACAAGGGTTTTACACTGTATACACCCCGGTTCGCGCACGTTGGTGTCCAGTCCGTACAGGAGGGGAGAGTGTAGGGAATCACCCCTGGGAGACTCAGCTTCGGCTTCCATCGATCGCGCACCCGGAGGCTCTGGCCGTCAGCTTTTCGGCGTTTGGGGGCTGCCCATGCGTACGGGCTTCGGGCGCTTCCTCAGGTCGGATCCGCCCATCCTGCGTCTGCGTCTGCTTTTTGGTGTTTGGGGGTCTCCCAGGTGTACGAGCATCGGCTACAGGATAATCCTCGTCCTCCCATGTTGCAGCAAAGGCGGTTTGGGGGCCCTTAGGCCTCTGTTTGAACGGTCAGCAAAATCTGCAGCAGGAAGTCTGGAGGGGAAGTGAGATCTTACGACGGAGTCGGAGACGCGAGCTCCCACCACGGGCCGCCATTCTGATCTCGTCTCTGTCTGCAGCCTGCCTAGCAGCACTGCCGCCGTGGAAAGGTTGGGCACTGGGTGGTGTGGTCGCGGGACGGATGAAGAAAAGAAGAAGCAGGGCAGACGCAGCCTTTTATTGCGAGGCAGGCCGCGGCGCTAGTGGGGGCGCTAGTCCCGATAGAGTTTAGTCCGGCGAGGAAAGGTGTCGCTTAGGGTTATGACGCGCCCTCTTGCTTCTGCACCGCCACATCCAGCAGCGCGACTGTGGCTCGTCTGCCTTTTGGAAGCTGATGGAAGGCTGTAGAAGCTGAAGCCGCTGGTGTCTGGAGGTGATGCCGCCATCTCACCTGTGGCAGAAGGCGGTTCAGGGCGAATAGGGGATATCCGGAGTCAATGCAAATCTATCTCTTCCGTGCGACCACTCTTTTGATACTCACTATCCCTATCTCATGGCAATTACAGCCTGCACCATCCTCTCAAGCTTCGGCTTCGGTCCCAATCCTCCAGGGAGCACCTTGATACACCCACAGGCAGCCGTATTTACGTCGGCATCAGGAGAAATCATGACTCTTCTTTCCTCTTTCACCTCTTTATATCTCTCCCCAAACTAGATATCAATGCACTGCCAACGTATACGCAAGTCGAGAGCTTCTCAAGGCACGAAATCTTAGGGAAAACTACACGCGATCTGCTTGGCTCGACTTCCGCTGGGGCTCGGCCTGCTTCAGGGCCAAAAATCTGAGATACTCTTTCGTATTTCATTGTCTCCTACGGGATCAGACGCTCCGTCCCTTTCTGAAACTCCAGGTATGCTGCTAGACTTGATTCATATCCATCTACGCCACATGTAACAAAGTATACCCATGTTCGCCTCCGAGTAATCTGGCCGCCGCTTTTGCGCAGTATCTGTACAGTTCCAGCTTCTGCGCCTCTCGGATATTTCGTACAGCACGCAAGAAACTTACATCAACGTCCAATCCCAGCTTTTCAATCTTGAACGGATGCCTAGAAATCTTTCATTCAGCCTAATCAACGGAGATCTTTCGCAGCCCCGTCGCGTCTTCGGCAAGTCTTGAAAGCGTTCGCACCCACTCTTTGACTTCTTGGCGCGACGCAACATGGAGATCAAAGCACTTACGCGGCGGAGCTCTATCATGGAGGTTTATAAGATCACCTCGTAGATGATGAGACGAATTTCGACCGGTAAATTTAGAAACAGGAGAGGTAGGTTTCGTCGTGGCATGGTAGTGACCAGTACGCTACTATGTCTGGATGGATCGGTGTTTTTGGTGTGTGGGAGGAACCATGCATGGCACAGTGGTTAGGCTTCGGGAGAGGAAAAGTGGCAATGCTTTTAGGCAGCGTCTGGGTTGGCGCGAAGAGCTATTAGGCTTGCCAAAAGTATCGATTTGCAAATGCTAATAATGTATCGAAAGACCTCAAACAGTGCTAAGCAAGTGTACACAGACAAGCCTATAAAACAGGATGTGTTAGATGGAGGAACCCGGTGGCTCTGGAGAAGAGCTAGCTGCAGTCTAGCAGTAAGGAGATATATTCCCGGCTATCACCATCGCCAAGAGGTGCGGCGAATATGCGTCCCTGCATGCCATTGATAGTATCGAGTGAGGTTGTTCAAGGAGTAGCATAATTTTGGGCTACCTGATTTCGAGCTTTGAGAGCCAAGATTGACCTCAAACTATTTGGCAAATTTCTCCCGCAACGTCTTCATCATCCACGCCTCCGTAACAACTTCAGCAAATTTCTGGTCCATATCGAATAGATTGTTGTCGTTAACGCTCTCGTGACGATCTCCACAGGCCTCTCGTACAACAAACGGGCAGAAACCATGCTGCATTGCATCGACTATGCTCCCATCAGCTATTTGCAATACCAAAATCGGAAATACAAAATCACTTACGGGTCGTTGCTCTCACACAGCCACTCGTCGAGTACCCAATGCAGACCGTAGTATCGATACCCATGCTTGTGAGCAAACTTGCTAAGCTAGTGCCGAAGAAACTGCTGCTGTACTGCTTGTACACGATCACTTCATCCTCCCTTGGGACGACTCCCTCGGCGAACTCGCGCATGGGGTTCCCCTCGTCGTACGCGTTGAGAACATTGGGTAATTTGTACTTGTACCATTTACCTTCGCTCAATCCTACCGGGAAGCGTTAGTCGACAATACCGAAATACGGCTATTCCGACCTGAAATACCTTCTCAGAACCCAAACACGGAGGCTAGGATCTTACCTCTGGCGTTGAATATCACAGACGTAAAAATCACAGGCAGGCCTAGACGGCGGAACTCGTCTATCAATCGAACGATAGAGTCTCGCGCCTTATCAAAGCGCTCGGGAGCATAGAGGGGACATCCTAGTAACCTTTTGATTAGTGGCTAGCCATTTTAAAAGCCGAATGGAACGAGATACCTGGAGTGTGATATGCCTTGACAGCATCGATGACTACCAGGGCAGGTTTTTCTCCAAAAGGTAGCTTATTCTTTCCGTAACATTGAGCGTAGTTGTCTACAATATACATAGTACTAGCATCCTGAGTGATATATCCAGAAGGTCAACATTACTGACCAGAGAGATCCTGGAATTCTGACATTTTTCTGTCCTTCCGTCTTCGTTGAACTGTCTTTCAATTTGTTGTCAATACCTCTCATACATTCTCATAAGCCGCTCTATATAATCATATCCACGGCAATGTCCAACCTTGCATCGTGGCACATGCGGGCATCGGAAGCCGCAAGCCGAAGGTTTACCGCATGCGGAAAGGATCGACCTCAACCTAGTGAACGTCTTATCACACATTAAGCATCGGATAACTATCAACTATGGATCAGCAGGATCAGATGTGCCGTGGTGCCGTGTTGGGAGACTACTGTCTTTATATGCGGCCCTTAGAGTTATTTCCGAGCTTGTCATGAGTCTTTTAGCTTCCTCTAGGTGGTATTTACCTCCAGCCCTAACGTCGACGCCAGATAAACCTTTAGATAGACCTCCACTTTATCATATGCCTCCAAATGATCGGAAAATAGCCGTCGGAGATGCGCGTTCTCGCCGATTGAATCGTGGTTGTACATATATGTCTATCCTGGATGGGCGTCGGGGGTACTAATCCACGAATTTTCAGCGACTACGATGGCTGGACTACAGATCCTCGACCCCAGCGCGGGCTATGGAATAACGATTGGAATCGGACTTGCGTTCGCGGTTGTCATGATTGGATTTACGCTTGCAAGAATACTATTCTAGCATCAGTCAAGCTCTGTAAGACTCGCTCACTTCCACCCAGATTTCTAATCGGTATGGCTCTCACAACACCTTCAAATCTACCGAGGAGTTCAACACAGCTTCACGATCTATCAAACCTGGTGAATACGTCCCTTACTAAACATGTAAGGTGTGTGACTGACCATTGCTTCAGGAATGATTGCTGCCGGTATCGTTTCCAGCTGGACGCACGCTTCAACTCTCCTCACCAGCTGCACCCTCGCCTACTCCTACGGCGTCTCTGGCGGTCTCTGGTACGGTGCCTTCGGAACCTTCCAAACGCTCTTCTTCGCCTTCACAGCCTTCCGCATCAAAGAGCGCTCCAACAACGCCCATACATTCCCTGGTACGTCACCTGACCCCTCTCAACCCTATACCAACACCATACTCACACTCCCCTAGAAATCGTCCTCCAAAAACACGGCAAGATCGCCCACATCCTCTTCACCATCCTCGGCCTCATCGCCAACCTCATCGCCGGCGCAGCTCTCATGGCCGGCGGCGGCGCCGTCATCTCCTCCCTAACCGGCATGAACATCTGGGCCTCCTACTGGATCCTCCCGGTCGTGATCACGTGCTACATCGTCGTCGGCGGGCTCCGCTCCACCTTCATCTGCGACTACCTCCACACCATCATTCTGTACGCGTGCATCTTCACATTCATGTTCCAGATATATGCGGTGAATCCGGACATTGGATCTCCGAGCCGGCTCTACGACCTCCTCAAGTCCGCGGAGAAGAAGCATCCTGCCGCCTCTGACAACGGCTCGTTCTTGACGGTTAAATCGCACGCGGGCCTGGTGAAAGCGGTGACGATTCTGCTGGGTGGGTTTAGTAACGTCTGGACGGATCAGGCGTATTGGCAGCGTGCTATCGCGTCGAGTCCGACCACCGCTGTGAAGGGTAAGTTTGTAGCACTAGGGAAATGATAAGTGTGCTCATGCGTCGTCCGCAGGCTATATTCTTGGTTCGTTCGCCTGGTACGCCATCCCCTTTGGCATGTCGACGGCTTGCGGTCTCGCGGCTGCCGCACTGTAAGGGAACGATATGCTCCGTGTCACTCTGAGCAAGGCTGATGTCTCTGCTGGGCTTGCTGGGCCCGCTGCGATCATCTCGCTCATGGGCGGGAGCGGTGCCTACCTCTTCATCGTCCTTGTATTCATGGCGGTCACATCCTCGGTCTCCGCTGAAAGCATCGCAGCGAGTTCGCTAATGACGTTCGGCGTTTACAAGTCGTATATCAACCCCAAAGCGTCCGTGAAAGCGCTGCTCTGGGTCTCCATCGGCGGCTTGATCATCTACGGGGTTGCGTTGTCGACAATTTCGTGTATCTTCCATGCTGCTGGGATCTCGCTGAACTATCTCATTAGTATTCTGGTAAGGGCTCTCTAAATCACGTGATGAGGCAAAGCTAAAGCTAACTGCACGCAGGCCTGTCTCATAGGAGGCGGCGCCCTTCCTATGGCCTTCATCGTTTTTTGGGACGGCACATCTACCTTCGCCGCTATCGTCTCGCCGATCGTGGGGCTCTGCTCCGGCCTCATCTCCTGGATGGTGTGCACGAAAGTGCGCTCGGGGAGCATTACCATCGCGACTACTGGCGACGTTTACAACAGCTTGACCGGCGACTGCGTCAGTTTAGGCATGGGCCTTGTTTGCATCGTGGTGCTCTCTCTCCTCGTCCCAGACAAGAAAACTGTTGTGCTTGAGACGATCGATGGACAGGACGTGCCCGATTCCGAAGAAGCAGAACGGAAAAACGAGTCCGGAGACTTCCCTAATAATAACATGGAGAACTTGAACGAGAAGGGGATGGAAGCGACGACAACATCGGACCCTCGGGTCGAGCCGCACAAAGTCCTCAAATCTTCTATGGCCGAAGCGATCAAGCCTGTCCTTGAAGAGCCAGCGGTCCCCATGTGTGCACTTACGCCGGAGGAGGTCCGCTCGCAGAAGCGGCTTGCGCTGATTGCGTTGATTGTTGGCACGCTGGGATTCATGATTATACTACCGTTCACGCTGTATGGCACCGGGTATGTGTTCTCGAGAGGGTTCTTTACGGGATATGTGGTGGTTGCGTTCATCTGGGCCTGGGCGAGTTTCTTGATTTGTGTGGTTCTGCCTCTCTGGGAAAGTAGGGATGATATGCTGTATGTGATTGGAGCGATGTGGAGGGACGCTAGGAGAGAGAAGGTGCATCACACCGAAGGACATTAGATTGAGAAGGGTGTGGAGAATTGGCAAGTAGAAAGGAAACAAACTGCACATTTCGCGTACCTGTTTACTCATATTTCCATTCGACTTGTCCTCTGTGAACATACATGTCACGGGCGATCAATCATGTGTAAAAGTTCGCTTTGAGGAGACTTGTTTGGCCGTAGTTTTTGATGTCATTGACTTACAGCTAACTAGATTAACACCAGTCCACTCTCGATTAATGACCACAAACTTTGACGAAGCCCGTTTCACAGGTAGGGAATGGTGGTGCAGTCTCCTTCAGACTAGGTTGGCATTTTTGTGAAAGAACGTATTTCAGTCCCTTCATCAGCGCCAATGATTCAAAATGTGTCCCCACTCTTTCCTCAACAACATCTCGTCCTCGATCCAAACGAAGTCTGCCCCTCAAGGTCATAGGAGGAGCTGAAAAGCAGTACTGGATATAGGCACCGGGTATAAGTAAGTAGCACAGCATAGTTTCAAGTTTCTGACCTGCTGCTGACGGTAGTAGCCTTTCGGTCCAATTATCCAGCATCCGGTACAGTCGGCCCCTTTAAAGAAGGAGCTGCATCGCTGGCACTTCGTCCATGTCCTGAAGGGGCTACGTCGCTGTGACTTCCGCTCATACGGAATATTTTCTTCACACTTTCCACACCTCTCTTCACGTGAGGATGATTGGCAAGGAAATCGTCGTCGCCATACTTAGCCTCACTCTTCCCGGTCGGAGACCTCAACAGAGATGACACCTTCCTCCTTCCTCCCGGTAGAGGGTCCAGAGGACCGGCTTTTGGAGGCCACTCCCCATTGTCCTTCCAGCCTTGCACGAGCGCACGCGTCATGTCGGCGAGGTTTATAGGCACGGAGGGGGTTCGCGAGGTGACGACGACTTTGTTGTATATATCCGGATATATCTTGCTGGTGATAGATTCCCGAATGGGGTTGTGTTTTAGGAGAGGCCGAGCAACAGGGACGAGGCTTTCGGCATTCGGATCGGACTGAGCTGTGAGTCGTGCATGCTTGGCTCCTGCGGAAATTAATGAGCCATCTAGCTCCATGTCAAACAGCTCAAGCTGGTCTGACGCACTGTGCTTTCTCGCGCCGGACTTCTGCACCGCGGCGGCACCTGTCCAAGCATCTCTCCGCTGCACAAAGCATGCCACGCCCTCGTTCCACGCCATCTCTTCCGCCAGAAGCTCCCGCCGCTTCCTCTTGCGGCTCTCCAGCTTGGTTTCCACGGCCACAGCTATACTGTCAGGTGAATCGAATTTGTATGGATTGTCGCCAGCGCCCGCGGCGGGGTCGGCTTCTTCGTCAGACCCAGATGTGGTGCCGTACTCGCGCTCCCTGAAATCAAGAGCGTTCCGGACTTCCTCGTCGGACTGGGACCATGCTGCCGGCGCGTCCGGCCAGGCCCAGTCATCGCGTACTCGGTCGGTAAGGAAACGGCGAGCTTCGCGGGCGGCACTCTGGTTGCTTTCCATGGGGCCACCGCGCGGGGACGAGAGGGTTGAGAGTAGCGACGGAGGGGAGAAGCGCGCCGCGGGACTGGCGCGGGTTCTTCGGGGTATATGGATATGCGGTGGTGTGGATGCGTTTGTTAATGTTGATGTTGTGTCTGACATGAGGGAAACATTTTGGCTTCTTGCACGTCATGCGATCGGGCCTGCCGGGAACAGCTATCAATCACGTGCAATGCTCATTCTTTGATCATGCCACTAAATAATAACTGAACGAGTCCATTCACTATTACCATACCCAGAACGCCTGCTATGCCGCTAATACCGCTAAATCCTCATAACCTCGTTAAACGATAAGATTCGTTGCTCGTGCTTCCCTCCGCCGCTCCCCTTGCTCCACTCCCATTCCCCTTGTTCTCCCCGATGCTACGAGGAACCCTTCAATGGCGTCTAGCATCTGTTCTCCCTCCTCTTCAATAGTGCCAAGGTGCACTGACACTTCTTTTCTTGCATTGCCTCTCACTACGTAATAGCTGTCAGCAACTTTGGCCCAATTTGTCATCGCCTTGTCAAGCTCCTGGGTGCAGAAAACGCGCAGCTTGGAGATTGGTGCTGCCTCATCCGGAACGTCGCAGTCAACCGATGGTGCTAGAGCCACGTCTCGGCCCACGACCGTCTGTGCAACGAAAATGCTGAAGCGCCTAAAGTATAGGATGAAAGGAACAACGTTGGCAGCTTTTCCGGTACTGGCATGAATATAGTCCAGCAGAGGTAAGAGTGCCGTGATTGCTCGGAGGACTAATGTGACTACACGCCGGGTATGGGCCTGTTCAAGTAATCCTGCGTGGTCGATCAACAGCTGGGCTGCCTCGTAAATTCCACCCAGCGTGCTTCTGATCATTTCGAGGCAGGACTGGATGCTCTTTTCGTCCGACACGCTGAACTGATAGAACAGATCTTGGAAGATCTGACACGAAGCCTGCAGTATCGGCGAAGCCACAATCCAGCCAGTCGCTGATTTTAAGGATACCCCTACGTATGCTGGGAAAATGTCCTGCAATAGGACGTGCCGCAACGTGGGTCGTGAGGCATCCCCGGACTCGTATGCACTGGAAGTGGCAGTACACAGTTGCTTGAGAAGGTATGACTGTTGATTGTCGACGGCGGCGCGTTCAGACACTGTTTGAATGAACGTCGAGAGCTGCTTTGTTGTGCGGGGATCTGCCAATTTCAGTGAGTAGCTTCCGAGCCGGCCTACTACATATGTGGGATCTGTCGTCGGTAGGGGGAACGCAACCGAATCGGTGAAAAATCGATCCACAAGACATATGTGAGACGTGTACTGCTGGAGAAACTGGACCACCGTTTGCACGAATTCGACATATGCGCCTTTTAACGGGGCACCACACCGCTGAAGCTCCAAATAGTTCCGCTTCATCGCAGACATCATATCCTTGAGAAGCGCTGTATACTCGCTTCGCGTGTTCACAAGCTCTTTCTGATTGTCGCGCATTGTACCCTCGTAACAGTCGCGCATATTCGCTAGGAGGGAGGAAATGAGGCTGATTCTGCGCTCTCGGAATGTGGCCGCCGTAATCGTGATCTCGCCAGTTGAAGACTCCCTTAGGAATGGAAGATTCTTCAGTAGCGGATTTCGCGGGTCGGCATTGACAAGAACACTAGTCAAAACGTGTTGAAATTTGAGCATGGACTCGCGATCGACCAGTGATAGGACCCAAGCGGAAATGAACTCCGGGCGACATTCTTGGTATGCATTCGGGTCGCTTGTGATCACCGACGACATAAAGTATGGGGCAAACTTGCGGCTCTGTTCTGTGTCTCGAAGTTGGTGCCAAGACACGACACTGAACGATCTAACGTAGTCATGCCACGTCCGCTTGCCCAAGTCTACCTGCCATTGTGCGACAGCTGTCCATGTATCTACCGCTTTGGTGAGCATTGTGTCCCCGGGAGAAGCCTCGGCTCCAAAGCAGTTTGAAAGCAAGTGCCACAACGGTGTGTGGATAAAGTCGAGCGGATTACTGTCATTGGTTTGCTGGTTCGTGTCTGCGGTAACGTCATAAAAATCGTCAAAATCAGGCACGTCGCCGTAATCCTGGCTTTCTTCGTTGTCACTAGGGAAGTTTTTTTCCGCGTGTTGTGCTTTCCGGTGTTTCGCATGTTGTTCAAAAACGGCTAAAGTTTCAATGACGACGTCGTTGGACCGAGGATTGGTTACGTCGAAAAGATCCAAGTTTTCAATGGCAGACGCATCTCTCAGAAAAGATGTGAAGTTGTGCTCGTCGTGGGAGAATCCGATTGCGTTTCTCAGTCCAGCAACTGCATCTCTCAACGTAGCTAAAACCTGATTCTGATTCTTTCGAATCGTCGACTGCAGAACTTCAAGAGGAATAATGTCGTCTCCTCGTATCTTGGCACTGCCGTACTGACTTTCGGCCTCGGTCCTCGCCATTCGGTATTGGCTGATTGAATGTTTCATGATGTCTTTATACCACAAAGCAAATGGTAACAATGACTCATATGGCTCGCCGGTCGACAGTTGGAATCTTAGGAGATCGGACCAGGCTCTGACACTGAGCCTGCAAGCTTCTCTGTGAGAGGACGCATGGTCGACAAGCTCGCGAAGAAGGTCAAGCCGAGGCCGACATTGTATCGGCGAGGCCCAATACAGAGTACAGAGAATATCGTGGTGATTTCGTAGGGCGTCTAAGTCTTCTTGTCTAATCGATTCGTCTTTACGGTATGTACGGCCATGGTTTGGAATGGACCGGTAGACAATATTCCGGATTTTCTTGTCGGTATAGATTCCTTGCATGCCTTTGAGACCGAGGGCGAGACATTTGAGGAATATGGTAAATGATCGATCATCTGGCTGGACCTGTAGAGACGGATGTTCCGCCAGCATACCCAGGAACTTTGGCGACCCTAGACCCTCTTCGTGGCGAAGAAGGGATAGTTTATTTTTTGCAAAGAAATCGAACATTGCCCCAAGAATGCTTTCACATCTCTTCCAACCCCAGCTGCTGATGAGTGTGCAACATCGGCTTAAGACAGCTCTAACATATGTATTTAGGGACGAGTTATAACCTTTTGACGTCTCTGGATACAACAAGAAAAGGCGGTTGAGCATGGCTTTGACAAATCCCCAATTTTCCGATGTATGGACGAAGCGAGAGCCAACTTGCAAAATGCCCTTTATATCGAATTCCCCGAATGGTAGCAGCATGAAGGTGTCGGACCAAACATGCTCGAACTGTGAAATTCGGTTGAAAGCCGATATCTTCGGTAGGAAATTGTCGTTGACAATGTCCCAAAAGCCGACTCCAGGCTTGTGGAGACAGGAGAGGGTTTGCATTGCAACTACAATGCATTGAACGTAAGTTTTGTCGTCTCGAATGCCAGCCTCTCGTTGTTGACGATGTCGACTGTCCTCCGGATACGTCCGAATCTCCTCTTGGCCTTGGCGGATTGCTGTACTTATCAAGCTAGTCGATACCGTCTTGACTAAAGTATCCAGTTTGAGTTTTGTCGTTTCCTCAATTGTCTTATTGTCCGCAACACGGACCACCTGGGCGGCCAACACAAGTAGATAAGATAGAGCTCGAGCTTTTTGGCGCGCCACTGGTGCTGAAACGACCGCAGCTGACCTCGATCTATTCTGTGCGGGTGACAGGGCCATGTAATTCTGGTCTAAGATTTCGAACATCGTTGTTACACTCCAGCTTCGATCTATAGGGTCAAGAAAATGCAGTGAAATGGAAAAGTAGGAGATAACCTGTCGAAGCAAGATTGACGTGGATGAAAGTAATTGAATGGCAGTATTTTGAGCCTCTTCCGCCATGGACGTTTGCATAACTTGGTCAAGCTGGCTGGACAGATCCTGGAATTTGGTAGTAAGAGCTGACGAGACTTCCTCCGTCCAGGCACTGCACCAAAGATCCTGTGCTAGGTGAATCAAAGTCTTGTGGGTAACAGAAAGATCAAGGTTTCTCTGATCGATATGCAAGCATGAACCCAGCTCTCCACTCCCAACGAAGGTACTCTGGTGAAAATACGTTCCCACATCTAACGGGAAGACATCGAAGTCTTCAGCGTACCGAGTGCCAAATGGACCGAGTCCCTGAAGAAATAGTTGTGGCGAATCGTCCTCAATGATCTCAATACTTTGACTGTTGACATGTACTGGAAGCGGGTGGCTTGGCTGTCGATATTCTCGTGCTTCAACGTCGAGACGCGTACTCGGTCTTTTACGGGAAATACGCAAGGGAGGTTTGGTTAGTTGCTGAGAGATATTATTTGAGTTCTGGTGGCCTCTGCTCTCATGTTCGGTGCCTGGCGAGATTGACGATGCATCGTCGTCAGCAAGGAACCGTGAAAGTTGAGGATTGCTAGTCGTGTCTCCAAATCGAAGTTGATTCGAAAACTGCAGATTCGCGCGGGACAGCTGTCTTTGAAACGCGGAGTTCCGATGGGCGAGGTCAAATTCGGCTTCGAGGCTTTCCAATTGCGCATTGCGATATGGTGGTGGTCGAAACAATTTTTGTGGATGATGAAGACGTCGATTCGGTGCTTTGTAAGTCCGCATCTCTACGAGGGACGAATTTAGAGCAGCATTCGTTCTTCTGCTTGACACTAGATCAAGCCGAGTTTGTCGCAGTCTTGAGACTGATTTAAATTCCATATTTCTTCGCGACTCCACCCCTGGTTGGATTGAATCAAGATATGTTGATTTGGGCAGAGGATCTGGAAGTTGCCGTTGCTGCTTGTTATCATCTCGATCCGTGAGCGGTTGACGCTCGTAGCGCAGGCTGGTAGAGTGAGGCGATTTAGACCGGGGTTTCAAAGTCCCAGCCCTCCATTGATGAAGAACTTCATTTGCATCCTCAGTATCTTCGAGTGTTTGCAAGCGGACAGCTTTATGACTCGGACTTTGTCTTCCTCTGTCACGTTGTCGACGAGCTTGTCTCGCCGCAAGGCGAATGAATCGAGGAACTTCATCTGTACTTTCACCTCTTGTCTGATGAGAATCTAAGATGCTTAATCGAGGCGGCTTGGGCCTTGAATTTCGTGGCTTGCCAAGCAAGGCAGTCTTCTTCCTGGGGCGCTGTTGACCGGAAGCAGGTTTTACAAGACTATGGCTTTGGCCATTAGAGATTGAGACTTTTAGGCGTTTGCCAGGGAGCCCGTACGAATCAGCCAACATTAGTTGCTTTTTCCGGCGCTTTACACCGTAGGACCTGGGCTTTGATGTTGAGGGGAGCATGTAATCGATGCGATTGTCTTCCATAACATCATCGATCATACTGTCGTTCATAGTCGAGCTGACATTCCGTTCCGTTACATAGGAATGAGGCTCAGGAGAATTTGAAAGTTGCACATCTGCAGCAATGGATGCAGTGTCCGAATCATCGGAAACGGTAAGCGCATAACCACTCAGCTCCTCTGAGGCACTCAGCCTTGCAATGGCTGTCGGAAGCCTGGTAATTCTTCGTGCTATTCCTCGTTGCAGCTCAAACTTTTCAGGGGATTTGTGGCGGGGTCTTTGAGGGCTTGTCGATTTTTGCCGTTTCAATTGAGCTTGTCGGTCGAGCTTCAGCCATGATGCAGGAAGTACTCCTTTGATCCTCCTCTTGACTTTTTTCAGGCTGATGTCGCTCTTTCCGGATTCCGAGCCTGACAAATCCGAGCTTGATGAAGACTCTACAACGATGGTAGGATGGCGGGACAGGCGAGATCTCGACTTTAATACGCTTCGAGGTGGAGTATCGCTCTCGGATTCCGAATCAATAGGCTGCTGATTGGTAGGCTTAGATTCAGATGAAGTGATTGGTGTTGGCAGTCCGTTCACGATTGAGCCGTCGGGCATACGAAAGACCCTAGTTGCAAATTTGACAGGGGATGATACGAGCTGATTTACCCGTGGAGGCGACGGAGGGATGTCGAAAATGTCGCCTCCGGAATTCTCTAGAGCACGCGCCGGCTTCGACAGGGGAATGGTGCGGATGGTCTTTTGTGGAAGCCTAAGTTTTCTTCCGTAGGTGTGCACGAATTTACGTCGTTTGAGCCCGTCTTGCACTCCATTAGGAACTCTACGTCGTATCAGGGACTCGACATCTGGCAATTCGTCATCATCATCCAGGGCAAGATAAAACGGCGAGCCGATGCCTTCTTGCGGATTGGAGGTTCTCGGGGTCGGATTTACTTTCGGCGACCTCGCACGGCGGACTGGACTGCTAGGGGGCGTCTCTTCCAGGGGTTGGAAATCCCGCTCTTGTGTTTCTACGGCATCAGGATTGAGCCTAGAAGTTGACGATTCGGAGGCAACGAATATAGGCCTGACTCCACGCGACTTCAAGGTTTGACGATAACGTTCGCCTTCGAGAAGATAAGGGTGGAGCTGAATCGGATTGCGCCTGCGGAATGTCCGGCCGTACGTCTGCTGGACAGCTTCGTTGTCCCTATCACCCAAGGCATGCTCCTCTTCGTGGTCTGGTCCATCATCGATTGTTACAGTGCTTCTCTCGTGGTTTTTCTCCAGAGTGGGTGCATTCGATATGACAACGACTGACGGTGAAAGCGCGGTCCGCGTGGTCTTCTCGAGTGTAATGAAGTTTCTATGGGGTTCATTGCCGGACTTCAAAGGAGGTGGATCTAAAACGGCGTGTTCTAGCTCGTCGAAATCATCGTTTCCAAGCTCAGAGAGCTCAGAGCCGCTGTCGACTGCGTCTTTGTTTGCTTCTCGGATTGAAGAAGATATCTAAACAGATTAGCCATGTTTCTAGCCTCAAAAACTTGACATCTGACCTGATCAGGCACGTTAAGGAGGGTTCCTGCTGTTGGAAAGAAATCAGGAGCAGAACTCCCTTCTACTAGGCATTGCGAATTGGACGGAGACCCGGTGGCCGCCTGGATTTCCCCGCCTGATTGGGTCTGCTCGAGCTTTGGAGGTCTGGAGGGGATGCTGTCCGTCTCGTCCTCTTCATCGGAGTCCTGGACATACCCTCTCTCTCGCCATCTTGACATTGGAATTCTCTGGCATGTCGCCGCGCGTTGGGTAGGTGGCGGTGTTGCTGTCTGCTTCCCGGTCATTGCTCCGTCGCGTTCAGTCGCGTCGAGAGATCCTTGGCGGGCGGGCCGATTTCACCCGTGCACGTGATGACGCTAAACCTTTGCTCAAGGAGCGAGACTCAACCTTGATGACGCTGCACCACTAATCGTATCAGCCGAATGTCATGAGTGGAAGGGTTGCTGGTGCGCTTCTAGCGACAGTTACTGGGGTGCTCACAGGTGGGTGGTGTGTTGTTGAGTGAGAGCATTGGGATGGAGCTGACGTTGTCAGCAACTTATGCCTTGCAACCTGCTTTACAGGAGCAGCAGCGGAAACGGTTTGAAGAAGAGCACAGCAAGGCAGAGTTGGTGTGAACTGCTCTACTTTACGCGCTTTCACTGAGACAGAATCAGGAACAATTCACCGCTCGTTCCAGCGCCAAGAGAAGCTGCTCAGCAGACCATTAGCAATGCCCAACCTGATATAGGAAAAACAAAAAATGCCACATCTGAGCCTTCAAAGGCAGCACCATCATCCTGGTCTTCGATAGGCCGTTGGGCGGGGCTAAGCAAGGTTGAGCAGAAAAGTTCCGATCCACCCAAGGAAACACCACCTGCCAACTCGCAGCAGGGTGAATCCTAGCTTCATTAATGAACACCTGAAGCGGAACAGACGGGGTGCTACTGGGAATAATTCCATCATTGGCAGATGATGACTTCGTCACGTTAAATCAGAGGTATCACAGTGCTAAGTGGAGCTCACCAGAAGAGCTTTCATTCAATACTGGCAGGGCTACGGATTCTGTCGATGAAATAGGTGCATCATGTATTTCTCAATTTCCAACAAACTCGTTTCACCGTACTGTCAAGCTTGTATCTGTATATGCCAGCGCCAATCATCCTACACCTTTTCTTCAATATGCGACACGGCATTCTGCTTCCTCTCCACCTCTTCAACGCGGTGTAGAAGGTCATCCGTCATGTAATCCTCCTTCTTCATAGTCGGGACAAAGAGTGGCGCATTCGTGAACAAGTAGTTCATTTCTTCCAAGGGTCGTTTCGCGGTTTCAGGCAGCACAGCCCAGAAGAACAGGGCGTTTGTCAGATTGCAAATCTGGTCATTGGTAAGCACATGGCTCGGGATTAGCAAGAGAATTCCGCTTACAATGAAGAGGAAGTAGTAACGGTATCCAACCTGCGTCATGGCGGGCTTTGTGACCTGGCCGATCATGGTGTTGAAGGCAAAACTGGAAGAATTAGAATAGATCGAGGTAATTATGTGATAGAAGCGACTCACGATGTCATAGTGGCAATCGAGACACCTTTGGACCGTGTTCGCGTGTCGAAGACTTCCGCCTTATCGCAAATGTTAGTTGAGAAGTAATCAAATGCGTAAAGACGGGGATTGGAAAGGTATACTTACAGGTATGATCCATGACAATGGCCCGCAGGTCGCGCTGAAAGAGAAGTTGTATATCCAGGTGATGACGATGAAGCCCCACGACGCACCATTGTTGTGCGTAGCGCCTGGGGGAAATTTGGCCAGCAGAATTGTTGCAATGATGAAGGTAACCATGTTGCCCAAGTTTCCAAATATTAAAGGCCAGCGTCGACCGGTATGATCGATGAAGAGGATGCAGAGAAATTGCGCTATGAGGGCGATCACTGAACTAATGGCTTGGTACTTTAGAGTATCATTTCCCGCTATACCCATTTGCCCATATATCGTGACCGAAAAGTACTGGATTGCAGAGACCTTGGCTGCGTTAGTATTGCTGCTGAAACATGCAAGTCGTTTCTACTTACCCCCGTCATCTGGACGGAAGCTTGAAGGGCGCAAGCTAGGAAGAGCCTTCGGAAACACGACCGGTCAGTGAAGAGCTCGGTATAGGACTTGGCTTCGTGTTCGTGCTCGAACGTGATGGCTTCTTGGATCTGTTCAAACTCAGCCCGAACCCAGGCATCGTTTTCGTTTCCATGAGCATGGAGCTGCGCGAGCGTTCGAAGACCTTCGTCCGGCCTCCCATGGTCAATGAGCCATCTGGGAGATTCTGGGAAAAGGAGAATGAGAAGCGCCAGAATTGCAGCGGGGATGATTTGGATTCCGAGAGACAGTCGCCATTGGGCGGAATTGTCATCAGCAAATCCAACATAGGTGCCGTATGATATCCAGGCTGCAGCAAGAGAGCCAACGCCTAGCATAAATTGCTGAAGAGCTGTGACCCGTCCACGTATGCTTGGATGTGCGAGCTCTGCCTGGTAGAGAGGTACAATCATGACAAGGCCACCGACACTACAGAACAGTCAGTCTACATAGAAAGTGTTTTCGTCGATGTCTCACTTACCCCAGCCCAGCAATTGCACGGCCGGCATATAGGTAGGCTAAATCCCGAGCACCTGTCTGTAACCCTCCACCAAGACAGAACACGAGTGCTCCAAGCAAGATAGTTTTCTTCCGACCAAGGATATCTCCGAGCGGACCAGCAAAGGCAGCGCCAAAGAAAGCGCCACCGGTGAACACTGATACCACCGCACCACTGCAACCAGACGATTTAGTAGCCGTACAATCCGGTACGCCGATCCACGAGAAAGCTTACGTTTCATTGTCAGAGGCCTTGAACTTGTTTGTGAAATTGGGCGATGCGATAGCTTCGGCAATCACACCCAGGTCATATCCATAGAGTAAAGACCCAAGCGATGCGAAGACACTCACTAAAAACTAGTATACAAAACGTCAGATATTAATCATGGGAGATGCTGAGTAAGACCTCATACCTGATACCACTTGGGTGGGAGAGCCATGTTTGTACCTAGTCGCCTTCAAGGAGATTCAATTCTTAGACGGCAAAAGAGTAGCGAAGCTTGAGTGTGAGTGTCCATTCATTTTATATGCCCCACCGTATGTTACCCAGTCAGATATTTTCCGGCAAACACACCACATAGTGTCCAGACAATGGTCGGGATTATCCTTTGCTACCCCAACATGGGGTTTCCCCCAATGTAGTTGTCCAGTCGGAGGCCCTAGTGGAGAAGCTATGGGGTATCCTAGCTACTTAGGATGCGGAGAAGTCTAGGCGCTGGAGATGCCGAAGCTAGTGACCGAGTGCTTGCATGAGTTTCGCGTTTGCATCGCGATTTTTCCCACCAATAGAAACATAGCTCGGCGACAACAACTTCATTTCTACAGCACCTCCGCGGGCTCTCATACTCATCAACGTCACTTGGGTTCAGGAATTAGAGATGGCTACCTTCACAAAGATTTCAGAGTCGGAGACTCCTACAATTTCCCTGAATACGTCGCATAAGCTCTCAAAAATCAACGACAACATATATGGTGGATTTACTGAGTAGGGATTACCCAGGATGTGAAGCATGATTTCGCTAATCGCTTCCTTCACAGACACATGGGTCGCTGTATATATGGCGGAATTTACGAGCCAGGCAATGAGCTTTCAGACGAGAATGGATTTCGCAAAGATGTCATCGAGGCTTTCAAAGAGCTCAGAGCCCCAGTCGTCCGCTATCCTGGAGGCAACTTTGTCGCTACGTATCACTGGCTTGACGGAGTGGGTCCCAAGCACAAGCGGCCTCGAAGGTAATTAATATCTGCCTCCATGCGTATGCCCAACTTCGATTTATGCATGCACAGCCCGTTTCGAAGACACACGCTCTTCACGTAATCACGTGCCAGCTGACTTACTGCTTCCAATTAGGCCCGAACTTGCTTGGATTGGAGTAGAGAGCAACGAGTTTGGCACGGACGAATTCCTCAAATGGTGCGAAGTGGTAGGCACCGAGCCATACTTTGCGCTGAATTTCGGCACCGGCACCCTTGATGAAGGTATTCACTACGAGTTACCCATTCGTGAGCACTGAAGCTCACAAACAAGCCTTGGGATGGGTTGAATACTGCAATTCATCAAAGAACACATACTACGCGAACCTCCGACGGGAGAACGGTCGGGAGAAGCCCTACAACGTGCGTAAATCCTGACAGATATTCTATTGATGCTGATACCTCTAGGTGAAATACTGGGCGCTCGGAAATGAGATGTGGGGCCCGTGGCAGGTCGGCCAAATGACCAAGGAAGACTACGCAAAGCAAGCGTACCAATGGGCAAAAGCGCTGAAGCTTCTGGACCCCTCGATCGAGCTAATACTTTGTGGAGAGACTGGATTCAGCTCGTGGGATACTTACGTCCTGAAAGAGTGCATCAAATTTGATTTACATGGATTGGGCGGGAGTAATACCGCATCTCTAATCTCGATGCATAGTATTCATATCTACACGGCGTCGGAGACTCACTTGCCAAATGCCACCGGTAAGCCAAAAAAAAGAACGAATAGGACGAAATTTTGCAGGCTAACCGTCCTCTTTTGGGGTACTACAGCTCCTAGAGCAGCAGAGAGAGCCATTGAAATCACCACAGGGTTGATAGATCTGGCAAGGATCGAGAACGGGGTTCCGCCCTCTGTACCTCGGCAGACAATCTGTTTCGACGAGTGGAATGTGTGGGATCCCGCGCGAGCTCCTGGAGAAGACGGGGCGGAAGAGAGGTAATCCTCGCCCCGAAGGGTCCAGAAAGGATAAATTCAGAAAAGTAACATTGTCTAGATATACGCTCTCGGACGCCCTAGCTGTCAGCGTCTGGCTCAATGTCTTCATACGGCAGTCAAAACACGTGGGCATGGCGAATATCGCACAGTCCGTGAACGTGATATCGCCTCTGATGACTACAAAAACCGGCCTAGTAAAGCAAACGACGTGGTGGCCTCTGCTGCTCTTTAGCAAGTACATGCGAGGCCATACCCTGTCAGTTCACGTGGCATGTGGCGAGTACGAGGGGCCGACTGAGCCAGCGTGGATAAGAGGGACCATAGAGACGCCGTTCTTGGATGCTAGCGCAACCATAGATGACTCTGGATGGGTCAGCTTAGCTGTCGTGAATATACACGAAACCTCAGCGTTCGAGACTCTTTTGGAGGGTATGAACACGGAAGACGTCGTCGTCTACACCGTGACTGGGACCAATGTCAAGGTCGTTAATACGGACGGCCATCAAGAGGTCGGAATACAGGAGACGAAATGGGACGGCAAGGGAACGATTTCCTTCCCGAAACACTCCTTGACAATGCTAAGATGGCGGGCCACGTAGGACTTTGAAAGGGATTTCAGGGCAGGCCGGCACTTATTTCTGAACTGATATATTCAATTGCGATACTGGACTTCTTAGATTATAGACCTAGAGTATATTCAAGGTCAGCCCATCGGCCATGTCGGAGGGGGTCAAGACCCCTGAGCTTAGAAAGCCACTCCCTCAAGTCATCAGCCGTGATAATACTTTCGTTACCATTCAAGCTTGGAAACGAGGTCGAATACTGTATGAGGACCTCGTAAATCCACTTGCAATCTTCTTCATCCTCAAGGATATCTTTGATGAAATTGATTTCTTGCTCGCAGTACCGCTTTCGATCGGTATCGGTGAGGTCTAGTATGATGGCCGACTCTCGCGAGTTGCGCGATGAAAGCGTGCTCATCAAGAATTGGTGGTAATACCAGATTGACTGGTCGAAAGGATCGAGGAATGCTTCGTGTATCAGGGCAAACTCGTCGTCAAGCATACGTCGTCTTGCTACATCATCCGATTCCCGCTCGTCAAGGAGCTTTGGGATTAGTTTGCTCCGATTATGCCATGCGGAGAAGTTGGATAGATTTGCCTTGATCATCTTCGTAGTGTAGGCAAACTCGGCTTCCACCATGCTTTGTTTGCTTGGGACGACTTCGTTGGGCTGCGCCGGAATGCGCTCTAGCTCACCGACAACAAACCGCCGGTAACTCCAGGCATGGAAATTGCGGCTGTCGGCGCCCAGCATCATAGTGACAAGCTGCAGCTCGCCTTGCCATAGTTTACGTGCGGCAACGGCCTGCAAACGTGCCTCGCCCACCTGCAGCACCCAATATCTGTGGTTCCAGAGCCAGTAGCACTTTGGATACTGCCTGAGCAGGGAAGTTGTGAGACTAAGATCGGCGGTGATAAAGTCGAGAGTCTCTTGGTGTTTATCGGAGGACAAGGACGCCGGTTCGGTCTGGCTAAGGAAGAGGTGCTGCAGCACGCGCCGGCGGTGGTTCCATATGGTATAGTACTCTGGGTTTTCGGTAAGAAGCTTGGTAGTGAGGCTAAGCACTTCCACGGTGTATTGTCTCTCCGCAACCTGTGGCACGCACATCTGGTCAGCTTATTAGTAAGAACGATAGCTATAGACGGGTACCTTTCTATTCACGAGTTCGACCAACTCATTGTAACGGGCGATTTGTTGAAGCTCTTTCTCTCGCGCCAGGTCAGAACGCGTCTGGCTGCCTGCAACGCGCGAGACGCCGTGCTACAACACACTTTAGCAGGGCTCCATACAGGATAACAGGCAATCACATACGCTCGCCATTCCAGAATCAGTCTCTAACAGCTCCTGTAGAGATCAAGCACGAGGCCTGGAAAGTGTTGGGGTGGTAGGCAATGTCTGGGTGATGGGACGCACAACTCGCGCACGGCCGCTGTCAGGCCGTACAATGGATTGCATAAGAACCTTGGAGCGCTAGGTCAAGTCGGGACCTAGCCGCTTCACTTTTTTTCAACTTCACCCTTCCTCTATTTCGACGCGTCGTCGCCTTACTCACGTCCTCCTCTCTCTATTCAATCGGGCCTAAGATTGAAGCCATCCCACTCTCAGCCTCTCATCATTCTGGAGGCCATCGACCCCGAAGATTGGATCGTCCTTGTCCCTGCCTGGTATAGTAGAATCACAACCTCTTCGTTACAAGGGGGCATAGCTCAAGATTAAGATACGGTCAACATCTTAGCAATCAAATCGCCATCATCATCTCTAGGCCATGTAAGGGCCATTGCGATCTCATTATTCAGGAATCTGAACTACTTGAAAGCCCTTCTACGAGAGTGCACATTGCCTGCCACTCTTGAAGGGACTTTTTTTATCATAGTAAGTTTGGAAAGCAGATCTCAACAATCTCTATGTCATCCTCGCTCCAAAATCTTCGCCGTCACCCGAGGTTCCAGGTCACATTCCTTACAACTCGTTCGAACTTTCGTAATCCAGCTCCGCCGTCTCAGACGGCGCGGTATACGAACATGTGAGTCGGTCTGTGCATGTCGAGAGGTGCTAGGGTTACATGCTCCGATTGGGAGGTACATTTGGGCCTATAAGTCGCAATCGGGGAGCTTGTAAATTAGCTCTTGGCATGTCCCGTTTATAATATAATTTCGATGAAGACGTGTGCACACATGCTTGCCCCTTTTTGAGGTGCCTTGGTGTATCTTTAAAGATCTTAACAAGACGGAAGACTGCTTATTTCATTCTATTGTCCAAGTTTCGGATCAGGTCCAAGGTCACATGATGAATACCTTAACCCCTTTTTCCATCTCGATATCTCTGGTCAAGCTTTTTTCCCCTCGACATTATTCTCTTTTTCTATCTCGACTCTGGTCCTTTGCGTACGTGGTAAGTTCGCTAGACCACTTCAGACAGCAGTGAACATGTTCATACAGACTAGAAGTATAAGGCGTTGCTCGACATTCTTGACAATATATTGAGGCGCTACAAGCAGTGGCGGAACAGTATACGGAGAATTATCAAGATGCATTGAATGCAACACTTGCTCTAGTAACGTAGGGCAAGAGGATAGAAAGACTCCCCATACTATATTTGATCTGTGTACAATGGTTCAGCACAGTTCGACATGCCTCGAGACATTTTCTTGGCAACACAGAGTAAATGAGTCATTTGGAACATATGTAAGCTCCACAAGGACGTCTGACGTTTCCCTCTTTCTCCCTCCATTGCCTCATCGCGCATCTGCCTAGAGTCTCGTGCCGCTGCAGGAAGAGCTTCAAGGTGCCTGACAATCCTATGGCTCTATGGAGCATCTCAGACAGCCCTGGCTAACTATATACAGATCTATGACAAGGGATTGCGGCTAGTGGATGCATCTTGTCATGCGCTTTGCACGCTGTTGTGTGTCTCGTCACGGAACTCTGTACGTCGTCTTGCCACCACATGAGAAGCTTCGAGATAATTTTACGAGATGTAAGCTCATCATTTTGCATAGTCTATTTATTATCCGCCTGAGGCCCCTCAAATGGTGGCGTGTTGGGCTGCGATGCAGTCTGCCAGTGGATGCATCTCAGTCAGGTGCGTTCCTCACACTGTCAGGTGTCTCATCACAGGCTTGCATACACTCTCTTATCACCGCTTGAAGGGCCTCGAAGAGCTTTTGAACTTCTGAAGCAGCCGGAAATTTATCATTTTGGATAGCATATAAGCTCGCCCAGCCACCTCAGGTCGCGTTGCGCGCGTGCTATGACCATGCTTACTTAAAACGCCAAGCGTCGACGCGTACAAGAAGTTTCCCCAGCCTCCACACTTCGTAGCCACTTCCATCATACATCCCGTATCAAGTTCCAACGCAACTTCCAGCTTTTGTCATCAAAATTCCACCCAGAACAGCAAGTACCATCCCCCAATACGCACCCCGACCCGAAATATGGCCGGACTAGCAAGAACTGCGCTGTATAGCGCCGTTGTTGTCACTCTGGTGCCCAAAAGGCACCACAGCTTCCATCCTGTTAGTACACTTAGTTTTATTCTTCATCAGTTTTGTCATTAACCTTCTCTCTTTCTTCAGCTCCCCATCATCCCGAGACCCGGCTTCATCTCAGTGTCTCAAAACCTCATCGCGGACGCCCCCGAAAGACGCCGCTCTCATCCAGCTCTGAACAACGCCATGAAACGGGCGTTGGTCTTCGATTTTCACCTTCTTACACCTCCTTGCTCGCCCGAAAAAGGAGCTTACCGGGGTCACGTCAATGACTGCTTGATCCTACCGCCTTCTCCTCCAGAGTCTGAGATATCTCTTCCCGAGTCTCAGGCTCCCGCCCCTCCTACTCCTCCAACTTCTGTTACTTCTGCAACCGAGATTGAGAGTTCGGATACGCATCCAGACCTTGACTTGGGCTTGGGACTATTAGCCATCCCCGTAGCACAGAAGTTGGATCCGATCCTACTGCCTTCTCCTCCCGAGTCTCAGGCTCAGGCCCCTCGTACTCCTCCAACTCCTGCGACCGAGATCCAGAGTTCGGATACGCCTCCGGACCTTGACTTGGGCTTGGGACTAGTAGCTATCCCCGTAGCACAGAAGTTGGATCCGATTCTACCGGCTTCTCCTCCCGAGTCCAAGATATCTCTTCCCGAGCCATGGGCTCCGACACCTCCTACTCCTCCGACTTCCTCAACCGAGATTCAGAGTTCGGAGATAATTCCAGTTCTTGAATTGGGTTTGGGGCTAGTAGCGACCCCAGTATCAAAGAATTTGGTTGATTGCTGCGATCCAATCAAACGCACGCCTTACTATTCCCCGCCGATCGATTGGGAAGCATTCCAGTTTCCGGCCGTCCCGAGTAAGTCCGCCGTAGCGACACAGTTCAAGATCGCAGCACCACCCAAGCTCGAACCTAAGAAGAAAACCCGCTTCAGAGGAAAGTTTGCTAGGAGCCCTATCCCAGCAGAATGGATGCTCAATACCGACGAGGCTGCATCGCCATCAAAGTACACCAGGAGCCCTCTCCCAGCAGAGTGGATGTTCAATACTGACGGGGCTGCATCTCCACCAAAGCCTACCAGGAGCCCTCTCCCAGCTGAGTGGACTCTCAACACCGACGGGGCTGCATCTCCATTAAACACAGATGGGCCAGAAGCGGCAATCGAGATCACAGATAATAATCCTACTGAGGAGCTTCTCGAAACGCCTTCACTTGAAGACGTGGATGAAATTGAGTTTGCTACCGAGGAACCCCTCGTCATAGAGCCATTGTCTACCAAAGTTAGCTTCATTCTCCCAGAGGCCCCAAAGACTGGCTTTGCCATACCACTCCGCCGCTCGGGCTCTCCCCTCAGGCCAAGCCAATACGCTGCTCGAGGTGGCTCAACATCACCGTTGCGTACACCAACTCGACAATCAGATCGATTCATACCGCAAAGACGACCGGAAATCAGCACAAGAGAGAGCTTTCACTTTTCAAGGGCTACTCCGGCCGATACCACCAATGCCGATCCCTTCAGCCCAACTCTCCGCCGAAGTCGACGTGTAAACGAGGAGCTTCGTACACTTCGTCAAAATCACTCGAGCATGATGGCCAGAACCCGAAGCCGAGGCCGCCCAGGGCTCCGTTCGACTTCAATTGGAGTGAACCGCCAGGTAAGCGCCGGCGCCGTATGGAACGTCGGTGGGTCGTCTGCAGCAACCGATACAGTCGTCGGGGTTACCAACGGTCGAGGAGGGCTCCTCGCCAGCGGAACCAACGCACCTTTGTATACCACCATGTTCATCACCGGATCGGATGCTGCCGCCGAACTGGATACCTATGAACAACGTCTCGCCCTAGCGTTTGACGTTGACCGGTCCGACAAAACTCTGAACATTGTCTTGCCGAATGCCTTCGGACACCCAACTTCACATGAAGCGGTGTCAAATGGACAGAGCAGCCGCACCACGCCCCATGTGAAGCACACTTGGAATGACAGTGCTTGGATGAGAGAAGGATCTACAACGCGTTTGTTTTCATCACTGTTAAGATTGATTGTTTCCAGAAAGCTAACATGGTGAACTACTGCAGAGCCGAGAAAATCCGCAAATGCAGACAGAAGAATACTACCTATCCAACCTTTCCGAGTTCTCGACGCGCCACAACTACGTGACGACTACTACTGTTCAGTCCTCTCATACCACCATCGTACAAAGATCTTAGCCGTGGCACTCGGAAACGTGGTTCATCTCTGGACGGAGAAGAATGGCGTTGGTATCCCGGACAATCTGAATAATGTGATACATCAGGTGGACCCCACGGGATACATAACGTCACTGGCATTTGCACCAGCTTCGCATCATGCAATTCTCGCGGCCGGACGATCGGATGGTCGTATATCGCTCTGGAGTCCATGGGACCCCATAGTTCGGTACAACGCTCAGCAAGCCAGGCCTATCTCCTGTATGTCCTGGAGACCAACCGCCGTGAAGTTGCCTTCGACGCGGAATCCTGAGAGGATAGTCAAGACACACGAGCTTCTAATTGGCGACGAAAAGGGTGACATCTTCATCTACACTGTCGAATGGCCGGACTGGGACGATGTTGTTGTCGAGTGGATTGGCAACTTGAAACTCCTTGTCCACGTCGAGGTCCACAAACAGCAGATATGCGGCCTTGCGTGGTCTGCTAACGGCGAATACTTCGCAACGGGCGGCAACGACAACGCCTGCTTCCTCTTCAAGACCCGCAACATCCTGCGGGACGTTCGCCGCAACCAAGACGGCACGTACCGTTCCGACACCCGAGACATCATCCACCGCCAACGAAACGGCGATTTACAGCAGATGCAGCGGACTGGCCGCGGCCGAGGTAGTGCTATCGAACTCGGTGAAGGCCACCACGAACACAGATGGGAACTTAACGCCGCGGTAAAGGCCATCGCCTTCTGCCCTTGGTTGAGCTGCCTTCTTGCCATCGGCGGGGGCTCCAACGACCGCTGTATCCACTTCTACCACACCATCAGTGGCGCATCCATCGCCGCCATCGACACCTCAGCTCAAGTCACCTCGCTGGTCTGGAGCACCACTCGTCGCGAGATTGCTGCGACCTTTGGCTTTGCCCAGCCCGAGCACCCCTACCGCATCGCCGTCTTCTCGTGGCCTGCGTGTGAGCAAATTGTCTCCATCCCATGGGAAGACGAGAGCCGAGCGTTGCTTGCCATCGCATACCCTGGTGGACCGAGCGATGAATACACTAGACACCACGACGAGAGGCATCGGAGCAGAACAAAACAGGAGGGAAGTCTGATCATCGCAGGAAGCGATGGAGCAATCCGGTTCCATGAGGTCTGGCCGGAGAAGCGGAGGGGTAGGAAACCAAAGGAACCGATGGGATTGCTGGGAGGGAGCGACATTCTGGAGGACATGGCTGGCATTGAGAAGGACTGGGGCGAGCAAATCCGGTAAGCTGATTGTCCAGGCTTAAGGCTTTGACTTCCCCTTCGTACCCCCTTCGGGGGTACGAAGGGTCGAAGTTGGCCTCGCCAAACGGGCTTGATCGGCGACCAGATCTTGGGGGTCTTGGTTTTTCCTTTGGGTTTTCTCTTGTTTTTGGGCATCGCTTGGGTTGGACTATGGGCTGACGCTGCTTTTTCTTTCTCCCTGGTACTGTAGATAGAATTCCGTCACGAATAAAGACGATGAATGATTAATGAATACCCAAGACTTTACACTTGCTTGCCAATGTGATGGGTGCCTCAACATGCTCCAGCGACTTCGAAGTGCATTGTTTTGACTGATCGGAAAATTGTTAAAATACCTCAGGCGGAGGCAGACTTGTGTACATAGATACCTAGGCAATAGGTCAGCCAGTGCCACTACACAAGGACCTTACCTACTAAAGGACGTTACATTAAAGGTATTCTGACATGGTGTCTCAAATTTCCCAGTAGTACACAATCACTTGCAACTGTCATGGGTGCCCCAGCGGATTATGAAGGATTTGAAATTCAAGATTTTGAACGGCTGAAAAACTCACTGAGTCGCTCCAGACAGTGCCAGAGAAGTGTACACACGCTGGATGTGAGAATCTGCTATATGCTCCATCGATATGCCAAACTAGGCCGCACCATAAGAGTCACAAATCGCATACAAGCCGATTCGCTGTTCTAGAGCCAGTTACTACTGTCAGGAGTCCTCCGATGTGCCCTCGAAAATTGGGATGCAATGTCAAACTGTCGAGATTACAGATCCCATGGGAGCTATTTCACAGCTTCTGACACCTTCCTGCTACCGCCAGAGGTTCTTCAGCATAGGTTTATGAATTTAGACGTAATGTCAAATTCTTGAACTTGCAAATCACATGCCAGTCAATTCACGGCTTTTGACGTATCACCACCACTGTTGGAGGTGTTACAACATGTTTTGACAAATCAAGATGCAATGTCAGAGCTCGAACGTTCCAGATCGCGCACGACATATTCTACGGATTTTTGCCGAAATCCTGCCACCGTTGGAAGGCCTACAGCATGCCCTCGGAGACCAAGATACCATGTCAACTTTTCGAGCCTTTAGATTGCACGCAAGCTGTTTGAAGGCTCTTGACACCTTTTACTGCGGTTAGATGTCCTTCGGCATACCCTTAGAAATTAGTGTGCAATACTTAGATATTCCCGCTTGCAAATTGCAAGCAGTCTACGCTACAGCTTTTACCGCCTTCGTACTCTTTTTAGAAGTTCTTTAGCATATGACATGATTTATTAACTATGGTTCTAACGTAGCTTACGCCGTTTCTTTATTGAAGAAACCCTATTTATGGCAAGAACGCACTTATAAAGCTACCTAAGACCTAATATATAGCTAGGCTTATAAGGGGAGCGCTATTTACAGCGTGGTTAGTAAACCGGCCAATTGCAATTTCGGGTCTGGATTGGACTGGACTGGATGGACAAAAATAGGGATTGGATTGAACTGACCGCTTATAAGTGTGGATTAGTTGGACGGATTAGTACTTATTCAAGTAAAACCCTAAAAGGAGTGTAAATTCATCCTTTTTAGGCTAAGCGGGAGCCTTCTAGTGCGGGTTAGACAGATTAAGGATTGAAAAGAGCCTGGATCGATTGATTGGATTGTTATAAGCACGTATTAACAAACCGGCCATCAATCCGAGTGAGGATTGGCCGGTTTACTAACCACGCTGGCTACTTAGTATAGCAGTTATGTTTATACTACCTATACTAGCCTTAACACAGTTTATAGCAACTTTAATTAACCCTCCTCCCTATTACGTTCTAACACAATTTCCCGCCTTTTCTATTTAAAAAAGACAAGCTTAATTAGCAATCCCCCCTTTCTCTCCGCATGACCCCCCTTTTCTCTTCCTACCACCCCCCCTACATTTAGCCTAGCTCCGGGTGGTAATAACTTTGTTCCACTAATTAGATTCACTCGCTTATGTAAATTGGAAAGGCTACACAAATCGGAAAGGATGTATACACTCAGGTTAAATTGATGTGAACTCTGATTTCTATAGACGTCTAGCTAGTTGTATATATACTAGGGGAAGGAAGGGGGGCCACCCCCTGGGTGGCGCGCTAGTAAGTTCAGCTGAACACTGCACAGCTGAGTTTTCAGCTGGGCTCTCCACAGCTGAGATCTCAGCTGTGTTCTCTACAGCTGATGTTCGGAGTAGCTTTCTAGCATATGAGTTGTTGATCCTAGGTTGTAGTGCTGCAACCTGAGTTATACACATGCAACAATAGTCTATTTACTCTATTTACTCTAGCTAGTCTAGAAGCGGAAAGCTCCTAGATGGCCACCTCTTTATTGCTGATTAAAAGGAACGCCGTATACACCATTATACCAAGGTCTTACACCCGAAGATTCTCCTGCTGCACCGGCTCCTTCACTATAGACAGCCTCCTCCTTAGGAGTAGACAAAAGGCCATCCTTAAGGGCTGGTTAATTGTCGGAGACTAAGGAAGCAGAGCCCTGCGTCGCTGTTAGGCCTTCTTGTCCGGTAGAGAGGTCCGGTACTGTATTAGTGAATTAAGACCGTTATTTAACACTACTGTCGCTTACAACCTAATTGGTGGAACAAAGTTATTACGAGCCGAAGCTAGGCTAAATGGAGGGGGGGTGGTAGGAAGAGAAAAGGGGGGTCATGCGGAGAGAAAGGGGGGTGCTAATTAAGCTCGTCCCTTTTAAACACTAGCTTCAACACCATATATACATGTCACTACTAACTATTGGAGCGCCAGGATCATCCAATGCCTCAAATCCACGCGGCCCAAATAAAGTACCCGTCGGCGACACGAACATAGCATTAAAAAGCTCTGCCCGCACAATCAAGGCCATAATTCGAGACGCTGCATGGTTCCATGCGGGGATTGTTGCTACTGTTGAGAGGCATTCAATGGCAAAAGCACAAAACGGTGGCATAGTTTGGGTTTAAACGATGCTCGTGATGCAGCATGCCTTGATGCGCCGATGAGAATCTCGTGAGAAGAAGGTATTCGCTTCCAAGGATTCGTCGCCTTTCATCCTTGTATTGCCTCCGTGTCCACTGATGGCGGGCTGAGCAATTTCTCAAACTGGCTCGTGAGGCCGTCGTCGAGCTGTTTCGGTTCACGCAACTGCATCGATGGGAAGGAGGCTTTGCTGAATGAACGTTGAAGGAGCGCCTCTTGATGGTTGGCTTCGCTGAATAAGAGCTCGAAGCCGTGATCAAGTGGAACTAAGGACTGTCAAAGATCAGCCAGTTACTCGTGTTCCAGTTAGACAGTGGCAAATACCAATATACAGGTTGTATAATAAGGAAGTCGTCGCGGATGAAGAGGCAGATGAAGAGCTAGATGAAAGATTACGTGACTGGAAAACCCCAACTTTGAAAATCGCGACTGGGCCAATTCGGGGTGACCGATGACGAGAGAACATACATACGTATCATAGCGATAACTTTAAACTCAAAAGGAAGAACTTTTAAGCTAAAGATGTTTAACGTATGGCCCAATAGAGACCTTTTATTGTATACAAGCTCAAACGCATAATTATTGATCATCGCCCGCTATGCCCTTAACCCACCAACGCCAGCAAAATGATCTCTAATCCAATGGCGCATGCTTAAACAAAAACGACACACTCTCCCCATTATGTGTCCGCCGACACGCCTCTGCCAGCGTCGGACTTATATCAATCGTCTCGAGCCGCGAGCACCGCTCCTTCTTCTCCTCATGCGGCACCGTGTTCGTCACCACAACCTTCTTCAGCATGCTGCCGTTCAGCTGCTCGATGGCGTTGCCGCTCAGAATCCCGTGGGTGACGATCGCAATGGCTTCCTTAGCGCCGTGCTGGATGACGACGCTGGCGGCTTTGACCAGCGTGCCACACGTGTCGGCCATATCGTCGACGATGATGGCGGTGCGGTCTTTGACGTCGCCGACGAGCACCATTTTCGAGACTTCGTTGGGGCGTGCGCGCTCTTTGTGGATCAGGGCGAAGCCAAGGTCGAGGCCGTCGGCGATGGAGGTAGCTCTACCCATCGTTAGAACCCGTAGCGTAGAATCCGCAATCTCCAGGGTGATATTTACCTCTTCGCACCTCCAGCATCCGGGCTAACGATAACGCAGTCCTTGACATTCAAATTCTCCCGTATCCAGCGCAGCGTGCTGGGTTCGGCGTATAGGTTATCCACTGGAACGTTGAAGAAGCCCTGGATCTGGCTGGCGTGGAGGTCCATTGTTATGACGTGGTTGCAGCCGGCCGTCTGCAGCATGTTGGCCATGAGCTTCGCGGTGATTGGCGCCCGAGATTTGTCCTTTTTGTCCTGCCGCGCGTAGGGGAAGTTTGGTATGACGGCGGTGATGCGGCGCGCGGAGGCGGTTTTGCAGGCGTTGATCATGATGAGGAGTTCCATGAGGCCGTCGTTGATGTCGCCGGGGGCGGTGGATTGCAGGATGAAGACTGAAAGAGTCAGAGAGGTTCGGGTGCTTCGAGGAATGCCAGATTGAGTATGTGTATTGAAGTGGGGCGAGCATACCATCTTCATCGCGAACAGACTCGCCAATGGTCACAGAGGTTTCTTGGTTCGAGTACTGCAGGACGAGGATCTTGGTTAACTCGATTCCAAGCCTGGCAAACGTTAGCAAGAGCATTGATAGCAATTGTTGCTAGAGGAACTATACATACCTCTCAGCTACCAGCCTTGCAAGAACGGGGTGGCTGTTGCCCGTGAGCAGCTTGATGGAGTTTGTGGACATGGCGGACAGTGAGCCGGTGCGTTGAGCGTCGTCGTTGGGGGCGCATGATGAAGCACGAGCAGCGGCAAGCCGACCCATGCCGCTAGATTTTTCGCGTCGTCTTGCCTCGCGCCAAGCCGGCTGGAAGAACATCACTCCCGAGAATTTTCCCTTCGTCAGATCGTGCCGTGCACGTGGTCGGCACGCCTGGCTGTACTTAGCATGTTCGGGCTAGCGCTGGCGACACGCTAGCCCATCCACGTTTCGCCTAAGCGGCCACCTTGTTTCGACCACTGCTGACTGCTGCACAGACGGAGCGGCGTTTGCAACCCGTCGTTTCCCCCACGGCTCTGCCCCTTGGACCTTCCCGTCTTCATTCGCTCTCCGAGACTGCGACAGCTTTATTAGGCTCTGCCCCGAGCTTCACGTTTTTAGTTGAGATGCGCAATCGGTCACGGTCACCATCGTGGCGCGTCCAATACGAAGTATGCAATCGTCGTCTCATTTTCTCCAGCAACACCCTGAAACCGTGCGCACACTAGAGACACCACCACCTGCAGGAACGCCGTGCAACTCCCCAAGCTCGCCCCGAGAAACATGCTGAACGGGCTTCAAATGCAGAAGGCTGGCTGGAGGCGGCCCGGGTATCGTCAGAAGAAGAAGTGAAAAACATCCAATGGAGCGCGTACACACTCGTCGCTTCGTTTTGTACGCAAGCCGTTGAACAATGAAGACCGTAGAAAAGACATAGCAGAATGGCGCCGTTGGGGCACAAAAGCAGACCGAGGTTGCACATGAAAAAGAACAATTAATATAAGCCACCTCTCTCCAATGCCGTTCGGAAACACGCGGCGCAACCACCATTGGCTGTCCGTGACGAGTAAGGAAGGTACTTTTTGGCACTTGTCTCATAATCCTGTGCAGGACGCTAGCATGCTTCGCACATCTTTCCGATCGCCGTTTCAATGTCGGAAAACAGATTGAGTACATGACCATCGGCGTAAATCTTGATCGACTCCACGTCTTTCCTGTCGATCCGGGTAGGGCTCTCAGTCTTGTCCGGGCTTCGTGGTGGTGTTGATTCTGCTATTTCTGCGGCGATATTCGAGGGGGGCGGGTTGAGAACCAGGGCGGCGGCAACGTGCTCCAGTAATTTCTGGCGAAGGCGCAAACGTCGATTCTCTGCCTGTTCGAGCTTGAGGATGAACTCGTCAATGGAGACGTCGAGCTCTGCTAGCGCCTCCTCTTGTTTGAGCAGATTCTCCCTGGAGAAGATGACAGTCTCCCCTCGCTTGAGGTAAGAAATCATCCTGCCGTGTAGCTTCTGGCGGCCTGCGCGAAGAGACTTGTAGGTTTTACGGAGGTATTCGCACCTTTCGTCCAGTGCGCGTAGCTCCTATGGGACGATTAGTACTGCCGTCGAATTTGGCGACACGAGAGGAACATACTCTTGACAGCGAAGCCACGTCTTTCTTGTTCAAGACCTCGAATTGCCCAGCCTGGTCAATTGCTTGCAAGCGTAATCCTTCCTTTTCAGCTTCATTCATCTGCGAAGAAGCATCGATGGCACGCATGCCCTTGGGTAGCTTCCATGTATCTGGTGCTATGGTGTCGGAGGCATTTATTTCAGAACAGGTCCGGCTGCGTTGTCTTTTGATGGACCTCTTGACTGGTCGTCCCCGATCAAGTATTGATGTGTCAGAATTATTCCTAGCGTGAATGTTAGGCCTCTCCGGCCTAGCCTCCGCCTTTGGAGAAACTCTGCGTTCAACAGCGTTCAATGGTGTTATAGCGCTTGTTGGTGCTGAGATCGCAGTAGCATGCAGGGCATTTGGCGAGCGGCGACCTCCAAGTGCACTACTCGGTGAGACTGCAATAGGCGTGACTGTGACTGGGGTGGTTAATTGTGCTTTGCTGGACTTTGATGGAAGCTTCGGCGCTGGGGATCCTCTTCTCTCGACGAAGGGCGATTTTGGGGGAACCTCAGGGGGGATATCTATGGCTTCTAGCAATGTTGGTTGGGTTTCAACTTTCAAGACTGGTCGGGGTAATACGCTAGGACTGAGTATAGGGGACAGAGGCTTCCCACCCGACGATGGGAGAAGGAGTTCCGATTTCGAAGGTTCCGAGGGCACCATAGGGAAGGACTTTTCGAGCTGCATATATGAGGGGCCAGTAACGCAGGAGACAAGAGCATCGCCAAACGGACCAGTTCGCCAGTTGGTTCCAGGAGCACTACTAGATCGTTCATGGCCGAATCCCTCAGATGGTGATTTGCGGAGAGGGGGTCTTCCAGGAATGGTTGCTAACATTTGTTAGCAGAGCATATAATCCCGAGGTAGTAGACTTACGAGAGTCTATAGCTGACTCCTGAACGGTAGTCATTGTGCCGCCAAGCTCTGGAACGCTGACTTTTCGCCGCCTGGAAAGGGAACCTCCTCTGTGCCAGAATGGAGTTGAATCGGGACTGACGGCAGTATCACTCAGAGACGTGACAGAGCGGCCCATGGACAATGCTATCGACCTGTCTGAAAGCAGTACCGGCTTGTTGGATCCTACGGGACTTCTATTGGACGTCGTGGGCCAGAGCTGATACTTTGAAGTCGGCTGCTGCTGCAAACCTAGCTTGGAGGGGCGGGTTCCAAATACTTTTGCCGTCTCTCTAGAAGCCTGGATTTCCTTTAGAGAACGACTCCTATGAAGTGGAGGGTGCGGCATTAATGCAGCGGGTGGCGGACAACTTACTGGGCTGCGAGCGGACGGCGTTTCCTGCGTTATATAAACGTTTGTCTTGTCGACGTCGGGCCGCATGCAATTGGCGATGTGTGTCATGGCGGAGGGCCAGCAAGCACGAGGGCTTATTATCGTCGTGCTAGGACCTGGATCTTTGTGAGACTCGGATGGCTGGCATGTCAAACATGAGGCCCGCGATCCCTTGCAGCGGCGTCGAGAAGGCAGCTTCGTGCTTTAAGTGTGGCTCCTTCAAACTGCTATTGCTACAAGGGAAAGGAGCAGACCCCAGGCCAATGCGAAGTACCAATAGTAGCGACATGCGTCTAGGCTCTCGGGGGGCTGGCAAGGGGATTGACAGACCGCATGTTGGTGAAACGCAGGCCTGACAAGGCCTGCGGACGATTCGTGGGGAACCTGCAGGGCGGACGTGCCAGAGCGCGCGCCTGGTGCAGCGAGGCCCGGGTCATAATGCAGACTATTATAGATATGCTTATACCTGTGACGGCCGCGCGCGATTCATGTCGAGGAAGGCAGGTGAGTGCCCGCCACCTTTACTGGAGGTCCCAAGCAGGGACAGGATCGGAGACTGCTTCGAGAGCAGTCACACCAGCGTCGTGTTGCCAGATTGTACTGCGACCATCATGCCTCCGGCGCATCCCACGGCGACGAAGATGGACCGTCTGTTGCTGCATCGAGAGAGCACACGATTGAAGCAGCCAGGAGGGTGTCCGGGAGTGCTGTATGCCAGTACAGAAGAGGCACGCGGCGTCGGCGGGAGCCTGTATGGAGGCCGAGTCTCCGCATCGAGCCCCGGCCCGTGCCCGCCATGGGCTTCATACAGAACTCTGCACCGCGTGCATCACGCACCAAAGTAAGAACCTTCGAGTACCGGGACGTTCCGGCGCGCTCGCTGTCGGGGAACGACGTGAAGACTCGACGAAGCAAGGTCGTTGGAGCAGGCCATGACGGCTCTCCTCTCCTCCACCAGGGCCCGGGGCGAGGCAGTAGTGCCCGGCGGCGCCTCGTGTTTTGAGGGCGGAGCGGCCGTCGCAGCGCGGAACGGCGTCGGCGGGCGTGTTTGAGGGCTGATGGCGGCCGCTGAGCACGAGAAACAGATGGAGCCCACCATGCACAGGGCGCAAAGGCGCTCCGTGCAGCAAGGCCCGCTGGCCACGCGAGAGAGACAGGCGCCCAGCGCAGGACGAGCCGGGCGGGACTCGAGCTGCCCCGCATCATGTCCGATTTGGCGTGGTGTTGAGGAGCTGGCGTGCTGGTGAAGGTTGCTGGGGCCGCCCTGCGAACGGGATGGCGCCCCTTGGCGTGAAGCTCGCGTGCGTTTGACAGCTGCATGGCAGGGTGGCCTCCCTCCCCAGCAAAAAGAAGCCATATGTACATACATAGAAGCATGTGTTAAGGCCGGGATGATCTCGCAACTCTCCCTTGGCACTCGCTCCTCGGAACGGCCTAGGGCGGCATGCTCTCCAGGGCTTCTTTCAGCAGACAAGCTCCCAAGCTCCCCAGCCCCGCTTCAACCTGCAATTCAAGAGAGCCAAGCTTCGTGCCGTCACCATTCAGGGCACATCCAGCAGCATCGAGCCTCTCCGCGTCTCTCCGGCCTGCACCATCACCCTGAGGTCATCACTCCTAAAGCTCAAGAACGCTCATGCGCTTCCCCGCTCTTCACAGGCACAATCATGATCTGCCCATTGCGAGCTCCGCCACGCTTACCGCCCCTGAACTCGCTCTACAAAGGGAGTATCAAGGACGAACATCTTCTCCTCTCGACGATTCAGGTTGATCAGGCAGCGCTGTTCTAATGTCCGATATCATGGATCGGAGCATCCGTATCCCACGCCTGCTTTCTCCAACCTTGCAATTCCAGCACGAAATTCGAAGCTGTCCCGCTTGGTGCGCCATCGAAACGACCTGAGGCACCTCCGGCCTCGAGCCTGCGGGACGCGGCCCGAAGCCTCTGCCATTCTGCAGCACCCACCGCCGCCATGTCCACCTCCCCTGCACCTGGCTCTCCGATGCACGTAATGTTCGTCAGGAAAGCCAATTGCCCCGGCGATGGATGCTGCATCTATCCCTACGGTCACGGGTGCCTTCACGAGCTTCACATTAACACGGCACTACCCGCTGAAAGATAGTCACATCTTCACATGTGCCCCATCTTGCATATCGTCAGCAGCCCTCGCCGCTTCTGGTGCGTTGCGGCCGGAAAGAGTTCATCACAGGACCGTTGAGGATAGCCCTCTACTCGTTCCTGCAGCTGCAGAGTGCTAAACTAGTGCAGCCAATGCGGCATGGGCTCGAGTATCTCGGAGCCGAATTGCTGGGAGCAGCTGTGACGTCTGGGCATCAGTGCGTGAAACATCCAGTAGCCGAACCCGCCTCTCATTGGGGAGCCGTTGCGATAGCGAAGGCTTGTCTATCGTGCCGTTTCTATTCCCATTCATCGGTACCTAGAGCAAAAATTTTGACCCTCTAACCAACTCGAAACTATGAGTGTGACGTCTATAGAACGGTAGGCTGGGTTCAAGACAACGAAATTCCCTCTCTACAACTCTAAAGCCAACCTGAGATGGCTTCATTCCACTTGAGGCGCTTTTCCCGACTGAAAAATGTGGAGTCATCCGTGGGACACCTCCGAGCGTTGCAAAAGCAATATCGCGAGCCATATCCCCCTTCAAGCATCGCGTAATATAATCGGACAGTTTCGCTCCGTCATAATATATGTAGCTTGTCCGCCTATCGTGAACCCTCTCCATATCAAGCCTCATTATTATTGGGCCTCGCGCGCGGAGAAATTCAATACACTATACCAGCCACGGATCGATAAGATTTCCACATAGCAACACCACGCTCCCGGCGGAAGTAGCATGAAACTCTCCGAAAACTCATCACGATTCATGGGCCAACCAGCTGCCGTGGCACCCTTGCCATCACGAGGCAGATCGGTTTGGGGCGAATTTCGCCTGGCGATCTTAAGCTGAGTGGACGCTTAATGGGAATCATCGTGAATCTGCTTGTTCCTCTGCCCTAGAAGATTCGGCTTCTCCATCTTCTACTTTTTCACGCCTACCCTAGAGCTCGCTAGGAAGCGGCAGAATTTGACACATTGGTGCTGTTGTGTAGGCCCCAAAATGTTCCAAGCATGGGAAACGCTGGAGTTGCAACACCATACGAGCTCTGGATCCAGCAAACCGAAACTAGGCTATCAAACGCGAGACCTAAGCCTTGGGCTGCGAGCCCTTTCTTTTCCAATGCCGACAGTCTCAACGGAGGTATTCACCTGTATCATTCATTCGAACTCCGATTACCAGCTTCCACGCACTTCTTGGATCCTACTCTCTGCCTCATTCGACATCTAATTGAACCTCATCACTCACACTCCCACCGGTGAACTACTCTTGTATCAACCCTCCAGCCCTCCGTTAAACGTTCGTTTCTGCTCTCATCAAAGTCGCTCGCACCATCTCATTAGTCTTTCATTCCACCCCACTGAGACACGGCTATTCTGACGAGACACCCATGCCTCACCTCACGGCCGCCCGAACTCAACCGCACAGGCTTCACCCAGCCGGCTACCGGTTTATCGATAATCGAGTCCTAAGCGACAGACTGAACTCCTCCGCTTCCGTCTGTACGACCGAAGGCGCTTCTTGTCAGAAAACGCCGCACGGCTAATTACACATATGACCCGGTGTCGGCTCTCGGCTTTTATTATCGTGCCACGAGGGCTCGTACAACGTTCTGCAACCGTCCTGCGACCCGCCTGTTTGCCGATATGCCATTCGGAGGATTGTCCGTGTGCAACGAGGGGTCGTAGCGCTCTGAGAAACGGGTTCAGGTGGAGGTAGGAGAATGGTTTGCTTCTTAAGAGCGCTTCGTTTTGCTCGAGACCCGTAGCCTTGCTGTGTAGCAAAAGGAAAAAAGCCTGCAGTTAGTCATGCTTGTATAGTTCTGAAGTTGAGCATAGTTGCCGTTTGGACTGGTGCTGGACCAAGGATAAGCTGGGGTGGACCTGGCGAGGGTGGTTCGTGAGGAAGTACGCAGCGAGAAGACGAACGCGCCAGATAATCTTACTAACCACATGCATCTCGCTGCACGATCAATACCATATCTCTATACTTTGCGTCGTGCTTGAGTGTTCAATGCTAGGCTAGAACGAAGAAAATGAACAGCAGTGTTGTTGATCGCATTTGTACAATCACGTGATCCCATAACTCTCCGAGAATCAACCTCGCAGCCACGTGATGTCCTCCCCTACTTAGCTACCCCTCCTCCTGGCCCGTGCACCTGCCTTTTCCGGCAACCTCTGACACCAAAAAGTGTGGAGCACAGAGCGCCCTTCACCGCACTTCTAATTAATTCATATAAATTCAACAACAGGGCCTAAGCATCTATCCAGCAGTTGGTTTGAGCAACAGACCATAGCGAAACTTTCTACCGCGGCAGAATTCGAAAAGAGGCGCTGGTTGGCGAGATATAGCTGATGGGGTGGATGGTGTGGTGATTGGAGGGCTTTGAGCATACCAAGATGCATCAATGACAATGTCGCCGACGTGGAGGAAGCGATGATTGCAAAGCGTGGCACAAACGGCCCGGCCGTAGTACTCGCAGGAAAGGGCCATCGAGTCTGCAGAAATGGGGTGTTTACAACTATCGTACATATATACATACAAACCGATCCCCCCAACGCCCACATCCAGCAACAACACACACTCTCATCTGCTCCCCAAACCCCCCTACCGTAACTCCACCCCCAACCTCCCCACCAACGTCCGCCTCAGCCTCTCATGCAGCTCATTCGTCTCCTCATTCGTCAACGTGCGCTCCAAACTCCGATAATTGATCCTATAGCAACAACTCCGCCGCCCCGTCTTCGGATGCGTAAACTCATCCACCAACCTCACGTCCTCCGCCAAATCTCCCGCGACGTCCCGCACAAGCTCCATAACATCATTCTCATGAAACCCCGCCACCAGCCCCCCCGCACTATTCCCCCCCGCACCCACCGGCAACCAGAACGACACATCCTTAAAGCACGCGGGATACTTGCTGAACGGCGCGAACCGCGCGATGGGCTTGCTGGCGCTGAATTGCGACAGGAAGCGCTGGTCCTCCGACCAGAAGAGCCGGATGTCCGGGATCGAGAAGAGCAGCATCGCGATGCGCTCCAGCCCGAGCCCGAACGCCCAGCCGATGCGGGTGGGCACGCCCGCGGCGGCCAGGATGCTGTGTCGCACGACGCCGGAGCCGAGCACCTCGAGCCACTCGCCCTGCCAGAAGACCTCGAGCTCCCATGAGGGCGACGTGAAGGGGAAGTAGGCCTCCACCCAGCGGATCTGGAGGGGCTCGTCGGGCGGGGCGTCGCCGCTAGGGGTGGTGGTGGCGGCGCGGGCGGCGGTGAAGATGGCGACGACGACGTCTTCGAGGGAACGCTTGAGATGCGCAGCGACGGCTTCGACTTCGTCGGCGGCGTGCTCGGGCTGCAGGGGGTTGCGGTCCGGGTGCATGGTCGGGTTGGGGTCTTGGGCGGCGAGGCCTGGGTGGGCGGGGATTTTGGCGACGTCGGCCCAGATCTGCTGCGCGAGCGTGGAGCCGGCGGGGACGGAGTCGCGGTCCCAGGTCATGGCGCCCTCCATCTGGTGGAAGACGGGGTAATGGCTGCGGTCGACGGCGTCGCGGCGGTAGACGTCGGCGCTGATGAGGTAGCCGGGAGTCTCGTTGGCGCGGAAGGTGTCGGCTTGGTGAGCGGAGGTGTGGGTTCGTAGGACGGTTTTGGAGTTGATGTAGTATGTGTCTGTCCGGCTGCGTCCTGGGTGGTCGGGTGGGAAGCCGAGGGAGTCGAAGTTTTGGTGGGTGGTTACGATGGGGAAGAGAGCATTGTGGTAGGCGTAGCCTGGGAAGCGGGACTCTATGAGCTGCCGGGTGATGGCGAGGGGGTGGTCGGGCTGTAAGTGTAGGCGTTTTGAGACGGCTGAGAGAATGGAAGGAGGTGTGTTCATCCATTCATCGGTTTTGTAGGTCTTTCCATCTGCACCTTCAATCGCGATGCTTGAGGTTGGACCTAATACCCGCTTTAGCAAATTAATGTCTTCGCTTATCAGTCTCACAGAGTATGAGTTTCGGAGAGGCTCTAGCGAAATTGAATGAAATTCGAACTATGTTTTATGTCTACCACCTTAATGACTGAAACGCATAACAGGAGAGATGTTATTTTAAGAGACGGCTGATTAGGTTAAGAAACGGCGGGTGAGGAAGCTCATTGAATAGGGATTGTATAGGCATAGCAGAGATGTCCAATGAGACGAGAAAATCCAAGATTACAAGAAGAGGACGTGGAGAGAGAGTGAGATCATGTGACGCGTACCTGAGGAGGAGTAGCACGACTGAACAGGAGAAGGGCTCCTCCATCTCGGCCGTCTAGCGAGCGAAAGCAGAGAAGGCGGCCCGCGAACAGCCGACGAGGCTCTAGCGGCTACACGAGTGGCCATGCAGTTGTCTTCTTCCGCGTGCAGATGATAGACAGGAACCACAGCGATGCATGAAAATGTGGTGAGGGCAGGGTCGGCTACGGATGCCGCCCGCCGAAAAGTAACGTTGCCAAGCCGATCGTCCCTACGAAGCTCGGGCCGTCCTAAAAAATCGGTGATATTCGGCCTGGAGGCTGACGGCTAAGACCAACCTCACTCGATTTACTTATCACCACCGCCCGTGACGTCCTGCCTCCGCGCTCTCTCAAGGATGCCACGCGAGCCATGTCTGCTACCGCCAAACCTCTGTCTGCTCCCGCCGCGGCCGTGAAGAAGGACAAAAGCACCCAGAAAGGCGCCATTCACTATCCCTTTTGGTTTGGCGGCTCTGCGTCATGCTTCGCCGCGAGCATTACCCACCCGCTGGACTTAGGTGAGTTTGTGGAGCAATTGGCGCGTCGGGGTGTTGCTAATTTTTTTATAGTCAAGGTGCGACTCCAGACACAGCCGCACCATGGCCACCGGCTCAATATGCTACAAATGTTTGCCCACGTCGCCAAGGATGATGGGATAACGGGCCTATACCGTGGGGTAAGATAGCCAATTCCATGTTCTTATTATGCGCATTGCTAATCGCTCTTGCGCAGCTCTCTGCCTCCCTCCTCCGCCAGGCCACATACAGCATGACGCGCTTCGGTGTGTACGAAGAGCTCAAGGACCACTTCACGACGCCCACGGCTCCCCCATCTTTCCTGGTCCTTGTTGGCATGGCCTCGGCGTCCGGTTTCATTGGCGGTGTAGTCGGCAACCCCGCCGATGTCCTCAATGTCCGCATGCAGCACGACGCCGCCCTTCCGCCAGAGAAACGCCGCAATTACAAAAACGCAATTGACGGGCTGATACGAATGACACGCGAGGAAGGGCCCAAGTCTCTGACGCGCGGCGTCTGGCCGAACTCGATCCGGGCAATCCTCATGACTGCGTCGCAGCTTGCGACCTACGACATTTTTAAACGATTGCTACTTGCACACACTTCGCTAAAAGATAACCTCACGACCCACTTCTCCGCCTCGTTCATGGCAGGGTTCGTCGCCACGACCGTGTGCTCCCCCGTGGATGTTATCAAGACCCGTGTCATGAGCTCCCACGAGCATAAAGGGCTCGTCAGGCTGGTGACGGATATATTCCGCGCCGAGGGCTTGGGGTGGATGTTCAAGGGCTGGGTGCCTAGTTTTATACGAATGGGACCGCATACGATCCTCACGTTCTTATTCTTGGAACAGCATAAGAAGATATACAGGAACTGGAAAGGGTTGGAGGTGTGAGTACCTTTGCCGCTTTTCTGTCGGTGACTATCGGGGTATTTTGTTTCGATATCTTAGCGTTGTGGCTTAGACGGTCCTGCGATTTAGCATTTCCCTGGCGTTTGCATGTGGTAGGCACTTCTCCAAGAATATCAATCGGTGCAAGCCATTGGATGTTTTGCTTCATGTGTTTTTTTTATCTCAACCTTATGTCCTAGATGTACATAAAGTACCCTCTACCACGAATGGCATACAAGGGGTAAGTACATATCATCAACTCCACCAACCTCCACCTCTTTAGCTCTCCCCACCTACCCCCCCAAATTCCCCGTATGATACCTACACCCCGCCTCATGCCTCTCATTCCCAAACTCCCGAATCCCCGCAAAATCCGCCAAGCACACCCAGCAAAACTCCCCGCCGCACCGCGAGCACGTCATGTGATCGCACCCCTCAGCCTTCTCAATCTTCCACCCACACACCACCCCCGGCCGCCCGGGACACGTCTTCGTCGTCTCCACCAGCAGTCTCGCCGTCGCTGCATCCACGCCCGCCATCTTATCCGCCTCGACCCGCTCGTCAAACTCGCGGCACGTGAGCCCCTCGTGCCACGCCCGCTCGTGGATGACGCACTGCTTGAAGCCACAGGCGCCGCACGTCATGATGGGCCCCGCGCGGCCGGAGGCGTGCAGCTGGCCGGAGCCGCAGGCGGCGGCGGAGAGGCACCAGCGGAAGTTCGGGTCGGCGCTGAGCAGGGCGCGGGTTTGGGCGGTTTCGAAGGCGGCGAGGGTGAGCGGGGCGGCGAGGCGGTGGATGTCGGGGTGCGTGAGGTGGTTTCCGCATTCTGGACAGCCGATGGCGGCGGGGCCTTTGGTTGTCAGGGAGGAGCGGATCCAGGCGTCGAGGTCGGCGGTGCAGACTTGGGGGCTGTGGGTGCAGTGGGCGGTGGGCGGCTGGGGTGGGAAGGATGTGGGCGGGAGGGCGTCGGTGCAGATTATGCAGGTGCGGGGTGAGGAGACTGCCGGTGCATTGCTGGGAGGCGGAGGGTTAGCGGAGGGACGAGAATTGTAAGAAGATAGTATGTGTACCTCTTCTCTTTGTCATCCATGTCTGCTAACTGCTTTTCCATCACTGCTACTTCCTTCTCTAACCTCTCTAGCTCATCTAGCATCCGCACCCCGAAATCCCGCTGCTCGATGGTGTACCAGAGCTCGATCCTCTCGTCGGCAGACCTTTCGAACCCCATGCCTGCGTTAGTAGCACTCATTGTATCATCGCTCAACTCCTCGCCCCGGAGGTATAGCCGCAGTCGTGATGGGTCAATGATGTTAGCAGCCGGATCTCTGACATCCAGCATCCGTGCGGCATCTGCACGGACTTCCTCGACGCTCAGAGTCTCGGGTTGCAAGCTCGGGATGTCAAGATTGCATGTGTGGCTGCCACGTGATAGGGAAAGGTGGAGGTATTTGAGCATTGGGCTTTCGAGACGGTTGCCGCGGCGTGCTTGACGGGTCCAGTGGACTTTTAGGGTCGTTAGCATTGTGTGGATGATATCAGGTATAAGTAACGACAGGAAGTCAGGAAATAGAGGCTCTCGGTGAGGAAGGAGATGGGCAGCAAGCTGGGCGAGAGTGGTTCTGAGGTTGACCTTGTTGTATTTCCACGGTTCTGGATATTGACATGAGAGTGACTTGAGAAACGAAATTACAGGGTTTTGACAACAAAGTGAGGAGAAGAATAAAGATATGCTTTCTTCTCAAGCAAATCTGGACATCAGAATAGGAACTGCTAGAAAACAAATTACCTGCGCTACCCGAGCAATAATGCCGCCACCGTGTTCCACGATTGACATTGCCAGTGCCATCCACGTATACCGTATACGTAGCAGCACTTGGCCTCTTATCCAAGCAAGCGCAGCACAAGGCTGCAGATAGCTGACATGCGGCCAGCCTTTTATGGGCGCATGCTCCGCTTGAGATAGCTTGAACACTTGCATTGCGATGGCAGCTTTCGTCCTTGCGAGTATGCAGTTCTTTGTGCCCGGGCGGCGGCGGTGGTGTAAAGAGTGGAATTTTGGAAGAAGATGAGGCTGAGCCGGATCGTAGCGACCTGATTCGGTCGCGGAGACCCATGCTTTACTGGGAGCCTTACGACAGAATGACGGATGAGGGAAGGGGAGATGAAAGGCTGTTGGTCAATGAATGAAGGACTAGTTATATGAAGGAAAGGGTTTTGACTCAGCGAATGTACGAGGTTAGTGTCGTGCAGCACTGCCTGGCGGAGTGCACGGTCTGTGGCAGTGCAGCTCGGCAATCCCGTATCTGGATGAGGCGGTGCGAGGGACCAACCAACCAATCAGTCGAATAGCTATTAGCGCGTGAGCCCCTGTGCAAAATCCAACGCTCAGATTTTGACCAGATATGCTCTTTGAGAGAGATAAGTCGTTGGTCTCAAGCAGCTTGTTTCCAGGCCGAGTTGAGATACTCGAATGCTAGAACACCGAGTAGATCACAGACGATTACGATATCGTTGTAAGACTATAGTGTGATAAACACTCTTTAGGCTGGAACGAATATGCCCACACCAACAGCGCAGCTACGTTTTATATTATACGTACTTCTAGCGGCGTAGATAGTGGTCGCACTATGAGAATCGACATTATGCTTCAACTCACTCATAAGCGTTATATTGCCGCAATTGTAAAAACTGCAACATAGAGAAGTTAGTAAACTTCGTCGCCTTTAGATCTGACTTACCAATTGATAAAGAGGCGATCTAAACCGCGGCTATGTGCTAGACATTTAGCGGACACTACCTAAACTTACTTGGAGTATCAATCCTGTAAGCATTCATTCATATTCGAGCAGAGCTGGGCGAGGAATCAGTGTAGGCTAAAGATCGGCCAAGTTACCTACGCAAGACGGAAACACATTCCTGATGTGCGATAGACGATCTGCAGCTATATCTCGCCAACCCGCCACTCTCTTTTAATTCCGCTCCGGTAGAAAGTTTCGCGATATTCTGTTCCTTAATCCAGCCGGAGGATAGGCCCTGAAGGCGTGCTGTTGAATTTATACGAATTAATTAGAAGTAGGATGAGGGGTCGCTCTGTGCTCAACGCTTTTTGGTGCAGAGGTTGCCGAAAAGGGTAGGTGCACGGGCCATGAGGAGGGGTAGGTAAGAGACGCCAGCCGGATGCGAGATGTGAGATGTGAGATGTTCGCATAGCCGCCGGCGGTAGAGGAGTCAGCTTAGCTCTTGCGTAGAAGGCGGGGGCAGGGGAGTAGTGAAGAGGTTGATACTAGGAAAGACGTGATCACGTGACCATAGAGAATGCTACCAACAACGTTGCTATCCATTCCAACTAGCGCTTAACACTCAAGCACGTCGGACCTAACCTTCACACCTACCCCATGATCCCCTCCACCAATGCCTCCGCAGTATCAACCCTCCCGTCTTTCCCTCAATCGCAAAGAGTGCGGGCATAAAAGGCTTAATTGATCTTTCCACCAGTCAGCAATAGGCGATATCAAGCACCACTTAGCACCACTGGCTTCTTGTTTTGTATGTTCTTGAGAGTGGTGTATCTATTCCATGAAGCTAGTGGCACTAGACTCGATAGTATACTGCTGTAGAGGAATGGAAAGCTAAACGCATTTTAACGCAAAATAGCGTAGTACAGCTACCCACTCAATTCTCGCAAAGCATTCTCCTAAAGCAAGGCAGGATTAAGTGCGAAGACATGTAGGTCTACAATACGCATGTCGATACTGCCTGTGTTTGTAGAGCATCTTGCAGCTCAGCCCTTTTCAACCACTCCTGCTCATTACAGTGCTACACGGCACGCACTTTATTGCGTGAAGATCTTCCTCCAATCACACGGAGCGCTTGCAATCCCGCAACCGCACTAGGAGTAGTAGGTGCATTCGAATCTAAAGTTGAATTGTCGGTGTTGCGTTTTCCCTTGATTCCGATGCTTCCATTGCGTCAGCCAGGCACTCCTTCCATCACACAGCGTCAACTTACCGGAGTCTGAGGCACAGGAAACGGCGCCCCATCAAGATACCCACAGTCGTCATGCGTAGCCGTCGCGTAATCCGTGCCATTAAACGTATTATCATAGTTCGTCGTATTCCCACTCATCATCCAAGAGGCGCCCGCGTAAGTCAGCTGGATATCGTAGGCACCGTAACATGGGCCGGGAACGTATTTCATATCCATAGTACCTTTCAAGAAGGGATCTGCAAGCTTTAGTACTCCGACGCCCGCCAAGTCTTTCTCGAGAACGCTTCCGTAGCTCCAGCTACGATCAGTAGACTTTGGGTCGAAGGGCCGGGACATCTGTATTCCGAGAATTTCTGATAGCTCACTCCTTTGAAGTGTGTGGCGCGATTGGAAGAAGTACATGTCGCATTTGCCCGTTTTACTCGCAGTAGGCGAAGGCCCAGAGGTAGTAGTCGATGAGGTTACGTAGCCCAGCTGAAGGCTGAGCGTTGGAGCCGATGTGCTAGATGCTGACGATCTTGAACCGCAGTCGGGTTTGTTGGACCCAGTGCTCTGGAATATGCAACTGGAGCTATTATAGGAGGAAAAGAAGCCGTTTCAGTGCGAAGGGAAGCCGTTCTAGGGCCAGAGGGAGCCGTCGCAGTGCACAAAGGAGCGATTCCAGTGCCATATGTGGCCATTCCGGTGCCACAGAAGATGGACGAGTTTCCAGAAAATGAGGACGTGGCTGCCGTCTCCAATTTCGGCGTCGTCAGCGTCATACGCAGCGTTGAAATGGCTACGGTAGGCGTGGAAGATGTAAGCTCGCTAGATCGAGGAAGACAGGGCTCAATATCGGATGTGAACATGCCCACCAGGGCGGTTGTAGTCCTACTTGGTCTAACGCCGGTAAACGAGGAGAAGAGTGCCGATCCAGTCGGTAATTGACCTATACATGGTCAATGAAAGAAAGATGTATGATGGAAAGGCGGAGACACCTGCCATAATTTGTGGTTGGAGTTCCCTTGGGCAAGATGTAGACCGGATTACCCAAAACTACGTTTACGCAGAGCAGGAACACCGCAATATGATTCGTTAAAAGTAGCATACTGTCGCGTGGATGAGGACTCAGGAAAACTATAACAAGAGAGATTGAGAGTGATTGGTAAAAAAGCGTTTGACTTTCTAAGGGCATCTTTATATCAAGTACATGCAACTTGGAAATACCAAACCGCCTTTGAATATGTGGCTTTTGACACCTGTTGCGGGCCCGGTTTCACTACCGTTCCTACAACGTTCCTTCCCTCGCCTGCGAATCCATTCGTCATAGGCAGCTCCTTGTTGAAATGGTTTTAGTGTACTGTGGCCTTCTACTCCACATGACTGGCCTTGGAATGCGGCACGGGACCAAGTTGGGATTTTGGGCTTGCTTGCTGGCTGTCTAAACCAGCAAGATGGTGAATGCACACTTTACAAGTCAGTAACTAGTCCTCAGAGTGCCAGCGGCTATGCGCGACCATGGCAAATGTTGGCATAATGGCACCGCAGATGTCGCATCTGAATGACGAGATCTCATCTACCATTTCTTCGTCACTGTCCCAGCCTTGTCCGATCTCTTCTGCGCGACTGTCTTGGGAGCGTGGTATGATATCTTCGGAGCCTTGGTGCGTGATCGGAGGAGTTGATTTGAGTTGGACACCTTCATCCGGCTGTTCTTTGTTGCCTAGATGGTCTTCTTGATCTGGCTGCTCTCCCATCGTGGCATCAGCGGCCGGGCTAGGCGAACGGTCTCGATCCTCTACTCTCCATTGCTTCAGCACATCGTCCTGCTGCTTGAACATCCTCGCAATGTTCCGCCCTGTCCCAGCTCTGGTGTCACTTGCTGTGTCCTCCATATTGGTGATAGCAATGTTCATCAAGCTCAAGTTCCAGCCGCTCTTCTCGGGATGTAGTTTTCGGAACAGCGGGAGCAGGACCTCGGCGACCAGCTTCTCTGCAAGATTATCGACCGTTTCAGTCAGGTTGAAGATAAAGTTGGGAGAGGGCGCGGAGCGTGAGATACGATTGAAGGTTCTAGTACGAGTTCCATCTGCGTTGAGCGGTGGACGCGGTCTGCTCGACAGGCGGAGGGTCTTTGGATGGGCTATCCATCTCTTTCCACCGGTTGCGGCGACCGAGTCTGTGTTGAGCTCGTCGTCGTCTTCCAGGAGATCTATGCGCATGCGAGTGATTAAGCTTCTGGTTAGTGTGTGTAGCTCTCGCAACACCTCCTCCATGGTGTCTAGTCGCATATAGCTGTCCTCTATGCTTATTTGCTTAGGCACCTCGCGTGCTTGGCCTACCTCGGTCTCGTCTACTCCATTTACGAGCCCCCAGATTTTGCCTCCGATGCCGTGCGGAGTGCCCGGACCGCCTAATACCTTTTCTAACACTTCAGCATTCATGCCTGGATGTGTTCGCACGTCGCGAACGAGGACTTGTTCTTTCGTGCCACCATACACAAAGCCATTGTCAAATTCGGCAGGTCTACGCAAGACGTGCTCACGAATTTTCTGGGCCAGCTTGAAGCCGATGCCCGGGATTTTGCCAACTTCGTGGCTGTCAACGAATGTGGTGACATTGTCCGATTCTCCAACGTCCGAGTTATACGGAGGCATCAGAGTGGTCTGCCCTTTGGGTTTATTCAAATTCCCAACTAGTTTAGCAAGTAGCTTAGAGGTTGAGATGCCAACGGTGCAGGTATAATCCTTGACTTGTTCTAGTTGGTGGCGTAGGTGCATCGCCAAATGGGAGCCAAGGTGCAACCGCAGCCGGAGTGCATGGAGTTGCCCAGCGTCTAGAGGAAGCTTATCCTGCAATTCGCCAGGGTAAGTGTGACCCGCCACCTGCGATGCATCAACAGCAAAGCCTTGGGTTGGGTCGGCTTTGGATAGGCAAAAGAACGAGTTGGCTAGGTCATTCGGGTTCAGCAGGGTGAGATTGTAGTCGACAATATCTGAAACATCCATGAATACCTAGCAGGTCTTCGTATTAGCAGGATGACTGACAGGCCCTAATCCTCGAGTCGTGTTCGGTGAGGATCGGGAATCGTGTGTTGGAGGCTGAGCAGAAACGAGCAATAGGCGACAACCTCACCTCATCGAACCCGAGTCTCTCGACCTTGGCGTTCCACGAAAATGCTCGCAGGAAGGAATATAGGTCTTTGGAGGCATTTCGAAAGCGGGTGAGATCTTCCCCAAGCACGATTACGACATCGGGACATATTTTCCTCGCTTCTTTGATGGGCTGCAGCTTGCGGAGGCCCTGGTCCATGTCAGCGGCTACGTGCATTATCACAACCACCACTGCACAGTTGCTTGATGACCGTGGGATAAGGCGGCGTACTCTACGGCGGGCCTCGTAGTTGCACGTGGCGATAATCTGTTTCTGCTGCACAGCCAGCGGCAGGGACCGCAGGGCTGGCGTCTCAGCCTCAAAAACAGAAGCGTAGAAGCAATCCTGGAGGATTAGAAAGCGCCCCAGTCAGCGTTTCGTATTACAGAAGCAAACTTGCGCAGTGACATGCTGTGTATAGGCCTTATACGGATAGCGAGACACAAAACGTACGTAATCCTGCGAATATAGCAGCGACGGGTTAGCAATCGGGCGGAGGAGGTTGGAGGCCGGAGGCGCAGAACGGAGGTGAAATTAGGCCACCGAGACGGGCGAGACGGGCGATACGTACGAAGTGGATGATGATTTGCTCGCAGGGCCTCTTACGGGCGTTGCTGCGTCGACCGGACTGCATATTCGGGCATGAGGACGACGCGAGAGACGGAGCGGTGCAAGAGGCGCCGACGGGGCGCGATGAAGGAGTTGGTGTTGGAGCCGGCAGCGGCGCGGCTGTTGGGTTGGAGTGATCGCAGTGCTAGTTGTGGGAGTGGTCGAGGTCGGCGGCTTCTTGAGCGCTGCGATGCGTCACTGGTCGATACCGGCCCTTCCGCTGGGAGTGAATGGTGACGGCGCCGGGGAGGTGCAGGACGGGCTTGGCGGGCGCGAAGGCGCGAAGGCGCGGAACGGGATGCCGACCAGCACTTCACGATGCGGCGTGGAACGTCGTCTCGAGTTCGCCGTGAGCGTGTAATATTGCCAATACAGTGCCACAGCGCTGGATCACCCGGCTGCCGGGACGCTCGTCGCCTTGCCCGTCAGCCACACCTGTTGCCACTGACGATGGCGGCTGGAGGGCCCAAATCCTCGGCCAGGAGACTGACAGGAGACCGGCCACGCCTGGAGCTGCCTCAAGGCTCAGGGGACGCAAAGCGCGTCCAGGCCCGCGTCAGCTGGAGGAGCTCGACGCGCACGAGTTGGTGCGTTGCGGGTGGTTCGGTGGTGACTGGCTGTGGCCGGCGACGCTTGGGATGGAGGGCGCCGCGAAACTAGAATAGCGCATCGGGCCAAAAATAACCCCCCGGCAAGCGTGCTGGACTGGAGCCGACAGGGTCCGAACGGGCGCTTCTCACACGCGCGGCCTGCCTCGACGCCCCACAGCCTGCCGTCGGCCTCAGCGTCTCAGCGTCGCAGCGCCGCAGCGTCGCAGCGCAACAAAAGGGACGCCGCAGCCACTTGAAACCATGCCTCGACCGTCTCTATGCCCTACGTGCCCCTCCGCGAAGCCGCCTGAAACCCCGCGACCGCTGCCAATATATAGCCTCGCGCCAGCCCCACGACACCACCACCCGCGCCGCCTGCACGCCTGCTGATCCATCGCCGTCAGCAGCCATCGTACCTTGCGCCTCCTCCCAAGACGACAGCGCCTGAGCGCCCCGCGCCGCCCTCCCTCTTATCAGAGGCCCCTCCCCGGCGTGACTGCGAACGGTCACGACCGCAACCTCCACCGTCATGCTCGCCCTCCCTCAGTCCCTGGCCTCGCCGCGTGAACAGCAGCCACCGCCCACCATGACCACCTCGCTGCCCATATTACCCCAGCGCCAGCCCTCCTCGCGGCCCTCGCAACCCTCGCAACCACCGCTGCGTCCCAAACTCAGTCTCAACACCCAGCAGACCCGGCTGTTCGGCAAGCAGGCGAGTCTGCGACTGGAGACCCTCTCGGCCGTCTCCCCCACCGTCCGCAACACCTTCAGCAACGCATATGAGGCACCTGTCTCGGCCGCGCCAGCCTTGGGCAGACCCTCCAAGCCACGGTTATCAATCGACAGCTCAGTGCCAATCTCAGGACTAGGCCAGGCAGCTTCTGGCGCCGCGACGGCCCTCCAGATAGATACCAGCACACCCACATCATCAGTTCCAAACTCCGCCTCCACGCTCAACTCCGGCTCGACATCAGCCTCCTCCACTGATTCGGCGACCATCAAAGTGCCTTATAAGCTCTCCCACAACCTCCCCTCCATACTCTCGAACAGTCCCGCACAATCGATAAGACCGCGAAAAATGGCGCCCTACCGACCCTTCTTCCCCGCCACGAAGAAAGTATCCTTCCGAACACCTCTAGAGGAAGAGATTACCACCTCGACATACACCCTGGCACACTCAGACATTGAGCCTTCAAGCAGCTCAACTCTCTCCATCGAATCATCCTCCACATCGTCATCCTCAAGCTCCGAAGCCTCAACATTATCAACACAATCGACCGAGTCGAAATCAGAACCCGAGTCCCTATCACACTCACCATCCACCCTCTCATTATCCACTTCCTCCTCCGAACCCTCTACAACCCCGTCACCGGCCCCATCCTCGCCAATCTCGCAATCCAGCTCGCCCACCTTCTCCTCCACCGAATCCCCACTCCGACTCCGCGGCCCCCGCACCGGCGAGAAGCGCGACTCCTCGTCCTCCGAGGAATCCGACAGCGAAGACTCGTGTCCCGAAACCCCCGTCGCCGGGCGCAGGAAGCGGCGGCGGGAATGGGTGTGGACACTCGGGCCGATCGGGAATGGAAAATTCTCTTCGTCAAGCGACCCCGCCACCAGTGACGACAGCAGCTGATTGATCTGGCCGGTCATCAATTCAAGCATTAGAGACATTTTAGGACGCGCGTCATCACACATTTGCATGGGGTGGCGGGATAGGAAAGGAAAGGGAAGGACAGGAGGCAAGGCATCACGGCGTTTTTCACGGAGGGAAGGTTCAATCCCTAGCATTTTCTGGAGTCTGAGCATCGCATCGCATCGCATCGCGCATTTCTATGATACCAATATACTCCTCACGGTGAAGAGGAGCAAGCAAGTAGGGAGCATTTAGCGGGTTTACCATAAATCACCACATACAACATAATATTCCTGCCTACCTGAGGTGGTGCGAAGGATGTGCTGCAAAGGCACAACAATCACAATCAATACCTAGGATTCTATTTCTAGCGAAACCTGTACTTTTTATATCTCCATGGCTGAATCTGAATCTTGTGACTGAGAGATACATGTGACGCGTCATACTCGGGCCTTTCCAACCCCCTGTAGAGTATAGATTAGGTTTCGCCACTAGATAGCCAGCCCTCAACGAAATGCTGAGTTCTACGACGTCTGCCGTGCGACGGGCGTTGGGATGAGACTGCTATTTTGAGGACGGCGTTGGGGATGGCGGGGTGATGATTGAGATGCTGGTATATATCAAGGACCCCTGTTCTAACGGCCGCAGATTATAGAAATTCCATCATCGTGATCGGCGGGGCTATCTCCCGCTTTATGTCCAATATCTGAGCAAATCTTGTCGAGATGCAGTGATGCACGCATGCAGGCAGGCACGCACGCAGGGTGGAGTGCGCGTCAACGCACATTACGCCATAACTTCTGTTTGGAGGGATGGAACGTGGGTGTTGCCAAAAAAAACGGACAAGAAACAAAAAAGTGACGGGACGCTTGTTTCGCAACACCCAACTCCAACAATCCCACAACAACGAACGCCCGCGCCATGTTTCTTTCAAAAATCCAACGCCCCCCACCTCAAAATAGATCGGGCAAGTTATGTAAAACTTTTCAATCCCCGAGCCACTCCGAGTTTCAGATCCGAGATCTTAGATCAAAACACCACGCGCTTGTTTCGAGTCGAAACGTTGTACATACGCACTGGGCCCACAACACACCCTTCGAACGGCCCTTCCACGCCGAGGGAGATCGAAAACACGCAGGACACACGCCCTGTGGGGCGCTTTTGGTTGGAAGTTCTTTACAAAATTGACCCCATGCGAAACGAAAAGTTGATAGACGCGGGTGCCCTTCATCGTCGTCGCTTTCTCGAACCACATCGTGCTCTTTAGCAAGTCGCAAGCTTTTTACCGCCGAGCCGCGTGAAAAGGCAAAAAGTCCGGTGTTCTACTCAACATCTACCCATCATGCACATTTTCGTACCCTTTACTTCGAGCTCATCACGTGACACATCTCTCAAGAAGCAAGGCTTGGCAGAACCGCGCGGAAGGCAGGGATAATGCAGAATCTTTACCCAGAAGGGCAAGGCTTGGTGGCCAGGAAAAGTGTGGAAAGCAGAGAACCAAGAGATTCTTACTAATCGTGCATCATCTCTTGGTATCTTTATCTTTCTCTGCCTTCCACACTTTTCCTGGCCGCCAAGCCTTGCCCTTCTGGGTAGTCTCAGTCACGTGCAGAGGGTATCTCTTTCACACTAGAGATGTAAATGGTTTGAAGATGCCCTCATCCGGCTTCCTTATATTACAATTCGTAGCTTTCTATGTGTCTATAACATATTCTACAGTGAAGGGTTTTCGGCATGTACTGTACATACGTTGCAAAGCCGTCTAAAATCTCCCACATCCCATTCAGTGCGCAAAGCGGAATTCGAGCCTGGGAGTCTGCGTTAGAGTGGACCCATTGTCACTAGAAACATACATGAAACATACCTCTTGTTCCCCTTATCCTTCGTCGTCTGCAAATACTTCTCCTTCTCCTCCTGACTCATCCCCCCACGTCCTCTGGCGCTTCCTATAACACACAGACACCAGTCAGCACAGAAACCTCTCTACCCAAATCCCCTTCCCCGGGAACATCCACTTACTCATTCACCCACACATAAAACCACTTCACCCCCAAAAACTGCACAAAATTATAGTAGCAAATCGCAATCAGCACCTTATTCCCGCGCCGGTACAGTGGCTTATCGTCATCCCGGTAAATATTCTGGCTAATGATATTTCCCGCCTGCACCGTCATGTTCTAGATGGCGCTCGCGACAGTCCGCGTCCGCACGGTGCCGGCGTTGCGCGACGTGATGGCGACGAGGATGGCGTGCACATAGGGCTGCCCGACGAGCAGGATGGAGAGGGCGTACTTGGCCCAGTGGGAGGCGTCGGCGGGGACGAGCTCGAGGGCGACGACGAGCGGCAGCGCCCAGATCTGCGACACGAGGCAGACGAGGAAGCGCTGGTTCAGCTTTCGGACACCCAGGTCCACAAGAGGAGTTGGATGATGAAGAGGGTGTAGGCCGGGATCTAGGGGTGGAGTTTTAGTTGGGGTTAAGGGAGGGGGTGCAGGCGTTTGCTCACGGTGAGCAGGTTGGTTTCGAAGGTGCTGAAGCTGATTGCTTTGAGTTGGAGCGTGAGGTAGGCGGTCATGGGGTTGGAGGGGATCAGCCAGGTGAGGCCGATGAGGTAGATGGGCCACATGTGGTAGTCTTGGAGGCAGTCCCAGAACATGCGGAAGCTGATGGCTTGGCGGTTGTGTATGTCGCCTTTGGAAGGGTCGTCTCGGAGGATGCGGTTGACCACTGATGGGCGATTAGTATGTTCGGAATATGTAGGCTATGAGGAGTCAGCTTACTGATCTTCTCTTCTCGTTCGTTGAACCATCCACCTTTTCCGCGAAACCTGCTCGCGGTCTGCGTTGGAGAAGGCGGGAGATAGAAGTACGAGATTATGCCGATGACGCCGGTAAGCATGCCTTCAAGGGCGAAAAGCCACCTCCAGCGTTCCATGCCATTATGGCCGCGGAGATGCAAGACACCGTATGCAAAGAATGCGGAAACAATTTGCGTGAACCAGTACGACACCCAGAACCAACTCAACCGCGCTGGTAACTCGAACCCTGTGTAGAAATAGCTCAGGTAGAGGATGTTGTCCGGCTATGCTTGCTTAGTAGACGCTCATATAGGGTCGCGACACGAGCACGTGATGGTGGAGCCTACGATGAAGCCACCCTCAATTAGGCCAAGCAATGCCCGGCAAGCGCAGAATGACGACCTTCCACTCAAGAATGCTTGCATGCTAACGACTAAACTCCAAGAAACCATTTGGATCGGGATCCAATTATCTGGGCCGATCTTCTTCGACACGAGCTGAGACGGGACCTCTGCAAAGAGAAAGCAGAGATAGAAAATGGCCTGGCCATAGTTGTAGTCATTTGTGTTCATTTTCAGGTCTTTTAGCATGTTGTCGCTTAGAGCTTGCGATATGTTCCCTCGGTCAAGCTGGAGGGCGAAGAACATCAAGCACACCTAGGTGCATATTCGTCTGTCGATCTACATGTTATCAGTGTACGGACTCTGCAGAGTCTTGAATTGATACACGAGGGAATTGGACAAGGAAGAGCTTGATAGTCAGCGAGGACTTACCTTCATCACAACCTTCCTCTCCTCCGCCGGCTCCCACTCAAACTTCGGATCATAGCGATGGCGCCCTTCGTAACTATCGATTGGAACGTAGAAAGACTCCACTCCTGCCGTCGCAAAGGTCACTCTCTCTTTTGGATTTCCATTGGTGGGCCTGGCGTCGACGGCTTCGCTGACGCCATAGTCGGTCTTCAGATCCTTGTCTGATTCGAACGGCGTGCTCATGGTTCAGTCAGCAAGCGAGTCGAGAGATGTCAGGAACGGTCTAAAGTTGGAATCGCGTGCTTGGCCAGCCCAGGGACTTGGAAAGGCTTATTTATACCGGCGTACAAGGCCGGGTTCTTCATCACTCGCATAGCATGCCTCTGCCGTGGGAATCTACCGCCATTGCAGTCGCGAGACATCCCACGCCGTGGAGGGTGTGCTTTGACAGAAACGACTGCGTGAATATCATGTCGTAGGGTAATCCTTGGTTCACCGTGGGCGATGTCGGCCGCGGCGAAATGCTGGATCAACTGTCAGAGCAGTCACTTCAGGCCTCCTATGAGCATTTCTGGAGAACTGTTTTTCGAATCACGCAAGCACGAGGCTTCGCGATCCATAGCTAGGCCATTTGGAGTAGGTTGTGCGACATCCAGCTGCATCAACCACCGGAAGTGGTCTTGGCGGACCGAAAGGGCAGGGCGTTGAGGTTGGAGGTGCTATGGCGTGATTGGCCGGGGTTTAGTCGTGCCTCCACCTCCACGACGAGCGGCCTCGCGAGCATCTGGAAGCACGTCAGAACTCAGTTAAGCGGGGATCGCCGTCGCACGGGATTCGCCATGGCCTGGAAAACTGGAGGTCGCAGCCACTTACACCACGCGACCCCGGTCGAGTCGTGATCTGTGCAGAAGTGATGCAATCCGTATAGATAATGATTGCACGTCTTTGTGGTGCCTCGTCGCATGTCCCCGTTGAAACTCGCCATTTGCCCTGACGCTTGCTAGCTTACCTCCATTGTCTGGATAATCAGTGAGGGGTTGCTGGTGCTAATTGCCGTGAATTCCGACCATGATGAAGCAGAACTCGTATATAAATTGGAGCCGTAATCCAGACTTGTTCCGGCTTCCTTACCCCTCTTGAACGAGTTATTTGAGTGAAACAGCCGCATTGACAATGGCTCCCGCTCTCATCGAAACCCCCCAATTGCCCGTTCGCTCCGCGAGCAAGGTGGTGGCGTCTGGAGGGCTTGCCGACTACAAGGAAGCGTTCTCGTCGGGCCCGAAAGTGTTCAATAGTGAGGCTGAGACCAAGGGAACCGCGAAGCAGCCTCCTGCGAAATACCCAAACTACTTGCCGGTCTGGGACCTCGAGAAAAAGTGAGTGATGAGATCATAGCTCATGCACGTCGTGCTAAAGCCGTCCCAGATACGAGCCCCTGCAACCGTTCACGCACAAGGAGCATGGCAAAGACGCCGATCCTACCTTCCCGAACCTGCTCCAAAATGCCAAGGTGTCAGAACTTACATCCAACATCGGCGCAGAAGTCGAAGGTGTTCAATTGAGCAAGCTGTCTGACAAAGGGAAAGATGAGCTGGCGTTGTTCGTGGCCCAAAAGAAGGTCGTTGGTACGGGCTCCATCATTCACCCATCAGGACGTTACTGAACCGTAGAAAAGCATTCCGAAACCAAGACTTCGCCGATCTGCCGATTCAAGATGCTCTAAATTACGGAGGTTACTTCGGACGCCACCATATCCATCCTACATCAGGTGCTCCCAAAGGCTTCCCTGAGGTTCACCTGGTCCACCGTGGGGCGGAAGACACAACTGCGCGCGACTTCTTCGAGACGAGGACTAATTCGGTCGCCTGGCATTCGGACGTCACATACGAAGAGCAGCCACCGGGAACTACATTCTTGTACTTGCTAGACGGACCAGTGGCTGGAGGAGATACCCTTTTCGTCAACCAGGCCGAGGCGTACAGACGTTTGTCGCCTGAGTTCCAAAGGCGTCTGCACGGCTTGAAGGCAGTACACTCCGGTCATGAGCAGGCCGATAATAGCCGAGGCCGAGGCGGTGCTGTACGACGCGAGCCTGTGGCCAACATTCACCCGATCGTACGAACCCACCCAGTGACGGGCGAGAAGGCCCTATTTGTGAACGCGCAATTCACCCGCAAGATTATCGGATATAAGAAGGAAGAAAGCGACTACCTCTTGAACTTCCTCTTTGATCATATCGCAAAGGGACAGGACTTCCAAGCACGAGTGAAATGGGCTCCTGGGACTGTCGTTGTCTGGGATGTAAGTGAATTGCAGCCCTGGTTCTTGAGTAACCTCTAACGCTTGGCAGAACCGAGTGACGGCTCACTCCGCGCTTTTGGACTGGGACGATGGACAGCGGAGACATCTTGCTCGCATCACACCGCAGGCGGAACGTCCTGAAGAAACTCCGTTTGAAAGCAAGTAGATCTCATCCAGGGTCATATGTGGGTGCGCCGAAGTAAGTTGCATAGGAGCCGATGAATAGCATTAGTTTAATCCGAGTCCTATAAGTCAGTATACGTCTTTGGCACTGCATTTTCAAAGTCAGCAAGTCTTGTGAATACCGCCAGTATTGACGATCGAGAGATCTGCCCGCCTGTGGTAATCTTTCTCTCGGTTCCGGTGGGGAAGGCCGACAATGTTGCACAGAGGCGTTGAGACGCGATCCGCCTCCGGACTCACATCCTTGAGCCCGCTGAGAGTCAGGGGCTGCACGTCTTGAGTACATGGAAGCTTTACCTTTTCGATGGCCTCCAGAGCGGAGATAAGACCGTGCGTCGGGTGTCGTTGACGAACTGTGAACGGCTTTATCGGCTCTCCTGCAGTGTACCTGCAGCGTACCTGCAGCCCGTCTGGAGACCGACATACCTGAAACTCATTTCCCGATCACGGAATTTGGATGCCAGCCTCGAGATCGTAGCATCTTATTTCAATCCAAGCCCGTCTCCCTGAAAGTGTGCTTAAAGCTTCTCGACTTCCAGACCGCAGATCGAAGTACTTGACCAACTCCTGGTATTCCAAGATGCCTTCACTCCTTTTCAATGTGCTGCTTTTTGCTGTTACGGCCTCTGCTTTTCCACTCTCTCCAGATGCGCCATCGCCATTCATAACCGACATCTCCAAGCGTTCCTGCGCATCCTTCTCTTACGCAACTCGCATTACTTGCGCCCATCACTCAACATCGTTGAAGACGGCGCGGGAGGCAATAGCAACTGCCTGCGAAGCTGTGTCGGGATGCACGCCCGGTAAATCGCCCTATCCATTCGGCGCAGGAGTCGCAGGTAACGCCACAGCGGGCGGGTCCGTGACGGCCATGGTCAATATTGGTGAACAGTGTATCGATGGAGTCACTGTATTGAGCCCGAAAAGATGCCGGAATGACTTCGAGAGTTTTGTGAGTGCGCAATGCGGGGATGGGAGACTGGGCGATGACAAATTTGCGTGTGAGCGATTCTTCAAGTGTGGTCCATTTAGCTCTGATGCTGACTCGGTGTTGAACAGTGGGAACAGTGTATTTCCTGTGCGACGGAAGCGTGTTATCAATCGGCCCAACTATGGGCACGCCGGACTGATATGAGGAGGAACGCCGATTCATGAAGAACGATGCCGTATGATCAAGCCCTATGGAACGCGATGGGACTTTCCGATAGGGTTTCATCTCGTGGCATGCTCTCTCCGGGATAGACTTCTGTTCGGTGTTGTATGTTTTCTCTCGAGTATTAGGTCTAGATCAGGGAACAACTGCTCGCTTACATCATATGATAATTTCTTGGTGTGGTGTTTCAATAGACGGAAATCAAGAGGTCTTTCCCAAGATAACGGCACATCTTGGGGATCCATGCTCCAGAAATGTATTACTTTGGTGCAGTCTGCAACGTTTAAATTGACTCTTTTCGTAACTAAACAGCTGTCGGTAAGCCTTTGATCAACACTCGATAGTATCGGATGGTCAAGCTGGTAGATGTCTGCGGGTGTGCTCGATTCACCGGAGGTCACGTGTGGTGAGGCTGGATGGATGCGGCTCAGCAGCACTCGTCTGCCTTGCCGGACCAAAGAGGACGGTGTTCAAGATATACACCAGTCTTAGAGAAGATGAGAATACTCAGCAGGTGAGATTATGCGGCTCGGGGTCAGCTCGCGGCTTTGATGCATCGATGAGGCGGGTAGCGGCGGTGGCTGTGTGGAGAAAACCGCAGGGCTTCCACCGCTACATCGGAGGCGGCCGGTGGGTACTCGACACCGTGAAAACGTACACGTGCAAGCTCTCGTCTGAACGGTTTTCGGGTATAGTATCAACAATCGATGCTTCGAGCTGGCAGATTGCTCTCGTCCATGGATCTTATCGCATAGGTAACGCATCGCATGCCGCATCAGGTGGCGGAAGCAGCACTGTCGTTGAAAGAGAGCGCAACAGCGTCGATCAACGTTCGGACAGGCTGCATTGCGTGGTACTGGAGAAGTGGCACGGAAGCGTGCAGAGTCGTGAGAGGCGTAACGTTCGACAGACACGTACCCAGAAACGTTTGGATGTGTGAGAGGAGACGGATCAACGACGCGGGAGAACATTGGAAACCAGGACTTAACAATCGTGACCGAGGGCTCACGCATACTTGTATGCCTAGGAGCAGCAGCAACGTTGCAAAAATTAGAAGCACACCTAGTGTAATGGCGAACAGCAGTTCTCGAGCACCCTGGGAGCAGGCCGTCGTAAGGTTGTGTTTTGGTGACTGGGCGGAAGAGCGGTGGGCCAGGAACGGGCTGAGGCGGCATCGAGGCCCCGCGCAGGGCGCCTTTCGTCACCACTTAATTCCTCCGACTACCGCACAGTCACTACAGAGTATGTAATAGCAGCAGTTCTACCCACAGGTCCTACCCTTCATTCTCACCCCTCACCTCCCATCTCCCATCGCTACTACTCGTTTTGTTGTCTCTTAATTCTACCCTGCGTCCTCTCCTCAGGTATCAGCTCACGTCCTGTCCTCGTGAGACCGCTCCGCTCCGTGCATGGCATACTCACACGAAAACCGCTACCACTCCGGACGCCATGAGTCCTACTACCAACAGCCGCGCCAGCACGACATCTACTCGTCCTCTCCCACATCACATTACGACATGCCCGCCGCTCACTCGTATTCCTACGACCCTCGCTACTCCTACTCGACACTCCCCCCGCGCTCCCCAGCATATCCTCCGCGCCCAGATCCTCGGAAAAAGCCGCGATGGCCTCCCTCGCCGAGTGTAGAGAACGAGATAGACTCCCTCGCGAAAGAGCTCCGTGGGGTTGGCCTGGAGGATGAATCAAGCGGTGAGGCCCGCTCGCGGGGCACTGTCGATCAAGAGCCGATCATGCTAGAAGTGGAGCAGCCCAAAAGCGATCTGAACGACGAGAGGCGTTTCGTATTGGTCCCTGGACACGGCACGGATAAACCTGGGCCCAGGGATAATCGACGCAGGAGCTTTGCGGAACGCGGGAATATGCCCCATCTGAAAACCGATATTCACCAACCCTCGATTCCTCTAAGAAGGGAGCCGAGCCCATACACCATCTCCAAACCTACCAAGGAGAATCCCTCCCGCACATCTGCCGAGTACTTTCTTTCTCCAGAGACCCTCACCCCTCAAGCGTCAAGCATCCCAAGGTCTGTGCCGAAGGGTGAAGCGCGGGAATATTACAAGGATCAGAACTCGAAGCCAGAGAAGTCAGCTCAACCACAGCACAGGCGGTACGACTCTGCACAGTCACCAAGAACAAGCCACCTCGATATCTTTGACGACTCGGATCTTGACAACGATGACTCAGCCCACCTTCGCGCAGAGCGACGCCCCGCTCGGTACTCTTTTGTCAAGGAGGATCTGCAGAAGGAGGATCTAAGTACATCTCTAAATGGCCCAGGCAAGGACCCACGAACTTCCCCGCGCTCTTCAAATCCTCGGCTACCAAACGAACACTCCAGTAGCGGCAGCTCGGGCTCTTCCAAGACGTCAACGGCGCCACCGTCACCAAGATCGTCTAATTCTAATCTGCACAATGTATCGGCGCCTCGTCAGATCCCCCAAAGTAAGAACCCCCCTGTTGAGACTCCTTATGCTAGGAGTCCAAGAAGGTTCCAAGACCCTCAAAGTCGGCCTGGGTCTCCTTTAGTCAAGGAGAAGCCTTGGCCTCAATCTCCTCCCAGGTCTCCTACACTAGCGCAAAGCAACTTCCGTGATTCCCCTCCTCGTACGAAACCCGTGTCTAGACCGAGCTCAAGGCCAGCATCAAGAGCAGGCTCGCCAATATCATTCCTTCATACTACATCCATGCCCCCTCCGTCACCTAAGCCGCTTGACGCGAATGATGTAGACTGGCACTCCACTTTTCCCCCAGTCACGAGAAACGAAAGAAGGGACGAGCCTAGGCCTAGCTCTCGTCACACCAAGCAACCGTCCATGATTGTCCCTCCGCGGATTGATGTCCAATCTCCATCACCTGCACGGCCGCCCAAGCCGGCAAGTACCTTACCATATCCTGTCGACGATTTGCCGGGCGAGACCTTCATGCCTTCGGTAGAACAGTACCAGTTTCAACCGAACTCCGCCCAATATATGACACCAATTCCAACCGCGACTGCAGCATTTCCCAGGTCGCCAGTGACGTCGTCCCCTACTGTCAGTCGATCACGTGATGAGAAAGTATCGTCTCGACCCCTTGTCACATCCCGTCACAGTGCTGCAGAGGAAGTCCCACGGCTGGCTAGGGTGCGGGCAAATTCCAATCGCTCATCCTCAGCTTATGACGGCCGTCGAGTCGATAAGGCTCCTGCGCCCTTATCCCTGGATAAGCCATTGCCGTCGTGCCCACGGTTGGCTTTTTCAAGCAACTTTAACGATTGGTACACCCTTGAAAACTGTCCAAACTTTGACGTCTGCCCAACTTGCTATGAGGGCGTCTTTGAAGACACCCAATTCGCCCCCTACTTCAAGCAAACCCGCGTACATGAAAAACGAATCTTGAGGAACTGCGACTTCAGCTCGCCATGGGTCCGACTAGCTTGGCTACTTATGGTAAAGCAGAAACACAAGAGCCTAGACCTCCTATACCGCCTCGCTACCATCCGCGAAATTGAGCAACCATGCCCTGGCAATCTCGAGATCTCTGGGACTTGGTACGGCATCAAAGACTCGTACGGTGATCACGTCACCAAATTCGCCATCTGCCCCTGTGACCTAAAGCAAATCGAAGCGCTTCTCCCCTCCCTCCGCGGCGCCTTTACCCGCATCTACCCCTCCGACTCCCGCAAAACCTACATGTGCGCCCTCCGCACCGCATCCCGCCGCTTCCCCGCCTATCTCGACCTTCTTGTCGAACTAGACGAAGAAGCCACCCGCCGCGCCCGCTCCCCCGACCTCCGACCCTTCATTCAACTCGCTAAGGAAAACGCGTACAAGCAAGAATGCACGCGCGACCAGCTCATTCTAGACCAGACGTGGCACTTCATCCCTCGCCTCCCCGAATTCGCCGTCTGCGAGGAATGCTTCGACGAGCTCGTCTGGCCGGAAGCCATGAAAAAGAACCCCTCGAAGATTGCGGCGGAGTTTAACAAGTCGTTGCAGTTTGTGAAGGGCGAGCCCACACTTGGGACGAGTTGCCAGCTGTACTCGCCGCGCATGCGCCGTGTTTGGAAGCGTGCGGTTGAGGATGAGGATTTTGGGTATCTCGCGAAGAAGGCGCTGGAGAGGAATAAGATGGAGATTGATTTGCAGAGCCAGAGTAAGGCGATTGCTAGGCTGTTGGGAGATAAGTGGCGGAGTGGGGTGGAGCGGGAGCAGTTGCGGTTGCAGGCGGCGCAGTTGGCGGAGGCGTGGAGGGAGTGGGAGTAGCAGAAGGTGGTCTTGGGCGGTGATTTGAATGAAAAAGCGTTGATGGGGTTTATGATTGGATGATTGATGGATGCAGTAATGACTGATTTGGATCCTTACCGGATTCTCTTTATGGAGTAGGTTTCAAGGTCGTATTATTAGAGACGCTCATTATGAGAGGAACTAAAAGTTTTTATCTCTGAATGTTCACTGGGCAAAGGGTAAATATGCATGACCCTTCCTACTAGCAGAAATTCAAAAAGCGACAGTGAATCTTGATCGCAAGTACCGCGTTACTTGCTACTACAAGCAGACCCGGAAATGATCTGTACGTACGTAGGCACGAACGCGTGCTATTGGTGTAAGCCTCATATTGTGACCTCTTCCTGTCTAGCCGCTTACTCAGCAGCTTCTTGTGTGTTAGTTAACTATATCTTTCCTCCTTCCGCTCAATAGCTAGCTTCCGGACCATCATCAATACAGCTTGTGGCTGCACACCTTGTCTTGATCCACTTCCCTCTGACTTTCGCTCAATATGGAACCAGCCGTAAAATAGACACATAGATATACCACTTCCTAGGAAGCGTACAAGATGTGAAGCTAGCAGTACCAGGTAGTGCTTGCTGCTGCCCGTTGCTGATTGGTGAATTGGTCAATTAAGCCTTTCATGCCTCGGTGCACAAAGCTACCACCTACTGCAACCCTCTCCACAGCACAAGGCATAGCGTAGCATAGTTCCCGTAGTGTGAGGGTAGTAGTCCAATATAATATTGATTAATGCGCCTCACAAATGCTACGGTCGTCGCAAACAGTTCCCAAAAAGTCCTTCAAAGCGGGCCGAGCATCGGACACCTTTCCATGTGAAGCTGTGGGCCGCGGGATCGCCAAACCTGACGTACAGGAATTACAACAACCAGCTAATACCACCCAACCCATCTCCGCCCTCTAATGCTTCTCCTCCACCCTCCCTCCCCGCTGCAGTAACCATGCCCGGCTCATCCAGACTGCCTATTAGCCTGCGCGACACCCTCCGCGCGCAGTCGGGCGCCGCGCGGGGCCGGCTGCTCGCGCTCAACATCGACGTGTACGGCTTTATCTCCCTAATGACCTCCTCGATGGTTTTGATGTCACGGTACTGACGAGTGCGACGTACAGGTTCCGCAACATAATCTTCTTCCTCTTCCTCCTCCGCTGGACACGCCGCGCCTTCTACCAGCTGCGCGGCCGCGGCGTCGCCGGCTCCATCGTCGACGCGTACGTCGCCGCCCGCCGCACCCTCTATGGCATCTTCCTCCGCCTGCCCGGCGTGCGCACCAAGGTGCAGACGCAGATCGCCGAGTCGCTGCTGAAGCTGGAGCGGCGGCTTGTACCCACTGGACCCGGGGTGGAGCGTACGGTGGCGCTTCCGACGGAGGGGTGGAGCGAGGACCGGGTGCGGGCGGCGTTGCAGACGATGGAGGGTATGGAGCATACGCGGTGGGAGGACGGGCGGGTGAGCGGTGCGGTGTATCATGGCGGGGAGGCGTTGCTGCGGCTACAGACGGAGGCGTTTGGGAAGTTTACCGTGGCGAATCCGATTCATCCGGATGTTTTTCCGGGCGTGAGGAAGATGGAGGCGGAGGTTGTGGCAATGGTGAGTTTGGAGGGGTGAAGGGTTTGTGTTGACGGGTGCTGATGTGGGCAGGTCTTGTCGCTGTTTAATGCGCCGGAGGGTGCTGCAGGCGTTACGACGAGTGGTGGGACGGAGTCGATTCTTATGGCTTGTTTGAGCGCGAGGCAGAAGGCGTTTGTTGAGAGGGGGGTGACGGAGCCAGAAATGTACCAGCCAAAATCCAGGAAACACGAAGACCTGAGTGCTGATATTACTCTAGGATTCTCCCAGAAACAGCCCACACAGCCTTCCGCAAGGCCGCTGAGTACTTCAAGATCAAGATCCACCTCGTGGCCTGCAAAGCACCGCATTACAAAGTCCATCTGCCCTCCGTATCCCGTCTCATCAACCCAAACACCATCCTCCTCGTGGGCTCTGCGCCCAACTTCCCCCATGGCATCATCGACGACATCTCCGGGCTATCGCGGCTCGCGCTGCGCAAGAAACTCCCTCTCCACGTTGACTGCTGTCTAGGCTCCTTCCTCGTCCCATTGCTCGCCAAAGCCGGCTTCGAGACCGAGCCCTTCGACTTCCGCCTCAAAGGCGTCACCAGCATCAGCTGCGACACGCACAAGTACGGCTTCGCGCCCAAGGGTAACAGCACCGTGCTCTACCGCTCCGACGCGCTCCGCAAGTACCAGTACTTCATCTGCGCCGACTGGTCTGGCGGCGTTTACGCCTCGCCCTCCATTGCTGGATCACGCCCTGGCGCGCTCATCGCAGGCTGCTGGGCGTCCCTTGTCCAGCAAGGCGAGAGCGGCTACGTAGACTCGTGCCACAAGATTGTGGGTGCGGCTAAGAAGATCGAGTCTACGATCCGTGAAGACCCGAATCTCGCTACTGATCTCAAGGTTATCGGCCGCCCGCTAGTGTCGGTCGTTGCGTTTTTGTCGAATTCCCTGGATATTTACGATGTTGCGGATGGTATGGGCGAGAAGGGGTGGCACCTTAACGCGTTGCAGAATCCGCCGGCGATTCATGTCGCTGTGACGCTACCTATTGTAGTCGCTGCAGACAAGCTAATTTCGGATCTGGTGGAGGTGGTTGAGGAGGTTAGGGAGAAAGAGCGGAAGCGAGTCGCGGAAGGTAAGGGGAAGAAGGGCGCTGTGAAAGGTGATGCAGCGGCGCTTTATGGGGTTGCGGGGAGTCTGCCGAATAAGAGTGTGGTGGTGGATTTGGCGAAGGGGTTCTTGGACACGTTGTATAAAGCGTGAGGATATACTGCTGTTAGTATTTTAGCGTTTATAATATTAGCGAGGTTGTTCTGTGGTGGGTTTGTGTGCATGTTGTTTTTGAATCGCCATCGCGCTGTCTCTTGTTCCCGTGTTCCACATACTGGTAGTTTCTAGGTGAATCTGGGGAGGTCGAGTAGGTTTGAAGGCTGATAGAAATATGGGAAGAACTGTGCTTGGCATTCTAACATACGATTTGTCCTTTTTTGGGGCCAGCGCGATTCGGTTTCCCAAGTCCGCCAGTTGCTTTGGGCCATTACTCGTTTGCTTTCTTTTCTACCATTTATGTTCTTCACTATTTGCAGTCATGGTAGGGAACCTGGAGATGGAGACGTACAGGGTGCCTAAATCTTCCATTGCGTCGAAACTTAAAATACTTCGATGCATGCCAAGAGAGCCCGGGAAGTTGTTCCACCCCACGATTGGTGCTACCACGCATGAGACTCTGGCTAGTCACGGCGGGTACTAACAGCCGTTGGTGGCTAGAAACCAAGTCACCACCCACAGCCTCACGGCCTGCAGGAGCCCAGATAACTCTCTGGCAAGGCTGTAGTACAGCTTCCTCAAATACCATCAACCCCCCGACAAAGGCATGGTCTATCTATGGCTCTATGGAGCTGAACTTTTAAGATTTTAAACTTCCTCCTCTATCACCCCAGATTGGTGTAAACAAACGCCTGAAGCGGTATAGATGGAGCTCTTTACGGTATCACTAGATGAAAGATCTGGAGAAGACGGGGCGGATCACCCTGCAACATCCCATACGTCATTGATGCCGTCAAGGCGAGGCGTCTCTGCAGAGCGTTCGCCCTCCTTGGATATGTTTTGGCTAACTATACACAGGCAGAGCACCGATGGGGTCGTTTCGCGTGATGGGAACCTTCAGGCCAATGCTGAGCCAGATTTCCTTCTGTCGCAGCCACACTCGAAGTCCCGCCGGAACCTAGGTGTTCGCAAGACGATAATCAACATGATACAGCGAAGATTTGACTCCCGCACTGGTAGAAAAGTAGCGTTTGGCGTATGCATTTTCGCCTTCTTTACCAACTTCATCATTGTCTTAGTCGGCGCCATCAACCATGGAGGCTACAAAGATGGTATAGGCTCTTTAAGTCGAGGCCGCTCGAGTAAAATGGCTAGGTTGAGCACCATATACCATGTACTCATCAATATTCTCAGTACGGGACTTCTTACGTCGAGCAATTACTGCATGCAACTGCTTTGCACCCCGACTCGGAAGGACAGCACATGCCCAAAGAAAGTGGCTGGACGTTGGTATTCTGAGCTTCCGGAACCTACGGCACATGTCTAGACGACGATCGATTATTTGAGGCGTACTGGCAGCGAGTTCTGTACCGTTGCATCTAATGTAAGTATTTGTTTTGCTTGATCGAATTAATAAGAAAGAATAATCGAGTAACAGGTACAACTCTGCCATATTTGGTGTCACCGCAGGTCAAGACTATTCTATCGAAATTGTCAACAGTACAGATCAGCGGATGGTGGACCAGATCAAGTCGAAAGCCCGTCCGCTTGACAATGACCAATGGAAATCTCTATACGACACTAGGTACGTTCTTGACGCCGGCAATCTTTACCTACTAGCCGACAGTGTCACCTTCCAAATTGACATCGACAACAGATGGAATTGGACTTTCAAGCTTCCCGACAAATCGTTGGACAATACCACTTTCGCTGATGACACATGGCAGCCCCTGTATTGGCCGACACAGCGGAACGAATCATTATCTATTACCATCCGTCTAGGGGGAAGTAACACTAGGGGGCAAATTTACGAATTGTCTGTGGCCCAGCAATTGATATGAAATCTTGCTCTTTACGATCTCTTGAACATGCCTAACTTCACCTGGCCTCAGGTGATGACTTTCAATATTTCTTGAAACTCTTCTTGGAAGGGCGTTATTACTGTGACTCCTCGTTCGTAGACGGTTCCGTGTCTGCATATCGGATCTGCCTACAGCGAGCCTTTAGAGAATAGCAGCGCGGTGCAAGTTGCCCTACCATTCATGATCGTTGTGGTTGTCTGCAATGCTCTGAAAGCTTTTGCGGTCTACAAAACCATGAAACAATCTTTGCAGAACACCTCATTACCCAAGGCGATGCAATCACTTCGTTCTTAGGACATCCAGATTGGACCACCGTAGACTATTGCTCTCTCGGCAAAGACACTCTGGTAAAGCAGATGAAACGTAGAAACAAGACAGACCCAAAGATTTGGAAGCTGCCTCGACGACGGTACGGAAGCTATACTCACGGACGTTTGAGGTCAAACATTTTCATGTATGCTCCATCATCTAACTCAGCTATATGCAGCGACTAACCCGCTATCAGATGTATCGCAGCCATCTTAGCTTTCATGACTGCGGACTACGCTATCGCTCTCGCAAAGCCACTGCCAACAGACGGCTGGTCCGGGACAGGTTGGTACTGGGCGTGGGGCACATCTTCCAATCGACTATTCCCACTAGCCGCCCAGTCTTTCTCTCCCCGCAGCGTTCTATTCAACACATGGTTAGCCAACGCCCCGCAGATACCCCCTCAATATCTTACTTTGCGCTGAACCGCCTCTGCACCTCCATCTCCTTCATCACTGAATGGAACAGCCACGCCACAACCCGCAAAGGCCTCCGCGTCACCAACCCAGCCGGCGCCCAGCGGCCCGCCTATTTCTTACAGGTCCCTTACCGCTGGGCCATCCCCCTAACCACCATGTCCGGCGTCCTGCACTGGCTGCTGTCGCAGTCTTTCCTCCGCATAGATCTGCGCGACGCCCAGGGAAACTTGAAGCCCAATGCATCGAAGTCGGCGGTGTGGGTGCTCAAGTCTCAGCCTGCTGGTTTTCGCCATCGCTTTTATCGGCATGCTGGCTGTGATTTTCTTCTTGCTGATGAGACCGTTTACGTTGAGGATGCCGTCGGCGGAAACATTGCAGTTTAGTCATTAGCGCGGTTTGCCATCCGCCGCCGGATGATGTCGATACACATCTGAAGGCTGTGCGGTGGGGTGTTGTGAGGAATCGGTTTGGGGGCAAGATTGGGCGTTGCTGATTTTCGAGTGGGGAGGTTGAGGAGTTGGTGGAGGGGACTTTGTATGTGAGTTCATGTTTCTATCTGAGATACGAACATGTGATAAATTCAAAGACATGATGATCGCGTTTCTTCCCTCGTTACTTCATCCGATGCACTGCAGGTTGGGGCACGCAAGAGAATACCCTAGCTCCGTGAAGGACCAAGTGACTAATCACGTAAGCCATAGTTAAGCGGACACGTGACAGTCACGTGGCAATAGTCCGCGCTATCACCGATTTGGAGCTCCAACACCGAGAATGCTTTCACTCAACCCGCTAGCGGTATAATTTTACATTTTTAACAACAAACCTCTATATATCTACTTACTTCACGTCTATCCAGCTCGCTGATTACACGTATGGGCCTCAAAATACGTACTCCATCTCCTCTAGCCTCACGCATCCAGTTCTTCAAGGGTACCATGTCGCTTAGTAAGCAGTGCGCTAAAGTTATTGCAGCCGAGCCAATCAGCGTTGCATATAAAGGTCGGATAGATAATCCGGGTCCACTACCTCCCTCCTTTTTTCTCTCCAGAGTAACCGCCATCAGTTCAACGGAGCTGTTAGACTTGCCATTAACTTATAAACGACAATCTGTCTTTCCTGGGGCATCCTGAGATGGTACCGTATGAGCTGAGTGTGCCAAGAGTCTTAAGAATTTTCTTGCAGTGGGGTTCGCGATGTTATTAGACTCAGGTTGCAGCACTACAACCTAGGATCAACAACTCATATGCTAGAAAGCTATTCTCCGAACATCAGCTGTGGAGAACCCAGCTAAGATCTCAGTTGTGGAGAACCCAGCTGAAAGCTCAGCTGTGCAGTGTTCAGCTGAACTTACTAGCGCGCCACCCAGGGGGTGGCCCCCCTTCCTTCCCCTAGTATATATACAACTAGCTAGACGTCTATAGAAATCAGAGTTCACATCAATTTCAACCTGAGTACTAGCATTCGCAAGCTCATACTAGATAAACATCTAACAATCGATTTTGTTTCTTTCATCACAACCACGCTCTTCCACCGCCTAAGACATCATGGCCATTATAATCACCTCTGATGCCGACCTTCTCAAAGGCTTAAATGCAGCAATGAAACAGGCCACAAAGGCGCGGCAAATAGCCCGATTGCACTCGGGCGTTGCCGCTACAAAGGCTCGCGGCCCACGTCCTCAAGGGTTTTTCAGTAGGACCATGATCGTAACCTTGAAAAATGCCCAAGAGGTTGTCATCCAGTTCCGCCCTAAACCCCTAGATATTAAGCCTTTCAAATTTGCGCGGAAAGTGCTTAGGCCAGTCGTCCCTGAATGTTCATCTTCTCTAGGATGAGGAATTGAAACATAAGGGGATATGGGCGTATTGGATGACGTGCATTCTAGGCAAGACATGGTTGGATGGCGCAAGAGAGAAAAGTGGTTAATCTCGGGTCACATTTATAAAGTTCTCTGTTAAAAGGTTATGTTAAGAGCAGCAGTAAGCTTGTTATTGATTAAAAGCTCCGCCTACATCTGGAATTGCTTCTATGCTCTCGGAATAAATAAATCTATAAATTCCACAACGCTGCGAGAGATCTGCTTGGTAAACTAGATCAGCTTTAAATACTACCACTTTTTGTCTCTTATTTTAATCTGAACAACGTTAATACTATGGTATATGACAACTGCGAGGTACCTGGCCTTATTGATTGGGAATTGTCAACCCCTATTCCCTTTGGCATGGGCTTCAGCCGCCTCCATACACTTGACGGCGGGTATTCCAACAGGTAATTCCTGGCAGCCGTCCAACGCTACTATACTAGCGCATCCTTAGCGCCATTCCTCAGCTGGCATGCGTCACCTTTCAGCTAAATAAGGTTCCTTCTCTCAGCTGACTTGACTCCTCTACGCCTATATATACCTATCTTCCTACATAGCAATACACCAGAGTTCTCATCACTTTTCACCAGCTGCCAATTCTATATGCCGCCTGAGTTTGAAGATACAGAGAGAGGGCTCCGGGGGAGGTCTATAAGGGAATCCCTGCACAAGTTCGCAAATTGTTTAATGAAAATCCAGAGGTCGTGCAGGTCGCCTTCATTCTGGGCACGCTACTGAATGCCTTCCAGCTAGAGGATGGTGAAGTTGGGCCTTTCAAACCTGTTGTCGTCGAGGCTTTACCAAAGCTTCTCTCCTACTAAATCTCCCTGATAAGGAGCTCAGATCCGCCCTATTCCGAATGAGCAAGGGCAGAAGGTCTGGACCATAATTCCCAATGGAATGCGACGTTATAATAGTGAAGCGTTGCATGTTGCTAGCGTGCTCGAGCCTACACTTTGCATCTTATGTCTCCAGGCATAAGTCTAAGCTAGTGTTTGTACTTGTTTCCGAACGAGTATGGTAGAAAATGTGAATATAACTCAGGTTGCCACTACTAGCGTGTCAGTGGCGTTACATCCTTCCATATCCGTAACAAGGGGGAACAGGGGAGTACCCCCCCCCCCCCTTTTCATAGGCTATATATACGGGCCTTATGCCTCTTCAAATCAACACAGAACTGCTTCTTCACAACCTGAGAATATAGGGGGGCGTTTATGTACGTCTGAGTCTGGTCACTTTCTCTACTCTTTCATCTAAAAAGAATTACGGGCCCTTGGCCATATTATTTTGAAATATAGTATCTTTCTCTCAGCGTATATGTCGTGAGATCTGCAATAAGGATATTTGCAAGCCTTGTATGGATGGATGAGAGTGAATTCGCGTGAATGACATCCCGAAAGACTGCGCATGGTGTAACTGTGCGGAGCCAATCAGCGCGAAGTGTTGACCGGCTATACAGTCAGAATCTGGGCTTATCATTGACCTCGAATGTGAGCTATCCACGCGCGCCTCCCTCAAGAGATTGCTGACCAGATAGTGGCTCAGATAGACAGTATTATGTGATATACACGTGATCTTTTACTGCTCAACGTCACATAGGCCTTTGTCTCGAGCTAACTTTCTGGTATTGTGCGAGATTTCCGTGCTGCAAAGCTAGTCTTCGATGGTTGAGACTTTAACACAGCAGGAAGGCCAGGGAATTTGTAGCGTGGAGTAGATCAGGGAAGAATGCGGGTATGTTGAACTTCGCGGTAACCAGTCTTGTTGAGCTGATATACAATAACGCGGCCCCTATTCTATGGCAAGGAGGAACCATCCGGTTGTGCCGTCTTGAGTTTTAGACAGCCCAATCACTTCAGATAAAACCGCGCAGTCCTGGTAATATTCGCGCTCACACGCTGCACCGCGTCCACGGTCACGTTGACTATTGCATCCAGCCACGACCAGTCGCACCAGTCGCATCCAGTCACCACCAATAATTGTCTATCAACGGTCAAGTCTGTGAGGCGTTCAGACTTATATTGCGGCATAAGTTGGATTACGAAAATGAGTATGAGCTCTTAGTCTTCGTGAAGGGAGGATCTCTATCCTGTTGTCCAACTGACGTGATATTGTATGAACTATGAATAGGATAGGTTAAAGGAAGAATGAAAAGTTTCGTGGAGCTTTTGACTTTGGCTACACGCAGCAGTAGATAAAGCACAAACATCCGTCGAGCATTATGTGACCAAGGTATTTGTGATAAATGAAATCTATTCAACAACTATCGAATTCGTAAAGCTACATGAGATAGGCCACCGTCATGGTCAAACTTCAAGGGTGGACTCCCGGTCGCCCCCATACGACAGGCGATCCGCTTGCTGAGGAATGCCACTAGAGCACCCACTCCAGCTGTGTGAGTTATCGCTGCGAGACTCACTTGCCCCGAATGCTCTCCAGTCCCTTTTAATGTTGGAATGAGTATGTGGGTGGCCGCGCAAAGACTTTGAATGAGATGATGATGGTGTGAGCGTTCCGCGAAGTTCACTCTCGACGTCCCGCAGCACAACCTGAGCCTTGCGGATGCACTTCCCCTTTCGGCGTGCTCTCTCGGCACTGTCAAAGGTCCGGAATCTCTTGTAGTTCAGAGGTTGGCGTAGCTGGTCAAGTTGCGGCTCGAGATCTTCAGCGTCCACTGGTGTGTATACGAACAAGGCTGGGGACAGGCAGGCACTGACTTCAGCGGGAGGACAAGCAGGAGTGCGATTGTGCTCGTGGGCTTCCATAATTGTATCGTCCCAGGGGGTTCCAGGCGGAGGAAGCATCATCTCGTACTCTTCATCGCTCAGCAGCATCCCCGCTTTCTGCGTCAGTGCCTCCTCAAATATTGCCGTGAAGAGCCGCTCTCGGGTTTCCCATTCATCCGTGGGCTGACCCCATGTGTGGAAAGGGTTCGACTGCATATCGGTATCTGGCTGGGCTGCGGCAGAAGGCGAGATGGACCGGCCGAGAAGTCTAGGACTGTAAGTTATCCATGGAGCCAAGGTCTTGGAAAGCCGGCGTGCTAGAAGGGTGGCCTTTGGCCTTAGAATTTGCTTCAAGAAGACCTCGTTCTTTAAGTAATCCTCCTGAACCAATTGATCGACGTCATTTAGTGTTGCCTGCTTTTCTGTGTTACGTTAATAGGCAGGGCGAAAAGATGGAAGGAAAATGGGAGGACGCGGGGAAAGTTTACCTAAGCTACCCATGAGATGAGGTATCAATTTACGCATCAACTGATACCTCAAATAACTGTCCTCTGGTCCCGAAGGAAATGCTGTTTCATAAACCCAGTGACAGAGTGCTGCCACAATAAGAGCGGACATCATGGCTGCTGTACCAGACTGTGAGAAAGCGTACCTTCTCCTCCGGGAGATGGCAGTCAACTGGCTCTGGACCCCTAAATTGCGGAGTATCAGAGTAGCCATTCCTGATGAGGGCTGACGCTCTAGCTCATCAAAGGAAGGAAGATTGATCGCTAGCTGGTAGGTATAATTTCGTGAAAACTCTTCGATATGGTTGGAGATTGTCTTCAAAGTGGCCCTCTCTCGCTGGATATCGGTCCCCACTGGTCGGTCCGTCAAAGTACGTAGCCTCGCGTCTTCGTGTTGGAAGCTGTAAGCTAGAGAGAGCTCTTCCTGCTGATGACGAAGAAGCTCCACAAGGATCCCCTTTTCAGATGGGTGTAGTCTTTGCCGAATACTGTTCACGTTGTACTGGTGCCTCACCATGGCAATGCGATCCTGAAACTTGAAAAGTTTCGACAACCCTTGCGAGCAATTCAAATCTGTGGTAGCAGTGTATGTGTGATGGACCTTCTTCAGACTCCGACGAGCATCAGCCACAGCACAAATCACTCTATCGTCAAGTTCTTTGTCCAGGACTAAGCTGTTCAAGGTGTCTGATATCTTTGAAAGTATCGCCTTCAGAGCCAAGCGGAAGTCTTCAGCGCATTCGTCGGAAATGTCTAGTGGAACTTGTCCCACGGGAGTTTGATAGGGGTGACGTTCTACGTCCAAGAGTGTCGGTCGAGGTCCATACCGGGGAGATTCAGGCGGGCTCATGGTTGAGACAGAAGGTCGACGCGGTGTCCGATCGATAATTGTGTCATCTACGCTTGAGCCCTGTGCCTTCGGCGCATGCTTTACGGGGGTAGATCTGACTTGGGATCTTGGTCCCAACTGCAAGTTCACTTTTAGTCATCATGAAGCAGAGAACGAGGCTTTTCATAATCTTACCTGGACGAGACTCATGCTAGATGTATTGGCTCTTTTGGATCGGAACTCCGCAGTGTCGACGTATGTGTCTGGTCGTCTTTTTTGCGGATTGGTATTGTGATCAGTGTTCGACTTCAAACCGGGGTCTGTTTTGCGGAGCGTCTCAACGTCAAGTTCGGCTTCAAACTTTCTGATCTGCTGCGATATTTGACATGCTACGGATTGTGGCGATGAAGAGCCCTCCACAAAATCCAGTGTTTTAACGGCCTCCCAGGTCAGATCTTTTGGTTTTCGGCCGTAGTGATCGCGGGCCAACTCGCTCCACCTGTTGGTGAGTCCAGAGGTTGATCGGTTTTGAATAATGAGAAAAGGGGCAAGGCATTTGGTACCCGTGCTATGAAAGCTGATGCGGTGCTTCAGGCAGAAAAGTCCGTAGGAAAGCACGCAGACCTCGTCTTCGCGCTTCCATGTGGCCATGATGGCTAAGATGCTGGCTGAGCAGGGCAAGGACGGACAGGAACTGCTACGAGGGTGGAAACAATAGTTTAGCGATGAATGAGCTGCTGAGTTACGGAAAATTTTCTGGGCATGAAAGTAATTGCGTGAGCAGGCGTGACTAGCACATGACTGCCAATTGCTTGTCGCCGCTGAGCGCAAACGGGCGCTGCCAGGCTGGAACACGCCCACGCCGTACATAAAGCTGTAGGCCTGTTGTTTGGGCTGTGCTCCAGGAACTAAAAGCAAGGTGCTGATGGGGTCCGGTGGCACCTGGGGCCCGTGTGTGGGCGGGGTCTCCCATCAACTGCACGCCAGGACGCCCATCACCATTCCCAGGCACCTCGCATGCATCTGCTCAAAGCACCCACTTGCGCCTCTTCACCGATGAGCTGACATCCACACGGTACCCCCGATGGACAAAGTGTTTCACAGCGCTCTCCAGCATCTGGATGCGTCCGGTGGTTTACGTACCCTTGTAGGTGCTGCCGATCAATGTTATGTGTGTTCATTCTGGCCTGTAGCTTTCCGCGTTACACAGGACTCTGACACAATGCTTGCAATCGGACGCCATCTTTGCAGGGAAGCATCTAGAAAATGGACTCTTGGCTGCGGCATGCCAATGTTATCGGCTGCCCATCCTGGGGAGAACACTGCATCCGGCACCTGGGGAGACAAACTCAGTGTATGGTGTACCTATGCCTCTCCTCCGCAGTACGTCTGTGTGTACTTAGGTACAATTGGCGCTTAGCTCCGCGCAAGCCACTTTCGTTAGGCCAATCGCCCCTAGTGGGACGAAGGCCGAGCCCTGTAGGACGGGACGGGGCCTGGGAAGGATGGCTGCTCTCACCGAACCACACGCTATTTCCGTTGTTCTTCTTTCTGAGCTGCAGAGCACTCTGCGCAATCTTATAAACCCCAGCCCTTCGACTATTCATACACGAATTTGTTTTCGCATCCTGTCACGCTTTTGTCCCTCTTACAGCAGCTATCAAATCAATCTTCGCTCGCCAGCAAATTGTCAAAAGACGAGGAGCACAGTCCCACGCCCTGATGGCACGGATCAAGCATTGCAAAAAGCGACCGTGGGCTTTTATGGAGTCCTCTCCCTCGATTCTGGAGAGTGACGACCACGATTCATATCAACATCCCTACGAGACCAATGACCAAGCACCACTCGACGCCGACGACGACCTCTTGACTCGTTCTCCATCCACGACCGTTTCTCAGGGTAACGCTGCTCATTCCCATCGGGATCTTTCCGAGAGCCATATGCGGACACGTTCTGACGAGAAAGCTGTTCATCGTATTGGCCTCTTAGGCATCGATTTTGGAACTGAAACTACTGGAGTTGCGTATGCCAATGCCAAAAGCGATGGTCCCGCTGTGAAACCACCTGACGTGCGTTGCGTCACAGGATGGCGAAATGCACCTAGATCAGACTGGGAAGTTTACAGAAGTACGCCCTACGTACCCAGTGAATCTACCTATCCATCGACTTCGCAACAGATGGTCCGTCCCGAAAGGTTGAGAGTCAAGCTTGATATGGACAAACTGAAGTTAGGAGCAATGCAGTCCAATCCCATCCCCTCCACAGGAAAGGTACGAGTTCAATCTTTCAGTCAAGCTTCTCTAAGTAGTCATTCTAGATCAGTATACAAGAAGAGCGATTCTTATACGGCTGGGAATCAAGAGCTGAGAAGCGTACAACGTACCGGAACGCATTGCCAAATGCCATTTCTCTCCTGAAGCTGCGACTCCTCCCGGATCAGGAAACGAGGGCCTTGACAACGGACCTCGAGGCCGTCATACGTCATCTTAAGGACATTGGGACTCTGCCGGACGTGGAAGATGAGGCTGACGAGCAATTCGTCAACCAGCAGATGCTTCAAGATTACCTTCTTCCAGTATTTCAGCAAACGAAGGCACAACTCCAAGGGGAGCACTGGTACAAGGAGGACATGCCTTTCTACATTACGATGACATGGCCGCCTATGTGTTCTGAGGAAAGTAGGGAGGTTCTTGAGCGAGCGTGCAGAAACGTTGAGTCTGTGGTTCAAATCTCACACCAGCCATCATTTGAGTTTGCTGCAGAGCCGGAGGCTGCAAAGGATTTTGTTCTAGATTCCATGCGTAATGACGTTTCTGTAAGTATCCCCGTGCGTTGACCACTTCAATCGTTTGGCTTACACATCTTACGCCACTAAGCTCGGAGAATCCTTCGTTGTTCTGGACTGCGGAGGCGGCACGATCGATGCGCATACATTCACAAATCACAGGCATGCTCACAGGTCTTCGGGGATTCGAAGAGCAGGTATTACTCCACGACAAAAGTCTTCTAGTGTTCTCCCAACCTCTGGGAATGCTGACTAGTCTAGGCAAGTGTTGCGGAGCACGTTTCGTGAAAGAAGCCGCACGTCGGATGCTTGTCCAAGAGTTAGAGAGAAGAAATTGGCAGAACATTGGCAACGCTCTCGAAACTCTAGGTTCCAGTATCGAAGAGGAGATTGGCGCCGCGGTTGACCATTTTGAGGTCAACCTTCAAACATGCTTTTCCGGAGCGGAGGATTGGCGTCCAAGAATCCTTGGTATCCTCCCGAAGAGGCCGATCGTGTTCAACGCGTATGTATCTCATGGCCTTACTGAACTGTACTAACTATCGCTAGGAATGATGTCTCCACATGTTTTCTGCATAGTTTAGATGGCGCCGCTGAGGTCATGCATGATCAACTGGAGCAAGCGCGCCACGCTGGACTTTACATGAGAGTACGTTTCCACGCATCCCTCAACAAAGCACAATCTAAACGTGGTATCAGAAGGTCATCCTGACGGGTGGTTTCAGTCAATCACCTGCACTCCGGACGCGGCTTCAAAAAGAGCTTCGGCGGCGAAAAATGGACTTTGGGGAGAGCATAGAGCTAGTCTCTCTAGATACGCAACATATGAACTCGTCTGAAAACCGTTCCGTGAAATATTGTATCGCGCTAATTCTTCAAGTAGCGAAAACGCCGTGGCGTGCGGAGCCGTCCTCCGGGCTTCAAACGCCCATGTCCGAAGACAATTCGAAAAGATCTATCGTACCGACACCGACCAGGAACCTAGAGAGCGTATTGCTCGTTACTCGTATGGCGTTCTTCGGCGGGAGGTGTATCAGCCCGGGAGGTACATTGGCCATCGAAAGTTCCCCAAGCAATGTCTCAAGAACTTCAAGAATGCTGTGAATGGTCGTATAGAGCTGCAGACGATACAGTGGCTTAAACAAAAGGCCAGTCTAGAATCTTAATCTTTTGGGCGATTCCTAATAATATTACAGGGTGAGGATATGAAGCCGGGCGTGTTCGCAGAGATAAAATGCGCTCACGAATTCGATACCTCTAGCAAGTTCGTTTGCGAGGAGAAATTCTACGTATCAGATAAGACTATGACGAGTCACTTCGACGAAGATAGCACGGAGAACAGAGGTATGACATCTTCAGACCCGACTCCCTCACACGCTTATGCGATGATAGCTGCTCGCTCTGTTCTGAACGGTCTTGAGGTCGACCTAAGCTTCTTAAAAGACCAAGGAGTACTCCAATTGGAGGACCAAGATAGACCAAGGCCTGTTTACGTTGTGCAATATCTGCTTCGCATACTTTACAACGGGGACAAATTGGATTTCCAGATCTTCCCCCAAGTCAACGGCACTAAGGTCCCCATGCCCGACGCTCTCCAAAACACGCTGGTCGACTTTGGGCTGGCTGCCCACTTCTACGAACGAGAAATTCACCCCGATCAAGAGTTCCGCCCCGAACAAGAGTTCCACCCCGAACGAGATATTCATCCTGAACGAGAGATCCAATCCGAGCCGCATATCCATCCTGAATCAGAGACCCGTGCCGATCACATGGGCGGACGAAACGGGGCAGCACTTTCTCCAGGTGGCGTCGCCAACCGGAAACGTATTGGACCTGTTTTTCCTAGCAGAACAGGCATATAGATGGCTCGTCGTGCTGGGCGTACTGGACCCAAAGCTATATCGAGCCGGGGAAATAGAGTAAGATATGGGGCATGACCGCAAGATGACCACCTTCTGCTCTTAACCCTTGAACTTGTGAAGTGTGTTCCAAGAAGCGAGAAGTCACTCTCAGGAGTCAGCGGCGAGGAAGATGCCCATAGAATGCTACTAAGTGTCCAACTTCGGTCGTAATAAAGCACCCACACCATTTATAAAGCTGATTCAACTCTGGTGATGATCTCTGGAGGGCATTTCCAAAGCCTGCCGAATCTCTGCAATAACATGTCCCGGTGGTGGGTAGCCTCGGGTTTTGGTTGTTGCAAAAACACTCCTCTCGCTATGTTTCCTCAGCTGGACCCATTCATCTTCCTCTACATAACCCCAACTCAGACTAAGACGCATGAACTAGCACGTGCAAGAGATTGCAGACGGAGGTTCTCCTATTGCCCTGTGTAACCCTAAGTTCGTTGGACAGCTTATCCTGATATTCTTGCAGCCACCTGCACGCTAACCACAGCATGCGTCTACAGGCTGTAACGAAAGCCAAAGGTCGAAGCGTCATCCTTATGCGCCAATTTCCACATGATGAATAGCGTACCGGACCTTGGTCCCTGCATGAGCGGCATTTTAAGCACGACACCGAGAACTTCCCAGGGTCGTACTAGACGCTCCTCATGCCGCAGCCACTATCGAATGTAACAAGGCGGCACACGAGGAAACCATCATCGGTCTGTCATTTCCCGCTATTCTTAGCTGGATTCATGCGGCTGGGAGTGGATTGGTGGCTCCTCACCGCCCGTTTGCATCCGCCAACTCAGGCTCCCAAACTTTCACTAGGCATGCCAGAAATCATCGGAGAAGCAGACGCAGATCTCACATTCACTTTACCATGGTTTTCAATTAAGCGTGGCTTCATTTGACAGGAAAGCTGTCTTTAATCCGTTTCCATAGATTGATCATCGCTGGAGCCCACCTCACGCCCACAGCCTTACTTCAGCCTTACTTCATTGGCCATCGCTTGGTTCAGCTCATTAAAAGGAAGTCACCATCACATTCATTACCTAGCGCCTTGGAAAGCTCCACTTCCCGTGTGCGGGAGCGGGTGGCGCTCAACAAACCACTCGCCATATCCAAATGGGCTCAGTGCATGACTAAAACCTGACAGTGCGTCGGTGCTAAGTTGGTGCGCCTTCCCATCGACCACAGCTCCCAGCACATTTGGCTCCAGCTTGCGTAGGCGGCTTGCGGCATTCAATCACATATAAGCATGCACGCATGTGCCTATGCCAGCTTATGCCGTGGAATGCAAAGTCTTCACAGATCGCTGCCGCTGCCATGAGCGACTGCATGATGGCGTTCGTGTTGTCCATGTCGGACCCTCGGTCCGTCTCAGGAATGGAGCGCGGAGGTATCTGCGCGCCGAGCGGCTCCAATGCCGCCGATCCTCGATCTGACACTTGCGCGTCTAGTAGGGCTCACCAGACCACTGATGAAGCAGTGATTACTGTAAACACGAGCGTAAGCGCACGTATTTGTTGCCCAGAGATTGCAAAGAACAGCATAGGCAACGATTTGTGGCCTTGATAATGTTTGCATGAGTTCAGGATAAGTCAATTATTGTAAGTGACTCGTTTGCATCGGATTCGACATGTCACATGATTGACGGACCACACGAGAAAATAGCGCCGTGGCTTGCAGATCAGAAGACGAGAGTGTTGCACCACCACATGAGTTCGGCCGAGGCAACAAGGCAACAAGGCATCAAAAAAATCGACCTCAAGAACACGACAACCAACTCTAAATACTCCCCAAAAAGTGGCTACGCGTGTCAAAGCAGGTCGTTCTTGACAACTCCACCACTTTTTTCTAATAAAATCGACCGTTATTTGATGGTTTCGGGTTGATGAGTGGTTTCGGCCTTGCTGCCTTAACCGAACTCACAATCTTCGCCTACTGTGCCACATGCAGCGTGACTATCCTCAATCACAGCCCACGGGGGAAAGGTCTGCCGGTGGCGAGAATCTGGGTGAGCGGTATCGCATGGGATGACACAGCCGGATATGATATTCAATGCACATATCACTAACAATGCACATTCGCTTCCCCTCTATCGTTCATAGACTTTCAAAGTAAGTCTAGACCGCGAGTTAGAGGGTACAATACAAGGCGGGGCTTTCTAGCGACCGCTGCATTCTATTCGTTATAGCCGGGGAAAGGCTTCAGAAATTCCCTTCCTATTCCAGCATTCTCTGGGGCATTGTTTGCTCTAGGAAGTAGTAAGCACAAAGCCACTTCGATCGGCCCCATTACTGCCGCGCATGTCGTGTTCGAGACCGTTCTATATATTTACTTTTGGGTATACTATTGGTTCTCCCCGGCAAGTGCCGGAGGATCGTCGGCTACATAGTGCATCTAGGACAGGGCAGAAGGTACGCTTGCAGAGTGCCGATTTCCCGGATTGGGAAGTAATACAAATTGATTACATTATCACTTGATCTTGAACAATTTAGACAAGTAACTGATTTTCCTCCCTATTTCGCGAGGCCCTCAGAGCTCGTATTCAGAATATCTGAGTCCTAATCCCATCCAGTAGTATCACGCTAATAAAACGACGAGAGACCGACAAGGTTGGCTGCAAGTTGGGGGACGTTTAGCTATACTACATGAGGAGACATTATAGGGCAAAACAATTCACTGGCAGTGATAAATGTTATATCAGCGTTCAATTCCATTTGCAATTGCCAACACGTCAGTCTTTATTTTAGGGGTACTTAATACTTGTACTTGAGGGACTAATCTAGCATAAAGCGACGGTAAAGACTAGCAAAAGGAAAGAGCACACCAAGATGCATATAGTTAATTGTCGACATCGAGCACTCCCAAGACGACATAGCATGCAACGTTTACGAGATAATAATCCCAGTCTCCAGCTTCCCCGGCGTTCTTTTCCTAAAGTTTCTCTAAAATCACAGCAGCCTTACTAATCAAGTCCTCGCGACGCCCGTTTCAGACAAAGTTGAGGTAGTTCAGAGGATCGCTTGGGCCTGACTCAGCCTCATTTTGCGCATTTGCCGGCCTGAACGACATGTAAAGCCCAGGACAAGTACTGACTATAATCTTCCTACTCATGATTTGACTCTCAACACCCTCGTCAGCATGGGTAGTAGTTGTTCTCTTCATGTGATTTGGGTCAAATTCTCCGATCGGAAAGAGAGTTCGTAATCGATGGAATGGTGCAACAACCGCGCTTTCATTGACAGTGCGCGCTTGAGCATTCCAAGGCATATGGGTTGAACTTGAGGCGATATCCTAGTGTTTGAGCAACCGAAGAAAGTATCAGAGAGCCTTAGATATAGTCCTGTATTGTTCGTTCGAATTCGTCGCTTATTTGATACTCTTCGTAGGCCATGAGACTCATTGTTAAAGATTGACTCTGGCTCACTCTACGAATATTAGCGGAAAAGCACGCCACCACTTTACAGACGCTGTGAAGTGGGTTTAAAGCAGGAAGCCTATACTAACATATAGCACGCTCGAGAGATTGATGACTCTCCAATCTACTAGATTTACCGGGGGCGGCGCAGGGAAATCCGATTCGAAAACCCAGCCAGCCAAAGCTGACCAGACCATGGCATGAAGAAGGTATCGATCTAGGCGGTTGTGTGCCACAAGCTTCATCCGTAGTTGTTCTAGTCGTTGGTGCATAGGTGCGCTAGTGCAGCGAGTTATACGGGCCATAAGGATGGCAAATTCTTGGGGGCATTCCACATTCTGGGATATACCAGTGTCGGCAGCAGTAGATTGAATGTTGTCGACACAGTGTTGAATACTTGCATCCGGGCCTAGCAGGTCGTCTCTGATCGCTTCGTTAGAGATTGCCCTTGCGCGTGGATCTCTTGCTCGAGCTTCCAGATCTTGCCTATGGCGCCTAACTTGGAATTGGAGTGCTGTCACACCCATTCTGGAGCCTAGGACGGGGTTATACCCGACTTCGTCGGTGTGATCTCTGCGCAACTGAAAGAGTTTAGCACTTTGGTCTAACTGCAAGATCATATAGCCTTAACAAGATATCTGTCATTCTTGAACACCTGGCTGAACTTACCTTGTTTATAGCTTCACTAGAACTTGTGCATATCTAACTGTGTCCCGGATTTTCCATTGTGTTGTCGGTCGTCTGGATGGCTTCGGACGTCTGGATGGCTTCGGGCGGCGATTCGAGTCTGGCCAGAGTCGGGTCTTCTGACTCCGTCTAGCGCGGGGCCATTGAAGTTGCTCTGTAATTCAGATGAGGTCAGAAATAAGTTGTAAATACTCCTAAAAGTTGACGTTGCTTACTCGATGCATGGTTCCAGGCAAATACATGTTTAGCTGTTCCCCTGAAGTCGCCGGTCCCTGGACCGCATCGTCGAATGCATCAGATGTCGTTATGATGAGAGTCGCACCTCTCGAGTCTTGGTCTTTTCTAAGAGCCTCCAGAATTCCCTCGACGATCTTTTGCATTTCAGTGGGTGACTGCTCATTAGGACATAGGTGCTTGGGTAGGGTCTACCACTTTAGACGACAACTTCCGGGACCTGCTAGAGCGGAGACAACGGGGCGTACTGAGAAGGCATACACGTTCCCAAGAACAAAAGAACAAAGCTGTGCGCGACGCCATTGCCAAGTTTAGAAGCGTTCCAAAGAGGGATTTTTCCTTGGAAAGAATCCCGGGTGATATTTTCTTTTTCTATAACATGGAAGGTGTCCCAACATGCCCAGAATTGGGGTTTTCAAACGGACAATTCTTCATTAATGGGTGAGAAAAACCTTCTCCGCTTCTATTGAGAACAGCACTGATCAGGCACACGTACTGTGCTACTGCAGTCAAACGATGTGGGACGAAGTTTTCAAGACACCTCTGGACGCAATTATCGCCCTCATAAATAATCAAATCGACGAAGTAGCCCGCGTCTCCGGTGGACATACAATGAATTTAAGAAGGTCTCACATTAAGAATGTAAGACTTGGTTACGCTAACATAGTACTAGAAAGTAATACTCAGCGGAGGATTTGCGAAGAATATGGCCTCAATGCAAACACTCAGGTTGAAATTGATGTGAACTCTGCTCTATTGTAGATGCCGTAAAGGCGGACTATATAGAGTAACGAGATGAACTACCCCTTAGGGCGCTTCCTTAGTCGTTCCCTTGACAGCAAGGAAGCAACACAACTCCGTAAGGGAGAGAAAGGGAGAGAAGAGAAAGGGAGAGTAAGGGATACCTGGGGTGGTGTGCACACAGGTGATTGTGAACTGTATGAGTTGCTGATCCTAGGATGCTGCAACCCGAGTTAAACCGTAGACAATAACCTTAAAGAAGCGAAACATGGGGTTAAAATTGAAAGAGTTTTTACACGCAATTCGTACACGTACGTTTATTATCCAAGTTTAATCGCTCCTTTCTCCTATTCCATGTCCTAAATAATACTTAAGTACTCAGGTTGCAGCACTATAACCTAGGATCAACAACTTATATACTAGAAAGCTACTCTCCGAATATTAGCTATAGAGAACCCAGCTAAAAGCTCAGCTATGCAGTGTTTAGCTGAACTTACTAGCGCGCCACCCAGGGGGTGGCCCTCCTTCCTTCCCCTAGTATATATACAACTAGCTAGACATCTATAGAAATTAGAGTTTACATCAATTTTAACCTAAGTGTTATGAGCCCGGAAAACTTATATAGATTATCGCCTACATCACCGATCAACGCAAATTAGCAGATAATAGACTCTCGATCCACAATCCTCTATAACTAACCTTGTTATTCTATCATGTCTTCTATTATATTATCCACAATGCCGACGGAAAATGTTATTCTGTTATCGCTAGCCGCATAGGAATCTTAGATTTAAATTATCTAGGCAAAGGCCGAATAAAGGGAAATCTGGGGCATTATCGACCTATTAGAAATAGATGCGAACACCGATAAAATGCTTCTAGAACCTTTAAAGCCCGCGCCCCTATTAGCTAACAACGGCATATTCGCCGCGCAAATAACCTAGAAAATAGCATATAATAAATATAAGAACAACAAGGCCCTATTTAACAAGTAAAAGGAATTACTCCAGGACCTACGTATTTTCATCCTATAAACTATAGATGCCAAATACACTATGTACACCTACAGCATTTTATTAGCACGCGGTCTACTTGCCAAACTTAAGAAATCTATTGCGCTATTAGATAAAGCACGCCGGAACAAAATCTATAACCTATAGCAGGAGCAGAAGCGCTACCCCACTAAATAAGCCGTGGAAAAATAGCTAATGGACTAGGAAATGCTGTACAGTAATGCATTAAGGCTACAGCTGCCCAAGGCCGCCGACAACTGTGCCCAAATTGATTTCCTACTGTCCCTAATAGGAAAACATCCGGAATTCGCAGGCTACTAGCGCCAGGAGATCTTACGCTGAACGGACACTAAGGAATTAGCACCTAGCCTAGCAGACCTAGTTAGCAAATTCCGAATGCAACGGCATAAGATACTAGCAGCGGCGCAGGATTCCTACTTAGCCTATACTACTATATTGCAGGGCCGGAAAATTAAACTAAAACAGGAGTCCACTAAGGTTACAGACCCCCAGGGATCCTGCCTATGCGGCAAAAACCACTAGTACCGTAATTGCCTATACATCTGTGCTAATAAACGCCCTTCCGGCTGGGAAATAGATACAGCAGTATAAGAAAGAGTAAAGGAAGCTCTCAAGAAGAAGCACCTGAATAGCTAGGAACAAATTTAGAAAATGCAGGCAGACTATACAGGTTCTACTCCTGGAACTGTCTTAGCATTCTAACCAACTAAACCAACAGAACCAGTTAATTTAGCAGAACCAGCCAACACGGCAGAACCAGCTGAATCAGCAGAACCCAGTCGAATTGGCAGAACCAGCCGCATCTCGTGCAGCCCTATTACTCTACAGCTAGGCCCCTACGCAGGCCCTTTCCCTTAATAAAACACCAACATAACGTTACTAGCAGGATCTAGGAATTAGACAACGGAATTCACCATCTTTTGTTGTTGGGGGGTAACTCAGGTTGCAGCACTACAACCTAGGATTAACAACTTATATGCTAGAAAGCTATTCTCCGAATATCAGCTGTAGAAAACCCAGCTGAGATCTCAGCTGTAGAGAACCCAGCTGAAAGCTCAGCTGTGCAGTGTTTAGCTAAACTTACTAGCGCGCCACCCAAGGGGTGGCCCCCCTTCCTTCCCCTAGTATATATACAACTAGCTAGACGTCTATAGAAATCAGAGTTTACATCAATTTCAACCTAAGTTAAGTAGGTGTGCTGCGTCCCGAGGAGCTGCCATATAGCTTGCAAATATGCCGGAAGACGAGTAGAATGCACCTTTTAAGACTATTATAAAGCAGACATTTGGCTTTCTCCAGTATAGAGACGTCGATAGTATCTCTATAAAGACACGCAAAGAACTTGCCGAGCACATTTATGATTGCCCAAGTTCTCCATCGGGGGTTGTGAGAACAATTAAGTAGATCGCTCCTAAGGTAATATAATAAGAGTTGTAGCCCTTAAGTCTTCAAGATACTTATAATAAGTTAGGGGAAAATGCTGAGTGATAAGTTCCAGCTTAAGCCATACGAATGCGAACATTTTCGCTCTCTCGACGAGTACAAGGATTCTCCCGAATGGGAAACAAGTTGCAGTGAGAAGCAGCGTGGTTAGTAAACGGGCGGCCGGCTTAACTAGATAGCAGGTTGATTAGATTGTTATATATTGAATTGAGTTTGATTGATTGGATTAATTAGATTTTGGTTTGAACTGGTTTGATCCAGATTAACAAATAGGTGAATTCGATCGCGCTTAGCCTAAACTGGTAGGGTATCAGATCCCCTGAGTTCTGCCGGCCTAGCCAGGAGAACACGTATTGCCAGCCTTATTAACCACGGCTCCAGCGCCCCCTCCAGCACTCCACAATAACGAGATAAGCTCAAACGGACGACGGGAATCGATTTATACAGGTCAAAATACGTTTCACGCGAATTACTAGGTCTACTAGGCTTCAAAAATGCACCCCTTTACTCAGGTTAAAATTGATATGAACTCTCCTTTCTATAGGTGTCTAGCTCGTTGTTTATATACTAGGGGAAGGAGGGGGGCCACCCCGGGGGCTTAACGTGGCAGCTCTTCTTGATGCATTGCTTGTTACATCCTGTTACTTGATACAGTACTGATACCGTGCTGCAGCACTGCTATTGCACTACCTGTTACTTCCTCCTGTATCAGCATGCCATCCTGATATATTACTGGCATTTGAGTTGCTGATCCTAGGTTATAGTGCTGCAACCTGAGTCCTTTAGTACTCCCCCCCGACGTTCCCAAGGGAGATCCCAACCCCCCCTTCACCTAGAACCTCACCACCATAGTACTCTCACGTCGCCCTTTACTCTGGGGCACTCTGTAGCCTCATCCATAGGTATACTTCGCGAGCCGTCTTATTATTAGGCTCATAGGAATTTATATAACGAAGTTATGTCTATAAAAATCCGGTCCAATCTGTATACATCCTTTCCGTTTTATACAACACCAATCGGATCAATCGGATCAATCTCCGCTTGAGGTTTGATTGGCTAGAGGATTGATTGATTGGATTAATTAGAAGTGATATTAATAAACCGGCCGTCAATCCGATTGAAGATTGGCCGGTTTACTAACCACGCTGGTGAGAAGCTCTATAGTTCCAACAAGTCTTTCAGCCCGAAGTATACCTACTTCAAAGATTGCACAGCAAGAACGGTATATTAAAGATGTGAAAGTTATCGAGAATAAAGTTGACGAATGTTCAGGAATTAGAAGGGTACAAGAGGTCGGCATCAAGCTTAAGAGTGAAGACTTTGAGCGCGTGGAGGAAACAGATCGTAATCCTGCGCATTAAAAAACCGTCATTACTTTGCATGTGACATTTATAGCGCGGAGGAATGTCTTGCAATTGGAGCTGTCTTACCGCAACAGGCCTCCACAAACGCGCTGGTACTCCCCGGCGGCAGACTGGGAGCGTCCAACCGCTCCAATCAACCCCCCACATGTTCCGGCTCCAGCAAGATCTCCAGAGAGACTGCGACGCCAGCGGAATGATGTTGATCCCTCAGCAGGCATCGGCGCTTCAAATCTTGGAAGAAAAGGTAAGAGAAAGGCCACATTGCAAGAGGTTCGAAGGCAAGAAGAGAGAGAGTCTTCAGAGGACGACCTTGCGCCAATGGAGGAGGCAGCGGAAACTCTACTTGGCCTGGCACGCAATATTGGCCCGGATACAAGTCGAATTGAGGTCGGGGCGGCTCCTCCCACCAGATCTAACGAAGTAGATAACGCTCCAGGAACGCAGCCGCCTACGCCATCGCCATCATCATCTCCGAGTCTATACGCATCGGTGAGTGAGTGTCTGCTATACTACACTCATGATAGAAAACGAAGGTCTGACTTGTGTATACTTCAGGCCCCAGCAGTCCAGCGAAGTTGTACCTCGTTCGACTCCCACCTCAGAGCCCTTGTGTAGTGGAGTAGACAGCTCTACAACCCCTCTGCCGCGTCAATACAGCACTTATGCCAAGTGCTCCAGGGGTGGAAGGTCATCGGGGAAGTCTGCGAGTAGGTCAAAGAAATAGAGGCGTGGTGAAGCCCTAACTCGGGAGTGATCGTCGGGATGGAATCTTCGAATCGAGCTTCTATGAGAGACCTTCTGGGACTAAGAGGTTAATATTCTTTTCGAGTCCTATATTTTGTGCCTTCTCTTTCCGTTTGGATGGATAATTCACGTGCTGGGGACACTGAAGGGTCGAATCTTGTATGACCGAGCTTCTTCCTTAGATAACGATCGCAACGTGTTGGGTAACCCGTAATGTTCACCGTGATTTCTAAAGACTTCCAGTCTGAGTCACATGCTTCAAATGGTGGTTAGGTATCAGTTGTGGTGATGTGATCCGCGTTCTTCTGTGCGACTTGCAAGTCTTGTCCACTTGCGCCACTTCCCCAGGCTATTCTCGCCCTCCTCCACCAACCAGTCTACTACAGAGTGCAACTACCAACCACTTTACAGGACCTCTTAATTGCATAAAGCGTATAACACTCCTTGCATCTCCTTAGATTAATGCAACTAGAACATTTGCGTAACCCGAGAGAAATCATCTTACACCCTTACTAGTCGTAGAACAAAGCCACCACGCTTTTGCTGTTAGCACTGTCGCTAAGAGAGAATATCTTTACAAGCTTATGCGTTAATATTAGGACGAGACTACTCATAACCCCCTTTTTTGCTGCGTATAACCCCCCCTAGATTTAGCCTAGCTCCGGCTCGTAACAACTTTATTTCACCAATTATGCTGTCGCTTAGGTGATAATGATGTTCAATAACGGGTTTTAATTCACCAATACAGCACCGGATCTCTCCACCAGATCTCTCCGCTAGACAAGCCGGCACCCTAACAGTAACCTAGGGCTCTATTTCCTTAGTCGCTAACAGTTAACCAGCCCTAGAGGACGCCCCTCTGTCTCCTCCTAAGGAGGAAGCTGTTTATAGTGAAGGAGCCGATGCAGCAGGAGGATATTCGGGTGTAAGATCTTGGTACAATGGTGTATACGGCGTTTCTTTCAATTAGCAATTGAGAGGCGGCCATCTAGACGCTTTCCGCTTCTAGGCTAGCTAGAGTAGATGGAGTGAATAGACTGTTGTTATTGTATATATATACATCTTATGCGATTCGTGTATACATCCTTTCCGATTTGTATAGCCTTGCCGTTTTGTATAGCCTTGCTGTTTTGTATAGCCTTGCTGTTTTACGCATCTAACAAGCGAGTGAATATAATTGGTGGAACAATATTAATACGGGCCGGAGCTAGGCTAAATCTAGGGGGGGTTATATGCAGCAAAAAGGGGGGTTATGAGTAGTCTCGTCCCAATATTAACCGTAAAGCCTAACTAAATTCCGCGTCTAGGCCACAATATCGCGATGCCGCTTAGAATGACGCTTTTTAGCCGTCTGCAGACCGGAGCGCGGCGGCATTACAAAACCCCGCTAAAGCCACAACCTTCCACCTGGGCAGATACTTGACAATAACATTCAGTACGTACGACACACCTGAATGGAAGATTAGATCACCGCTCATCTGTCCTCCCTTGAGGTCCACGGGCTGCCGGGAGAGTTCCTTTGCCTGCCATGATCATCGATTCATGATAAACGCCCGTCCACTCAGCCCTATTATATTTCGCTTCACTTTGCAAACCCTCTAATACCACCCGACAGAGATAGAAGTACAGCGCTCCATGATCCCGTTACATTTTGCGACTCAGTAATATAGTAGTGCAGTGGGTAGTGGATGCCCGGACTTTTTTCTGCCTTTTGGATTTTTGGGTCCGAGTCCAGGTGTGTGCTTCCCTTCTTTGCTCTTGGGGCTTGGGCAAACGAGCAATGGGACTATAGTAAATGGTTGCTTGAGAGGCTTAGTGGACGTAAGGTTTTAACTTTAAAGCAAATCGGGAATGCATAGAGTGGTATGTAGCAGATTTTTATATTGACGGAGTGTCATCTATATCGCGACCCTATGGAGGTCATGTCAGACCAGCAGCCACGCAATTGAAACCCGTTATGCTAGAGACTCGCCTTAGCTACCTTTCACGTAGGAAGGCAGAGACCTCGATAGCAAAACCCTGCAAAGACAAAAAGCCCGACCCGCTGCAACCGTAGAATGAGCCCGCACTTGCACTGCCATTGCCATTGCCATTATCAGCACTCCGAAGACCGTAAGTGCAAGCCTTCTGACAGACGACTCGCAACTCTTGGCCACTCAGCCCTGGAAATTGATCGAAAGAGTCGAGTTGTCGCAGATGAAGAGCGCCGCACCCACTACGTTCAAATGTCAGTATTCGATCGCAACTCCAGATACCGCATGAAAGTCTGCACTTACACGCAAACTGATCATCCGTCCCGCCACACTGGCTGCTCACAAACGATTTGAACCATTCCTCACACTTCGCCGCCGTGAGGTAGTTGTCCTTGCCCATGACGCACTCTTTGCCGACGAACACCTGCGCCATGATGTTGCCCTCCGAGCCGCGGGAGTTGGCGAACGGGCCCTTGAGCGGCGTGCACGTCGTGATGGCGGCGCAGGCTTTGGAGATGGCGGACTTGGCCTGGGACATCGGAACTTTATTGTACCAGCAGTTGAGGCGGGTGGCGTAGTTGTATTTGAAGCAGGCGTCCGGGTCCTCGCGGGGTTCCATGGTCAGCAGGGAGGCCAGGGAGGTGGTGGCAAGGGCCACGAGAGCGGTGATGAGGGCGAGGAAGCGCATTGTAGATGCTGATTGGGTTGGTTGTTGTATGTAGGTTGTGGGTGATTGTGTGGTAGATGGTAGCGAGAGAGTGTGGTTGTAAGTGGTTGAGGAGCTTTTGTAGTTCAAATAAGGTTTAAGAAGGTGGGCAGGATGACGTGGGTGAGACGTGAGGTGAAGGCGCGTGCAGAGTTTCTTAGAGAAGGGATGATGGGGTGTGGCAACTACGAACGGCGCTAGCCGACCGGAAAGTGAGAGTAGTCGGGAGTGGAAAGAGCGAAGGGCTATATCTCCAGCGGCATCGTTTATCAATGCATCCTCCATGATTCTTTGTGTAAGACTAAGAAGTCTAGATATGCTGAGAGGAATCTTTGAATAAGGATAAAATGCGTCTGGTAGTACCAAGTACACGGTACCTTACATGACAGGGGCTCTGTGTAATGTGACCTGACACACGTGACTCAGGAACTAGTCACACTTACTTTTGATATAGAAATCGCATTACATATGGATACAGTTCGTCAGTACGCTACAAATGCTTCTGCTGTCCTGCGAAAAACTTTTTCGACTCCAAACACCTCTCGCTCACACAGCCTGGGCATCTCAGCCCCATCTGCAGACTGCACGCCTGTCCGGCCTCGAGATGATCCTTCGCGATATCTGCCAACGCCTGGATGAAGATTGGATTCCCATTCAAGCTCTCTGCGCGCTTGATGCCCTCCTGGCCTGACTCCCCGATGATCTCTTTGTCCAGCTCGTAGAGGGTTTCAATGTGGTCGCTCGTGAAGGCGATCGGAATTAGGATCATGTCCGTCTGACCTTTCTTGATTAGATTCTCGACGGTGTTGCTGGTTTGCGCGCCAAGCCAAGGCTGAGGCCCGACTTGCGACTGCCACACCAACCGGTACTGGTGTTTCATTCCAAGGCGTTGCATTACCGCATACACGGTGGCGGCGACTTCGGCGGGATATGGGTCGCCACGGTTGACGACTGTCATTGGGAGGCTGTGGGCGGAGAATAGTAGGATAACATTGTCGCGTTTTTCTGGTGGATAGGTCGCTAGTGTCTTCTCAATGTTGGTAGCGAAGGCTTCCACCAGGCCAGAATGTACTGGCCAGCGATCAATTACACTCCATTTGATCGTGCCTTCAGGCTCAACCTCGCCAGTGGTGCGTTTCCCCTCTAGTCGAGTTCGCCATTTCCATAGCTCGTTGAGCGACGAGCCAGTTGTAGAGCAGGAGTACTGCGGGTACTGCGTGAAGGCTACCGCCCTACCACCTTTCCCAGCACCGAAGCCGTCAGCAATAAGCTGCTGATACATCTCCTCCGTCAGTGGAGCAGCATAACGGAATGCGACGTAAGGCTTGTGCGGTGCCGTTTCTGGCGAGGTCTTGTCGAGAATCTTGCACATCTCGGCGGCCTGGTGTTCAGACCACTTGCGAATTGGCGAACCCCCTCCGATCTCCGCATACTGCTTCTGTATCTTGGGCGTCCGACGGTTCGCAATGTAGGGACCGATGTAATTCTGGAGGCGTCCTAGCGGAATGAGGTCTGCGTCGGCCTGGGAGAATTAGCGTTTTGCGGCCGGAAGTGGTTGGGATGAAATACAAATAGGTTGCTCAAAAAGCTCTTAACCTCGTCTACCGTGGACGGACCGCCCATGTTCATGAAAACTATGGCCGTGGGCCCCTTGGATCCTGTAGCATTTTGTGCCACTGGCGGAGCTACATCTGCGTTCCATCTTCGCTGTGGCGCGAATGCCGAGGCGACTGGGGAGAATTGCGCTGAGATTTGGGCCGGCGCACGCCTGGACAGCTGTAGTAGAGGATTGCGGAGGGCCATGGTGTTGCTGGAGAGAAGTTACAGGTGCTCAGGACATGGCGGAGGTGAATTGAAGCTGGCAGAGTCCGGCCGGCTTTCCTTCTGTAGTGTAAGCGCCTTCGCAGGGATCGTGAGTGGTGACGACGTTGCGGGCTGGAATGCAGCGCCGAGCTTTGCCTTCATCACGTGACTGCGCATGGGAAGCGCGATTGATGCCTAGCGACGCCTCAACTTCATCCCCCGCCTACGTCAACTCTTACTCCTCACATTCCCACCTCACACAGCCAACAATCTCAATGGCAGAACCGACTGACGAAAAGCGCCGCCACGGCGAAGAAGAAGAGGACGATGACGAGGAAGAAGCCGACGAGTCGGGCTACAAGACGGTCAAAGACGCGGTGCTATTTGCGATTGATGTCAGCGACTCCATGCTCAGGCGCCCGCCTCCTTCAGACGACAAGAAAGCAGATCGCGACTCGCCGACGTCTGCTGCGCTGAAATGTGCGTACCAATTGATGCAGCAGCGCATCATCTCTCACCCAAAGGACATGATGGGCATTCTGCTGTTCGGCACCGAGGACACCAGGTTCGACGAGATAAATTCCGGAGACCAGTCCTATCCCCACTGCTACCTCCTAGCAGATCTGGATGTTCCGGAAGCAAGCGATGTCAAGCGATTACGTAGTCTAGTTGAGGATGAAGAGGAAGCAGCAAAACTCTTGGTTCCGGCCAAAGAGGGCGTCACCATGGCCAATCTCCTCTTCTGCGCGAACCAGATATTCACGACAAGGGCACCCAACTTCTCATCAAGGAGATTGTTTCTCGTCACAGACAACGACAATCCTGCGGCCGACAAGGGAGCCAAGGATAATGCTATCACCCGAGCGCGAGATTTGTACGACCTGGGCGTCATTATCGAGCTCTTCCCAATCTCAAAGCCTGGAGTGGGCTTTGATCGCGCCAAGTTCTACGATGTAGGATATAAGCAGATCCAGTTCCCTTCTTGTACTAATCCTCGTAGGACCTCGTCTACAGTGCCTCTCCGTCAGACCCAGACGCACCCGCCCCAATATCTTCCGCAACCAAAGTCTCATCCAGTGGAGACGGCATAAGCCTACTCCAATCTCTCATCTCTTCAATCAACTCGAAAGCCGCTCCTCGTCGCGCTTTATTCAGCCTTCCCTTAGAACTAGGACCAGACCTCCGCATCGGTGTCAAGGGCTATGTGATAATCAAGCGGCAAGCGGCTGTGAAGTCTTGCTACATTTGGATGGGTGGAGAGAATGGCGAGAAGAAACAACTTGCCGTTGTCAACACGATGCCGATGACCGACGACAGCGTACGTGCGGTGGAAAAGGTCGATCTTGTGAAAGCATACAAATTTGGAGGTGAAGCCGTCACTTTCCCCCCTGAACAGATCAAGTTGATACGTCAATGCTTTGGGGATCCCATCATTCGAATCATTGGCTTCAAGCCAGTTTCCATGCTTCCAATATGGGCAAATACTAGGACTCCAACCTTCATCTATCCTTCAGAAGCGGACTACATTGGTTCTACCCGCGTCTTTTCGGCACTTCAACAGAAGCTACTAAAAGACAACAAAATGGCGCTAGTGTGGTATATCGCTCGGAAGAACGCTGGGCCAGTGATAGCCGCTCTCGTGCCCGGAGTAGAGAGACTAGGTGAGGGAGGCGAGCAAGTAATGCCGCCTGGTATGTGGCTTATCCCTCTACCATTCGTGGATGATATTCGGGACAACCCGGACATCTCTCTTGTGAAGACGACAGATGACTTGACAGATCTGATGAGGAACGTTGTGCAACAGCTGCAACTGCCAAAGGCAATATATGATCCATCGCGATATCCGAATCCTGGTGAGTATTTTCTTTACGGTTGGTTCTCGTTGAGTGAAAGCTGACAATAGGTATCAGGATTACAATGGTTCTACAGAATCCTCCAATCTCTAGCTCTGGAAGAAGACATGCCCGAGAAACTGGAAGACAAAACAGTGCCCAAATACAGACAGATCGATAAGGTGAGCAATTCAGGTGCATTTTGCGTCTTTTGTTTATCCTTAGTGTCTCAATCACCAACTTTTCCTGTTGTTAATTCTTTGAGTACCCATGTACCCAACTTTCTCTAGTGCATTATCACGTGCCCGTCACGTGCCGCCTGTATAATGCAGACAGGGCAGAAAATACTTCGAACATTGCTGACACGATTTCTATCTAGCGCGCTGGCGAGTTTGTTGTCGAATGGGGCCAAGCCCTCGAAAGTGAACATGCACTACGCTTGAAGAACCGATCCAATGCTGCCGCGTTGAAACGTGAATCCGCCACCGACAAGTTATCTGGCCCGCTACCAAAGCGAATCAAGACCGAGCGTGGAGCAACACCCGCTGGAGAAGATGAGGCGGATTCAGACGAGAAGATGCTACGATTTCGCAAAACAGGGGCAGTGAGAACGGTAGGCAGATGCATATGTTTCCTGTGCAGTTCCCGGTGCTAACATGTTGACCAGCTTACGATGGACAGGCTGAGGAAGTATTTGGGTTCCAGGGGCCTTGGAACCAAGGGCAAGAAGGGAGATCTTGTTCAGAGGGTGGAGGAGTACCTAGAGACAATATAAACGCGTAGGTCGAGACAACGGCAAACGGCTACGTAAGGAATTAACGAAGTTAACAATGCTTTCGGTGTATATGCAATGTCCTATCTATGCGATTACTTTTGAGACTATGGAGGCAACCTGTAGACCTTCTACACATACCTCTCACTCCGCCATTCTCAGTCACATCTAGCAAGCAAACAGCCCACAGTCCGCACTGGTTCTCTCCTCCGAAATCCCCCACCCCTCAACCGCCACACCATCGAAATACCCACTGAACCACGCAAAAGTATCCGCAATCGTATTCGCCGGTGTCGGGTCCGTCAGCAACGCCGTCTCCCCTGACTTCCACGGCGACCGCACATCCAAACTCAGCTTCTTGCCCGGCACATCCAACCGATAACTCGAATAGTACGTGATATTCGACAGCTCACTCACCCACGGGTCCGCCGGGTGCACACCCCCCACGACCGGGTACACCTCGTGGTGCCCGTCCGGGTACATGATCGTGGCCAGGGACGCCTGGTTGTACTGGCTCACGGGATTCGTGATGGTGGCCTGGATCTTGATGCCGTTGTCGAGCAGGATGACGTACGCGTGCCAGCCGCCCGCGGCGTACGACGGGCCCCATTGCATGTCGAACCACGCCATGCTCTGCTCGGGCACGATGTCGACGGTCTCGTTGGCAAAGTTCACGAGGGTCCCCGTCACGTACGTCTCGGGGTAGTCGAAGGCGTACGCGTAGCCGGTGCCCCAGATGTAGGCGGCCGCGCCAGCTTGATACAGGTTTGGCCCTTTGGGCACGTAGGTTAGGTTGAAGCGCGCGGAGGGCTGCGTGCTGGTTACGTAGAGCTCGGAGACTTGGTCGTCGGAACGCGCGCCCGTGGTTAGGATGGGAGTGGAGCCGTAGAGCTTGGTGTTAGAGAGCTGGCCGTCGTAGCTCCAGGAGCCGCCGAAGATGTGACCGTTGGTGATGTCGGTGTAGGAGATGGAGGAGAGTTGTTTGGTGGAGCCGGCGTTGGTGGTGGTGGTGACGATGCAGTAGTCGTTGCCGTCCGAGGCGTGGAGGAAGTTGGCGAACCAGTAGGATTTTATGCCCGTGGCGTTGTAGGTGACTACGTTGGTGACGTTGGGGGCGCCCACGTTGTACTGGGTTGGTGGTTAGTGTGTGGCTGGGGTGGTGAGGCTTGGGGGGAGGAGGGAGTGGCGTACGGAGTACTGGTACTCGAGGTTGCTACGGTCTTGGGCTGTGCGGAGGAATGCTAGGGCGGGGGTGGTGAGCAGCGCTAAGGCTGAGAGGAGGGATGAGATTGGAGCCATGGTGTAATGAATGCTATATTCACGGTCTGAAGAACCTATGGATTTGCTTGCACAGCTTGGGGAATGAGTAGAAAGGGTACATTCCCTCTCTTTTATGTTCTTCATTGGTAATTACTCCTCTTCGTCTATATGCTCACCGGCTATGCGGATATGATGTCGAACACAATCACACTATACAGCTTGGCACTCGCCATCGCCAGGAAACTAGTATTGTCGTGCATGCATCTTAGTCTGACAACGACGAGTAATGATGCAGTAAAATACTTGTCATTCAAAGACCTCACCCTTATATATATGCCTAACCCTCCATAAGCTCGTGAACACACGGTACTTATGCAACAATGCACAAAAAAAGAACCCCCCAAGCCTCTTTCACACCCTCACACCAAACACGAAACACTACCATCAAGTCGTCTCCAGCGGCACCGGGACCCTGCATCATACCAAGCATTACCCCTGCCACCTCCCCTGACGCTGCATCCCAATACAGGCAAGCTCTCCCGTTGAGCAAAAATTTGCCCGGTTCCTCTCGATCCGGGGTAAGTCGATCGCGGCTCTCCAGTGGCGCCGCCCAAAGGCGGGGAAACTCTGGGGATTGAAGGTGTGCCTTAAAGCCGGTGAGCGGTAGCTCGGAGCTACGCTGATCCGGCGAATAGCGGGCTCCTATAGGCGGCTTAAGTGCGTCAGGTAGTGGGGAGTATGGAGTCGGGATTTTGGTGGAATTGTGCTGTGCATAAGCGAGTGTGAAAGTTGTGACGAGCGGGGAAGTGTTGGGTTGATGGATTCCAGGGTTGTGATGAAGGGGGGTTTGGAGGAATGGTGTTTTGGCGTGACTCTGTAGGAGTATTGGTGACGAGGGTTTCAGGTTTTGGATGGAATGTGAGAGATTGTGGTGCTTGAAACCTTTATACTCATGGTCCTGGGGTCAGGGTTGTGGAAGGCTGGCGTTGGCAGTCCAACACGTGATGGTCACGCGCGAAATCTGGATGCGATGATCGCTCAAGAGTGCCAAGAATACTTTTTACCAAATTTGTTCACCATTCGACTTCACAATATCAATACCATTTAGATTCATTGGCTCATGATGATCCAGAGCTGTGCTTTAATGAACCAATTGCTCCGTTGAACAGCATTTAAGTCTTGGCAGTCACTTCATCCACTGGAGTCCCCCTACTTGATCGATTGGAGGACACCCTTGGGTCGCTCATCCGCGTACTATTCGTTGTGCTTGCTTTTATGCGAGAGCGAGAACCATTTTTGTGACCATTATCGCACTTTCAAGTAGAGCAAGCCTAAGAATTACTCGCCTCGTCCAGTGATGTTAATAGACTGGGGTGGACTGGATAAGGCCTTGAATTCGTGCAATCCACTAGAAACTACAGCAGACTCTAGGGTGTCCAAGAACTCTACGAAAAAGCTAAGAGATACCTAGAATTGCTATTTTAACTATGATAGCGCGTAAGTAGAACGGAAACGTTACGTGAAAATCACGTGGCTGAGATTTGCTGAGCCTTACCTCAACAACATTATAACACCGGCCTCAATACCCTATATATATATCATTACGGACCATTAGAGCGCCCGGATTATCCACGGCCTTAAATCCACGCAGTCCAAACAGAAAGTCAGTCCGGTTCGACTTTACTCTTCGTCGTTCACACAAGCTCAAGAGAGTGCTGGTCCCCGTCAGTGGTTAAATCCCACCCAACCAGCTTTCCGGGAAATATCATTGGCTCCATATCTTGCCACGTATAAGGTGGTCCTCCGGCAAAGGTGCGTGCTCCGTCGTTCAGCACTTAGGGGGAAAAGTATCGTTGTTGAGCCTTTCGAGCATCGATAACGAATTAGGGAATACGGCATGTGAGTATTAGGAGCCTTGTTAGACTAGAAAGAAAGACGCACATGAACACGAGAAAAACGTTCGTATCCCCAGTACCCTTAGGGGTAGAAGAAAAGGTAAAAGTATCCCATTGGCAAACCACATAGGTCAAGACGTCTATCCAAACTTAGGTTTTCATACTAGGGCCATTATTCAACACAGGTGGTTTACAAATTCGTGGTATGTACAAAGTGGAAGAAAGTATGCTGACGCACTAGCTCTGAGTAACCACTTTGATCCACAAAAGCACGAGTGGTACATAACGCCCATTCTTCGCGGCCGTTCAATCCATCCTCGTTAGTGGCATTGCCATGGCGTCCAGTGTCTTCCGCAGACCCAGACAGTCTCACAAACATGCAAAGTATCGGCTTTAATGGCTTTGCGGCATCAAATAAGGTCTCTAGACACTCGATCCAGACCGGCATCGTCGAATTTAAAGCGTACCAGTACGGCGTCGTAACAGCTTCAAGTGCGTCGACATAGAGTAGATACAATTCGGTCTTAAGCGGAAATTTATAGGGGCGCCGAGTCAGTCAATCAATCAATCAATATGGAGCTCTACTGACTAAGGTGTCAATTCAATCAATATCGAGAGGCCGTTGACGTTGATTGATTGAATGTTAGCCCTGGGTACCAGGACGCCTGCAATAGCTTGGTTATGCACCGACATTGTATATCGCGGATGCCATACCGGTGCCGCGTCTTCTGCAATGTGGCTAGCGTGGGTCGCTTCAAAGCATCAGATGGCCTCGTATGCGTTTGCCATGAATGGTGGAGGCGAATGCGGTGTCCCGATAAATCTGTTGCAGCGGAGATTCTAGTATTGCCAGTTGGCGATACCGGACACCTGCTTCGAAGGCCAGCTGCAGGAACCACGTTGACACTTCTATTCTTCTTGACATTTGCTAGCAGTGTAAATCTGCAGTCCAGTATCGATTCCCGGCGGCTCGGAGAAGAAAAGCATGGCGTAAGCGTGCAAACGGGATACTAGCTCAAGGAAAGAGTGAATACCGTGCTTCCACATCCGCGCCGGCACTGAGTACTTGTGCAAGACGGCGTAGTGGAAGGGTGCTGAAAGGCGAGTAAAAAAGTCATGATGTTCGTGCAACAAGGTCCTATGCAGAGCGATCAATGGCTGCCAGGAGATATTCGCCCTCGTCGCATAATTCGGAGTAAGCGGAGGGCTACTAGTAGGTGAGGAAGACGTCATTATGCTCATGCCGCAAGGTTCGATGCAGGGTAATCATTGTCTATCAGTCTTCATTCGCCCTGATCGAACTGCCCACTCAGTCAGCTTCCTAGGAAGTGATTCTGGCTCCATATTGTCCAGATATAATATAGTTTCAGGACGTTTCTAGGAACCTTTTTCTAAAAAGGGATTCGGGAAACGACTTGGAACATGGGCTTCCTAAGCGTAGGGTATTGCTTGAAGGAAGAGATGTTTTGGTCCAGTTCCCTGCAAAGGAGCATCTCGTTCTTCACAAGTGCTTAAAAAATGGATCTTGATGCATTGAGAGGAAGGGTATGAAGGACACATTGGGATGTGGGATCTCGTAGTCCCCAGATATACGACCGGAAAGGAACGTAGGGAAAAGGTGAATTTCCAAGCGGACTTCCACTCATGATCGATCCGCCGGAAGAGAAGACCAAACTTCGGATAGGCAAGATGTTGACGTGGAGAGTACAACGAAGCGGCGTTAAAAGACGAACCGGCAGGTAGACCATCAATAATCGACTGTTTCAGAAATTGACATGTAATGTCCGTACGATGCATTATGCCGCCCGAGAGATGGGGCCGACATACGAGTAATAATAAAGCTGCTGAAAGGTGTCTGGGCGAGCTAGGATGGCGAGATGATGGTATAGACCGCAAGACACGTGCTTTTATCCGCCGTCTTGCCGTGGATACCAGAGGCGTGGAAATACAGCTCAGCTGTTCAATCTTGCGATCACGCGGATCTTCGTCCTTGTAGCCATACGGTATCGGCCGAGGTCTCCTAAACATTCATTCTAGGTATCCTCAAATGTGGGCACGGTTTCGTAGAGCAGGGACATCATCTAACAGGCCAGATATATGAAAGACAGCACATGCCCAAGAACGCTGAAGTTGACTTAAGCAGCTCAGGAGGGAAATACGGGCGCAGATTTCCCTAGATGGATCCCAAGCGTCCACATCCTTGCTAGCGTAGATTACTGGGACGCGAGGCCAGTGAAAGAGGCAAAGCCGAGGGTTGCTAAGGAGCTAAGAAGAAGTCATGGTGCTCATGCAGCATTGTATCCGGGATGTGGATTTGAGTGACCTGAATACACTTTGTTTCGACCATGATCAGACCTGCATAGATGGACTTGACTTCAGACGCTAGCTGTTCCTGGAATTTTGGGCGTGCGTCTGGTTGGGTAAACATCCGTTGTGGCAGGAACAGAATAGGTCATTGGGCGTGGTCCTATGACTCCTCGTGGTTCAGAGACGCGCGGTGCGGCCGCTGCGGTAGCCAGATGAGGTCCTAGGCAGCTGGCCTAGGAAAGCGTCCTTGGACCCTTCAAAGGCGTCAGTCGACAACCTCCCAAAGAGAATACCGTGGGCCCTGATAAAGCTGGTATCAATAGGCAGCGAATGCGATATGAGGCATTGGAATGTCCAAGGATAGGATCAAGCAACGTATGGATTGACTCCCGAGCGCGTTAAGGCGAGTGAGGATAGCGAGGTGGTGATGCAGACGACCAACGTGTGAGCTTTTATCAGCGGCCCTGCTATACCAGAAGCGTGCAACTCCGGCCCACGTCTCACGATCACGCAAAAAGAGAATGCAGCGGTGAGGATCTTGATTAATCCACGTCCGGTCGTTGCTCTGGAAGCCGGAGCCGTTGCAGTAGCTCTTGTGCCGCAACGGTGAGGATCTTGAGCGATCCATATTCGGCCGTTGTACTGGAAGACGATTTGCACTGTTGTGCAGAGCTGCAGCGATCATTTTTACGTATTGAACTTAGGTAGATTCGGATGGCAGCATTCACGTGCGCGAAGAAGAAAATCTGGTACTATTTGTTAGAAAGTGTTTCTTGAGACGGAAAAGCATAAACCTGGGTACCATCTATGTCGCTTCTCTCCATCGTTCAACAGTCATTTCCGTGTAGTACCGACATCTTTCCAGATGTAGGTTTGGAGGAAACATTGACTGCGCCGCTCGTCGTCCAGCGAGTGCTGGCGCCTGGGCCTCGCGAGAAGCGTTCGTTGCGGGTCTTGTACGAAATGTCAACACATGCGTTTTCCCACAGTTGACAGAACGTACTGATAGAAGGGGAGTGTATAATCATCGTCTAGGGAGTGTGTAGAGAGACGGCGACGACGTGCCTCTCTCCATGCAAGAATACCGAAGACGAGGCAGCCCACGCCGATGATGGACGCGAGGACGACACCTGCGATATTAATGTTATCGCCGCGAGACTGCGGCTGTAGTGGTGTGCGTGGATCGGACATGACTGGCTGCACTGAATAAACGGGCTTCGAAGACGACCGGTGATTGGTCAGTTGGCTGACTTAGTGGCGTCGAGAATGGCTGCCTACTGAGCACAAATGGACCCGGGGCTGCTCATGCTTTTGAATGCGGGCGCGCGTGCAAGGGTCCGGGGGTTCGTCTTTGATGCGAACCATCTGAGGATATGAGAAGGCAACCGGCCGGTCGAGGATCCTTAGGGTCCGACGCTCCCGGGAGCTGATGGCTGACCAGAAATACGAGCATGGAACGAATGAAATCTCTCCATATGCCGGTGAAGAAGGCAGCCCAACGCACAATGATAGCTCCTTAGAAGGCAATCAGCAGCGTAGGAGGCGAAGTATGCGAGTGTGGTTCAGGCAACAAAAATAAGCAATCAACGCCAGATTCGCTGAAAAAAGTGACTTGCTGTAGAAATGAGAGCTCCTGTTGATACATGCACTACTTTCTTCGCACGATTTCAATCGATATTTCGTGAAAGCTGGCTGATACAGGGGGTGGTCTCTGTTTGGGCGCCTTCAATGATACTCGTACTGTCTTCGTAGTCTCGTAAAAGGCAACCAGAAAGTGTCCGGTTCGCAAAGCTATGTTGCCGCTGCGCCATCCCGCCCTTCATATCAGGCATGTTTTCCACGCAATCAAGACTCTCGAAGCATCTTGCGTCCAGACTTTTCTCAGGGCGCTCCGCAGCTTGCAAACCTGCCTCCATCGGCCCATGACTGGCATTTCTAGCGCCACAGCGCTATAAGTCCCTACTGGCCTCAGGGCAGCCTTATTGAGCAAAAGACACTTGGAACGTCATACACGTTTCTCATTACCTGGAAAGCTCAGGGGACTCATTGATCGACCACAGCCATATTTCTTTCACATGTTGAGAGTCTGTTATGCTTGAGGTAGATTGTGCGAAGCGAAAGGCTGATGGTGGATGGTTCGACGAGTCGCACCTTGCGTTTGCCTTCACCTCTATCAAGGCTAGAGGTCTAGTGATTTTCGGTACACATCTAATGATCCTCGTGACACACCTCTAGTGATTCTCGTTAGACATCTAGTGATCGTTTATAGATGTCTAGTGATAATCAGAAGAGCATAACGGTCAACTAAAATGAGCCGTACCTTATCTAAGACCTCCACCTTTCCCAAACCAGCTGCAGAAGATAGCAGGCGGGATGAAGGACACGGGGCTGATTTCGAAGGACTCACCCAATGGAATGGCGCAGCTTCGGGCCCTTCGGTAACGATCCCTGGTATGCATCCCTGATGAAGTGTCCTTGGTTTGATGATGCACCGTTGGTGGACGCGCCTTGGGTGCACCCTTCGGCAATGCACACTTTGTCCGAGCGGCAACCCATTCTATTGGAGTACGTGTCTTAAGTCAATCTCTAGTACCATCACGCAACCGAGGCGATGGTTGAGTCCATAGGAGCAGCTGCTTGCCTACTCCACAGATATCTAGAGACTAGATCTTTCTCGAAGTGGCATCAAGTCGAGTGCAGAGTGGATCTTGCATGCGACGCCGATTTTTCAGGCGTTGACCGCCGCTGATGCTCGGCTGGATATGATTCCTCTCGCGCCGCCACCGCGGGGTACCGGAGCGGCTGGGATGGCGCTGGCGGGGCCAACGCCATGTGTTGCCTTGAGTGAAAACTGTGAACGGAAATCCAGGATTACCAGCCTTATGGTTAGAAGGTTTCTAGTCCGATGGATAGAGAGTCTCTTGCCTTGCTTAAGAATTGGATGAACATTCTCAGCCTTAGCCTTAGAGATGGGACATTTCCAGCCTTGTGGACAGAACATTCCAAGCCTTGGTGAGGAATTCGACGAACGATCCCAGCCTTGTTGGCAAATCCTTACCACCTCAGTATCTTCAGCCTCGCGGTATATTCGCAGAAAAGGTTTTCAATGATTACGAGAATCAAAATGCTTCATAGACACAGGCAAAAAAAAAGAAATAAGCAGGGGTCTGTACAAAGGAAGCGGCACGTTTGCCAAAAGGTCGATCATTGATTCTGATATTTGGAAGGCTGGAAACTCATAAGCAGACGCCTAAACAAGGGCACAGTATTCTAGGCGAAGTATGCGAACATGGTTGAGGCAACCAGGATCAGTAAATTGAATGTCGAGCATGTCACAACCAACACCAAGTACGCTGAACATGTAAGCTGGTTGTATGAAGGAGAGCTGCTATTGACACATCCAGTTCTTTTTTCTGATGATTTCGACCTATTTGTGATGAAAATTAGCTGATAGCACGTCCCATAGGCTAGACGTGTTTCAGCTCGCAGCTGTAAAATCCGGACCATTGCCAGTACTCTCTCTTACGGCCCGCAAACATCCGTCATGAAATTACCAATTCTAGGACATGGAAACTTGCGGGACCGGGTGGCGTGCGTGGCAATGTGTCGTCCTTCCAACCTCTTAGATGGCACTTGAATTAAAGGAATTAGACCGGTCCAACTTACATCCCTCTTCGAAATATCCTCCAAGCAGCCCTGCCTAGCTCCCTGACCTGTTGATTTGGTGCATTCTGTCTTTCAGTATGTACTCTTGATCATTTGTGCTTTTGTACAAAAGCGGTCTAGCGTGCACGTGATTTTCAATTGCGTGATCGATCTAAACATTTTCGATACCTTCGGTTTTCCTTAGGATAATAGCATCTGCTACCGCAGAACACTTCTCTGACTTCTCGTCCAGCTCTTTCACCATTACTCATGATATAATGTACACCCGAGAACAAATGACCGAGCGCCAAAGACGGGTGGAACATACCTAGGTACTATGCAATGAGAAGAGAAACGGAACATTAAATATAAGAGACCTTTACTCCCATTCCTACCGTCCTCCGCACCTTCTCCCATGCTGCCCTCAATATCCGCTGCACTCGTTCTCTGAGGTCTCTCCGCCCAAACGCAAGAGCAAACGCGAGGATGAAAAGCAGTGTCCGCAAGAAAGCCATCGGATTCTGCGTCATGGACTGCGCCGTGCTGAGGATGAGCGTTTGCATGGCAGCCATGAGATTCGCGGCACGTTTGTATAGTCCTGGCGGTGGACTGATCGCTTTCTTGGCGGGCCTGGAGGCCTTTGACGATGTAGATGGTTGAGGTCGATGTGAGGGGCCAGACTTCTTGTACCCGTCATCTGCGCTGCGCGGCTGTCTCCGGTTCTCCTCTTCCCGCTTCCTGCGCTCGTCCTCTGCACGCGTCTGCTCTATACGTCGGACCTCGGCCTCTTTCCGCCGCTGCTCCAGCTGCTCTGCTTGTTGTTGACGGAGCATCGCCTCGCGGGCTTCCGTTTCGTCTGCTTCTTCGCGCAGGGAGTGTAGGGCTAGGAGGAAGGCTTCTTTACGCTCGTCGTCTAGCACTTCGCTCATGCTGATGAATTCGCGCGCATAGTCCCATTCCGCGTTTCGGGGGAGGACGTGTAGGGTGTAGAGCTCGAGTAGTTTGAGACGGGAATTAAGATCACGAGGTGTGCTAGTTCCAGTAGGTGTATGGGATGGCCGGCGTTGTAGTGATGAGACAATGTGGGAGGATATGTCAAAGGTCGGGTGAGCCGAGGCCGATAGATAGGTTTCGAGCCGTTGTTGGGTGAGCTTTTGAGAGGGCGAGTGCGTGAGGAGGAGGGTTGCTCTGCATAGGGATGAGCTACATACGCCTAGGGAAATGAGAGGCGACTTACAGGTTTATTACTACTTCAGCGTCAACATCACCCTCGTTTCCCGCATAGCCATCGCGAACGACCTCCTCCCACACGCTCCCATCACGACATTTCGAGACCAGTGCTTTCCACCTCGAGCTTCCAAACGCGTGTTTGCCCTCCTCAGCCCCGAGCTCGATGACAGAATTGAGAAAAGTGAGGTAGAAACTCCAGACTTTGATCCGCGTGCCCCGCGAGGCGGCCGCTACTGGGGCATAGTTTGGAAGATCGCCATTCTGCTCGCCATTGACGTATTCGTGCTCTGGTGCAGAGATTACCGGCTCAATTGTCGACAGTGCTTCAGGGAGGCGGCGCGTCAGGAACAGCTGGGCCGCTTGCCGGTAGGCCTTTGCGATCTGTGATGACTGTTGACGGCTGGAAGAGAGCGAGGAGACGGAGGACGACAGCATGCGCGAGGTCGCCAGCGAGTCGTCGTAGGACATGGCCATGGCGAACGAGGTCACTGGGCGCGTAGAAGGGGAGTTGAGCAGCCCATGGCGGCCGTGAGCTGGGGATGGTCGTGTTGTGTCGAGGGTAAGGAATGCTTGCGCTACCTCGGCTCTGTCACCTGCTTGTCGTCTTTCAACCCAGGGATCTCGGAGCCAGCTATTCTGCGGACGGCGCTACACCAGATCAGGCGCAGTCTCCGCTGTCATATGCCGATGATGCTCACATCGAACTGCAGCTCTGATATATATATTCACTCTGTCTTCCACCCCTCGTGGCTGGGTGCCACGTCTCGGCCTTCTACTTCTCTTACCTACTCAGACATTTTCGTAGTGAAGTCAGTGCCTTCATACAATGCCACCCCGCAAGAACACGCTTCTTTGACCCTTCCCGAACACTCGCCTACCGGCTAAGAAAGGCAATAGTCTAACGATCCCGTTCTAGTGACTTTTCATTCACCAATCCACAGCTGTCTCAGCTAGAGAAGTGTGTACTGTGGTCTACCACTGCGTGAAGCGCCCGATAGGATTTTCAGAGACTGAGACAAGGCCCAGGCAAGTCATTTTGACTACCCGGAAACCTCGCTGGGGCATTTCAGACGCCGTCACTACCGATGGTGGTGTTTGCAATTGCCAAACACGGACTCGGCTTGTCAGGCGCTCCCAGACAACAAACAAGACTTCTTGCCCCAGCTTGAAAACCATCGCTTTCACCTCACGTTTCAACCAGTCTCCTTACGGCCTCCCATACCTCCAACTTTCTCAAAGTGAGAACCACCCCATCACTTAGGAGAAACAGCTTAGTGCGCCATATAGCCATAAAACCTTACAGCAAGCCTTTAAACTTCGCACCAAGCCTCCAGCTGGAGTTATCACTATCAACCATGGAGATCGACCGCATCTCGTTTCCGCATCACCTTTTGGGTGTTCTAACAGCCATCTCCGAATCTCACTTTGTATCTATTGACCTCGAATTCTCTGGAATAGGTACTCGACCGTCAAAATCCCGGAAGCAAACGCTCGAAGAACGCTACAAAGAGACCAAGGAGGCCGCGGAGAAGTTCCAAATACTACAAATTGGCATCACCTGCGTCAAACAGGACTACCATGATGAGCACTACGTCATTCGACCGTACAACTTTAATATCAGCCCTTTACTTGACGACCCGCTTGACCAATGGGGCCTTGAACGGAATTTCTCTTTCCAGAGCGGCGCATGCCAATTTCTGCTCCGCCACGGCTTCCAAATGGATCTCCCGTTCACCAAAGGAGTTCCTTATCTTTCTCGCGATGAGGCCAAGCTTGCAAAGCAGTTGGGCTACGCTAAGCTTGACAAGGCAAACATAGCGGACATCGTGTTGAAAGATCACGAAGTTCAGGCCATTTCTTTCGTGGGCAATGTCCGGGAGGCAATCACGCAGTGGAGGAAGAAAGAAATGGTCAGTCTTTTCCCTTTTGCTCCCAATACGTGCCTCGCCACTCATGGGGGAACTTACAGAGTATTGTCGGTGTCATTATTCTTCACCGTTTGAGGTGCCCCAGCAAGCTCAATTTTCCTTTCACAAAGATGGATTTCCCTCTCGCTCAGATATCTCGAAGCCCCTCTGATGGCGCCAAGAAGGTGTTTTCCAGATATATAGAGCTAATGCGAAACAGCGGGGTCGCCTCTACATCACGTCCAACGTAGGCCAGAAAGACACCGACTCCGAGGAGCCTCATTCAATCAGCAACTTCGAGAAGAGGCTGGTCCATCAGCTCGTTCGCGCAGAATTCCCAGATCTGAACACGATCAGCAAGCATGACAGCATTCTTGTAGTACCACTAGACAAAGAGCGAGAGGCCAATCACAGACGGATGCGCAAAAAGAACATCAAGACAGATATTGACAATCGAGTTGGCTTTCGTTGGGTTGTCGAGGCGTTAGTCGGGGGCGATCTCGAGCGGCTAGACCCTATATACATCGCTCAGAGTGTTGCCGGGTATGCCGAATTCGTCGACTTGAAGGGCATCAAAGATCGATTGTATCACGCAAAAGATGCACTGATACGGAAACCCCGAGTGCTGGTCGGGCACAACATGTTCACCGACCTCGTATATTTCTACCAGGCTTTCATTGGCGCACTACCAGATACGGTGGACGAATTCCAGAAAGCGATACACAAACTCTTCCCGCTCATTGTTGATACGAAATACTTGGCAACCCACAACTGTGGGGACATCAGTCCTTTCTCGTCGCTGGAACAGATCGAAGAGAAGCTTCGTCTACAGCGGATACCAGATATACGTAAGTTCTAGCATCCTGGCACACTGCCTCGCCACTGCCATGGGGCTCGCTCTCAACATACTTCATCGAATCTAAACTGCGTCATTTTGAACAGTTGCAGAAGTTGCAGAAGTTGCTTGGCCTCCTCAGGCAGTGCTAGAGCAGCCTGCACAGACGCATGACGAGACACTATGACAGGATCAAACGCTAATACTTCCTAGAGATCCATAAGGATCATACGAAATATGTACAGGGCACAAACTCTTTCCACGAAGCCGGCTACGACAGCTTGCTCACGGCAAATATTATGATTCGTCTTTCGGCAAAACTGGAATCGGACGGCACATATATTGAGGAAGTAGTCCTCTCTGACGAGGACGAATGGTTCGAAGCGTCTGAATACATTACTGGAGGGGTTGCTCCGGCTATCGACGATGCCCCTAGTCCGGAAGAGATTTCGCTACATGGCTTCCGATCCGTTTTGAAACCAGCCAATAGCACATTCAGCGCATCGAATTCGCCCGTCCCCTCGCCAGTCAGACCTCAGAATCCATCTGGCAGCAATAAGAAGGGCAAGAAAGGTAAAACCGGGAAGTTGACAGGAAAGGCTGTAAGCCGTTTTGGTATGGCGACCAGATTTGATCAGCTGAGGATCGAAGAGGAGGAAGAATTGTCGTCCAGTTCCTCTCCGACCCAGGCGCAGAAGACGCCCCCGGTGGATGAATGGGGAAACCAGCCCGACGACGGCTCTTCCTCGCGGGCATGGGACGTCGACGAGCCCGCACATGACCACGAAGGCCCGTATGCACTGCCAAAGGCCGAGGAGAAGGCGCCTATGGTGGTGATGCCGCAGTTTGGATCAGCCTTCTGGAAAGTATACGGAAATAAACTGCGAGTGTTTGGAACGGAGGAGGGAGTTTTGGAGTTGACCGGTTGAGAAGGTCGGTAAGGTGGCAGGGATTATAGCGCGCCATCAAGCTTGATACAGCTGTAGTGCGATCATGGATGCGATTCCCTCGTGAAAGCGGGTGCTCCCAAGGAATGAATTTTTTCCTCGAAGCATCCATCTACAGTGACACTAGAAAGGTGGATTCGTGACCGAAACAATTGCACTGCGCGTGTAGTATCGATCCAGGACCACTGCGCGCCTCTACTTCCTGCTTGATCCACCTCCCATCTTCATTCACTGTCCAAACCCTAGCGATGGCGTGGAGACCGCCTTACCTCCGCACCATTCCCAGACTAGGATCGATCAGCCCACACGTCAGCGCTACCCTTAGCAACCTGGGGCCCCGCGTGCCTTCTCCACCAAACCCATCGCGCCCTCGGCACGCTTAGCCCCGAGTCGCCCAACACCCAACACCACGGATCGGCCTTTGTTCCCTCTGGGAAAGGATGTGCCTTGCGTGACATCTCAAGGCTTGCCGCCGTAGTGGTAGATGCTAGCTATATAATCCGCCCGCCGCCTCTCGCGCTCCACGCATGCCCCCAGCATCCTCACTCCCCGCCTGTCGCCTGCCCACCGCGCGACCGAAGAAGCCATGGGCCTCTTCACCATCCCGCCTCAGCCTGTCAAAAAACTCCAGGGCGACCCGCGCTGGGCGAATGCGTCGGCGTTCGCGAGCTATGCACCCCTAGTCGTGCTCACGCTGCTATTCTTAAGCATCATACAAATTATACTCGGCGCGATATGGATGGCGAATCTGAAGTCATTGAATTTGTATGTCTGGACCCTTCTTTCCCCTCTCCACAGACCCCACAACTTTATCTCAACCCCAACTCATCCAACCTTATCCCGACCTCCAACTGAACTAAAAGAGGCCAATGCTCATTGTTAATGATGTGCAGCCCCCTCATCCTCCAACCCCTCATCGTCCCCTGCCTCTCCTTCTTCAACACCGTCCCCAGCGCCCAGCTGCACCTCTACTCGCGCGCCAACTCCCCCATGACCGCCTTCTGCCTCTCCACCATCCTCTGCCTCTTCTACCTCGTCGCCGCGCTCATCAACCTCGTCGTCTGCTCCCCGGACACCGCCTCCCTACCCGCGCTGTGTCCCGCCGGCACTGTGCATAAGAAGGGTGCGCCCCCGGGGACACGCGATCACTCCGGCCCGCATATTAGCGAGGGGTATTGGGATGCGACGGTGGCGCTGTGGTTGCTGAGCGCGGTGGGGTACGCGATTGCGGCGGGGATGGCGTTTACAGTGCGGTTGAGGATGAAGGGGCGGGAGAGGGAGGGAAGGCGGGTGGGCAAGACGAGGCAAGTTGTCCAGGCGGAGGTGGAGCTGGAGGGGTTGAGTCCGGAGGAGGTGGAGCGGCAGAATGAGAAGGCGAGGAAGAGGTGGCAGAAGCTTTCGGCGGGGTGAGAGGAAGGGGTTTGGCGGAGAATGGATTTGTGGCGGTGGGTGAGGGTCTGATTGGGTTATTGTTGGGGAGACTCCCACGAACGGTGGAAAGAATCAAAGTGCCAGACCTTGCGCCGAAGGAATTTTTCGGGTTATGAACGGTAGACGCGTTACCGGAGAGAACGTAGTTCCTACTACCAGCAATTTACGCAACATTATTGCGCACTGATTAGAGACAGTCTTGGTAATTCGGCCTGTTTCCTGCCGGCTCGTAACTACAGTACGGCTGATCAACTGTCTTGATGTTGTTTCTGTTGTTGGAAGAGACACAATCAGACGCCCTAAGATCACGTGAGTAAGATCACGTGCACTTTAGACTCGATGTACACACAGGGCTTCGTCCACCACCTTAAATTTACAAGCTATGCTAAGAAAGTAGTAATAAGTCCTCAGCTTTCCTTTGATTCTTACAAATGTACTAGAAGTAAAGAAAACTAGATCCCATTTCCATCTCGTCCTCGGTCCTTTCGCCACATGGTACAAATACACAAGGTGCGACTAAGCACATATCTGCCACCTCAACCATACTGCACTTCTCAATAACAGCCTCATTTCGTACTAACGGCAGCCTCCACACGTCGACTGTTTCATCATGGCTCCTACGACAACCTCTATGTTGACGTTCGTGCAGACGGCTACGGCTTCCAATCCCCCCATCGCGGCACCGACGCCGTCATCAAGTTTCGACGGCGATGAATTCTCCAACAAACCTTTTCAGCGACTTCGCTCCGCTGCTCACCCTCTTCGGCGAACAGGTCACACATCAGTTTCTAAGCATGTCAATGGGGTGGGCTGACAACATACTGCTGGCGATGGGCCCATTAGGTATCATTACGACCGTGGTGAGCGCCATACGAGTCGGGGGTGTCAGAGGACTCAAGGCTATTGTCGGAAAGTTTGTTACCACTTTTCAAGCCATCTTTGGATTGGCGTGGCTTTCTGGTAGTCGAAATGACAGAAGATCGTCTAAGCTTCGCTATACGTCATGTCAATGCAGTGCCTATGTCGTCGGTCCGTTGTTGCTCTGCAGCAGAGCTAGCGAGCCACAGGGCGCGCGAAATCAGATTCTCTGCCGAAGCAGAGCTGCTCTCCTCCACCTCAGCCGACGTTTGCGAACTCTGGAGTGGCCAGGAGGTCGTCCGCCAATACGGAACTCCTGACACGAAAGAGATGATCATTGTACTAGAGAAAACGCCTCGCGTCCTGGGTCTTGTGGACGCTTTCTCAGGCAAATATCTTCGAGAAGCCTCTAATAAGATTGTGAACGACTCCAAGGCTTCCAGCCGTATCTTGAATGAACTGGCGAAAGGCGCTCCAAACTTCACGTTGAATATCCGTGGATCCACGGTTTCGAGATCTGAGCTCTGGTTCTGGACCGCAGTTGGAATTGTTTGTCAAACGGTCGCGCTCGTTATTCCTGCACTCGGCACATACTACTGGGATTGGCCAAAGGGTGACTTCCCCGTCCCTTCCTATGAATATCCGTGTTTTCTCATAGGTTCTACTTTTATCATTATTGGCCTGATATTCTGCTCGCGTGTTATTGAAGCCACTACAGCCGAACATGACTTTGTTCAGCGCAAATCTAAGAAAATTCAGGTGTTGCGGCTTCAGAGGACATGCACTGTTAGCGATCAGCACTTTGAATCTTACGCAATCCTCAATGCGCCTGGAGACGTGCGTCTTAGGACTTCAAGGCCGAACAACTATAGTTTTAGGTTAGTATATCTCCTGCCGATACTCCCCAGCTATAGCTTCTTTCTGTCGATTTTCTCCATCCTGTGAGGTCAAAATCCACTGGCTTATAGTAATCCTCTTCCACATCTCTTAATGCGCGCCAATATTCTTCTGACATCGCACAGCAAAACAGCAGCAGTATCTTTTATGGCGACTATTGCTGGATTTATTTGCCAATTTGTGGGACTTCGAGCGCTCCATTGGTTTGCAACAATCATCCTGCTCGGAGTGACTTTGATAATGACCGGCGCCCGAGCATGGGTACATCGTGGCTTAGTGTCTGACCCTCTGTGTCTCCATCTTCCAGAAGGCCGTGAAATACCTTGGCTTGCTCTGTTCATCACGCGACATGTCCACGTTGTTAGTCAAGAAAGCAAAGATGCCTTTCAGTCAGAGGCACAAATGAGAAAGGACGCAACTATTTTCCGAAACGAATGGGAAATTGTTACCGGAGGCTATCAGGCTAACTTCAAGAAAAATACTACCCCCGATATCCACGACGCCAGCAACGTGCCCCTCTTTTGTGGTGTTAACCCTAGTGCGGACATTGTTGCAGCCTGCTCAATGGGCAAACCATCTACGAATCCCGATAACTATGTGGAAGCCTTGACACTCTCGGTCAGTATGGTGTCCGACATCTCTGACTTAATGCCTAGGCCTAAAGGATCGGACGATCACATCTACCAGCTGTCATTTGCCATAGAGACAGTTTTTGAATTGGTAAACAGCGTTGAAGCACGGATGTTGCCCCTCAAAATTACGGCTCTTTTTTGGTGGCACCAGCGGGTTATTCGTGCTGTGAAAACAAAGCAAACTGGGCCACCAATAAATGAACCTCCGCGCTCTACGCCTGATACAGAGCGTACAGAAGTCTCCTGTATTCCATATCCCTTTATGGTGCACAAGGATGACAACTGCAAGTGGAAAATTGACCAGACGTCCTTACAGTCTGCCTTTTCTCTCTGGACACACAGTATGATATCACGTCAGAAACTGTTTGATCAAGAATACAGACAATCCTATGCTACTGCAAGTCGGCTAGCCAGCCGCCCATACCAAGGATACCTTAGAGTCGTTGGCTACGCTACTAACCAGGGCTCACTTCGCAAACTCCGTTCAACGCTGCATAGATGGACGGGGTTGTCCCTTCATGAAGTTGCCAAGCCTGACAGCACTTTTGGGTGCCTGCCCGGAATACCAAGTCATTTTAAGCCAACAACTCATGTCTGGCCGGTGTTCGGACTTCCGCTTTCCTCGGTGTGGGATGATCTCGGTGCCCCTTCTTCGGACGTTCCCGCATACGAAGAAACTCTGGACCTGGATCCCGACAACCAACCCATTTACACTCCACTAGAATTCGACGGCGGCAACGCGCTGCTGACCGAATTAGCCTTTATATCCAGCAACTCGATAGAGGCAGAGTGTGCAGTAGAACTCTTCGCAAGTTTCTTCCTGGAACTAGCCTCTGAGATCAAAAGCCTCAACGGTACAACTGCCGTCATCGACAACCCCGTTGTCAAAGAGGACTATCCGATTGAAAAAACCATATGGCAGAATTCGGCGATAGACTCCATTGTCAAGGCGATGGTGACGAGCGCCCCGCTTCTCTTTCCAACGGAGTACGCCGCGAAGGTCGCAATTATTCCAGCCCTCGCCCGCCACGATCTACTCACGACCAAGTTGTCGAATACAAACGAGCTGCTGGCGTGACATCCTCAGCAGCTGCTTCACACGTTTCGTCCCTGCCTAATACGGAGGCGTCCCCGAATTCAAAAGAAGGGAGTGAGGCTGGTGATGGTGGCGAATGCGCTTCGACTGCTTCGCACGCCTCGGGCCAAGCTGGTGCGGAGGCTTCCGCAGGCTCAGACCGCGGAAGCACGGCTAATGTGTAACTTTCCGGACGTTGGTTTTGGATGTGTGCTGTTAGACCCTCAGCCCGTGTATTCGAGTTGCTTGAGCTAGGATATCACCACCATGTGTTTGAAGTGGATCATCTCTTACCATCAGCAAAGCTACACGAGGCAGTAGTGGTATCATCAAGGAGATCAGGCAGTAAGGCAAGGCATTATTAGTAGCATAGATTTATTTCTGCTTAAGAGCCGCTACCACGGCAAGTCTACGTGCTGATAGGATGCGAATCGACCGTCAGCAGTTCGCGTAGCGTTATCAATCTGCCGAGTTCTCTTTTAGTATTCTAGGGCGTTCACGTGAACTATTGCTACTTACCTCCTGAACAACTCCCTTGACACTGTCCTCCAGCGTCACCGTCGCCTTCTCCCTCCCCATTGCCGTGGCAACATGCGCTCCCATATCCGTCTGGGTCATCCTACAACACGAGGCCGTCAACAACAGCGAAACACGCTACACTGAAGCTCCGCCTACTCACCCAGGGCATATCGGCAGCGCAATCAATCCCGGATTCTCAAAATGCAGCTTCCGCAGCAAATAATTAATCGACGCCTTCGACGCGCCATACGACCCCGACGCCAGCGCCGCCTTCGGCCCCACCGCCACACTCCCCAGCTGGGACGCCACAACCACGAACTTCGGCCGCGGCGCCTTCTGCAGCAGCTCCCACGCCGCCTGTAACAGCAGCAGCGGGCCGATGGTGTTGACGTCCTGGTGGTAGCGGTACTCGGCGACGGTGATGTCTGTCACGCGGTTGACCTCGAGCACGCCGGCGTTCGCGATGAGCACGTCGATGTGGGGGATGGAGTGGGCGGGGAGGGTGGCGATGGCGGCGGCCGGGTCGCTGTGGGATAGGCTGTCGATTTTGACGACGATGAGGGTGCTGTCTTTGCCTTTTGGAAGGGAGGCGAGGCTTTGGGAGGTTGCGTGGGAGAGGTCGCGGACGGCGGCTATGATGGTGGTGTTGTCTCGCGAGAGGTAGGCTGCGGTGAGGCCCCGGCCGATGCCTGTGGATGTTAGAATGTGCCGCGGGAACGGGATCGCGAGGCTTTGGTGGTGGCAGACCTCTGTTAGCACCCGAGATGAGGTAGATAGTGTTGGTAGACATGTCACTGTTGTCGTGGGCTTTATTCTAGAGCTAGCTTTTGTTAATATAGGAAGAAGCGCGCAAAGGGCAGCGTGAAGAAGCTTTCATTATATCGTATATCATTTTGGTAGTAGGTGAAGCTAAATGTGCCGTTGTCATACTCTGTTGCATCACTCGGATACTTGATGGCAGTCTCTCCGGACGGGAAGCGGAAGAGTTGTAGAACTGACGGGGTCCTCGGAGGTGTGTCGATCCCCGCACTATGCAAACCCCATGTTTCTGCTGACCAATTCAATTATAACCTAGAACAAGCATTAACCTTCTGAGAAAACAACGATCATGTAGTTTTATGGAGAGCAGTATGGTAATCGATAATCAGAAGAATAGAAGGTCGCCAATTGAACGAATGACGTAAGATCACGTGCAATTTTATCACGTGTACTCCATGTGCACCATCGGGTCCCCTCCTAGTTTTATAGTCTTAATTTCCTTGAATTCGATAGGCGTGTTATATAAATGCTAAGACTACTTCTAAGGTAGTAGTAAAGCGGTTAAGCAACGCCGATATACACAGCTCTTCGGCAACAGACCAATGCTAAAGGCTTAAAGAGGTAAAAAATGCAGTAAGTAGTAAGGGGCAAGTTCATCAAGATGCGGAGCAGGGTAAATAGATCTAGGGGCGTAGAGGTTATTGTGTATACGTGAGCTAGATTCATCGTTTCATCGTGGTGTTTACATCAAGGGCGTAATTCCCTTCCGGTAACTGTATCGGGCCAACCGCATATCTGCCTAGAAGACGACAAAAGACGACAAAAGACGATGAGCTGATTATTAAGCTAACAAGATTGTGAGAAGGTCTTGCATGTGCAGATAACGAAATGGGTATCTCCGACTAATCAAAGGGGTACATCCAAATAGTGATGCCTAACATAAAATACAAACTGTTACGTCGGGTTTTAAACAGATAACGGCTAGGTTGGTCACAAAGGAAAAAGGAAAATAGTTAAGGAATCCATGGTCTGACATAGCTGACAAAGATGATCTACTCAGATCCCACAACCAGAAAAGCGAGACAGCGACAGGCGAGCTTCCATCGATCACTCAGGTTAAATTGATGTGAACTCTGATTTCTATAGACGTCTAGCTAGTTGTATATATACTAGGGGAAGGAAGGGGGGCCACCCCTGGGTGGCGCGCTAGTAAGTTCAGCTGAACACTGCACAGCTGAGTTTTCAGCTGGGCTCTCCACAGCTGAGATCTCAGCTGTGTTCTCTACAGCTGATGTTCGGAGTAGCCTTCTAGCATATGAGTTGTTGATCCTAGGTTGTAGTGCTGCAACCTGAGTCGATCCCAGTGCATTTGAGAACCTAGAACACCACCGCTATACCCTATCGATGTCGGGTTAACAGAACAAGAAACTTAAAGAGAGTTGATGGTGATTCCTGGACATTGGGTTTTATGAGATGTAAAGCCTTCGACTTGCTATATCGGGTTCTTTTATCTTCCTGTTCGGAAAAGACGTACTCAGTTATCTTCAGTTACTTCGTAAACTTCTTGTGGCGAGTATGGTGGGCGTGGAGATGGAAAAACGTCGAACGTCGACGATTTATAAGACATTGTTGACGAGGTATTGCGGACGGGGGTAGAATTGGTCCAATCGTCACAGATGATTCGATAAGCAACCATTAGGAGGGCTCGATGGGTGCTTAACTCTAATGTGGCGCTTTAGGTTATCTTCCCGAGAGAACGTCTTCTGACAATCCGCGACTGGGCATTTGAGCGGTAGAAGTTGCCGATGACGGTTTTTTTCATGCCTAGTGAGGTCCGCCTGTAGGCCAAAGGCCTTTTGCGTGCACCCAGCGAACGAGCAGCGGTATCGTCGATTGTGAATCCGGTTGAAATGTTTTCTATGGTCTGCGTCAGAGATTCAACACAAAACCTTTCTAGGCAGTCGGGGGCCCACCTGAGGAGAAACGGCATAGTGAAGACCTCTTCGCATTCAGAACAGCGAAGTGGCGAGCACTGCTTCTCATATCCCTGGAACGACGAAGACGCACCAACAGGAAGCTGGCTCGTTATTGCCGCTCTGCAAGTCGAGGGATGATCGGCTATGGAAAAGCTTCCGTTCTCAGTCGAAGACATTTCGGCCTCATTCAACTTTGTGCCAAAGATTGCTGGTAATGCAGTCGACGGGGGCGAAGCTGAGAGGTTGGAGGGGGTGAAGGAGGAGTCGCTACAAGAAGTTGTATTGCATTGCGCTGGCGAGTTTTCTGGTCCAGTCGTAGAGGAGTACGTATGTTCCGGTGCAGGTGGCCACTTGGGCCAAATGGTGGGATTTAATCCATATTCAACCTCGTAGGGGTTGACATATTCGGAGAGTTGAGAACCAGAGCCAATGTCTAAACAATGGTCCGCAGGGCTGCTCGAAATTGGTGATGCGCGAAGACGCGATGCCTTCGCGCAGGTGTGCTACCAGAGATTGAGCAGAAGCTGGGGTGGCTTTCGCCAACCCACTTCGGGGGTGTGGGTCAGGTCCCAAAACTTCTACTGATGTGTTGCGAGGTTTGGCGTGACGGAAAGGAGAGGGTTTATGTCAAGTTTGAAGGCGGGGAAAGGGACTTTCATCTACAGCGTTAGTTTTTCAGCCTTGTAGGCATACCGTACGGGAGTAGTTGGCACTTGCAGAGGAGACGCAGCCAAGCAACGCTAAGGCATCAAGAAGCATACCTCAAGCCAATCGCATTCTGGCAACGCCGTTCAGCCTCTTCGTATCCCGACAGTCGTATCTGCGAGGAGTATGCCTGTTGAAGATCCTGTGTCGACATAGTAGGGAGGCATACTTCAAGCCAATCAACGCCAGCTCTACTCCGGAGGTCAGGGGTTAGGTCCATTTACCGTTCCGCCTCTCCCACCACGGCAATAGCAGTATATGCCAAGAGTATGCCTCCCGCTAATGGATATATCAGGCAGCGAATGCGAAGATTCGGAGTCGCTAGCAGGATTAAGCAGGCTTCCAGCTCTTCAAATGACCCCAGCTTCTATCATGCCTTCATACAACATTGCCGCTGCAGCAGATCCGTCACGTACTCCAGGGCCAGAGACTACGACGGCCTTCTATCCACAGTCACCTACCACGTCCGTTTTCACGGGAGGCTCGAATGCTCAGCCCTTACTGTTCGACATTCTGACGATCCTCTTCGCCGCTGCGTCACTCCTAGTCGCGTATTTGCATCTCAGACACGGCAAAAGATCCCAGCGACCTGTCTCCGAGAATACGGATATCGAATCTGGCGAGCTGGCAGAACACGGGCGGCGCCGAAGTAGGCTCTCTACAGGTCTCAGAGCGAATCATATGCTTACAAGCCGCAGATACGGACGAAACGGATATCCAACCAAGCGATCCTAGCAGTGGCGAAGGACCTGCCTTCACCATACCAGATAGAGCGTCTGAAGGACATATTGAGAGCGTAGGACGGGTGGATAGTACTACTTCTACTCTCCATCCGGCCGGCATCGAGGATGAGGCGAAGTGAATTGAGTTCAATAGTGCTCATGTGAAAGAAAGCGGTGGACAGGGATGACGGTGATAGATGAAAAAAGGGTGCAATGCATTAGACTAGGGTTTTGGATAGATTCTGGTACGGGTCATGTTTCAGTCACGTGAGTGATCAATCCAACTATGTATAACTGTAGCCTTCTGGCTCTCTTGCTCTCGGTTATGAAACACTAGGAGACGAAACTGCACCGTTGAGATCTCATAGATCAGTTTGTTCTGGTATGACGGGGGCGGGTAGGAAGACATTAATGCTCCGTATTTGTTCCACCTAGAACTAGGCAGCACTCTGATTCGTCACTTTTAAATCCCATAACCCCCCAAAGAGGAGCGAAGATACTCTCGAGAGTTTCTCGCAATGGAGCCAACAAAACTACCTTCGACGGAGTCAAACCACACCGAAGAGTGGGGCCTGTGCGACGACGCCACCGAGATCCCTACCACACAATCTACAACCAAAAAGCGGTCCAAACAAATCGAAACAAGCAAAGAGAAGGAGACCAAGCCATGGCATCCAAATTCCAAGACAGGAACCGCCCAAGACTCCATCATCTCCCTAAACCTAGGTCCCGCAGACATCCAAATAAGTCCGTCCCATCAACCTCCCACCACCCACTCCACTAACCCTCCCCCAAGCCCCCAAACCCGCCTCCTCCACCCTCTCCAACCCCTTCAAAGAACTATACCTAGACTCCCCCACCCACCCCCTCCCCAAATCCCTAACCATCGCCCTCACCAACCGCTTCAAGCTCGCTCAACTCACCCAATTCCCCGCCGACGCCCACCTCGCCTTCTCCCACCCGCTCCCCTACTTCTTCGCCGGCTCCTTCATCTTCCCCACCCTCCGCACCGCCACGCACGGCCGCACCCTGCGCCAAGCCGCAGAGAGCATGACGCCCGCCGTGCTGCGCGGCTTCAAGCGCCACGCTGTGCGCGGCATGGAGTGGCCGGCGATGCTGCTCTCCCCCAGCCCCGACGACGCGGTGGAGGGGATGCTGGTGTTGGGCATGCTGGATTCGCAGCGGAGGGCGCTGCATGCGTTTCAAGGGGGGTGTTTGATCTGCGGCGGGCGAGGGTGGAGACGGAGCTGGTCGGGGGCGGGGTGGTGGAGTGTGAGGCGGGGGGTTATGTGTGGAATCGAGGGGAGGGGGCGTTGGTACCAACGGGGGAGAAGGAGTGGGGGGTTGAGGATTTGATGGGGAGTGAGTGGTTTGCGAAGGTGGTTGCCGGGGCGGCGGAGGAGGAGCGGTTGCTGGGGTTGGAGGGGTGGGATGGGGTGGGAGAGGTCTTGATGTGAGGCTGATTTGATTGCTGGAAGTGTGAGGACCGCTTTTTGGGGTGTCCCGACGAGCTCACAGGTTGTCCGGGATCATGAACTTCTATCCTGTTGAACGGTTTGAAATTTGCCGGCGGAGCACAGGTAGAGGCAAGAACATGAACACGATTCTGTGACAAAGCTGTAACTTCTAGCCAGGGCAGGGGGTATTGCGAATGACGTGGTGGTCGCTTGTGTAGTACGCGGCATCGCTCGCGGTGCTCTAGTGAATCTACGGATAGTCCATTACAGTTCTTCACATCTCGTTTCGTTTCTCGAGTCCATGAAGTCGCTTCAGACAATGATAGATAATGTGCTTGTGGTCAGGCTGGTACTGGAACAGTGCGATCAATTTTGCATTCATAAGACAGTTCATGTATAGAGAAGAATACGCTCATGTCCCCACTGGTGTGCTTTTGCCGATAGGAGGTTTACCGGCGGTACATAGTGAGCGATCTGACAGACACAAATGATGCCTGATCTCCACTCCGTGCACACGCATTCCTTACCCTTCTTGCGTCGCGCCACGGTCGTCTAATCACCAGAATCTTGGCCTTCATCGACTTGACCCTCCACCAGATCAGGACCTTCATGAGCAGAGTTTGTGTCTCCGCCCTTCTTGACTCGCTGAATGTTCCAACCATCAGTATCTTGGCCTATTTCATCGACGTGATCCTCAGCCGGATCAAGACCTTCACGAGCAGGGCCTTGGGGCTGCTGTACCTGGAGTTGGGTGTCTTGATCGTGGAGGTGGGGTTCGCTACTTGCGTCCTGGCACAGGGTATCGTCATCCTGGGACGGAGTATCGTCATCCTGGAACAGGGTATAGCCGTCCTGGAATAGGGTATGCAGGGCCAGAATCTGCGCGTCTTGATTTTGGATGCGCGTACGTCGATCCTGGAGTCGCGTTTTCAGATCCCTGATCTCCTTCTTTAGGGCCCGAGCCTCGTTGGCGTAGTTACGGCATCTGGTGTGCAGAATCCCGGTTTCGTCATATCGATTTTGGGCTCTGGATTTCAGATCCTTGATCTCCCTCTTTAGGGCCTGGGCCTCTTTGGCGTAGATACGGCACCCGGTGTGCAGAATCCTGGTTTCGTCATATCGATTTTGGGCTTTGGATTTCAGATCCTGGAGTTCGTTGTCTCGATCTCCGATCAAGCCTTGGCGCCTTAGGTTTTGGGCCTGTAGATCCCTGATCCTGCCTTGGAATCTCCAAATCCAGACGAAGAGCACCATGATGAAACCCAAGAAGAGCATGATGATACCCAAGAAGAGAATGGTGATACCCCAGAAGAGCATGATGATACCCCAGAAAAATAGGAGGAGTTTCCAGCAGTCGGCACAGTCGCGGAACCAGGGGCCGAAAGGATCCATGATAAAGATAGTGAGCCAACCGGGTGCGTCGGCGTCGGAAGTCATGGTCCCGACCAGAGCCAGAGCAACCGATGAAACAGTCGCCATCGAGTACGTTGGTTTTCGGGAGTCAAAAGAACGAGGACGTCGGACCAACGAGTGGCGGTGTGGCTGTTACGGAAGAAGTGGAAGAAGTAGTGACTGTAGTTGGTGGTGCTTCCAAAGAGATCGACGTCGCTATAGGAGGAAAGGTGTGTGTGGATTTAGGAACCGAAGTGACGACGGTTGACGAACACCGGGGCACTATGGTTGGCAAGGGGATTGCTGAAGAACGATGGATTTGATACGGTAGCTCTAGCCGGTGATGGTAAAAGACGATGTTGCGTAGACGTTGATTGCAGAAGCCGATGAAGATGTTGTTGTCGTTGGAGGCAGAAACTGTGAGGCGAGGAAAGAAGAGATATATCCCAGAGTCAGCTGCACCTGCCATGCGTACGAAGATTCCCCATTTGAAAATGACAGAAGCGACTTAGCGGAGCCTCCGATAGCGACAGCCATTGTATGCAACTGTTCGAAGTGCCTGAACACATTTTCGGAACGAGCTGCATGTCCGCCACTTTGTTCAACTCGAGACTCTTAGAAATCAGGATGAAGTGCTTCCAGCCTTTTTCGTAATTTGACTGAATCGCTTTGGTGGGCATGATACTTTGCCAAGGCAGCTTGGGAAATGAAAGACAGGTCTGTACAGACTGGAGTCACTAGAAATTTGTTAGTATGTACGTTGAAGCGCGACAAACGGTGTCAGCAAGGCGCAAGCAGACTTTTGTCGCAGTGCTGTACGCGCGCGCGGAGCAGAGAAGGGTTCTTACATCTCTAAGACCGCGCCTTGAAATGGAAGAGCGATGACTGTCCATCTTTACCAATAGTCTTCGTAGAAACCTAGCGAAAGTATAACATAGGGCGGCGATTTTTCTCTTGCTGGCCAACCCGCCACATACAGCTGAATCTGCGAGTTGTCAGTGAAAGAAGTGCTCTTCCACTTTTCTCTCGGGCTGTAGTCGGTAAGCGGACTGATGTCCACGGGTCAAAGACTTCGTTTCTGGAGGGAGTCTGCTGATTGGCTCGTTCCACGGTTTCAGAAACATTCCCACCTGCTGTGGACCCCAGAATTTTCTATTGTTTAGGATCCGAATACCTAAATGGCGAGGTAAAGTAGGAAACATATGGCATTTTGTTCGTGAATGACATTAGCGCAAGGAGGGTGTCTGAGGCGGTCGAGTACACGACTGTTTCTTTGCATGCAACCTCAAGGCTTTCCTGTCGCAAACAATGGCAGACTTTTTGGAACAAAGGTACTGAAGTGTGACGGCATTGTCCAGCGTCGTCGAATTTGAGTGAGAGTCTGTCCGGAAGAGCGAGACGGATGACCTCGTCACGTAATTCTCTATGAAGCTGGCCAAGTCGATGTTTGCATTGCGTGGTCGCCTGGTAAAGAGTCTGAACTTGATCGTAGCCGGAAGAATATTTCTGGTCCAGATGGATGAACAGAGTCACATATAATGCGATGTAGATGATGAAGTCGGAGAAATGTCAGCGCGCCTTGGAAGGAGGGGTACGTGCCAGCGAACGATTCAGGCCGTCATCCACGTGATAGTTCTTGACTCGAGCAACCATATCAGCTATGCTGGAGCATCCACGCATCTGCGGACGTCCATCTCTTCCATCGATACTCCATCTACATCTCTTTGCAAGCCGACTTGTATGATGCCGCATCTACTCAAAAGTGCATTACAACCTCGTCCTCGTCTAGCTGTTGGACACGACCTGGGGACGATGCAACATGGGAGCTAAAACTTCGCGCTGGTTGCGACGTCTTCCGGAAAGCATCTGGGCAAGGAATCCATCTTCTTATCACCTCATTCTTCACCTCTATAGTGGTCGCGTGGCTCTATCGAGCTAGTAAGAGACATCTGAGGCCTGTCCAAAGCTTTACCCGAACAATTTAATCCGCATTCGTCCCCAACGAAGAATAGCTCAGCAACAATTGGCGGGATGAGGTCTAATTGCGCATCATCTGGGGGGATACAGCCCTTGAACGCGCCTTTTGTGGCCTGCAAGACGAGTCAAGCTCCAAGAAGAGAAGCATATCTCGAAAGCGAGCAAATCAAAGGGCCCCGGGATTCTGTCTCAAGGAGGTCCCGTCCGGAACGCTGGGTTCCGACCTAGGATCCTAGGACCAGGATTGAATCCGAGCCGGTAACAGACAAGTATGGGGACCCCACGTTTGCTTCCTAAAAGTACCGTAGGCTATGCAGAGTACGGTTAGTGTTCTCCATGTTCCCCGGTTGCTGGCGCCCAACCAGCTCGGCCGTAAGACCCCTTCTATATGTGTATTCAGCATGGACTGGTGCAAACATTTCAAGATCGTATGTCAATGAATCGAGGACGGTGGCGTCTCGGCTCCTATTGGTCCGGATGGCAGCGGTCTCTTAGAGTCACACTCCATGTACACGGATTCTATCACAAACTCGGCTCCGTGGCGTTGAATTCTCCGCCAGAATGAGGCCAAACCCGACAGCTAAAATCGTGAGCATGCGGCACAGTCAGGATCGAGACCACCACGGCGATTCTCGGTATCAGTTCATGCTCGTCGAGAAAACTCAATACATAGGGACCATTTCCCCTTGACTTTGAGTCGCAATTTGTTTCAAATTCGCACCGCTCACGAACCGAAAATGGCAGACCTCCATGACAAGGAGATGGGTGTGAACGAGAAGGACACTACCCATCACATCGAAAATTTCGAAACCGCAGAGGAGCAGAATGCCTACGCCGTCAAAGGCGACGACTCCGATGGACACATTCCGATGACCCCCAGGCGATTCATTGCCATGGTTTCATTGTTGATGTCTTATGTCGGTGAGTCTTCTCCACAATGTTATGTCATGGTGGTGAGGTGCTAAGACTACCAGGGGCCAACCTTCCTCTCTTCTTCATTTCTGGATCCTTGACTTTCCTCCAGGCATCCATCAAGAACCCACAAACACAAGGCTGGTCTACGACATCCTATGGTGTGGCTTTGGCTGCGGTGACTCCATTTTCCGGCTATCTCCAGGACTTAGTTGGAAGACGATACGTCGTCCTTTTAGGCTCCCTTCTGATATGCATTGGTCTAGCGGTCATTGGCAGCTCCCACCGCTTCCTCCAGTTGATTTTTGGCTGCGTTATCACCGGCATAGGAGCAGGTATCACTGAGCTCACGTCTACTGCAGGGTACGTATTCCCCGGGCATTCACTCGGCCCCACCGGCAAAACGGAGGCGAGATTAGGCGAGAACGTTGACTAACCTCTTTGGACCAGACTCGCTGAGGTTGTCTCTGTAAAGCATCGGGGATACACCCTTGCTCTGCTCTATGCCTTCATTCTCCCATTTGCGCCATATGTGCTTTATGCGCAACTGCTTGGAGAGCACGCCACCTGGCGGTGGTCGATATGGCTGGCATTGATCTACAATGCCGTTGCTCTATGTGGGCTTATTTTCTCGTACTTCCCTAGATCGCACCTCCGAGCTGAGGGAGTACGACGCCGTGACCTTGCCAAGGAGGTTGACTTCTTTGGAGGGTTCTTGTCGACCGCGGGCATCGTTCTCTTGTATGGCCTCCCCGCCCACCTTGACAGGTCCTCTCGAACCAACACTAATCCTTCCATCATAGTCTCGTCGGTCTACAGAGTGGTGGCACTATTTGGCCCTGGAAGAATGGCAAGGTCATTGCACCCATGGTGATCGGCCTCGTCCTGATCTTCGCCTTCATCATCTGGGAATGGAAGGGTGCAAAGTACCCCATGGTGCCCTCAGCTATATTTCAAGGCCAGCGGATCGTCGGTGCCTGTATGGTAACCGCCTTTGTCTGCGGTATGAAGTAAGTGCAAAAGGTTACGTCTTTCTCAGAATTCCACGGCTAACAAAACCTAGTCTCTACGCCGTCCTCAACTTCATGCCCCTCATGTTCTCCACCGTATACGATCCCGACCCAATGCACGTTGGCTTGAAATCTCTAGGCTTCGGCCTCGGTCAAACAATCGGCGCAACAGTCATGAACGTGCTGATGTCAGTATTCAAGAACCACCAACGGGAGAACCTTTTAAGCTCCTGCATCATCATGAGTACGCGCTCCTCCATTCCCCTTACTCCGGCTCCCTTACCCGGTACTAGCCGCTAACACCTACACCCCCAGCTATCTTCATCGCCTCCCTCGCAGCCGTGACCCCGGACAACGCCAAAACCGTCATCGCCCTCACCGCCCTCGCCGGCTGGGGCGTCGGCGGCATCATTGCGCCCATCGCCACCATCGCCCTCTCCGCCACCCCGGACGCCTTCCTCGCAACCGTCATCTCGCTCATCAACGCGCTCAAATTCCTCGGCGGCTCCATCGGATACAGCATCTACTACGCCATCTTCTCCGGCAAGATCAAGACCAAGCTGCCCGCGACCGTCGCCGCCTACGCCATCAAAGCCGGCCTGCCGCTCACGTCGGTAGAAGGCTTCGTTGGGATTTTCTTGACGGATCCGACAAAGTTGGCGACGACGCCGATTCCGGGGCTCACGCCAGCAGTGATTGCGGCGGCGTCGAAGGGGCTGCGGTGGGCGTATGCGGATAGTGTGAAGTTTGTGTGGTATACGACGATTCCGTTTGGGGTTATTTGTATTGTGGCGGTGTTGGTGATGGGCAATACGAGGAAGTATCAGACGAATAGGGTTGCTGCTGTAAGTGCTTTCTTCCTAGTGTTTGAGTAGGACATTCTTGCTAATCGTTTGCAGGCTCTGGAGTAGACGAAGTCCACATGATAGACGCGAGATGGAGATTATAGATTGACTGCATTACTCCTTTGATACTCTCTAGTGGACTCGTTGCAGCCGCTGGAATTCTTGGGTGGTGACCGACCGAGAGTGCCTTTGCTAGAGAACCGTATTCTATTGTAGTCTGAATGTACATACCTTCAGTATGACTCTTCCTACGAAAGTTAGATTTCCAATCGTACTCCATTGCGTGCCGCCATGAGATACAGATCAACGTAATTAACCGTCTAGTTCCACGAAAATGCGTCCAAATTTGAGGTTTGAGGTGCCCATTTTGCTAATGGAGGACATTGGAGGCTCTAACCCGACAACGCGAGATAAATACTTCATTTTCACCGCTCAAGATCGTAAGCTAGGGGTATTTCAACGCCCTACCACGACCCCAGCGTGTTACTGTCGCGCGTAGGGGTTTTGTGCAGGGTGGGGGCTGTAAGTGCTGAGGCTGCAGCCCGGAGTGGTGGATTCCGCCAGTCAGAGTGGCGGAATCCGTCACTCCCGCACGTGACCTAATGAAGTAATCCGCACAGAGTAACTACCCGCCATGTCTAAATAGGCTCAGCATACCACGGTGTTTTGCCAGGAGATTCAGTTACCTGACTAGATTAAACGAATCTGATCACTGAAATTACGTCACGTGACTGAATCTCCCTCTCATCAACTGATATGGTTTCAATTGCGCCCTTAACTTTGTCGGCCTCGGTAGTATGAACAACTCCAGAAGCCTAGTTCCAAGTGTTTGGTCTCTTATCCCGTAAGCTGAGTCGTGTGATCCGGGGTACCTCAGCGTATCGTCGACCAAAATACTCACAAAACCAGGAATAGTACCTCGTATTTGCACAATACTCCCAGAGCCCCCGGCCGATCGAAAGTCTCACACCACACTGCCCAACACAATCCGTGCTTTGTTAATCCTGAGGCTGCAACGCCCTTCTCGCCCTACCACACAACCCCTGCCCCTTCCTATATGCACCCCACGCATCCAGATCGCCCATAGACCGCCAAGACATGATCGGTAGGCCAGGGCAAAAGTCCAGTTCACGCATGCACAGACCTCGTTTAAAGCTATTTTAGGCGATGTGGCTTTTCGGCGCCCACGCACCCAACCTCTTCGCCGCAGACACCTGAAACGCGGCCGCCCGCTCGCCTCACGCGGGCGGCGAGACGGAACGGTCGGGGAGCTGCGGGCTGGCGATAATGCTGGTGACGACGGCGTCCCGATTTCGTGAAATGCGGAAGTGAGTTGGGATTGAGTAGTTGAAGTGGGGGTTGCGCAGCGGGAAGGCTAGGACGGGGTGGGTTTTCCTCAGCTGGGCGTCCCTGCAGTAGGACGTTGAGGATTCAGGGACTCTTTCGTGGCTCTTTTGAACGCGTCGGCATGAAGGTGAGTCGGAATTGACTCACTGCAGAGGTAAAGTGCGCCGCCGTCGGCTTCAGTAAAGATAATGCGAGAGCAACGCGGGATGACGATGTCGGAGAAGGCAACCGGGCCGTCGAGCTCGAAATATCATTATGAACAAAAATAGCCAAGTCGTAGTTCGGAGACAGCTAACAGCTCCTGCCGGCAACCACATTGGGGTGACCGGATGGTTTAGCGAACTCGAAAAGTCGATTTCTGGTTTGCGTCCACGAGAGTCTGAGATCGAACTTCGCGGCGCGCACGCTCCGGAGGCAAAGGCATCCCGCACTGGCTGGTGACGCCCAATCGCCGGCGTGCCTTGCCCGTCGGCTTCAACGCCGAGGCATGCGGCCGACAGCGGGCCAACACACTTGGGCTGAAGGGGCGTTCTGGCGCCCGCAGACGACGCAGGGCGATGCGGAGGGAGCAGGTCACATGACCACACTTCTGAAACACTTCGAGTCTCCCGTTTCCCAACGCGCTCGCCATGCTTATGGTTCGACCACTCGGAAGCCCAATAGCGAGAGTGACATGAGAATCCGCTTCTTGCCGCCCTTTCTATGGTTGCCGCCCCCCTCGTTAGCTACCCAATGATTGTCAGCATACGTCTTTTCTGTTGGCCTCAGGATTCCGGTGTCACCGTGTAGTGGGGATACTGTGAGAGAGACGCATGTGACGGCTGCGGAGTGATGCGTTGTTCAGTGATGGCGGAAGCGGTTGCCTTCTTTACTAGCTGTTTTTACGATATTTTGTTGAGGTCCAGCGAGCGATTGAAAGTCTTCCCAATTTCACACTTTAAAAACTCGCGTTTTGCTCGCTGCTACCCGCCTTCTTCTTCAGTCTATTCTCCAGACGACGCCTCCATAGAACATTTGTTGCCATTCATCGTATCAGAGGCAAATTGCGATCGAGTGCTCTTTTATTTCTCTTTCTTCTGAACCAGCGCCATGGGTATCCGCGCAGATTTGCAGTATTGCGGGCAGTACCAACAGGCATCGTAGGTCTCACTCGCACCTTTCATCCGGCGCGGACACACTGCTGATCCCTCTTTATGCAGACATCCCTCGCATGTTCAACCGGCATCACCTAAACGAGCCGCCAACCCTCCTACGGCAGAACGCAAAGGCGCAGAACCGTCCAGCGGAGGAAGCACCGTGTTTCCCCAGCGAAATCAAATACCGTTTACCGCTGCGAACTTGCGCCTACACGAAGACCGACCGTCGGCGGATACGTCGGAAGAAGTCAAAGCCACCGCAGAGCAGCTTGAACGCGCTGCACAGGATTTAGAGATCGATATGCCACCAGGTTGGCGAGTCGGCGGGTTAGATGGCTATGGGCGGCTTCCGCTGGACCGGTGGCTCGGAGGATCAGAAGGCGTTCCTGGGTATTCAAGAAGGACCTGAAATGAACCACTATTTGACATTAAGCTGCGCAAGTGGTCCTAAAAGTTTGAAAGAATCAAGGATTCGACATCCTATATCATGAGAGTGGAGACCATCTCAAAGAGATGAGAAGAACGAACTGATTTGGAGTGCACTGGCGTTACCTGGACACTCGGCGCGGTGCTTATGTAGCGATTGACTCGCAATAGTAAAACTTTTCACAACGGCCATCTGGGCTCGTCGCTGCCGAGCGGCTTGGGCATGATATCCCAGCCAACTTCCACACTTTCAATCTTCGCAGAATGTTTCACCGCTTTTAGTGACCCAAATCCACTCTCTCGTGTCTCCAAATACTCTTCAACTTCCCCCGGGCTCGAGTAGTCAGTGCACTCAAATCCTGTCCTTTCGGGGTACTGTCCTAAGCTCCTGAGATACTTCATGACGCCAGCCAACGATACGTCAACCTCGTAGATCCCGTCTCCGGTTTCACGTTTGTACAAAGTAGCCATGATACCGGTAGCAAGAAGATAACCACCAGCGTGGTCTAGAGCTTGGCAAGGTGTGGGTCGAGCCGGCTCACCGCCACCATAATGCTCCGTCTCGGAAATGTTCATGCCAGAGCATGTTTGCACAAGGGAGTCGAAGCCTCGATTGTGAGCCCATGGGCCGTAAGGCCCATACGCCGACATGTTACCTATCACTATATTCGGATTGATGGCGATGATGTCCGCGGTCGATAGGCCGTGAGATGCGAGGCTACCAGGTCTGTATCCTTGAATGAAGACGTCTGCCGTGCGGAGCAGGTCGAAAAGCTTGGTTTTCTCTTCCGGGTGCTTGATGTCGAGCTGAACGGTTCGTTTCCCTCTTCCAAGATCACGGTCCAGGACGGGAAGGTCGGGGAGACTTGGCGAGGTTACCCATATCACGTCGGCGCCATGTGCCGCAAGAGTCTTGCCGGCCACTGGTGCTGCAATGATTCTACTCATCTCCACTACGCGTAAGCCGCGAAGACATCTGTCGATTCCAGCGCTAGACGATATGGTCCTGGAAGTAACGCTGGATGTTCTCTTCAAGATGATTGGAAAGTCGGGAATCGCGCTGGCCTGTGGTAGCACGTCCCATTGCTTGTACGATCGAAGTGCGGAGATTACAAGTCCCTTCTCGATCCCCTCCTTCTCCAGATCAACTGATTTCCACTTTTGGGTCTGGCTGGATACATCGCTCCTTGAAGCATTCGGGGGCAGCCCTAACAGTTCCAGTGCCCCTAGGCGATGCACGGGGAAATTATCATGAATCCGGACGTACCCGTCTGATGTCTTGTGGAGACCTCCAATGGGGCCCCATGGAGAAGGTGTGGGCTTCCCATCTAACACATAGAGGCGTTCCGATTTGAATTCGATGACTGCATGAGTCAAAGGGACTGTGACCCGGGGTACTGCTGACTGATGGCGACTAGAATAGACAAGTGCAGCTGTCAGGGCAGATAGCCCTATGGTGCTTTGGGCAAGATGCCCAACCTTGAAGGAAGATGGCAGGCCAAGCCCATGGCCCTCTAACGAGAGAGACTTGAGGGCATGTTCAGGTAGTTGAAGGCCTTTCCATATATATGACACAGTGTCCTTTGCGAGAAAGGCTTCTCTATTCGGAATAGGGCCCGCGTTCTCCATGGCACCGTCTCTTTTTGGAGGCTTCGCCGGCTTTTGAAACAATCAATTCAACTGCGTGTGCTAGTTAGCTACCAAGGTGCCAGGTATTATGGATTTTCGGGATGAACAGATGAGGGTGGAGGATTGAGGAGAGTATTGTGAGCACGGAAAGACACAAGTAGAGAGACATAAGAACTCCGACGGAGGACTTTTACCGCGGTGGTATAGAACGATTTTACGGATGAGCGGATTGTAGATGGAAGACGATAGATGATGGAGAGGCTGCGCCGATGCATGCCGCCTCGTCTCCTTAATTCCAGCTAGACCGACGCTACTCTATAAACAGTTTAGTGCATATTACGTAAGTTCATCTAACATCGTCTCGCCTTTTACAACCTCACATCTTACTATCTACTTGTAGTACCCCTTGAATGATCTTGAAGGCCGCCTCCTTCCTACTAAGACCTTTTAAATATCTAGAATTGCTGGCGGAATCGGATGGACACGTTTCATCAACGAATGTTACGGGCCCTCAAATTAAAGCACCACTCAATTGTCTCTGAAGAGCGTAATGGGAAGTTGGAGCGCACCTTGAGCTATGATATGTTTCAAGCGCTTTCTGAAAACCCATCTCCTTGGAACCCCACTGCCTGAGTGTCGCTTTGATCTAGCGGGCCTAAACCGCGCCCAGCATTGCTAACGCTACCGATTTCACCTGTTATCATTAAGCCCAGTCAAAGTCAATGCATCAAGGACGCGGTATTTCAGCACCGCATTCATGCAAACACTGTAGTGGCTTTACTATCTATCTCTATGATGAGCCTGGACCAGTTCGCAATGACACGCCAATCTGGCTACAGCCCAACGAAAGTCAAAAGGCTCTAGCGTCCGATGTATGCGGGTATGATGTTCAGAGTATAGAGCTAGAAGAAGACCTCAAAGAGCTTTATACAATCACGAACGGGATCTCATTTTGGGATGTAAGCATGGATGATTTGGAGCAACACTCACAAGACGGATGTTCCATTTCTCGCCGTATATTGAATAGCCTTACAGCAGATGACTTTCTCCCTTCTAACTTTGCCATCGGTGCAAAATGGAGAACGGCTTATGGTCTAGAATTTGGTATCCTGGACCTTGATGCGCTACGGTGGGAATGCGTGCTTGACGAAGAGAGGGAAGATTGGGCTGATAATGTCTACACTATGCTAGCTCTTCCAGGTTTGCTATCCCTGTAGCTCTCAATAACACCGCTATTAGCCTTTCACTCTTACTAATTTTTTTGTAGATGATCCCGCAGCCCTGGCAATTGACAATCGACCTATCAATCCCGCTCCTAGCTCCCATTTAGCCTTGAGCACAGCGAAAGACTGGCTTCGCATATGTTTGGAGTCTCATCATAATTGCCAGCAACTGAGTACCAAGGAGTTCATGCCTACAAGACTAATCCAAATTCTCCGCCATGGAAATACTACCACTTACCGACTTCGGGAGACGTCGCAAAACGCAATCGAGCACTATGCCGCGCTATCTTACAGCTGGGGTGGCGACCAAACCTTCAAGACAACTGCAAAAACCATTTCCCAATATAAAGGAAAAATTGTAGCCGGCAAATTACCGCAGAGCCTCCAAGATGCTCTGATTGTCACGGAGCGGTTGGGACTAAAATACATCTGGATTGACTCCCTATGCATTATCCAGGACGATGACAGCGACAAATCAAATGAGATTGGCCAAATGGGTAGAGTCTACGGCTGTGCAGCGGTCACAATTGCTGCATCACGGGCGAGAACTGCTTGGGACGGGTTCCTAAGTGAGCGGTCAGCCCTTGGCTCCAATCTACCAGACCTAGTCTTCTCCCTACCTTGCCAGCGCACTGATGGTCAAGCTGGTAACCTTATACTTTTACCCTTGATTTTCGAGAACACTGAGCCCTTAGGTCTGAGAGGCTGGACCTTCCAGGAACGCGTGCTATCCAACCGCGTCCTCGACTTCAGCTCCCTTCGCACACAGTAGAATTGCCGAACCAATCAGAGCCTTGTGCATAGCGATGGCTGGAGCAGCCTGGCACTACACAACGCATACGGGTCTTTCGGGATAAATCCTGACGTTATCTCCAAGCTTGTCACCGGGCAGTTTACACCACCGGCCATGCTTCAGAGCTGGATGAGAATCGCGGAAGGGTTCTCGGCCAGAGCGCTGAGCTTCACGGCGGATAAGCACCCAGCTATAGCGGGAATGGCGGAGTCCTTCGGACGCTGTCTCCGTCATCAAGAGTACTTCGCGGGGCTTTGGGAGTCCGCAATGCCTCCCTGCCTCCTTTGGGCCAATGCAGACATTAATTATGAGAACCTCCAGCCGAGACCTCCGCGTGATCAAGTATGCGCTCCTACTTGGTCGTGGGCGGCCATTGGTGGGCGCATAAAGTATGATCGACTCTACACCGACGCGTATGACGATGTCCACTTCGAGGTCCAAGTCCAAGATTGCCAGGTATCACTTGTCGACGACAAATCGCCTTACGGAGCTGTCAAATCCGGCAAACTAAGACAAGACATCCCGCAAGCTGAAATTTGCTGCATGTCACAATGAAAGGATAGTACATCTCATAGGCTAAATTGCCAAACCTGACACGCGTGTAAGTGAGTGATGCACCGAGGTTCATTATTCTTGTAGCCACAATATACATACATCAGGTCGATGGGCACGGCTAAGAACCTGTCCCGTTTGGTGCGGATCGTATAAAAGATGTAGCAGAAGCAGTAGAGAATGGCGCATGATAATATCAGGAAGTCCTGGACGAACAGATAGCTCTGTGGCGGATTAAGGGCCAGATCTGATGGTTGGACAATAAGGTGGCGCTTTTCGAGCGATTTGGCCAACGTGAATGGCATGGTGTCAATAGCTCTCAGAACTCGAAAATGAGGTTTTGTGCAAGTAGAGAGACAATCTGCCCATGAAAGCCATCGGGCCAGCGTGTTCTATAGGGAAGCCAGTTTTGCAAACCACTGTAGGAGAAGGATAACCAATCTAATTGGACTCTGAGTGATTTCGCCGGCTTGAGTGGTTTCGTCCCAGTGGTGTCGTCATCCTGGGTAGTTTCAACATCCTGAGTAATTTCAGACTCTCCCTGTACATCATTGAACAGGCTACCTGACCACTCACGCACTCAAGATTGGTTGTTGCAGGCACCCTTAGCTTATTCCCCACTAATTCCGTACATTGCCGACTCTTCCCAGTTCCCAACTTGCCTGCTGCAATAGGGACTTCATCGTTACGCTATTCCACTGCCCGTGCCCGCTCTGTTCGGTTGCTACTCACACTGAGGGTATGCATCTTCACTAGCTTTGTCCCGCCGTGCAACAGGATGCCACTAGACAGATTGCATTGGAGTTTATCGAGTGTGTGGACGGCATAACTGGCTCAAGCGAGCTTATCTCTGAACCCCTGTCCATGCTGCAAAAACTGCAATTGCAACCACAAAAGCAAAGAGAAAACGCAACGATCCCCACTGGCTGGGGTTGCTGGGGGCCTTTGTATAGTTTTTGTATGCGCTTCCTGACGAAACCAGGATCTTCTCGTCTCCAGGCTAGGAAACCCGTTTTGTCAAGTGGGGTTCAAAACATCTTTTTGCATGTAGGGTGTGCCTTACCTGGCGATCCAATACTCCGATCTGCAAGGTCTTCATGAATTCGATCGCGGCATCGCTATGGCCAACCTCCTCGAAAGCTTCAGTGGCATCGAACCCACCTTGGTCGAGTTGCACTGACTGCCCGCCTCTGTGTCATGAGAATATTTTAGCAAAACACTAGCTACGATGGCTGGGTGCGCTCACGGATGTTGGTCGATGAATTTCGAGACGTCGTAGACCTTGTCATGAATAAGAAGATACAGATTCTCTTTTTGCTTATGCAACACGACCTCGCTGGCCGCAAACTTTTTCATGGGTGACGCCATTGAAGGGCTGTGAGAAGTTGATTCTGTCAATTTAAGGAAGAAGAATGCTAGGCAAAAAAGACGTCAGCTAGAAACTCGAGCAGCGTCATGACTACGTTAGAACAGTAACCTTGCATATATCTAGATGCTGCACGACTCCTCTTGCACATTACCGTCTGAACCGTTGTGATCCGAGAGAATACTGAGGAATGTTCCCGGACAGATTCATCGCGGCCAATCTACAGCACGTGGTACGCGCTTTGGTCGGAGCAGGCCGATTCGACCGGCCGATATGTCACGCGTTGTCGGAGCCGAAAATTATGAGTTTATGAAATTATCACGTCACTCGCTTGTTACTTGCTTATAAAGGCTTAGTAAAGGTCCTTTGTAGTATTGCTAGTTAACTACGCCTCGCTATCTATATAAACTTCTACAACCTATTAGGGTGCCTATAGATAGCCCTTTAAGATGTCTATATCCTGTTAAGATGTCTATACCCCGTATATATATCTAGTAAAGATCTGGAAATAGAGGGCTGGAGGTACTGGGGGCGGTACAACAACAGGGGTGGCCCTTGCTAGCGACACCCATAGAAACTCCTATCTTCCAACGTTCCAGAAATGTGAAGAGGCGGGAAACTTTCTCTTTACCTGTTCTAGTCTATCCGGACGCTCCGGAGTTAGCCCAATTTTGTGATGTTCATAAATTTCGGCTACGAGAGAACATGACATATCGGTCGGCCGAATCGGCTTGCCCTGAACCTGGGCGCATCGTAAGACCTGGATTGGTTTTGAAATGGCTTTCATTGGCTGTGTGCCCGGGGAAAGAGGATATCTACAATTAGATATGCCTTGGCAATGACGAAAGTTGTGCCGATTTGAGAGACCTCCCCGTTGGGCCCCAAAATGATCCTGCTTTTGGTCCTTGGTGAGTTGCACTCTCTTTGGCTTTCGCAAACATATATCCATGCCGAAATAGACAGCTCTTTTTGTCCAGTGTTTACGTCGATCATATTACAGTCTTGACGGTAGATTTTTGTCTTATTGCACTAGATTTTTATCGTCCTCCATCCTCGTTGCATACACGTGCGACGTTAATCCTTGATTGCGGGCGGAATCGCCAAGACGTCAGAAGATAGATTGAAATGAACATGTGTTTATATTAAAGGTAATGATGGTGTATAAATAGGTGTTCAGCTCATATAGGAACGTACGAGCTGCTAGTTGATAACGAGCTCCTAGCTACGAACTGCGAGCTCCTAGGCTCAGTGAGGCAGCTCTCGGAGTTGAGGTTCTGAAGTTCTACACGGAACTCGTGAGGTTGTATAGACCATAGAGCTAGGCTCTATAAGGTGCTAGCCGGGAGTCAATCACTGGACCTTGAACGAGTCCAACGCCGCCGTCTCTGCATCGAAGTCCGCCAGCCTTGTGGCCATGTTGACTGGGAATGAAAGATGCTCATGAATCCACTTCCACTCTCCGTCTTTCTTCCTGGCAATGCCGGTTCTGCGGAAGGTGATGCTGAATGGGTCGCCTCCCGCCTTGCCCCATGTGTGCTGAGAGCAGGTGGAAAATGCGTGGGTCGGCGAGAGCACGACAATCTCCAAGTCCTTGTACTCCATCTGCCCGTCCACATAGTATGGGAAGACGCCCTCAAAGTGCTCGTTGAACTTTCCACGCCCCGATGTCCCAAACATGTCGAAGCTCAGCATCTCCTCGAAGTCATAGAACCGGCGCGACTGGTTGGCACCCGGGTCGTGCATGGACTCTTTGTTCCAATAACCCAGCCAACCCTTGTACAGCTGCTCGAGAATCTCCTGTTCCTCCTTCGCAAACTCCGGCTTGTGATCCTTCAAGGCAGTCGTTGGTCCAGAGTCTTCGTTTGTGGGGGTGATGAAGAACCTACCGAGCTCTTTGGACCGCTCAACAGAGTAAGCTCCTTGTCTATATCGGTATACGTGTTCTACGATCAATCAACGCCCATACTTCACGACTCAGGTTGCAGCACTACAACCTAGGATCAACAACTCATATGCCAGAAAACTACTCTCCGAACATCAGCTGTAGAGAACCCAGCTGAAATCTCAGCTGTAGAGAACCGAGCTGAAGCCTCAGCTGTGCAGGGCTCATCTGAACTTACTAGCGCGCCACCCTGGGGGTGGCCCCCTTCCTTCCCCTAGTATATATACAACTAGCTAGACGTCTATAGAAATCAGAGTTCACATCAATTTCAACCTGAGTTCACGACTCGTCAGGAGGGATGTACATACCTCATCTTGAATCCAGCCTTTGCTAAGCCCGTGTGCCATTTTGTTCTCTTTTTCTACAGGTCCTCACTCGTTTCCAGCTTAGAAATTTTTGGAACGTCGGAATAATTTCTGAAATGTGCTTCAAACCCTTTATCAGTTCCGGCTGACATTGATGAGCTCTTTATACAACCATCGCTAAGGCATTATTTATGACACGTCAAATCTGACTAGGACAGAGTAATGGAACTCAAACAGAGCGGATGGACTAATTTCATAGCCGCTTGCAACTTCAGTTCCAGTTCAATAATACGCGGATCTTCTCCACATTAAAGAAGCTATCCGATCTGGGAAGTGAGTTGTGAGGATCACATGCGGGATGCTCAAGGATCCTATATGCATATACTAACTTTATTGAGTAGTATCCCGTTATATACTAAGATAAATCTTAGTGAAGCTTTAACACTTACTACCCAAAAGAAAGCAGTGGCTTGTATAGGTTAGTTTGCAAACGTAGAAATTATCGATCGTGGATCTTCAATGAAAACTTTTCATTTGTACATCTACGTAGAGGCGAGAATGCCAACGTCATCGGCATGTACTGATCCAGTCTATGCCTCATAAGGCCTTTGAAGATCTTGAGTCCCTGGTGCTTTGTAGAATGTTACCGTCAGCTAACGCTGGTTACTCATTCAGGGCGGCACGCCTAGTGTCATGCCACCTCAAGTTCCTTGGAGACGGAAATATCCGCTTTATGGAAGAAAGCCGTACCGCCTCTTCCCATAATGACATCTGCTGTACTGATGTAAAGGTCGGACTTGTAGCCCGATGGATTAGCCTCTGGATTGAGATCGCAACAGACAATTTTGGCACCTTGCTGCGCTAAGGCCAAAGAAGTAGCTCGACCCATGCCAAAGGAAGCGCCCGCCACAACGGCTACAAGGGGGCTACCTGAGCGGGCTGCCGGCGCTCCCTGCTAGCGCTGGCGTTGTTTTAGCCACAGTAAGCGTATTATAAATCTGCAGAAGCCACCAGAATAGCTAGATAATATAAAACAACGGCAGGGGCCCTTGTATTTTATATCATAAAAATGCCGAATCTTGTACGCCGGAACAATGGCCACCATCCACGGCCAATTCAATATCCTATTCTTCGAGATCCGGGCACCCGTCTCTCCTACCGAGAGCGTGATATTGCTTTCTCCCTCTCTCGATACGCTGGCTGGAATAACCGAAGGATCGGTTCCTCTCTTGGTGTGCCTTACAGAACTATATCCAATGCTCTCTCTCTCCAGAATCCGTGGACCCCTCAAAAACAGAGAGGGAGAAAACCGAATCTTGATACTCCAACTCGACAGCGCCTTATTGCCCGGGCTAAGCTT